ATGATTGATTATTACTCCAAGGTCTATCCATTATTCCATTCCCCTCACCTGCCCCGTGACCCCAGATTTCCTGGGAGCCGCATTGTCGCTCGCTCATCATTCATGCCCGCTGTCTCCATTCACCGGGCGGGTGTCGTGGATGGTATTCTGATACGCCGGTAGCACACATGGTTATAGATCGACATCGTTCACGATAACAAGATTTATGGACATGACTGCAATCTGTAGATCACCTCGGTGCGCGGCTGGAGTTTACTGAGTATAGGTAGCCCCTCACGTGGATTGTCGCATAATGGCAGTCCATGAGTTGAATTAACACTACAGGGAATGCCGTGCCATGTTTTCTTTTCCAGATAGATGCTCAGGCGTCGACCCTTGTACCGAGCATACCCACATGGGATCAACGTCATCCAATTTCAATCTAAGACGGACTTTTCTATCATTGTGTGATGTCAAAGAGTACGGTCCTAATTTTGGAACCTGTTGAAATTGTCTCGTCAAGTGACCATATACCACATACTCCGTACGTATCATGCAATCGGCGTTCGAGACTCGCCGGATTCTGCCATACTACGCCTCCTAAGGATTAACGGCTTTCGATATGATTCAGCATCACTCTTTGAATGCAGGAACAGAAAGTCTCAACAAGTCAATCGTGTTAGTACGGATAGGTGCCGGTCAGTTGATGGCAGATGAATCAAAACATATGACTGCGATCAGACGCCCGTCTAATTGACCTAGCGTCAGGCCACCCCTTACAAGAGGACGGACTACTTGACAGTTTCTAGTAAGCCTTTCCAGTTTACGGCAGACTCTATACTCAGGATTGAAATGTACTCCGATGGACTAAACGGTAGTACACTTGCGAGCGTCTTGCAGGCCCCACCCGCCAGTTCTTGCAAGCGCCCACTACGATTGATTGGCTTTGTCGACATCATGGCTGCTGAGCAAAACCGACGAAATGCTTGCCCTTGCCTCTCACGGTCGGAGTCCGCCACGCCGATCCGAAGATCTCTGACGTGGGGGGGTGTTCTTAGTCATGGACGAGGAACCACCGAATCAACGCGCTCGAACAGTGCAGGAAAATGTTGCGTTGCCCGGCCAGAAATTGGGAATTCCGGGGAGGAAGGTCTGGAAATTGTAGCAAGTCTGGAATCCCCGCATTATGCGCCAGAATTAAGTCATGGCCGTTAGAGAAAGAAAGGGGGAAAGGGCACAAAAAAGAGCAGAGAAAGGACACCGGGAGCCTAGACGGCGGAAAAGGCAGGGAAATGATCAGTACACAAGGTATACACCATCAGGGAAGGAACTGGTCAGGATGACGATAAAATGATGAAGATACCCTCAGATACCGATGAGAGAGGACGAAAGCGTTGGAAGAAGAGCAACCTGGCCTGGCGTTGCGTCGACCCGGGAAGCCGTGCCCAGATGACGTAAATGCCCATTGGCCCTTTTCGATTCCCGAGCCACACCGGCCCGTTGCCTGAAGGGAAAAAAAAGGATGTAGTTAGTACAATGCAGACTATAGAATATAGTTACACTACTAGAACGTGTTAATTGTGAGCAGAACATCCCCCTCAATGTCACCCGATTCAATCGCGTGAATTTCCCCAGGTAACCCGTGTAGTGTATATCACATTCCTAGAGTCACATCGAGTCTGCATTAGCCAGCCGACGGAGAATGACGTACTTTCTGCCCCCCTCCTTCTGCGACAACTCACGCACCAAAGGTTGCCTCTGTTTGGGAGCTTAACATCCACCTTCGACCCACAAGTCGACCACTTTGGAATAAGGAAGAGTGGGTATGTCGCCGTCCTCGACTGATCCTTGATCCTTTTGCTGGGAAACTCTCAGCCCATTTAAACAAAAGGAGGGAAGGCAAATTCGGCCTAACCTTTTTTTTCTTCTTTCTTCTTTCTTTTCTTTTTCTTTTTGGTTCGTTCTTCCTTTCATATATCTTCGGCCTTTGCTCTCACCACCCACCTACTCCTGCTTTCTCTTCTCCCCTCCTCGTATCTTCTCGCAAAACCTACCCTACTTCCCGATTTCGGCCCAATTCCCAGAAATCATGTCGCGAACAAAGGTTTTATTGGTTGGAGCCGCAGGTGAGACGGGCGGCTCTATCGCAAACGGTCTTTTGGAAAACCCAACTTATGTATGAACCTCTCTCCGTTATATTCATTCCCTCCTTTTCTATTCTCCCCTAATTTTGCCTGATCTTGGTCTTTCTTCCTCCGTCTAACTATCTCGCAGGAAGTACACGCTTTGGTTCGCCCCCGGTCGGTCCAGAAACCCGCCATCGTCTCTCTCCAGGAGCGAGGAGTCCAGATTCGTCGATGCGATTTGCGAGGCTCCGAGGAAACCCTCACCGATGTCCTTACCGGTATCGATGTCGTTATTAGTTGCGTCGGTCCGGCCGAGCAACAGGATCAGATCAGCCTCGCCAAAGCGGCGAAGAAGGCCGGTGTGCGGCGATTCGTGCCCTGTGCTTTCATCACGGTGGCACCACCAGGAGGCATCATGTGGTTGAGAGATGAGGTGAGTTGCATGATTGTCTCAACGAAAATACCCATGATTGTCTGACTAACGACTGATTTCTGTTGGGAATTTTAGAAAGAAACGGTTTACAACCACATCAAGCAACTTCAGCTCCCCTACACCATCATCGATGTCGGCTGGTGGTACCAACTCTCCTACCCTCGGCTCGAATCCGGCAGAGCCGACTATGCCATGACCTCCGCCAACAACGAGATCGTCGGCGATGGCAACACTCCCCTTGCTTTGACCGACTTGAGAGATATCGGACGCTACGTGGCTCTCATCATCTCCGACGACCGCACGTTAAACAAGATGGTTCTGGCTTATAACACCGTGGTCACTCAAAACCAGATCTACGACATGTTGGAGGAACTGAGCGAGGAGAAAATCCAGAGGAATTACGTAAGTCGCACCGGCGCTCTCTGTGGCTTCCGCATTGGCTGACCGTCGCATTCCTGCAGATCCCCGAAGAAACCGTGTACACCCGAGTGCTCGCGGCTCGCCAGTCCAGCGAGACTTATCCCTACGACCCCGTGAAATTCATCCCTCGATACCTGGCGGAGTACCAGCTGTCCTGGGGCATTCGTGGCGACAACTGTCCGGAATACGCCAAATACCTCGGATACATCACTTCCAAGGAACTGTATCCCGACTTCAAGCCGACCGAATTTAGAGAATACCTCGAATCCGTCGTTAGGGGCACCGCGAGGGGTGTGTACCAGGACCGTTACATTTCCAAGGCCCACCAGCGCCAGTTCCCGCGTACCGAATCGAGCGACTCCCTGTACACGAGAATATTCCCCCGCACCGAGTCGAGTGATTCTCTCTACATGACCCGGTAGAGGACTGAGACGACGTTAGATCTTTTTTCAAATTTGCAACTTTTTGGCGCAGTGGTTTTATTGTGAAATTTCTTATCATCGGGGAAACACCTGGACACGCCCATCTCTTCTCTGTCGTGCCTTGAGGGCGTTTTAGACTTTTCTTTCCATCTTTTGTTTCTTTCTTTTATCATTATATCCCATTTTATCCTGGAAGTCACCGTTTATGGTGATGTTAGATGAACAGCATACAGCATACGGGTTTGGAATAACTCAAAAATCCATCTGGAATTCTCACAATCCTCCGATACTTCAATGTAACTCGAATTGTCGTCTTAGGTTTCAGTTCAACTCTAAGATGCCTTTTCTACATCGTAAATAATCAAACATGCAAGACAATTGTCTAGACCTCGTCGACTATACTAACTTCCTCAAGACGAGGAAGTAGCTAGTAATGACAAAACAACCTCCAATAAGCAGGCGGCCAAAGTTTAGATCGTGGGCTGTCAGCCCGCCCTTCAGGGACCAGACCAATTCTAGTTTCTGTACTCCGTACACACTATTGAGCATGAAATGTCAGACCTGCAAGGATTCTCATCCGGCCTCCCCCTCCGTCCGTCTGGTCTGATGTCATCGGTGAACCGCTGCTCGGCACACCTGCCATGATGTCATGCGACTGCTGACACTGTTGCAAGTTGCAAGTTGCAACCCTGCAAAAAGGAACAACTTCGACCAGGATCCCCGCAGAACGGAGAAAGGAATAAGGTGTCTTCTTCTGGAGGGTTCAAACTAGTTGGTGGGGTTGAATCTGCAGGTCATTAGACTACGTACTAATTTGTATTATGTGTTATTTCCGGACCTTTCGTTCTGTAATTTGTTGGATTTAAGTCCATCTGTATCCTTGTCTATCATGGTATTCATTCTTAAGCAAGGTTCTTGTCATAGTGTAGTTTTGAGTTGGACTCTCCTCGTGTTAAGATTCAGCCACGAGTTCATGGAATGATCGATTACGCTTCCACCCCATGTTTGACATTCTCTTTAGTAACAAGGTAGTCCGGGGATGGGAGTCTATTTGGGGCAGGAGTCACACAAAGTCTGTTCTTATGGGGCGGTTCAACGGGTATTATCCGTCGACGGACCTAAAATGTGATTATCATACTCTGGGCATTACTTTATTTAAGCTTTGATGCATCATTCATTCCTCGGATCAAAGCATAGAACATAAAGCAAGCTGTTGTCGTTCCGGTTCTAGAGCCGATGGCACGTGATGGCACGGGGCCAGACCTCTTTTGAACAGATGCTTCCATCAGCAATCCAGTGATACCCAGACATCTCCAGCCTTCCTGTCATCTCTTGCAGTGGTTCTTCGGCCGGCCGTCTTTGGAACGGAACGGCCATCCCAGCTTCCACGCATTATTCCAGATGGCCGAACTTTGGTGAATTAGCCGCTCGGATCCTCGGAAGACAGCTTGGCAGCTGTCAGATCTCACAAACGCCATCAATCTAAGCTTAGTGAATGTTCACCGATGAAGTGTTGCAGTTCGCTGCGATCACACACTGGGGCAGGGAGATCTGCTATGCCGGTCTTGGCAGCGGGGCACTTGTTTACACGGCAACAGAGAAGGAGGTCTCTGATAGACCATGGCAACCAGGCTCATGACTGAAGAAAATCAATCTGTCAGGCCTGTTGGCACCTTCAAGAGAGAGGAATACATACGTCAACCTCCCAGTCCGGATCGGAAAGGATACGTGCATGCCGGGGTCAGAAGCTGGCCGTTGAATGCTGTCAGCGTCAAACGCTCCACTGTGGTTCGTCGGCGAGCCACTGCTTGCTTGCTAACGTGCGAAACCAATAATCCCCACGCCCATCTCCAATCGAACCCTCCCCTCCCTCATCTTCCACCTTATCTGAAGGCTGCTGCGAGGGTATTCTCTTTGCCCCTCCCTGGTGTCCCGGGATCTAACTATTCTTATCGATTATGGGGAAAGGAGGCATCACTTTGATACTGTCCTCTTGTCAGAAGAGTACGTACTATTTCGTCATATTTTCTCGTGACATCTCGTCCAAGCGGTCGCCTCGTCCTGCGAAATATGGCTGATATGTCCAAACAGGACCCTGGTTCTAGGTCAATTGCATCAGATATGTTTATTCTTATCCGTATCTTTATCCATTCTCTCGATCTGCATAGGCCGGCCCATTGAGTCAGATCGACATGGTCATTCCCCGCACTCCTGAACGGAGCGGGAAGGCGCTGTACCATTTGATTGACACGCTCAATGAGCAGTTTGCGCTAGAAATCCCGAATCCACACATCTACTCGCCGTCGGCTTCGACCGATAAAAGTTCTCTACGATGGCGGAGTTATCGGGGGATCCAGCGTGCTTATTTCGACCGGACTGTTGACCTGGACCGGGTGCTGAGTGGCTTCGAGGAATGGGTCTCTTCCCAGATGCCACCGGTAGTTACTACCACCGGTCATCGGATGAGCCATCAGACAGGCGCAGTATCCGGATTTTCGAAGAAAGATCTCTTAACGGAAGGAAGCTATGGACTGGTTTCCCAGAACGAGAGGGACGAGCGTTTGAGGTACTTGGTGAAACTAATCGATGACGAGCTTTATCTATCAGGCAAGGGCTCCTTTGTATCCCACCTTGGGGGCAATGAAACCCTCGTAGAAGAGGCACCGTGCTTGGAATCTAGAAAGAGAAGATTATCGACAGATGACGAAGAATTCCACACGGCTCCCAATTCTCCGGTTAAACGCACGCCTCCACTGCCATCTGATGAGTTTCATGATCCAGAAATTGAGGGATTGGAACTGAGCTCCAACATGGCCGCTAACGACGACACGCGTGTTTCCAAATCCCCTCAGATCTCTAGCCCAGCAAAGGGCCCGTCAAAATTTCTTGAGAAATTGATGGCTCCCGACAACTGCCGGCGATACGACGCAGAGCCACCTACGAGAACCGGGCCTAACTTTAGCTTCACATCAACAGTTCCCAATACCTCAATTGACGACACTCTGCTAAGTCATTTTGAAACCTCCTTCGTCTCAAACGGCACAGACCTCACCGAGCCAATGCCCGATTCAGAAACGGTGTACGAGGGGTCGGACTTTGCACATGTGCTGAGTCAAGAAAGACGAGCAGAGTTTGTGGCTCAAGTTTCTCTCACTGAGATGTCACCCGCCCGCTTTTCATTCGAGGGGGAGATAATGAGAGAGCTACTTGACCACGGGCCGTTCTCACCCGAGCATTCCCTTTCTGGCTCCGTGCCGCTGCGGTATCGATATGAGCTGGAAAGAATAGGCCGAACCTGGAACGTTCCCCTCGAACGCATGTTGGTTGGAAATAATATCCCGTTCAAGTCCCGCGAATCTTTCTGGAAGTGGATTGGGACGCACAATCAGCGCGGAGATAACCCGCTCCCAGAGGAGTCTTCCAGCAAGGCCTGGGATGCCGCCGTGGGGGATTTCACAACGGACAAACATTCCGAAGACGTTGCTCTTACCGGGGATTTGGAGTGGTGCAGTGAGTCTGAGCCTGGTATTCTCAAACTTAGATTGAACTCTCTAAGAACAGAGAGGACGTGCCGCTTCCATCGCCGCTTCGGGTCCGACCGATTTCTCAGCCTGACGATGCCTGCGCCGACTCGACCTCCTCGTCATTTGCGAATAACTGCATATCCTTCGCTTCTGCGGGAGAGCCTGGCTATGTGGTTAACACAGAATGTTCATCGATGTCTGGGTAGAACATGGAGGCCTTTTTTCGTCGAAGAGGTTAAATCAAAGCGCAAAATGGCCGAGCCTTGGTTCAGGGTCGAATTTTTTGCTATCGACGGAATCGACTTTCATCATGCGACTGTTCCTTGTTATATTGCTCCCAAGAACCAGGAAAGCACCAATCGCACTGCGATGAGTCTCGAAGCCCTCCTAGATTGGCATTTGTTTCGCGAAGCGAATCTAGATCAGACCAATTGCAAACTATACCAGCGACTATCATTAGGGCTATCAAAGACATTCACGACCGTATCTTTGAGACCACATCAGGTTCTCGAACTCAAGCACGAGCCTGGCCGTCCAGTCATGAACGACGGCTGTGCTCTCATGTCCAGGGCGCTGGCCAATAAGGTCTGTGATTCCCTGGGCATAACCGGGAACACGCCCAGTTGTTTTCAAGGGCGAATAGCAGGAGCAAAAGGCCTGTGGATGGTGGACAAGCACAATTCCCAGGTTTCGGCAGGTGGCGATGATGATGACGTCTGGATCCAGATATCCGACTCGCAGTTGAAGATCAACCCCCATCCGCAGACGTGGCAAGATACTGTTGACGAGGAGCAGCTGACCTTCGAGGTGGTCAAATGGTCCAAGCCATTGCATCCAGTGCTCTTGAACATCCAATTGCTGGCGATCTTGGAGCATGGCGGACACGTCAGAGAGCATATCGCCGATCTCACTCGGCTGAGCATCCAGTCAGTGTATAAGGATTTCGCCGAAGTGCTCCGATCTGACAATCCTGTGCTTTGCCGTAACCTAATTCAAAAGATTCGACCGTCAGCAGATGATGGTTCGAAGCTGCTGCTCCACAACGCTCGGCGCATGGAACAATGGATGATGAATGAATCCGAAACTCTGATCCGGCTAACGGAAGCGGGCTTTACGCCGCGAAGCTTCTATCCTCTGCGCCAACGGCTCGGGAGATGCCTGCGAGAGGTATTGGACCGGCATGTGGAGGAGCTGCATATTGAGGTGCCGCTATCCACTTATGCCTTCTGCATTGCAGATCCGTACGGGGTTCTGAAAGACGATGAAGTTCATCTTGAATTTTCGGGAAATTGGCGGGATGGCCAGGGTCAGTTCGAAGATAATCTCTTAGATGGCATGGATGTCCTCGTCGGACGTCTCCCTGCCCACCTTCCTTCCGACATTCAGCGTCGGAAAGCCGTGTGGAAGACGGAGCTCCGTCACTTCAAGGATGTCATCGTATTTCCGTCAGTCGGGAAGATTCCTCTGGCCCACATGCTCTCTGGGGGAGACTACGACGGCGACACGCCATGGATTTGCTGGGACCAGAACATTGTACGAAATTTCTACAATTCAGACATGCCAGAAGTAGAGAGACTGCCGGAGTACTTTGGCGCCACGAAGCATGCTGTGCCTATGACGGAAATCTCGACATGGGATGAATTTCTCCTGAGCACGTTTACCTTCAACATGACGTTGTCGAATCTAGGTCGATGCACCGTGGAGGGCGAGAAACTCGGATACGACGAGGGAATTGACTCGCCGAATGCCATCGAGCTTGGTAGTCTGCTCAGTCATCTGGTGGATGGACGCAAGAGCGGAGTACACCTGTCGAAGGCGGCATGGCAGAAGTATCGCAAGAAGATTAGCCGCAAGGTCCGCGAGCTACCCGCGTATAAAAACCCCGATCGGAAGCCTAAGATGTCGAACATCATCGACTATCTGCAGTTCAATGTGGCTCGGAAGGAACGCCATTCCGTCTTGAGGCAGCTTGAAAGAGAGTTCCCTGAGCATGAAAGCCGGAACACCAGGGACGAAGCTCTCGTGCAACCTTGGAATGAGGCGCGAAGCCAAGCAGACCAGCAGGGCCGGGACGGACCGCTGGATACCGTTCTCGAAACAGTCGCACGGGAACTCGACAGCCTTCGTGGCCAGTATGGAAGCTCCTTCAGCGACGGCTCATTCTCGGCCGCTACGACAGACATCACGGATCGTGCGAGTGCCCTTCCACCCCCTGCTATCGGAGGCCACCCTTTGAACCATGTCTGGCAACACAACGCGGACGCATGGCAGCAATTGCTTGCCTCGTATACCTACAAGAAGCGCCCCTGGAGTACTTTCTGGCTGCATGCATTCGGTGAAGTCCTATGCCAGATCAAAGCAAACAGCCTGCCCTCGCGGACGGTGACCCACCAGGTGTTGTCATGCTATCGCGTCAACCCCAAGGTGGTCGCCCGGTTGAGTGCGCAAGATGCGGTGGAAGAGGGCGAAGAGAGCGAGGACAATGGAGAATATGAGGGACACGAAGCAATCGAGGCCATGCTGTTTGGAACGCAGATGCACGCCCCGGGAGGATATTACGACCCTGACGATTCGATGTCGGTGGAATAAGTTACTCCGACGTAACTCCACGCGTATGTATGTATGTATTTAGGATCTTATGCCATTTAATTCCTATCATTCGGGTTAATTCCGGAGGGAGTAAAGGATCGATTGGCTCCGGTAATTGGGAACCGCCACTTGACTAGTTCCATCCTAAGCGATTCTCACGACTTTCTGAGTCAGGAAATGCACACGATGGAGACTCGGACGAGTAAGCGGTCAGCGCGGACGTCCTCAGGCTCCGTCATCACATGTCAGGTCGTCCGGATGGGGTTTAGCGGATTCCTGACTCAGCGTGGACGGGCCAGTCACATGGCAAGGTTGGGGCCTATTACCTCAGGCATCGGCAGAACCATCGAATAATTCTTGAGTTTTACTTTTCTAGGCTGACACTGTAATCTGTTGAATTTGTAAATCCGTCGGAAGGTTAGGCTCTTTCATATGGGCGGCGTTTATCCGAGCTACGCATGTGAAGGTCAGCCTGGCTTTTCCTAGTGTCTTTGTTTCATATGAAAATCCCAACCCCGATGATCAACGGCGCTGCATGATAGGCGCTTTGCGAGAGGAGAAGTCTACGCTGTACTCCAATTCAGCCTATACTTGCACCTTGTGGCAAGGCGATACGATACGCCGTCATCTCTCGGTCGTCACTTGCCCTGAGCGCGAGAGAGAAACGGAGGGAGAGAAAGAGAGAAAGAGAGACAGACAGACGAAGTGCCGACATTCACTTCCTTCCCTTGGCCGCCCGCCCGCCTTATTTTTGCCCTTTGCACGTGAAGAAGCCAACCTCGCCTTCCCTCGCTTTTCTTCCCCATCCCCATCCCGATCGTCACGTCTCCAGCTCAATCCATTCCAACTAGCCGATTTCCCTATCCAAAACTAGCCAGTTTCGGCTTCTGGGCAAGCCATGGGCCCTCCTCCGGATGGCGTCTCTGCCCCGACGACTACTGCCCCCAACACCTCGCCCTCTGCTGTCCGAGACGCCACTACAACCCCAACGCCGAACAATCCTCAAACGACTGCAGCTACCAATCTCCCTCCTCCCCCTCCTCCGACTTCCTCTCCTCTTGTCTATCCGACTTTTCAGCATGTCCCCTCCTCCATGATGGATCTCGACAACAGTACCGTGGCTGAAGGTCGTTCGCGTCGGGCCACTAGTGTTTTATCGATGGATGATATCGAGGCTGCTCAGGCTCTGGAAGGTCTCCGTACCGGTGGGTTAATCCTTTTGCCCTTTCTTCCGATCTTTTTTTTCTTGGTTTTTCTGGATCATGTTTCGTCTTATCTTTTTCTTACCTTGACCTGTCTAATCATCTTCTAGAATACGGACAATCTCCCCGAAACTCCTCGCAGCACTCCTCTATCTCTTCCGAATCGCAACCTGAACCCCTCCTATCTTTGCTTACTTCTACCCATCCCCTTATCTCTTCCGCGATCAACAGCTCCGTATCCGCCTATACCTCTTCCAAGTCATACTCCTCTCTGATCAAGTCCGGTGCCGAATACATCGAGCGCAACATTGGCTCCCCCGTAGCCAACACTGTCGGCACGATTAGTCGAAAGACGGGTGTCGAGAGCGGCATTCGGTGGACTCTGCAGCGGCGTGCGTCAAACTCGTCGGATGCGAAGCGGTCGAAACGGCGCAAAGTGAGCGGGGAGAAATCTTCGACGGACATGGACGTCGAAAAAGGCATGGACGACGCCACGATGTCCGAATCTCTGCCACCGTACGACGACCAGAGATCGCCTAGCTATGACGAGATCGGACAAGAGAACTCCTCGCGACAGAACTCCACCTGGCAGAGTCGACTGGTCATTTCGACGTCCGGGCTCGGCGTTGCGATGAGCGAGGAATCGCTTCGAAGCCTGCAGTATTGTCTGACTTGGCTCCGGTGGGCTAATGGCCGGCTGGGCAAAGCCATCGTTGCTCTACAAGGGGCGCTGAAAGAATGGGACCAGCAGCAGAAGGATGCGGAGGGATCGTCCGCTGCCGGTCAAGACACCTCGCTGTTGTCTCAGCGCATTCAGGCTGTCCGGGAGGATGTACTGTCCACGCTGAAGCAGGTGGTCAATGTGGTTTCTAAGTATGCGGGCGGAGCGTTGCCAGAAAACGCGAGGAATCTTGTCCGTCGTCATCTGACGTCGCTACCGCACCGCTTCCAGGTCGCGTCGACGTCGCACCCCCCGCCCGATTCGCCCGCCTCGTCTTCCGATGCCACTATCGGTGCTCATCGTATTCTGGTGTTGGCTCAAGAGGGTCTGGACATGATGTCCCAGGTCAGCGGAGTCGTCAACGACACCTTGGTCAGTGCGGAGCATTGGTGCGAAAGATTGGGCCGGAAACGGCCCGATAGCAAGAACCCGAGCGACGCACCTCCGGCTGAATCTCACAACGAGACGTACCCGGCGGATATCAAGGAGCCGATCCATGAGGCGCCTCGGGACGTTTCCATGACGGGGACTGAAGAGAAGGTCTAAGTGTTGCTTTCACGGCTGCGGGTTTCTCAGCGGGTACTGAGTTCATGATGGTGGATTTCTTCCCTGTGTTGCCTCGATTGGTAGCTTGATGCTTTCAGATCTAAGACCAATGTCCTCATTGGACTTGCCCCTCTTTCTTTTTCCTTTCTTTTCCTTTCCTACGGGTATTTCCATGCATGTCGTTCAGCTTCCCGGCGGTTGTGAAAGACATACGGCGTTCTTTTGATTTGCACTTATTGATACCTGATTGTTGGACTGTTTGTTTGACGACGTACTCGGACCGGACTTTGTTTCTTATCTGATTTTATTCTCGGTTTGGTTGATTCTTTGCTAGTTGTGTATTGCCCTGTCTGTCATTACTTGAATTCACTGACATTCACTGATCTGTCTGATTGAAAAGTTTCTTGATTGTCTGTATGTACCTGATCTACCTGATGATATGTTCCCCAAACCACGGTTCTTCCAGCTCTATCTCTCGCAGCAAATTCTTGTAGCCGTTTCCCCAGAACAGCTTCACCCTGACACATTTCCGCTGCCTTTGCCGCTCGGCCATAATGGCCGCCCACTTGACGCGCACCTCATCGAGGTGCTTCTGCCTCACCAACCACTTCTGCCGCCACAACGCCGTCTGATACATCATGAACAGATGGCTATCCCCGGGCCACCCCCACCGTCTCACCGTGACATGCTTCCGCTTCCGCTTTCTGTCCTCATTCCCCTCGTCCCCGGAACATCCACTCCCCTCCCCTTGCATGGAGGCGGCCTGCACATCCATCTGCGCCATCTTCCACCTCCACTTCCTCAACTCATGCATCTCCTTCACATCGCGACACAGCGTCAACGCGCCCCGCCGACTCAACCAATGCAAATGCACATGATAGTCGACGTGGTATCGCGCCATCGCGACATCCTTTCCGGGTACGTCGGCCACGTATCTCTGAATTTGGGCCTCGTATGCCGCGCGCTGCGTCGTCGTCATCAGTGACTGGTACCCAGGTCTTCGGCGCGGGGGTGGTCTCGCGTGCGGTGCGATCGGGGTGTTCTCGTCCTCGTCGTCGGGGATGTCTTCTGGGGAGAGGGTAGTGTGTGGCGAGAGCTGGGTTTTGGTGTCGATCTCATTCTCAATATTCTCCTCTGCGCTGGGTGTTGGTGTTGTGTCTGGCGATGACAGTCCAAAAGCACGTAACCCGTTCACTTCTGCGCGGGATAGCCTGAACGGGGGATTCCGTGTCGCCACGTAGATCTGCGATTCGAGATGTCGGTGGTAGGTTGCTCGGGGGATTCTGATGGTGCAGGTCTGGCAGGTGAGGGATTCGGAGAGGGAGGTATTCTATTGTTTTTTTAGATTGGATTGTTAGATTAGGACGGAGGTGGAGATTGAGGTTGTTATTGAGGTCTTGGTTTCGGGGATTGTGCATGGTTATTTTCTGGAGAAGGAGTATGGCAAGGCTGAGGAATGGGGCTGACTTACAAGTTCTTGTTCTCGGGCTTGGTCTTCCGGTGTCATTGTGGTGGGTTCATGGTCCATGTTGGATTGTGGAGGTTGGAGATGTAGTTGATTTGAAGTCGAATGGATAGGCATAGGCATGGGCATGGGTACAGAAGGCTGGATGCTGATACTGATGTTGACGCTGATGCTGATGGCGATGTCTTATTGTGTCCATTCTAGGGTTCGATGGAGGAATCTGGACCGGGAGGTAGCCGAAAGAAAAGAGATCTGAGAAAACGAGAAGAAACCGATTGACGGGGGACAGGTCAATTGATCGGTATCGATCAATTGAGAAAGGGAAAGAAAGTGAAGAAGAATAAAGCAGCCGGTCTAAATGGGTAAAAGTATAAGTATATAGGGTTGCGTTGTATAGCCGATAGTAAAACAAACTAGACTAGACTAGCTAGTGGGAGAAAAGGGGAACGAAAACAAAGAAAGAGAAACAAAAAGTGTAAAAGTGAAAATAGAAGAAAGAAAAGCAAAGACATTATATCGTATTGACTCCTGGCCTTGTTGGTTGCTTTGTCCGTAAGTCAAGAAGGATGAATGAACGGTGTCAAATGACCGGTCCGCACCGTGACCCCGTCACTGGGTTGGGTCTGTAGATCAAAGAATGGGCTGTGACGACATGGCTTTTTCTTATTCTTGATTGTTGGTTTTTGTCTTGAATTTTTGGAGAATGAATTATTGTGAGTTGGTAATGGTTCTGAGGCAATACGACCATTGGGGTTCCCTGTAATTGTGGTGGTGGTGGTGGTCGCTCGCAGTATATAGTTGTGGTTCCTCTTGGGGGTTCACCATTCACTTCTCTGGGATACGAACATTTCACATATTGTATAGAGACATCTGGTGAGTTGGTTTATTGTTTTATATTAGTCTGAGCGTAATAGAAATCTATAATTATTCTCTGGAAGGAAAAAAAAAAAAAAAAAAGAAAAGAAGAAGAAGAAGAAGAAGAAACTGGAACAAAAACCTAGGTGAATCAGTGAATGAGCCCCAGCCTCATACTCTACACAATCCCAAGACATTGTAATGTAGTCAGAGACATCTACACAAACACACAAATTCTAATCTTAGTTCCATCCATCACCCAAATCACCTCAAATCAACCACAACCCAACCCCTTCCACCCGCATCTGTATCTCACGCCTACCAACACAACACCAGCCCAAGATCCGAAACCGAAAACCTCGAAATGGCCTCCCTGGCCTTCCTCGTCCCCCTCTACCCCTCTCTCTGCATCTTCTTCTCCTCATTGCTGATGGCATACCTCTACCGGCGAAATCTTCGACGCGCCTGTCCTCGCTTCTTCGGTACCATCTTCCGGAAGAACCAGACCAACAAACAAGGACGCTATACACGACTGGACGACAGGGAAGTGGAATTAGAATCCGGGCTCGAATCAGAAAATGAGTTTGAAATCCAATCAAAAGACATAGCTTACGACAAGGATGAAGACGGAGAAGATGAAGACGAAGAACCAGCACCATTTCCCGAGTAAGTCAGCCCTAATATATCAATCCTGAGGCACCAACAACCCCATCACCATCCAATAACTAACCAACGACCCAACCATAGATCAACCTCCCAAGAACAACCCCCTCCACTCTCTCCCTTATCTATCTACTTCAACGCCCAAACCACACTCATCCACCCACATCTGCTGTCCCCGGTTGCCCCGCCCACGCCCGGCTGGGAACGGCAGCTTCGGCGACGAATCGACGAGGGGCGCGGTCTAGGCGCTTGGAAGGATCGGCTGGTCGAGAGGACGGTGCGATGGCTACTTTCGTTTTCTTGAACAGGCCTATCTTTTCCCGAGGGGTAGATTTTGTTTTCACCTATGCGGCTAGTTAAGAGGTTGGACCTCTCGTGGAGCGGTGTGACTGACGACTTGACCTGGAACGGAACACAGGCACTGGACCCGGGTCGGGCTTACAGCACCAAGAGAACCAAGAGTCTAAGATAGCGCCATGTTATGACCATCCTGGCTATAATGGCGCCCGGTGGACAGGTCAGATTCATTCATGAGGTCACCGCTCTCGAGGATTCTACGCCCGAAATCTGCACCCTGCAAGCCACTCGGCATGCAAGGATTCGTGGCACCCGCGAAGTTCCTGGGATGGAGCTTCTTATTTCTTCCGGCTTGGAGTGACGGAGTACGGAGTTGGAGGGGCAGGGGGATTTTACTTCTCATGTATTCGTTTATTCGTGATTTCTGTCGTGGAAATAGCATCTGTGTATATCCTGTATGGTTCTACCCAAACAATCCAAAAGAAACGTCCTCTTTCTTTATCTCTGTCCCAACTTCTAGGTAAAATAATCTACGGGGCGCAGTAGCCACCATCAACCACGAGGTCAGCTCCCGTGGTGTAGGTGGAGGCATCCGACGCAAGGTAGAGGTAAGCGCCCTTGAGCTCCTCGGGCTGACCCTCACGGCCCATGGGGATCTTGTCGCGCCAAAGATCCTTAACCTCCTTGGGCACGAAGTTGGAGATCTCCGTCGCGATGTAACCGGGGGAAACGGTGTTGGCGCGAGCGAACTTGACCCACTCGACGGCGAGAGACTTGCCTGCATGGCTGTCAGCATCGATGATGATTCTCCACGGAAAGGGTATAGCGCAATGCAAGAGGGAGAAAAAAGAAGGGCACACATACAGAGGTGGATGACGGCAGATTTAGCCGCGTTGTAGGCCGCCTGCATCTGAGGGAAATTGACGATGTGTCCGCTCATGGAAGCCGTGGCCACGAAGCTGCCGTAGGTGAAATTCGTCAATTTGTTGCCGTTCAGGTCGGTTCCCTCCTCCTTCTGTCGTCTCCAGTGGGCAGCCGCCGCCTTGGCGCAGTAGAAGGTGCCGTTAAAATCGATATCCACGACGCTCGAGTAGTGGTCAAGGGGACCGTCGACCATGGGGCCTTTGGTCCAGGGGATACCGGCGTTGGCGATGAAAACGTCCAAGCGGCCGTTGAAGTCCTTCACGACCTGATCGACGGTCTTCTGCACGGCCTCAGCATTCGTGATGTCAACCTGATAAGCCTTGGCTGTTGTGAGTTAGTGGTCGTTATTTCTCTGAGAAGAAGGATTTTACATTCCATGAACATACTTTGAACACCATACTTGGAGGCAACCTCCTCGGCCCGCTGAGGGCACTTGTCGTTAGTGTTCCACAGCATAGCAACGTTGGCGCCGGCTTCCGCAAGACCCTGGGAAACGGCCAGACCAATCCCGGCACCGGCACCGGTAACAATAGCGGTCTTGCCCTGGAGGGAGAACATCCCCAGGAGGCTAGGGTGCGGGGGAGCAGTGGTGTTGTTATGGACGAAGTGGGCCAACTCGTTAACAGGTTTAGAAGCCATGATGTAAAGCACTTCCAGAAAAAAAGAAGACTTTTAAGAAGAAGATGGTAAGATAGGGGAACAAGTATGTTCTGCAAAGGACGCGGGGGAAGATAAAACAGGAGAGAAGGCAGAAGGGCTAAGGTCGGTCGGCATGCCCTATATATAAGCCTACTAGACAGGCCAGAGAGCCTAGCGAGCTATACAGCTGGCGCATGGCGGGGTCGAGCGAAAGCACCGGCATTAGATGTCTTGGAAGAGGGCAACAAGGTTCAACTTCGCATGTTGACAGCGACTCGACCGCGATGGACTATGACGCTATGCGGCCCCCAGGATTCAAAATGCGGGACGATGGAGTCGTGGAGTCGCGGGCTCCATGATGTAAAGTTAGCACCCGCGGTGGACCGCTCTTCCCCACTCGGGGTGAACTTCGACTTTGTTGACTCCGTCCGGAGTAGTCTGTCTCCAAATGTCCCTACTGAATCGTTATCATTTTCTCCGCCACGACTTGCTTGAAAGTTGAAAACGATTTACTTTTTCGGGAAAGAGGGGAACACCCTGTATTCGGAAGGTGAGTTCTTCCGGCGCCCGTGATCGGAGAGTCCCGTGACTTGCAGGTGGCCTGACGTGGGTGCCGGAGGAGTCAGGCATCCCTGCGTGCCGTTAAAATGAAGTACAGGCCTGAGGGGATCTATGCACTTTGCAGAGACGGCAGCCCAAATGGGTTGGGGGAAACCCTGACATGTACTATGTAGCTGTTGGTCTCGAGGCGACATTGGTAGACCTTTAGACCAAGGTGAGTATAGTCTGGTGGACAGACACAGTTTGCAAAGCCGTTCCATCAATCAACCACCTTCCCTCATATGGAGACGGTTATCGAAGGAAAGCATACCAGAGACTGATTGACATGATTCAATCCTAGCCTTGTCTCACTAGATTGACCGTTCCATACTGGTGAAAATGCTCATCAACCCTAACCATACCCCCGAGCCAGAGCCGTCTTGCTCCCGGCCGGGCAAGTCAACAAATGCACATAGTCCCAATTGATCGCACGACGGCCCCAAACACACTGTTCGAGTGTTTCTTTCTGTCGTTCCGATTCAAAATAAAGACCCCCATGTCCCAACCATATTCTCTAGGGGGAGGGGACCAAGCCGTCGGCAACATTCCTCGCGCCCCCGACTGCAATGCGTCCACATTCCACTACTCACAGTGGATTTCGGCGCCCATAACAAAAGGCTTTCGCCCTGCCTCCGTCGTAGCCAGCCACCCCGTTATGCTCTTTGTCTTTCGCCTCCGCCTCCTATCTCGTGGGCTTGCTTCCTTGTGCTGCTAGGAGGTCTGTCACCCTTCCCCGGCATCAACTTCTGGACTTCCCTAGACAGAAGCAGGGGACATCTTCGACATCGAGGGATACAGCATCAGCCATCAAAAACGGGACCACTTCGACAACAATAATTCGCAGCAAGGAGTGCAGGAGCAGAAGCCATCCCCTGTTAATGGGCTCATCCGCCAGCGTCGCATTGAACCCCGTTGGTCTTCTGGAACCATAAACAGGGAGGTATAAAGGGTTTCAAGGTTTCACAATGCCGGCATTAACCACCGTTGTCGCCATTGCGGTCTCCTGCGGTGTCGTTTTCATCGTGACGACAGTCGTCGGTACCATCGTATGGGTGAGGATTCGCCAGGAACGCATGTCGCTCGCCGTGGCCAACTCCCGACACGGCCCATACGTCCATGGCCTGCAAACCTTCCCTACCGAGACTTTGACGGAGTTGTCGCGCGAAGAAGGCTCCGCACTCAGACAATATGGTCAATTGCCATACGGAAGGCCCAATGAATGGGGTCTATTGGCGTCGAGAGAAAGTTTGGTCCAGTCAACGGCCGACTCTGAAGCTTCGTCTAACTTTATGGAGAAGGCGCGCGGACTGCGGCAATCTCTCTCGCAGTCCCTGCCGTGCTCCCAGTCTGTTCGACGATCAAGGAGTTTTGTACGACCCCGAAGGCTGAGCTCTCTAGCACCACTGAAGGAGACGCTGGAGAAGGATCCGTCCCTTCCGCATGCCAACAGCTCACAGAATGACGACAGGCCGATCTCTGCGGTCGAGGGAGCCTTCGAATTGCCGACAGAAAGGACACCTCGACATACACCGGAACGAGACGACGAGAACCCCTCTAGCGTGGATTCGAACATACGCCACATGTCCGGTCAATGGATCGGAGCGCATCAGAGAGAACGCTCGGGCAGCCTCTTTCCGGTAATGGAAGACAATCTGCAAGGATTTGAGCAAGGGCGGCCACGAGGAGGTAGTATAACCGCTCAGTCGGCTGGGCTTATGCCAGAACATCCAGTCCCTCCGCCTCCCAGTGCTTATCCACCGAATCGATTCCGTCTCTCGAAGAATGACTCGATCGGTCTCTCCTCGCTAAGTCTCGAAACGGCCGACAGCTCGATCCTGGACGACAGCCGCAGAGCCTCTGGGGCGATCGATGGTGATTTCGTCTCACCTGCTCTGCCACCCTGTCCCACGTTCGCGCCGTATAGCGCCAACGACGTCGGACGCATGGAATATGACCGACGAAGCTTCCTTACGTCCAGCTCTATCGTGCCGGCGCCCTTCATTTTCCCTCCCAGTTCCCCGGCGCGAGAAGTCCAGAGAGTAGAACCTGATCGGCACTCTCCTCGCCGTAGTCTGACTGCACGGAGCCCAAGCCACTCATCGGACAGAATGGGCCCAGCACCGCGAAGGAGCGAGTCACTGTCCACCGCCACCAATCAATCCAGAAGAGAATCCATGTATGCGGACCTGGACCTCATTCCTCCCCTGAACACGACGACTCGAAACTCGGCCTTGCTTCCCCATTTCAGCCAGATGCAACGGCATTCTGTTTACAGCAGCCCTCAGCGAGAACAGGATCCATTCATCGCCAGCGCCCACAGTGTGAGCGGGTACATCGGCAATGCAAATGCACCAGGTCGTCGACCGAACAGTTTCTCCATCCAAGAAACTCATTTGCAGACCTCGATCACCCACCCTAGACCCCCTTTGCCATCGGCAATGAAAGGGGGCAGCGGGCCACGGAAAGGCCATCGGCGACAGAACTGTGTGCGCATATCAATTAATCCTCCCATCACCTTTGGGGCACCTACATTCTCGCCCATGGTGGAAGAAGAGGCCGAAGAACCAGACGATGGCGATGGACGCCGATCAGAAGTTTCGGACCTCTCAACCCCTAATATGTCGTTGTTGAATTCTAGCGTTTCCTCCCTGTCGATGAACCGGAACAGTTACCATGGATTCGCAGAGGACCGACCCAAGACGATAGAAGCGCCCGAAAGCCGACCCGTCTCCTCGTACAAAAGTCCGACCAAGAAAAGGAAGCACACTCGCCATGACTCCGCGGACAGCATAATAAGCACCTCGAACAACGGCAAGACGCTTCCTGAGCTCGTGACTTCTTTGCATACTGCCACCGAAATGTCACGTACCCCTTCACCTGACAAACACACGCCAGTCTGGATAGTGCCAGATTATAACGCATCGCCTACAGTCTATGAGAATTCACCCAGCCCCGGTAGTCCTCGTCGGTCAGGGGTTAAGGGCCCTCGCAGCCAGCCTGTGAGGTCAGCTCGCAATAGTTTTCGCGCCATGCCCTTGGAGGAGAATCCTCCCAGTCCGACAGAACGGGTGCCTCGTACACAGAGTATGCGGGAGTCAACCAAACCGACCGAGTCGTTGCAGCGCGCAAAGAGTTGTGCTGTAGAATCGCCATCATCCACGGCAGGTCGAACAACGAATTCGAAGACGGATCGACGGAATAGCCGGTCGTCGATGACACCACAGCAGCAATTGCCTCCTAGCATCAACCAAACGCCCTGGCCACACGGCGGGCGGATTGTTCCTATCTGGGAGGATCGAACCCTAGAGCAACAGCAATCAGCACAAAAGCCCACAGTCTCCTTCGTCAACGAACCTGCAGAGCTACAAGGAGATGTATTGCCAACGCCCAAACGAGACCCTTCCAGGGGAAGACAGACGTCAAGGCCGGCATTCACGACCCCGGTAAAGAAGACGGTGGGGTTGGGGATTGGCGCTGCGACTCCGGGCAGTCTGTATGATGGAGATGGCTTCCTAAAAGAGGGATAATAATGCTGGCTCAGGTAGCCGATGCGAGTTTCTTTAGAATACTGATCAATTTTTAATGTCATGAAAGGGGATCTCGGTTCGTTCAGATACAGGCTCCCTTAAGTTCATTTCTGCGTTCATTCGTCTCTCCCCTTTGACGAGAATCGTTCTTTCTCATTCTGTCCTTTTTTTGTTGCGCAGGCGAATAGTTGTTTTGATATCCGGAGTTCAGATAGGCAGGCGTAGTTAGCATTGAATGAAAACTTGGCCCATCTTCAAGATGATAGGAGCCAACATGTTTGAACAAAACACTTGCGTCCCAATCCATTCTTTTTGAGTCTATCATTACTGTATTATCACATCGCAAAATTGTTTCGTAGTACCGGGTCAACTTCGTCGCTCGTGTCCGAAGATTAATCGGTTCGCCTCCATTTGGTTTCATCATCGCCTTGGCCTTCGCCGTGATTGTCTCCTTCCTGGCCATCATTCTCCTCGTCTCTGGTTCTGATCGTACCTGCTCCGGGGCCCAGAGGCAATGTCGGCTCCTCGCCGCCGGCGATCCAGTTTCCATCTTCGTCGAAGTACTCGTGCATGTTATCGGCGGTAATCCATCCAGAACTGCCATCCATCGGGGGCGGCAAACCTCCGTTTCCGCTGCCCATAGAGACAAGCCCGGACTGGAAGAGCGAGTCATCACCTTCCTCCTCCTCATCTTCCTCCATAGGATCCGGATGCAGGTTCGCGCAGGCAGATACTGCAGCATACAGAGCCTGCGTAGGCGTTTCCTCGGGCTTGTCGTCGCTTTGGGGTTCGGTGGCCGAGTCTGCGTCCGTCGGCGGCACAAGGGTCATAACCATGCTCTCTTCCTCGTCATCTTCCTGGGTCGCAGGTCCCGGGGTCGCGATCTGCATGTAGAGACCCTGGACTTCGGTGTCCGGGGAGCTGGGGAGGCGCAGTCTTTGGATCGCATGCAGGGAGATCGAAGGGTAAGGAATAGAGACACCGGCAGAGAGGGAAGTGTTGTACAGCAGAAATTTACTAGATAGAGGTAAGGTTGTCTCATCTCGCAGATGTTTTCGAAGGGAAGACTTACTCCGACGTCACCCACACGTCTACACCGTCCACGACGATTTCTTTTCCCTCACTCTCACCGTTCGCGCCATTGGGAGCACTGTCGCTGGAGCCGTCCACTTCGGCCGATGGACCTCGGATCGCGCTCAGAGCAGGGGACGCGACCAGATCATTCTCAAGAACGACCAGCTTGCATTGCTTGCTGTGGTAGTGGAGGACGGCGGGACCGGAGTGGAAGGAGGAAGGGGTGCGGGACTGATGTTCGGCGAGGGGAACAAAGGAGGAGGTTTCGGGCGCAGTGCGCAGAGGTTCCATATTTGCGGATAAGTCGAGTTGGCTGAAAGATGGGTTCGTGGTGGTTGAGGTGGAAAGGTGATAATTTTTGCGGGAGGAGCTTTGGCGGAAGCTACTGACAGTGACTGACTGCTCTACCTTAATTGCGGGGGTTCCGCTCGGTCTGGACGCAAAACGCTTGAGGTTCAATGAAGTAGTTTGGGGATTACTACATGCATTATATTCCGGCATTCTTAAGTATCATTAATTGGTATATAATTAGGCTAAATGATAGCTGTACCGCCTCGTTTCTGCTATTTGGATTTGGTGTCGACGGTCGTCACAGTGCGCAGGTGTGTTCAGATCGGCTCGACATTGCGAGGCCGTACATACAACACGGAACTCACCCAGTACTGCCTACCACGAGACCTAGCCAGGCCTTAGGAAGTGTCACGGGATGGAGCCATTCTAGCGCATGAAGCTGCAGGAATTTGCACTTGACAGATCCCTCGCAGGATCGTTCAGATGCTGCATAGTTGCTAAGCCTGGCGAGAAGGTCGAAATAGGCCGTGTGACGTCCAATCACCTTCCATTGCAAGAAGAGCAAGCTGATTCCTCCTCAGCGCGAAGACGAAAGGAGAGTATGAATTCTTTGTGGTATTATGCGCGCCCAGAATAACTCATTTTACATCCAACCCTCCAAAAGCCCGATCCAACTCCGCTCCCTCGTCTCGTGGAACTATGGAGGGTAGCCCCGAGGCTGCGGAATCGGCTGACACGCTGTCCAACAGGCTCTGTTGCTCCGGTTGATTCTGCGACGGGGGGGTCGACATTTTATTTGGCTGAAGTAGCTTCTCGTCTCGGTCTAACCAGCCCGGAGCAACCCGTCTCTTCTCGGCCAATTCACGCTGGGAGATTGACTCCTCCCAGTCCTGGATGGCTTTGTCCGCATCATTGCGGGTCTTGTTGAGATGTTGCTCGAGGGACTTGCAGGAGGCGAGGATCTCGTCCGGAGATGCGGCGTGCTCGCCGCTAGCAGAGACCACGTAGCGGGCTTTTGCGTCCGGATTGGCGGGATCGACTAGTACTGACGGAGGGAGGGTAGAGGGGACAGATTTGTAGGTATAAGGGAGAGTGACGGTGGTGGGGAGGTTGATGAAGGGCGAGACGGTCAAGGGGACCTGCGCTAGTAGAGGATGAGGGCCTACGGAGAGTTAGGATGGCGTAATGGGAGAGGGGGTCACGGTAGACTGACGATATGATTCGTACATGGTGAAGAGTAGCGGAGAGGAGGACAAAAGGTGATGCCTGTTTAAGAGAAAGACAGAGGAGAAAAGAAGTTGCCTGGCGGTAGGCGTAGGTGGGAGTCGTCAGTAATCAGATAGCGATCAGTGGATGGAGAGTAAGAAGTACGGGAGAAGTGCGGGCGACCCGTGGATGCACTGCGGGTGTATTGAAGTAGAACTGATTAATTAATTAGTATTATTAGGTATCTTCTGTTCATCGTTCGTCATCTCCGAATTTCGCTCTCCCCGATTCTCTCGTCCAGCACAACCGCTGCCTATCTAGTATCTACTATCTATACTATCTAGGTCTTCTGTCCACTGGGTACTTTTACTACTTTACTGCTTATTTCGTAGTCATCTTTGCACGCGACCCACGCCCCGATCTTATTTTTTCGGCCTTTTCTCTTTCGGTCACTCCACTTGAAAGAGCCTCCTAAAGGGGGAAATTTTAAATTAAACGTCAACTTATTTCCCTGGAAGACCGGACCAGGGAGCCTGATCTCCGAATCAGGAAAATCCACCATCGCCTCCTTCCTCGATCTTCTTTCCAATCCAACCTTCTTGACTCTGACGTCTGTCTCACTTCTTCGGTTCGCCCGTCTCTCGTGTGTGAATTCCCGCCGCGCTTAACCCCACCACCACAAGCTAGTAGCAGTTGGTCTCCGCGCAAGTCAAGTCCCTCTCTCTCGCTCGCTCACCCATTCGCCCTCCTTATTCCCCCCCTCCCCCCTTTCTCTCCCTCTCTCGCGCTTGTTCCCATCCACACAGGGGCCCCGTGTTCTTGCGATTTTCTTGCAGATCCAAGACCTGAGCCTTCACCCCCCTCAACTCCGCTCAAGATGGATCGGACAATCGCGCGTGCGGTGACGGAGAAGAGGCCGGTCCCGGAGATCGACTTCTCGTTACATACCATGGAAGATGGCACTCAGGTGTCCACCATGGAGCGAGTAGTAAAAGGTACGGGGTAGAGTCGGGCCTTGGCTCTTTTTTTTTTCTAATTTCTTTCGTCGTTTGTTTTCTTCATCGAGTTTTCTAACGCATCTGTGATCTTCTAGAGGTGCAAGCGCCGGCGTTGACCACCCCGTCGGACGAACAGTTCTGGTCCCCCGAAGACCCCTCCAAGCCGAATCTTCAGTTTCTTAAACAGCACTTTTATCGAGAAGGCCGTCTCACGGAGGATCAGGCGCTATGGATTATACAGGCGGGATCGCAGATCCTGCGATCGGAGCCCAACCTTCTGGAGATGGATGCGCCCATCACCGTGTGTGGCGATGTTCACGGCCAATACTATGATTTGATGAAACTCTTCGAGGTTGGCGGCGACCCGTCCGAGACGCGGTATCTCTTTTTAGGCGATTACGTGGACCGAGGCTATTTCAGTATCGAGGTGAGTTTTGTCGGTTCGTGGAAGTTGGGTGGCGGATAGCATCGATCTGACCCCGTGCAGTGTGTGCTTTATCTTTGGGCTTTGAAGATCTGGTACCCGAACAGCCTGTGGTTGCTGCGGGGCAACCACGAGTGCAGACATTTGACCGACTACTTCACCTTCAAACTGGAGTGCAAACATAAATATAGCGACCGTATCTACGAAGCCTGCATCGATTCGTTTTGCTCCCTGCCGCTGGCCGCGGTCATGAACAAGCAATTCCTCTGTATTCACGGAGGGTTGAGTCCCGAGCTACACACCCTGGAAGATATCAAGGCGGTTGGTGGACTCAAAACCTGTGTTGTATTCCCCTTCCTGATCGTTGACTAACTTGTATGCCAGATCGACCGCTTCAGAGAACCCCCGACTCACGGACTGATGTGCGACATCCTTTGGGCTGACCCTCTCGAAGAATTCGGACAAGAGAAAACCGGTGATTACTTCGTCCATAACAGTGTCCGGGGCTGCTCCTACTTCTTCTCCTACCCCGCCGCTTGCGCATTCCTGGAAAAGAACAATCTGCTTTCCATCATCCGAGCCCACGAGGCGCAAGATGCCGGGTACCGCATGTACCGAAAGACGAGAACGACCGGCTTCCCCAGTGTGATGACGATTTTCAGCGCTCCGAACTACCTGGATGTGTACAACAACAAGGCCGCCGTCCTGAAATACGAGAACAACGTGATGAACATTCGTCAATTCAACTGTACTCCCCACCCGTACTGGCTGCCGAACTTCATGGACGTGTTCACCTGGTCGCTTCCCTTCGTCGGAGAGAAGATCACCGACATGCTCATGGCCATCCTCAACACCTGCTCCAAAGAGGAACTCGAAGACGACACGCCTACATCTGCCACCGGTCCCTCTTCGCCTCCTCTTCCCATGGACACGGAGAGCAGCGAGTTCAAGCGTCGGGCCATCAAGAACAAGATTCTTGCCATCGGTCGCATATCTCGTGTCTTCCAGGTGTTGCGAGAAGAATCAGAGCGAGTCACAGAACTCAAGACCGCGGCTGGAGGTCGTCTTCCGGCGGGTACTCTGATGCTTGGAGCCGAGGGTATCAAACAAGCCATCACCAACTTCGAGGACGCCCGTAAGGTCGACTTGCAGAACGAACGCTTGCCTCCGAGCTCCGAGGAGGTGTACAAGCGCAGTGAGGAGGAGAGGAATGCTGCGTTTGAGCGTGCTCAGCGCGAGGCCGACAACGACGCCGGACTCGCCACCGTGGCTAGGCGGATCAGCATGTGAGTATCCGTAAGACCGATTCAAGGAAAGGAAGAATGAATGCTAACGGATGACAGGTCGGCTGGTTCTGGTAGAAGCCGTCGGCATCGTGATGCTGCCAAGGAGGGCCGAGAAGCATAAATTAATAAAGATAGTGGCACCGAAGAACTCCGCCTCAAGTTTGCATCTTTCTAGCGTTCGAATTTTAGCTTCTCGACGTATCTTCACCTCCGAATTTTGGAATGCGATCTTACTCTACAGCTGTACAGAGAGCCGAAACCCAGCAGCCATATTGACCAATCCCCTCTGCGGCCACGCATTGTGGTGAATCGGGAAGGGGTAACACTGTATTGAGTATTGAGGATAGGAACCAGGGAGGCTATCGCTGTATTTGCCGCACAAAAGGCGTCTGTGACGCCTGGACTACATGAGATGACGAATCGATACACCATGAAATATCTTGATATATTGAAAGTTTCTTTACCAGACGAAATCCTATGCCAATATATGACATGCACGATTGCCCGTAGCTATGAATTGTTATCTATCTATCTAGTTATACATACCCATACCCTATCGAACGAGCTCTATTCTACTCCGTATGGCACCGAGTATAGTTGGGAAATACCTCCGGCTCCACGCGCAATTCCGCAGTAACCAACGCCAAGACCCGTCGCCGACTTCTCCGCCCTGCAATGATCAAATCGCCTAAACTCCTTCATCTGTCTCCCACCACCTCCCTCTCACAACCTGTCGCCAATGCCTCCCAAATTGCGCGGCTCCTTACAAAGGAGCCTACGGCGTGTCCAGAATAGCGCATCGGACCTCCCCTGCCCGTCCTGCGCAACCTTTCGACGAGCGCTCTCTACGCGTCGGTCCGCCAACATCTCCGACGGAAATCGCCAGTCCTCATCGTGGGCAGCGTCACCTCGCCCATCCACCACTTCCTCGGTGATCCATTCCGGCAGACAGGTGCCACCGCGGTTGAGGGAGCTGTACGAGGCTCTGGGCCAGGTGCAAAATGTTGCGACGGAACAGGTCAACCTGAGTCGATTGCAACTTGCGTTGCGGGGGTTAGAGTCGGAGGTGCCTCTTATTCGAGTAGCTGGTGGGTCTCTTTCTCTTTCGCTCCTGCAATCGATTACTTGCCTGGAGGATGGAGCTCATTCGTTCTTCTAGTGCTGGGCCTGGATGATGTCAACTCTGCGCGCCGGCTCGTTCGCCTGTTACTGGCCGATCCGCTGACTCCTCGAGAGACCTGGGAGGATGCGCTTGATGCCTACGAAGCAGATACATCGCGAGGACTACTGATTCGGTATGTACCTCTATTCATTCATCTTACAACATGCACGGCATGGTGCTGACGAGTGACAGATATGGCGACGTATCAGAGTCGATCCCGAATAACCTCCTCCCCACCATATCGGTCCCCTCCTCGATTCTCAAGAAAGGCAACCTGGAAATCCTGGTCTCGAGCCTCGGCGCGGACACAGAAATGCCCGGGGCCCATTTCACGGCGGAAACGTTCTTGGTGCCCACGGTTACCATCCAGACCTCGCATTCCGGTCGCCATAACGTGGTGCGATATCCGGTGCACCGGGCCATCGTGTGTGGCCGCGGCGTGGACGGCCTACTTGCGTACAGTAATCTGGTCGCTCGATCAGACCTGAAAAAGGAGACCGAGTCGGTTTACGGCGCCATCGAGCTGGCAGCCAGCGATCCCGAAAAGCACAATGACCGCATCGCCTTTGTGGACATCGACCTGGCAGATGAAGCCCTGGCCAAGCTCCGCGAGTCCGTACAGAACGCCTCGCTTTATGAGCGCGGCTGGAACGGTAGCGGAGTTCAGCCGGTCGTAGACTGGCTGGCGTCATTGCGCGCCGATAAAGATATTCTCGACCCCTCGTTGAGGTCGCTGATCACATCGCTTGTCGATGCCGCAGAGACGGGCGTGGATGCAGAACAAGCGAAACGGGCCCAGGAGCAGCAAGAAGGGTCGGTCTCTGACCTGGTGCGAGGGACAATGGATCGGTCGGTGACCGAGTGGGCGGAGAAAGCCCACTCCGAGCTACGGAGTTCGCTGGAAGAGGGATTTGCCAGCAAGCAGTGGAAAGACCTTGCGTGGTGGAAGCTCTTCTGGCATGTTGACGACGTCGGCATGATCACGTCTGAGATCCTGGAGAAGAAGTACCTGCGTCGTGCAGAGAAGGAGGTCATCTGGGCCGCGGGTAAATTCCAACAGGCCGGCCTGCTGGACGAATCCCTGTTAGAACCCAAGCAGATCGCTGCACCCCAAGCAGACACAGAAAGACCAAAGGATGAAGCTTCTGCCAATGCAGTCGACTCGCAGTCTGCTCCCACGAATGACGTGCCGTGGCCAACGCAGATTCCAACCAGCCGGAACCAGCTGCTGGAGACTAAAGTGCCCTCTCTGCAAGCGATGGCCCAGGGACTCGTGGCTTTCAGCATCACCACCACGTCGCTGAGCTCGGTCCTCTCCGCTCTGACATACATCTCCTTCCCGTCTACGTCGGTTTACGAAACCTGCACCATGGCGGCAGTGGGATTGATCTACTCTCTCCGACGACAGCAGCGCAAATGGGACTCTGCGCGAGAATTCTGGGAGAACGAAGTGCGCGAGGACGGTCGCACCGCGCTGATAGAGACAGAGGAGCAGCTCCGCACCATAGTACACGAAGGTGGACGACGCGTCGACCAAGCGTCCGAGACCCATGCCAGAGAAACCGTCGAGCGGGCGAAGAAAGCGCTCGAGGATGTGAAATAACCAAACTCCCATAGATGTATGAGCGTTAGATCAATGCCCATGTGTAAACTGTACAATATACCACATCATCATCATAACCAGATCGATCCTGTCCCATCAATCAATTAATCTCCACACTCCCCTCCGGCACACCCTGCCAGCTTCTCAACCGTCTCGCAAAGAACTGCATCACGGGCATCATCTCGTCGCGATTCCTCGGCATGCCATCATCCCTGCGCGCATACCGCTGCACCTCCACAAACTCAAACACCTGTTTCGTCCTGCGCACCGCCCCGTCCGTCACAGCCGCCGACTCCCTCCCAGCGACCAACAACACCGGCGTCCGATTCTTCGCGCCCACCGTACTCCCCGAGAGCGGATACGGCGCCCCAATCGCAACCACCCCCGCCAACTCCGCCTCCCCCTGGTTTCTCTTCGCAAACTCCCTCGCCCCAAGCAGGCCCAGCATTCCGCCCTGCCCGAACCCCAACACCAGGATCTCGCGCGCCCGGTACCCGCATTTCCCCAGCAGCGTGTCCCGCAACACCTCGGTCACCAGGACGTTCGTGGCCCCCGCGAACCCGGCGTCCATGTCCAGCCCCCCTGTGCTCGTGTCGAACGAGATGTCATCGCCCCAGTGGAAGCCTGGTAGGTCGAGCGGCAGGCGGTTCGGGGCTTGGAGCGTCACGATGAGGGTTTCGGGGAGGTTGAGGGCGCGCGCGAAGGAGGTGAATGCGGGGGCGGAGTCACCGAGGCCATGTAGGAGGATTAGGACGTTGGGGGGTGGTCGCGTTGCGGAGGATGAGGAGGGAGGGGGAGGAGGGGTGAGGGTTATAGTGAGGTGCGAGGGGAAGTCGGATTGCGTGGGGGTTTTGGTGGGCATTGTAGATGTTGTTGTAGGAGCATCGATCGAGCGGGGTAGGTATGTAGTAGTAAGATGGAAAAAGAAGGTTATTGAAGGAAAGTGTTTGAAATCAACCGAGTATCTATCTTCTCTCTCGTTGAGGGAGCTGTTCAGTGACGATTTTCATAAATTTGACGATGACGGAATTCAAAGGCGGATGCCTTCCTATTTGGGTTAGATCGCTCCCAGCTGCCTCCATGTAATACGGGGAATTGCATAGCATCCTATCCCGATTCTATGCTCCTGCCATGGAGATAATCAAGGGAATCGCTTTACCGTTTTTATTGAGATGCTACCGGTAGGAGAGAGACACTCCAACTTGTGGGCACTAAAATCGCGGACAGATGATCCGGCATCACGACTAGCATTTCGTGTTTGCTTTGAGCTATTTAATAGACAAAAGAAGCACGTTTATTCTAATACTATACCAAAGGAAGAAGCTCCCAAAAGAGCAAACTCCTTTATCGATTGATCACAGGGTCATCTCGAGCAGGATATCGCCCAACGACCAAGACGTTTTGCTTACTTTCACAAATATATTCTCAGCAATGTCCCTCAAAGCATCAAGCGCCACCTAGGAGAGAATGGTGGCACTTTATACACAGACGACGATGGAGACATAATCCCGCCCAAGGACGACGATGGACTAGCCAAGAAGAAACAAAAGTTGAGTTCAGAAGATTGAGGATGACAGACAAAGAATGAAGCAAATCTGCTCATTATCTCACTTCTAACCGACTGACATGTATCTAGCTTATCTTCCCAGAGTCACCACGAAGACATATATTGTATGCACTTCAATCAGACCCTCCAAGCTATCTTGCCCAACATCCTGAGCAACTCTGCTACATGGAGGTCTCTGTGGTCTCCGAGCAGACAATTGCCTCGAGTGAACAACTCCTCAACTTCGTTATATGGCAATGCTGGCCATGATTCCCAATTTTCTACTAGTCCATCGGAGGGGTTCATAGATTCGTCAATACTCGAACTGGACCACAAACAGGTTTAGCTACATATAGATACCGCAGCAACGTATTAGCATCGCATCCGCATATTTGGTCCAGACTATGATGCGTACGGAAGCTGACGGTTGAAGCAGACCTATTCTCTAGCGCTTCTGGCAGTTATCAGGACAACCAGTCGTGTTGATGATGGTCCAAGATGCATGAACAATAGTATCAACACATTCAGAGACCAATGCATCACCGCGTGGTTGGTATATTAACTATGGCATTTTCATGGCGTTATGTGCCACCATCACACTGGATGAACTATGGGCGTTCTCGAGATTTGTCCTGGACACATCTCAATGACGCTGTACGCATTACCGCGTACATAAGGTCGGTGTTGAAGCAGGATACGGCTGCGAGCTTCCGATGGTTAAGGTTGCACAAGGGGACTGCAGGCTAATGCATCCCTATGAAGATGTACAATGACATAGGGATACATCGAGAGAAGATAAAGCTGCACATACGCCATCAAGGGGTTAAAGAGAGCAGGAAGGTTGGGTCACGGGCGTCTCTCTCTCGACGATGCCTTTGTTTGAATCTACCAGCTACCTGCTCCGCATATTACGTAGGGAGTCCGGAATCTACCCGGTGCCCGTTGGATGTATATTGCGCCCGAAGCCTCCAGGTTTGGGCCAATGTCGCATAGGAAGGATGGATCCGTGACGAGGCAATGCGATGCACCCCCTTGATCCCCACAAAGATATACATAGAAATGCTATGTCATAAATGCCTCCTTTACTCCGTCGATCTAACCCAAGTGGGTAGAAAGAAGGGACGGGAATGCAGAGGGTTACTCGATCTGTCAGACTCAGATATCCACCCTCGGACCTTACAGCATGCAGATTACAGATGGAGGACGGCAGGAGTCGAGTACTACTCTACTACGGAGTACTCTAGGGACTGCTCCACCGCAGCTTCAGCCACACATCGCCTCCCCGAGAAGGGAAAATGGCTGCCTGAAGGGTGCTCACCGCCACTAGGTACCACTTACGGTGTAGTAACTAGTAAGGTACCTTCTGGACATGATTATGATTATTGTAGGTTGACTTTCTCCGACTTTCTTCGGTCCTCGCGGCGGGGGTTTCAGGGGCCCAGAGCCAAACAAATCCGATGTCGCTCTCCACTTGGTGACCCAAAATAGGATCGGGATAAACATTGGCCCAAGGAAATGAAACAGATCCCCTCCAGGACCAGAGTGACTCTGACTGCGTCCTCAGCGTTCCAAAGTACGCTCTGACTCTCCTGACTACCATGACGGATTCTCATCCAGGGCTGATTCCTGCGTCCGACCTCTCATACGCCCTCAAATGCGCATGAGATTCGCATGAAGTGACCGTAGGGCTATAGGGCGGTAGACAAGCCTTGGACAAGAGAAGCTTGGCGACCAAGTGGCTCGGTTGAGTCGGCTCGTCCACACCACAATTGTGGCTAGTCTACTCACTGCTGCGCCGTGTTTATCCACCGGGCGAAATGGAGTAAGGCTGAGGGCCCCATTCGTCTATCGGCGGATCCCAGCGGATCAGCTTGATTATTATGGGATTATGGGACACGTACGTCCGATCAGCGCCCACCCTTTCGAGCCAATTATTAAGGCGATTCTTGAAAACTATTACACAATACGGCGCATACAGACCGATCATCTGAGCTCATTTCCCGGGACCTTTACTCTGTTTCCTTTACGACGAGACCGCCATGGGCATCCACGGACGTCTTTAATTGCCCGTCAAATGTGTTGATGCATCCTCGGTTTCAAGCCCCCCCTTCCCCTCTGTCCCCCTCGTCTCGTGGCGGTGATAACGCGTACTCGAACCAAACGAAGCGAGTGGTCGGCCGATAAAGCTAATCCTCCTGAGGCTTTGCCTCATCGGTGATTCCGTGACTGGAGACTCATCTCCGTTTCCAAACCCTCCCAATCGGCGATCACTCTTGCGAAGGTATCCCGTCTGTCCGGGGCTACTTTGAGTAACGTGGCAGTCTCCAAATGACGATGGCCACTCGATCTGCTTTTCCGACGATCCACTCGTAGAGTCGGTGGGCATAAGCTAGCACCGCAGTTGGTTACCCAGGAGGTCCTGGGAGACCACCAAATTAGTAGACGGTGGGGCCAAGAGAAGCGTATGGAGGGGCAGCGATAGCTTGAGGGACCTGAGGTTGAGCACCCCTCCTCTCGGGACTTGAGGATATAATGAGCCTCTCCTCCCCTCTTCTCGAAGTCTTCTCCATCATCAACAACTTTCACACTCCTCACAACTCCATCCTCTCTCTGTCTCTCTCTCTTCACTCCTCTTTTTATAACCCCTTTTTCCAAAACTCTCACATATCATTCATCATGGCTTGGGGCTGGGGTATGTTTTTTGCTTTCTCCTTCCCTATCCATCGTGCCGTTCATCACGAGACCTTTCGGTCCCTGGGCGTGCCTCACTGCTCGTATCAAGTCGAAGGCTGGTCGAGAATAGAATGAAGTTCAATAGCTGACCAGTAGTTTCGTGCAGGCGAATCCGAGAACGCTCACCGTGACGTCCAGGAGGGCCGCCACGAGAGCCACTTTTCTCACGAGCTCATCGCCGGTGCCGCGTCTTTCGCCGGCATGAAGGCCTGGGAGGACCACCAGCGCAAGGAAGGTATGTGCTTTGCCTTGGGAAATATATGCTTCCATCCCCGACCCCGAACCCAAACTCAAAACCAAAAGAACCCGGTCCCTCTGACATATTCCCCTCTCCCCGATAGGCAAGCCCGTCAGCCACGCGTTCGCCAAGGAGGCCCTCGCCGGCATTGTTGGCGCCGAGGTCGACAAGCTCGCCGAGACCAAGGGCTTGGACCAGGTCGACCGCATCAAGGCTCACGAGCACGCCAAGAAGAATGCTCACCAGATGTACGACGAGCACTACGTGCAGGGCCAGAGTGCTGATCAGTACGACCCTTCGCGCTACGAGCGCCACGAAGCCTTCAGCCGCTGGTAAACTATGTCATTGAATGACCGAGTTGGGCTGGTATGCTGGGATGGGGGCTTGAGATATGCAATGTGATGACGACTGTATACATTTTCCAATATTGAATATTGAATCGTGAATTGAAATGGAATTGAGTTCACAAACACAAATGTGACGTGATATTGGTTTTAGCATGAACCTTGTATGGAGTGTTCCGTAGATAGTGTGTGGACTGGATGGCAATCGAAGATGATTATCGGGAACCCCTGCATCCATGCACATGTGGCCTTAGGCAGTCCAGGGTGTACAGGGATGGGGAAGGAGAAGGGATGTGAAATAACGAATCCTGATTACCGATTCGGTCGGTAATGAACCATCTCTAGGTAGACCGACAAGTGCCTCGTCAGGCCAAATTCAAAACAGCTCCGACCGGGGAGATACTTGAGATACTTAGGATACCTTGAGTCTTGGCAAACACCGCCTAGTGCTCAGTTATGTGAGAGGTCCCAAAATCACGGACATTCAGGATGATCCGTGACGGGAATCCAGCCCTGCTGCACGTACGGAGTTGATAGGTACAGGGATCTTGTATCAAGAAGAGTCGGATCTGGTACCGATGCAGCTGGGGAGATTCCGAGATACAGCCGGTAAGGTAGGGCTGAGCCTGAAGGAGACAAACTCTTGAATCCCGCTCAGAATGGGCTTCTCCCGCGCCCGCCACCGACCGACCGCCAAGCCCGCTAGTCCCGGACCAGAGAGAAAGTCCGGCATGCCAACCAGTCAAGGCAACAAGGCAGCGAGAACGTGCAAATGAGCGTCGGGCGTGCAGCACGTGCCTGGTCCGGCCCAATCAAGGACTCTTCCGGGAGGGGCGCTATTGGCTCGATAGATCCGACTTGCCCTTGCCTAAGTAACTGGTACCTCTGGGTGAGTACGCAGCACCGCAGGAAGGGAAGTACCTTTTACCTACCTATTGATTGCATCCTGGATCGACGGGTCTGACACCGATCGATGATGACTCGCCTACTTGGGCACTCCTGTTAATTGACTTTTTGCTCTGTCACTCTCACTTACCGGAGAGGGGCAGCTCATTTCATTTTCTTTTTCAGTTCTTTTTTTCGATCGATGATGACTCGCCTACTTGGGCACTCCTGTTAATTGACTTTTTGCTCTGTCACTCTCACTTACCGGAGAGGGGCAGCTCATTTCATTTTCTTTTTCAGTTCTTTTTTTTTGTGTAAATTCCACTTTCTTATTTGATTTTTCATTTTCTTTTTTCTTGGCTTCTTCTTCTTCTTTTTTTTTTTATTTTTATTTTTTTTATCTTCCTGCGTCTTGGGTACCAGATGTTCCCAGACTCCACCCTCTCCGGCTGTCTGCTGCTCGGCGGTTATAACTAGAGGAGCAGCAACAGCTTAGACTCGATCCCGTTCCAGACTCATAGAGAAAGAATCCCTAAAACAAAGCAAGACTTCTTCTGTCGCTCGTTTAGACCCTCCGACCGCCCGGAGTCATTAATTGGGAGGGGGTTTCGTTTTTGGACCTATACCCTCGTGGCCGCCACTTTTGTTCTCCTTACTATCATGCCCGCTCACATTCCCTGCGCAGGATGAAATTCGCCAAGTCAGTCACGCCCAATTGTCGCCGCCAGGTTTCACCGTGTGCATGAGGGCTAATTTTTGGAAATTCTACAGAGAATTGGAACAGGAGCTAGTTCCAGAATGGCGTGCCAAGTACCTGGATTATAAGGTCAGTCTGTCTGCGTTCACTGCACTCACTCACCCTCGTCTCGTCTCGTATCGTCTCGTCTCTCTATATACTCCGTCCGGTTGCTGGAGGAGTCCTGTTATCCCTTCCACGTTGGCTAACCCTCGAATCCCATTACTTCCCGTGATCACAGGCAGGGAAAAAGAAACTCAAGGCCATCACGCGGGCCATCCAGAAATCCAATCGAAATCCGAGCTATCCGTCCCTTCGCCGTGCCACCATCGGTCACGATGATCCGTCGTTCGCTTCACCCTCCGGCCCCGATCGCGCTGCCTCCGATCGAAGAACCGATGCCACCGACTCGATCCATAACCCTTCGACTCCAGCCCGAAGTGGCGCGCTCCCTACCCCCCGTCCTCGAAACGAGCGCCAACCGCTGCGAAACCCGGGCTCCCGCTTCTCTGCGGCCGTGGGAAGCTATGGAAGTATAATTGCGACGCCACCACACCACCCTGGCTCGTCCGATGTGGCGTCTCTCGAGCTGCCGGACCCGGCGCTCGACCCCAAAGAACACGAGTTCATGTCCGAGGGTGAGGACCGCCACCTGCACGCCCTCCGGTCGCCGTCCCCCGTTATGTCCCGGCATGCCAGCACGCGGACGGTGCCCACGGAAGCCTCCAACGCCAGCCCCTTGGCGAGGCAGTCCACCGCCGGAAAGGGCCGCAGGAGAAACACGGTATCGAGTCCGTCGGCCAAGAGGACATCCCAGCTGCTCAAGCGTGTCTTCTCGCAACCCGATGCGGACTCGCCGGAGAAGCGGGCCCAGGAAACCCAGCAGCAGTCGGAGATTGAACGCCGACAGGACGAATTCTTTGCCTTTCTGGACGATGAGTTCGACAAGATCGAGTCTTTCTATCAGATGAAAGAGAAGGAGGCCACCCAGCGGCTGCACGTCCTCCGCGAGCAGCTCCATGTCATGCGGGACCAGCGCATCCAGGAGGTCCTGGGCACGAAGTCATCCCGGGCACCGGACGGCGACACGGGTCCGTCCAACGGATTCGCTGGCCTTAACGGCTCTCGATTAAAGGACGCGTTCACCGGGCGTCGGATCGGGAAGAACTCCAAGGCGTTGGCGGAGATGGCGACCCCCGGGCTGCAAGCGCAAGATCAAAACGTCGCCCAAGGCCGCAGGGACTTCAGTCGCCGGCCAGATGACCAGTCGAACCTGGAGGTTCCGTATCGCGTTGCGAAGAGGAAGTTGAAGTATGCGCTGCAGGAATTTTACCGCGGCATCGAGCTGCTGAAGGCATATGCCTACCTGAATAGAACCGCTTTCCGCAAGATCAACAAGAAGTACGACAAGGTTGCCCACGCCCGTCCGACGATGCGGTATATGTCGGAGAAGGTCAACAAGGCGTGGTTTGTGCAGAGCGAGGTGATTGAGAATCTGATGTCAGCAACCGAAGATTTATATGCGCGGTACTTTGAACGCGGCAACCGTAAGCTGGCCGCGTCAAAGCTTCGTCATACGGTCTCGAAATCCGGGGACTATTCGCCGAATACCTTCTGCTCCGGCATTTTGCTGATGGCGGGCATTCTGTTCGCCATTCAGTCCTTGGTGTATGCTGCTCAGCATCTCCATCATTCCGACCCTGACGTGCAGGTGCATACTAGCTATCTGATGCAGGTGAGTTGCATTTGCTCCTGCAGGAAATTCTCCTACCGTCCCTTGGCTAATCGATTCGACAGATATATGGCGGCTATTTCCTGGTCGTTTTCCACTTTTTACTCTTTTGTGTAGATTGCTTCGTCTGGACAAAGACCAAGATCAATTATGTTTTCGTTTTTGAATATGACACTAGACACGCCTTGGATTGGCGTCAATTATCGGAGGTATGGCCGTACCGTTTCTCTTTGGTGTCTCGATCGCGTCTAACTCTGCTTCAGTTACCTTGCTTTTTCATGTTTATACTGGGATTGTTTATGTGGTTAAACTTTCTGTCGGTCAACGCCATGTATGTGTACTGGCCCGTCGTGCTGGTAGCTGTGACGGTGATCGTGCTTTTTCTGCCCGCCCGCGTATTGTATCATCGAAGTCGAAAGTGGTGGGCATATTCTAATGTTCGTCATGGCCCTTCCACCCTGCCTGGTGAGAGAGTGCGGCTAATGAAATCAGTGGCGTCTCGCCCTCGCGGGGTTCTATCCTGTCGAGTTCCGAGACTTCTTCCTCGGAGACATGTACTGCTCTCAAACATATGCCATGGGCGTAAGTTGATCAACTATAAGTTTGAGGATCATTGGCTCACACATCCTAGAACATTTCGCTCTTTTTCTGTCTATACGCCAAACATTGGACGAATGCCTCGCAGTGCAATTCTTCCCATTCTAGACTATTAGGGTTCTTCACCACCATTCCATCCATATTGCGAGCTCTGCAATGCATCCGTCGTTATGCGGATACGAAAAACGTCTTCCCGCACCTGCTGAATTTCGGCAAATACATGTTCGGCGTGCTCTACTACGCTACTCTGAGCATGTACCGCATTGACAAAATCACTCGGTTTGAGGCTCCATTCATCACATTCGCCCTGTTGAACGCGGTGTACACCTCCGTGTGGGATCTCGCCATGGACTGGAGTCTGGGCAACCCGTACGCCAAGCACCCACTTCTCCGCGACGCTCTGGCGTTCCGGAAAGCGTGGGTGTACTACGCCGCCATGGCGATCGATGTGATTGTGCGGTTCAATTGGATCTTCTACGCTATCTTCGCCGGGGACATACAGCACTCGGCGGTCCTGAGCTTCGCCGTTTCCTTCTCCGAAATCTGCCGACGAGGTGTCTGGACCATTTTCCGTGTGGAGAACGAACATTGCACCAACGTTCTGCTCTTCCGAGCCTCGAGGGACGTGCCCCTGCCCTACGAGCTAGCCTCTCCGCAGGCCGAAGCCGACCAAACCGCGGATATGCCACTGCATGAAACGGACACCTCCACGGCCCAGTCTGCCCCCGCGGATGTCGAGCACGGCACTCCATCGACGCCCGGGGCCTCGATGCGCGCGCGTGGCATTTCGCGCGTCGGAACCATCCTGGCGTCGGCGCACGCCCAGGACTTCGAGCGCAGAAAGCGTCCAGATCAGTTGGCTGTTGCGAGCGTGCCGCGCGGGGCCGGGGAGATCGGAGATGACTCTAGTGACGACGATGACTATCCTGCGGACTCGAGGCCTTATACACACGCGAATGATGTGATAGATGAGGAGGGGCCGTCGCGCGGGTCCCCCAGAACATCTTCAGAGAGAGGTTAGATTTGATATTTTTGGTTGATCTATTGGGAGGGAGAGATTTCGGGACATGAGCATACATTTGGATAACTTACTTGCGAGTACATATTTTGGGGGCTTAGAATAAATACTATAATTGAGCTAGAACCTAGACAAACATTGAATCTACAGCTGCTGTTCTCCTTCCCTACCAAGTAAGAACAACCTATTGAATACGACGCGGATGCCTGAAATACTAGGCCCCCACAAACGTAATGACCATCATGTGATCTCACCCGACGTCACGTTTCTAGAAGCGCCTCGCATCACGCCTTCTCCATCCCCTGACCGATTTATCTTCCTCTCATCGCCCAAACCCGTGAGTGACTCGACGCAGACTCAAATTCTACATCCGCGTTCACAAAACGCGCAGTGTACACCCAGCAGAATGGCTGCGAATACTAGATACGAGCAAGCTCCTCAGCGGGACTCCTTTGAGGAGCGGGCATACTCTCAGCCCCCGCCTTCTTATCAGGCAACCGACGACTATTCGCAACCGCAACCTCGTAGCGAGGATGATAATGTTCCCGATGATTTCAAGGTGGGTGGATTCTTCTGTTCATGGCTCTGGGGATGGCCTGCTCGGTTATGGATGAGATGTGCTGACTTGGATGTATAGTTCGGAGGGATGGTGGCGGAGGGTACCTTGCCCATCCGGATGCAGTTTATTCGGAAGGTTTATGCGATTCTGTAAGTGCATTGCTTCCCAGCTTCACACACACTCACCCCGGTGGTCCTAGCCACTATATCCTATATCAGATAACTAACGCGGATGCCTTGAATCCAGAACCGCCCAACTCCTCCTGACGACAATCATGAGCTCGATCTCCTTCTTCAGCGACAGCTACCGCACCTGGATCCAATCCCACAGCTGGCTAATGTTCCTCTCCGTCTTCGGCGCCATCGGCTTCATGCTGGTCACCTTCTGGAAGCGCAAAAGCTACCCCGCGAACCTTCTCTTCCTGACGGGCTTCACGGTATTCGAAGCCTACTCCGTCAGCGTGGTGACCTCGTTCTACGACGCCCGGATCGTCGTACAAGCGCTCATCCTCACGCTCGGCATCTTCGTCGCCCTGACGCTCTTCGCATGCCAGACTAAATACGACTTCACGAGCTGGATCCCCTATCTGTTCGGCGGCCTGCTGTTCCTGTTCATGTTCGGCCTCGTCGCGATGCTGATGCCCAGCAAGACCAGCGAGCTCATCTATAGTGGGTTGGCGGCGTTGCTGTTCTCGGCGTATATCCTCGTCGATACGCAGATGGTGATGCGCCATTATCATGTCGAGGAGGAGATTGCGGCTTCGATCTCCTTGTATCTGGATATCTTGAACTTGTTTCTGGCTATCCTGCGGATCTTGAATAATCAGCAGAATAACTAGATTTATGGGATGGATGGTTGCTGATTGCTGATTGCTGATGACAGGGAAGATGGGATGGAAATTGTGTGCTTGGGTGGAATCATTTTCGATGTCCTATCTTATCGTGAAAGGAACCAACTATATCAAGACAAGAACATCGGCCCTCATCAACCCGGAAAGCAGGGTAGGCAGGGGACTCGTCGGTATGGTACTCCACTCGACATACGAGACTCCCCAAGAAACCCTGATCGATTGATATTCTACACACCGGAGGTGTTCTGATAACCAACCTTGCTTTTATGTTGATCTTATTATCATCAATTTTCCTTATCATTTCCCTCTCTTACTATCACTCTTTCCTGAGTTGGCTGTTTTATTCTCTTTCGTGGTCTTTTCCATCTTTCATCGTCGTGTTCCTCTGTTTCCTGGAGTTTAAATTACGATCGTGGCTATCATTTAACTTTGACCTCATGTCACGCGTGGAATTCGTGAACTTAATTCTAATTAATCCAAATCGTTAAACTCCCGGACATTCCTGTTAAGAGATTCAATCCAAAGAAAGAAATCGAACGAAAAGTATCTATTCAATAAACAGCGCATTATAATATAGAAGGCTCCAACACCTAAACTAAACATGAGAACAAAAAGAAATAAAAAAAAAAGGGGGGGGGGCGGGAAACCAACATGATCGAGATAACCGATATCATAAAGCTGAAGTAGACCAAGAAAGACTAGAAAAGAGAATGGTTTATGCCAAAGTGGTAGTGCAAAGATGAAAGGAAATGAATAAGGAATGGGGGTAAAGTGGAAAGATAGCAAATAATCAGATAAGAGTTCCCCCAACGCCAGTACAATGGTATAGAGGTATTTCAAAAATCTCAAATGCTCTGATCGTAACAATAGAAGTGTCTTCCGTCTAAAAAAGTGAGTTGTATGGGAAATGATAAGTTGATGATAAATAGGAAAGGAAGTGTAGACAGTGGGTGTCTACCGGATTAGTTAAGGTGGGTGAGATAAGGGAAATCTCTGGGAGTCTATGTCCGATATATAAAGTTTAGATTCCGAGGCGATTTAATGCGAAGCGATGAAGAGGGAATTGGTGATCAAGCACACAATCATGACGACAAAGCCATAGAGGGCGAGGGCAAGACTGAGTTTCCGCAGCAAGGACCGGCGCCAGTGGCGAATGCCAAGTCGGAGGATACCGCTGTCGGAGAGTGGATGACTATGAGCGCCGGTGTCGTCATTGTCGCTATCGCCGTCGTCGGAGAAAATGCCTTCTGCGGCCTCGTCATCTTCCTTCATTAGACGTTGGTGGGTGGGTGAGTCGGGAGCGGAGATTTTGTAGTAGAACAACCCCGGAAGAATGAAACTAATGCTGGTACTTCCCGTGCTACCAACGTAAGCCAGTACCGCCTGTAGGGAGGACACGGTCATAGCGACAACGTAACTCAAGACGAGAATCGTCGTGGTGATAACGGAGAAACGAAGATCGCTCATGGGCTCCGGCTGTCGGTTGCCCCGCGGGCCTAGCAGAGGGTGTCGATGGGGAGAGCCGTCGTTGCTATTCGACGATGGCTGGGGCCTCCAACGCAGCACTGCGTCCACGGAGGCGCGACATGGGTGGCATTGTAACGGGTACGAAAACATGACCAACATGACGATGGCTGCACGTCCGATCGTGGCCCAAAGTCCGGGAGGGTACATGCTCACTATGTTTCCGCCAATGTTGTCTCCAAAAGAGAGATAACCAGTGATTGCAACAAGAATGTAGGTTGCAGCAGAGCTTCCAATGCTCGCAAAAACAACCGAGGTCGTCCTGAAGTGACTGGCATTGGCCATTTCGTTCAATATCGAGAACATCTGTTATCTTGCATTAGCCAGCCTATCCTCCCTGAGCGATCATATCATATAAAGGTCGGGTTCTTACGTTCTGATGGCATGTAAATGCGAAAACGATCACAGGGAGACTGCTGAGGGTTGGAACCAAACCTGCCCAGTGAACCACCCGGACAGGACCTTTCTCGGCCACCGTGTCTCCCACCACGAAATGGTAAACAACCAATACCACCAGATAGGACATGGAAACCAAAGCAGCGACACTCGTATATTTGAGGGAATCTAGACGTCGGAGGTAGGAAAGAGGGATGACGACCAGCCTGAAAAGACATTAGCATATTTCGATCGCTCATCACTGGGGGGGAAGGGGTCGAGCCAGCGTACATAAAAGCCGTAACCCAAAAATGCCGATCGACCAAAAAGTCATAGTCCGGGGAATCACCAACAAAGCCCTGAACAACTCCCGGCATCAGATCGCCAATGATGATAAGATAGCTGACTCCCACGCCAAAACATTTGATCGCGATTGCCGCGTCGAACACGACGGCCGCATTGGGGTATGTGATCTGGGACAGAGCGAAGAAGGACGCCTGTCCTCGATCCAAGTATTGCGCACAGCGTGACTGAAGGTATAGACCAAACCCAGCCGTCACGCCCGACCATAAAACCACGCAAACTCCAAGGACTATTCCCATGTGCGAGACAGCCAGCGGCATAGCAAGGACACCGGCTCCGATAACTAACACATTACGATCGGATCAGCGAGAGTCCGGCGGACGAGGACAAGAGAATATGGCGACTCACTCGTATTGACCAGATTGATCACACAACTGATCCAACTGGCCTGACCTTCATGTCCAGAATCGCGTTTCCCTCTGATTGCACGCCTGTGAAATGGCCCCCCCTGTTAGTCACAAGACCAGCCGGAGAAAGCGAACAGATCGACCAGAAGAGAAGATAGAAAACATACCTTCGAGCTGCATTGCGAACTCCATCTGCGGGACCAATCCCGACGGTCGCTTCGTCATCTAGCATTGTGGGGAGTCGTCAAAGCACACGACGTCACGAACGAGACAAAAAAAGTGTTATCAGCCGAGCCCAGTTGCGACAGCGGCGATTAACATAATAGCCTCGGACCAGCGAAGCAGCGAAGGAGAAGAGCAGAGAGATGGAGAAAGAGAGAAGAGGAGAACAAGTCAAATAAAGGAAGGGAAATGGGAAAGAAAGCCAAAGGAAAGACGGAGAGACGGGTTGGATTGTCTAAGTAGGAGGCAGCAGGAGGGTAGAGATAAGACCCTGGAATCGGCGGGCGATACGAGAAAGAGAGAAGGACAGATCGGAGTGGCGGCCTTCGGGGGGCTTAACGGGGCTTTTAATGCCTGCTGACTCCGCCTGGTTCCTTTTTCCCTTCTTGTCTTCTTTTCTTGTCCCTTTCCCCTGCCTTTTCCTCTCCCTGCAATCAATCAATTATCTAATTCTCCCCAGGCATTAGTTTCTAATTCGCAAAAGGAAGCCAAGACGTCGCAATGTTTCCCATTATCTAATAGTAACCATTCATTATCCACTTCTACACCATTTCTTTCTCTCTCACAGCTTGGATGCTCCCCATCCCTTTTGCGACAACAATCCGTATACTTCGTCTTCGAGCACGTTCATGTCCGAGACGGTGTTGCCAGCCCTATCTGCGGGTCCCGGATCGTTGAACGGACTGACCGACCGCACGGTTTTCGACACTTCCAGCACCGTTCCTCCCTCGACCAGGAACTGGGGTCCTTGGCCCGATTGGTCGCCAATGATTTCACTAACGCGGTCTTGTTGGATGAGAGCCAGCATGACTTGACCGACCTCGTCGGGAGTCACCCATTCATCTGCCTTATCATCCACGATCTTTAATTTCTCCGGGTGATCCGTCCACAAGGGAGTTTTGATTACCCCTGGCGCTACGGCTGTGACACGAATCCCAAATTTCCGGTCGAGCTTAGCCATGGACCGTACAAGGCCATTGATACCGTGCTTGGTGGCCACGTAGATCGGGGCTGCCAACGCGGGATTCTGCGCAGCGATGCTCGAAATGTGCACGATATGCTTGCGTCTTCCGTTGGTTCGGTGACGCAGAAAATGGGAAATTGCTAATTGAGTTGTACGGATCGGATGGGTCAGGTTGATATCCAACAAGGCATATCGGTCCCCGTGCTGCGCATCCCGACTTTCGGGCGTTCCGGGCGGGCGCCAGAAATTTGTCCAGTGCTGAAGGAGGTCAGCGATCAACTATGCTAAGACTCAAAGGTCCTCAACATTGGAGCAGCCCTACCGGCTCGTAGATTCCAGCTCCTGGGCACACGACATCGATCTCTCCGAATTCCTTCTCGGCCACCTCAAACATCTTCTCCAATTGCGCCCAACTGGTCACGTCGGTCTTCTGGAAGACGGCTCGAGGGGTCGAGGTCGAGTAGCGGTCGACTACCACCTTTGCTTCGGGGCGCAGAGCTAGGTCGGCGATGAGAACATTGCATCCATTCTCGAGCAGCAATCTGGCAAAGGACAGGTTGATTCCTGTTTTGTTTCAGTTAGCTTGGCGACGTATACATCCCGTAGAGCTTCAGTCATCGTCCACACACCTGATCCAGCGCCGGTCACGATTGCAGATCTTCCATTGACGGAGAATGACATGGTGGTGCAAGGGAAATGGTATGAGTTGGAGATAGCCACGCCTCTGGTGGACTGGACTGGGTCCCGTTGGCTACTTTATACCCCGGGTCCATACTCGTGTACGCCCCGAGGCTGTGACCAGAGCGTCGCGGGGAGACTGCGGGTTACGCAGGCCGTGGCTCCAATAACCCGAACGGGCAAGCATTGAGGGGATTCGCGGGGCTGCATTGACCCGAGGATGAGCTTAGCAAGTGGGCCGTCCCGGACAAAAGACCGACTTTGCAGTCTCCGGTCTCGTTCGAAGTGCGGATATGAATAGTTCAGAGCTGAAAGGAGGTCTTTTTGCCGAAAACATAAAGCTGAGGAGAATCCCTTGACCGGTTGGCTCTCTGCTCAGCTCTTCTTGCCGCAGGATAGACCCCCAGTGAGTGAGCAACGATACGATGCTTTTCTGGATCTTAGCCGACGATGCTTGGCGCAGGACGAACAGAGTAAAATCCCGACGTCCTGGGGTCCGTTTTACTGGGTCCGTGTACGTGAGTCTACGAGGTACGGAGCACGGTGTATACTGGGTATATCGCCATGAGCCGTCCCTATGATCTGCCCGACCTTGTGACCAGCGTCAGCCTTGGCTAGATGCTGTCGCCCATTGACAAGTGCAGCTCTGTCACCCTGCAGGCCGACGGTGGATTCATCTAGACCTCTTATCTTCCTCGCCGTGCCTCACTGGATGGAGAAAAACGATTGGCTGCTCATAGTATACGATCCTGGAAACATGGGTTCGGGATTGTCGCTACCAAAAGAACCATGAACCATGTGCATCTACGGAGAAAGGGGAACGAACAAGAGCAATACGGAGGATACTGCCGACAGCGTCACTGGCGTCATATCCCCAACTCTCCCCAAGTCGGGTAGACTGCTTCTTTGGGAAATCGTTCCGATTTCCGCATTGGGGTTCCCGACAGTCTCCGCATAGATTCAGCGCCCTTTGGGGGAGATCCCCACGCATATAAAGGCCCAATGCCCTACAAGGGGCTTAGGATAGAATGAAGTAACCCTCCAAGAATTACTAAGACTATCTCATCATGTCAATGTCAAACTTTCTCTCGAAATCGGCCATCCGGGCCGCTTCCACCTCGGCTTCGTCGCCCATGACCAAGGCCGCGGGCGATATCTCCAGTGTCTTCCCCAGTTTAAGGCCCGACTACAAGCCGGAGCCATTGCCTCCTCGTTTCAAGGACTTGAAGTCCGAATACTTCCACAAGAATGAAGAGGCCTTGAGAAGCAGCTGGAAGAGACTGCTTCCGAGCCTGGAGGAGGAAGTCGGTAAGATTAAGTCGAAAGGGAGCGATGTAAGCAGGCAAATCACTAGCATCTATGATGGGTTGTGACGCTAATTTCCGTACAGATAATTCCATCTGTGAACTACGCAGACGTTGTATCAGGAACGGTGCCCGATGAGATCCTTGCTGAGATCCGTCACCGTGGCACCGTGGTCATCCGAAATGTCTTGCCTCGGAAGGAAGCTCGAGACTATAAGGACCGCATCCAGGACTACGTGGCTGCAAACAAGGAGCGCGTGAAAGCCTTTCCTCCAGACTCGCCGGCAGTGTATGAGTTGTACTGGACTCGTCCGCAGGCGGAAGCGCGAGCCCATGCCAACATGCTCGGTACCCAGACTTTCCTGCAGCGTCTTTGGCATTCCTCGGATCCGCGCACGCCCATTTCTACCAGGAACCCTCTGACTTATGCGGATCGACTCCGTATCAGAGAGCCTGGTGATTCCAAGTTTACTTTGGGGCCCCACGTCGACGGCGGCTCGCTGGAGCGATGGGAAGATCCGGAGTACGCTCGAGTGTATACCAAGATCCTCGAGGGCAAGTGGGAGGAATACGATCCGTGGGATGCCAAGCACCGCGTCACGGCTCAAATGGACATGTATAACGGTGCCGGAGCATGCTCCATGCTGAGATTCTTCCAGGGCTGGCTCTCCATGTCCCACACCGCGCCTGGCGAAGGTTCCCTGCATGTCTGCCCCATGCTGGTCCACAGCACTGCATACACCATCCTCCGTCCTTTCTTTGATCCCCAGACTTCGGAAGCTGTGATGGATGCCACATTCCCGGGATCAGTTCCTGGTGCTTGCCAGGAGTACAACCCCGTGACGCATCCCCATCTGGAACTGGAGACGACGATGGTGTCTGTCCCCGAGGTGGAACCCGGTGATTACGTTGCCTGGCACTGCGACTCGCTGCACTCGGTGGACAAGGAGCATCGCGGCACGGGCGACTCCAGCGTGCTCTACATTCCGGCCACCCCCATGTGTGATATGAATGTCGAGTACTTGCAGAAGCAGCGCAGCGCGGCTCAGAGCTACTCTCCTCCCTGGGATTTCCCTGGTGCCGGTGGACCCGGAGAGAGCGGGTTCAAGGGCGCTTTGGATTGGAACTCTGTGAACCCCGAGGGTCTGCGCGCCATGGGCTTAGGCAGCAAACCTTGGGAGATCACCCCGGACATGAGTGAGGGTGAAAAGCGAGTTGTGGAGGCTGCCAACAAGGCCTGTTTCGGCCAGGCTTGAGGCAATTGGGGTTACTTTTGGAATGTTCTTGTAAAATTGTATATTATCTCTGCGTCGTGATGCACTTTAGCCAAAATCAAAATCAATAGACTGTGTACTGTTGAACCTTGAACTAGATCATTGACAATGGATCAATGCATCGTGAGTGGACATCGGGCGTAGGCGGTCTACCACCCCAAGCCGGCCTAAGGCATACTAAACCAACCGGTACATCACCATTTCGCCATTTCCACGCCCTCGACACCTCCCAACCAACCCACGCCTCCATGATCAATTTCGATTCGAGGTCCTAATCATGCGGCTACAGGCGGCGCTTCTTCTGCTCGCCTCGTGCGTGCCCTCGACGTGGGCCATCTACCCCGACGAGGTCAACCATATCGATTTCCACCATGCTTTACTCGGCGCCCCCTCGTCCCAATCGACCTTCTTCCTCAAACCCTCTACCTCCTCCAATGCTTCGCTTCTCTATACCCTGTCGGAAAAGTCGCTCCTCGGTGCTGTAAACCCCCGCGATGGCTCCGTGGTCTGGCGACAGAATGTCTCGCGAGCCTCGGGACCGGCCGACCACGGCGCTGCCCCGATCCTACGTGCGTCTGACGGTTCCAACGCCTTGGTCAGCGCCGTGGGTGACTACCTTTCGTCGTGGAGTGCGCTGGATGGAAAACTGATCTGGGAGAACTCGTTTGACCATGAACCCCTGGCCGATCTGGAGCTGTTGGAGCTGCAGGATGCCAGTGCCGCGGAGTCCGCCGCCAAAGACACGATTGCGCTGTTTGCCGGAAAGTCTGGAGTGGTTAGGAGACTGGATGGAGACTCTGGAGAAGTGAAGTGGGAGTACAAGGATGAAAGGTTCGGCTTCGATGGTTTCCCGTGTGGATGGAGACGCTTTGGTCTTGACTCTTTTTTACGCTCGTTGCTGACAGTTTTGGATTGAATCTAGTGGTGACCTTCCCTTCCAAGTCTCTTCCTCCGCTACCGAGATCTTCTACATTTCGTTGCAATCGGCCCTGCTGAAGGGTTCCAAGATCAAGATCACTTCGCTGGACCCATTGTCCGGTCGCCAGAAGCACCAGGTGACGCTGAACTCGGAGGGCGATGTGACCGGGCCGGAAGCTGTCCTCTTCGTGGGCGCTAACACCGCCGCTCCGTTGATTGTCTGGACTGATAAGGCAAGCAAGGTGTTGAAGGTCAACGTGATTGGATCCAAGTCGGTCAGCTCGCTGAACATCGATAACACCAGCGGCGAGGAAATCCGGTCGGCTACCGTCCATGCTCCCAATAAACTCAACTCGCTCCCGCATTTCCTGGTGCACTACCAGACGGACTCTAGCTCCTGGGCTGAGGTTTACCACGTGGACCTGAAATCGGGCGCCGTTTCCAAAGCGTACAATCTCCCTCGTCTGCCTGGATGGTCTGTTTTCGCGACCAGCAACAAGGATGCGAATGTTTATTTCACCCGCATCACGCCCACCGAGGCTTCCGTTGTTTCGTCGGCTTCCCATGGTATCCTGGGGAGATGGCCCTTGCAGTCGCGGCCCACCGAACGAGCTGTTTACGCCGCTTCCGAGGTGGTTGCCAAAGGTGACTCCGTGGCTGTCCGGTCGGCGGCCGTTTTGGCGTCGGGCGATTGGGAGCTGATCCGCAATGGCCAGACCGAGTGGACCAGATACGAAGCTTTGTTCGGTGCCTTGGCTGCCCAGTGGGCTGAAACGGACGAACAGGAGGATCTGGCCCATCAGCTCGAAGTCGAGGGCCACGAGAGCCTCTACGGAGCATACGTGCATCGGGTCAAGCGCCACGCGAAGGACCTTCAGCATCTCCCCGACTGGCTGAGGGAGTTGCCTAAGCGCGTTCTCACCAGTTTCTTGACTGACGAGGTTTCGAATCTCGATGGATTCGGACTCTCGAAGCCCGTCATTGTTGCTACTGAGAATGGACGAGTCTATGCCCTCGACACCGGCAAGCACGGCTCTGTTTCTTGGAGCGTGAAGGCTACCGATGCGGATTCGTGGAACGTCAAGGCAATCGTCACCCAGCCCGGCTATGCTACCGTGTACGCCGACGACGGTAGCTCAGTCAAGCTGAATGTTACCTCCGGCGGCATCATCGACCGCTCACCCGCTAGCACCAAGATTCGCTCCATTGCTATCGTCAGTGACGAGGTGGCTCCGCTCACCATTGGTATCCAGGAGAACGGCGCACCTGTTAGATCGGTGGACCGCCCTGGCTTCTTCGTGACCCTGAGCGATGACGATCGAGTTCTTGGATGGAGCACCAAGGATAACAAGAACCCCATCTGGGAATTCTTGCCTGCCGCCGGCCAAAAGATTGTCCACGCAACCGCCCGGCCTGCTCATGACCCCGTCGCCTCGATTGGCAAGGTCCTGGGTAACCGATCAGTTCTCTACAAGTACCTGAACCCCAATCTGGCCCTCATCACGGCCGTGGGCAAGAGCTCCGCCAGCTTCTACCTGCTGGAAGCCATCACCGGCAGGATTCTGTACACCACCACCCAAGACGCTGTCGACACTACTCAGCCCATCGCCTCGGCCATCTCCGAGAACTGGTTCGCCTACTCCTTCTGGGGCGACGTCTCCGACGCCTCCGACGCCAAGGGCTACCAGCTCGTCGTGTCGGAACTCTACGAGTCACCCATCCCCAACGACCGTGGTGATCTCGGCTCCGCATCCAACTACACCAGCACCGCCCTCCCCCTTCCCCACGTCATCTCGCAAGCCTTCGTCATCCCAGAACCTATTTCCCACATGGCCGTCACCCAAACCCGCCAGGGCATCACCACCCGGCAGCTCCTCTGCACCCTCCCCGCCACCAACTCCCTCATCGGCATCCCCCGTCCGGTCCTAGACCCCCGCCGCCCCGTAGGCCGCGACCCGACCGCCGTCGAAGCCGAAGAAGGCCTCTTCAAATACAACCCCTTCCTCGAGTTCGACGGCAAATGGTACCTGTCGCACTCGCGCGACGTGGCCGGTCTCACGACCGTGCTGTCCAAACCCACCCTGCTTGAAAGTACGAGCCTGATCTTCGCGTTTGGCGGCGACATCTACGGCACGCGCGCCACGCCTAGCCAGGCCTTCGACGTGCTCGGGAAGAGCTTCTCCAAGGCGCAGCTCCTCTTGACTATTGTGGCGTTGAGTATAGGAGTGGTTATCCTGTCGCCGATGGTACGTTCCTTTTCCTTCCCTCCTTCCCCTTTTCTCCTCAATTCCGTTCACATATATGGATACGCCTACGTGCATCTTCTCTGAATTTCACTAACGGCCAACCTCCAATCAATAGGTCCGATCAAAACAAATCAACCAGCTCTGGAAGGCCGGTTAAAGTATCGTCTCATCTACCTTTAGCTTTTTCTGTTCCCTTCTCTCTAGCCATCTCATAATCCTTTTCCTTAAGATAGTCTAAGGTTGGGATACTTTTCTTTGTCAATGCGAACGAAACATGTAGGATAGATAAATAAATCAACAAGACTTTCATGGCTCCAGACGTGTGAGATGGCCATCGTGTGCTCCGAAGCTACACAATATTGCAAATCCCCGTTCACATCAGCGTTAGCATCAACCCGGACTGCGGCGGCGCCTTCGGCCAGTCTCCAAGACGCTTCATCCCAGTACAGCCGAGTGCAGGAGCCACGACAGTCTCCGGAATGGACAGATTGATTTTGTATCTCCGTGCCCTGCAATCTTCTGCAGTGCTCCGGGTATTTGGCGTCACAGCTGGACCATCTGCTGGGCTCAACGTACCTGCAGCGCGGCACGGAATCAGCAAACATAGTCCGGAAACGATGGAGACACAATCGGTAATCCTGCCCAATGAAAGATTTATCCCGCTTGAGCAGGTTCCAAACCCAGGAGCACATGTATTCTGGACGAAGATGGCCAAAGTACGAGCGGGGGTATTGGACTTCGACGAAATGAAAATGGCTATAGGAGTTTCTCAAGACGGCAGGCTCCTGTTGTTGGCTCCAGCCATATTCCAACGTCTGGCCTAGCCTGTAGTGGTACTCAAGGGCAATGAGTCGCCTCCATGATGCCCATAGAAACGCACCAGTGATGAAGCAAATTTCCCGCGAGTAGCCTTTCCTTGTGAACATAGTCATTTGATCCAGGAGCAAGACCGTGGTACCAGCAAGTTTTAGGACAAATTCGCCATGGTATTCCTCATACACTTTCCCAAGCTCCATTAACAAAGCCACCCGAAATCAAATTGGTGCTCACAAAGACGGCGGCCTGTAAATTCCCCCACGCTTGGCTCTTCTCTGGTAAGAAATACGCAGAATCAAGCTGCCTGGATTTTATATCAACAGGGATATCACGGTACTCTAACGGGACCCGATGAAGGCGACGGAGAATTTCCAATGCTGGCCCGGGTAAGTTCTGTTGAATGTTGTAAAGTTCTATCATCTAAAATTATCGAGATCCATCCACTGTAACTTTTTTCCAGGCAATGAAACGAGCCATTCGAGAAAAGAAAAAAAAAACGAAAACCCGAAAGAGACGATGCCGATTCTAATGAATTATAATATCTTGGTCTAAGAGGCATGTCGTGTATATCAATAAATCAATCGTCTTTTCCCGAAAGGTTGCAGAATTTGTCTGCTGTATATAGGGGGAGATGTGTGTGTGTGTGTGTGTGTGGATAGCAAGAATAAAACCAGAAATAGAAAGATAGAAAGCAGACCCGCGAAATAAAGGTTCTAGATGTTTGAGAAGAACACAGAATTATATAAAAGCCGAAATATATGGGGGGAAGGGGGAATGTATGGGAATGGGATCAACAAAAACGACAGATGAACATGATGTGACTGTTCTTTTCCCTGGTTCTTCTGCCAAATGCCAAGTATGCAAGCAAACCAAATATATAAGGGGTAAGTAAATAGGGGATGTGATCACGATGAATGGAATGGAATGGAAGGGATAGTCTTTGCTTAGAAGACCAATGTCAAGATAAGAACGATACCACTCTTGCAAGAAAAGGTAGGGAAAAGGGGGAGAGGAGATCAGATATCAAGATGAAAGAAGGGCACCCTAGGCAGAAACGGTCTGCGTCGGCGCCTCGACACCCCCATTAGCTTGCTTTTCCGCAGCGACGTCGTCCGCACTCACTTTTTCGTTCTCGGTCGTGCTGTCGTCCGTGGTCTCTGCGGCCTTCTCCGCCGGGGTATCATTCGACTGAGGCTTCTCCGAGTCGGACTTTTCAGCCTGAGCCGGGGCGGGCGCGGACGCGGGCACGGGAATATTCGACTTGCGGCTTTCTCCGTTGGCCTTGCCCAGGACCTCGATGTGGTCACCCTTGAAGAGAACCGGTCCTTTCAGGAGCGAGGGCTTGGTTTCTCCCTCGGCTGGGGGCGTTTCCAGGGGGCTGAGGACCTCGCGGGCGGGCTCGTCCAGGTTGGGCATGTCGTTCCACTTCCAGTCGAGGTCGCCGCCGTATTGCTTGGGGATGCTGGACGGGTCCATGAATGAGGTGAGGGTGGGCTTGACCTCGGCGGCGGAGAGGATGAAGATCTTAGAGGTGGTGCCGGGGTCGAACCAGCGCTTGATCCAGCCCCAGACGGTAGGGAAGAATGCCGGTGCGCCGATGATCTAACACAAGTTCAGTTAGAGAGTGAATCATTTGGAGGCCAATAGTGATCGGGTAACATACAAAGATTCGATCCAAAGTCTCGGGGTAATGCGCTGTCGCAAGAACACTGGCATCCTGCATGTGTGACTTCAGGTTCCAGAACTGCTTCAAACCAACGCCGCTCACGTCAACGATGTTGGTCGAAGTCACGATGGGAGCCTCAGGGTTCGGTCGCGACAACCGCGTACACAAAGGCATGACGAAACGAAGCAGATTCTCGTAGAGAGCGAACAACCGCAACAGGCGCTGGGGCACCTTGGAGGATGAGTGGGTTTCCGCCGTCGCAGTGGCGGAGTTCATAGTGGACATGTACTCGGCCATGTTCTTGTTATCCAAGTGGCGAATCTCGAACACATAGATGGGGATTCCACGCTTGTCGCGACGACCCGTCCATTGGGGATACTAGCAGACCGAAACACCGTCAGCCATCAATCGTAGAGAGAACGCAGTTTCGCAACCTGCAAGAAGCAAAACAAACTCACCATCCGCCTCGCCGCCTCATACGAGTCGACATCGATATTCTCATACAGCGATTCGATCGCATTCTCCTTGCGCCAGTCCTCGGTATCCTTGAATTGGTTCCAAGCGCCATCTAGATCGAACTTGCGCGCGCGGAGGAACCGCCTAATGTCCGTGCGCCGTCGCATTAGCCCAAGTAAATAAACCAACCCCTCCAGGTATAACACCGGCATTCCGCGGAAGCGTCCAACACAGCTCCAAAACAGATAACAAGGGGATCGGGGACACCTACAGCAGCGTCGCATCCTCGTGGCTAGGTTTTCCCTCCCCCGCGTCGGCCTTGTAGTATCCGGTCTCCTCGCAGCGTTTCTTGAACTCCTGTAGGCTCGTCTCTTGCTGCTCGGTCAGATGGTTGGGGTGACCGGCCAGCCATGCTGTCCCTGCGGCCTGGGAAGCCGAAGCGACCGGGTCGTTCTTGGGGTCGGACTCGCTGGCGGTCTGGCTATGGTTGGATTTCGTCCGCCACAGAGGCATTTTCGGCTGATATATGAGATTCTCGAGGAGAGATGGATTGGTCTCGAACAGTAAGGGGTCCCAGGGTTAGGGAAACAATAAAACAATAATTTCCGAAAGGGAAGAGGGAACGGAAGAACTGTTTGCTATTGCAAAGGCGGATTCTTCTTACGTCGTTGCGGAGTTGGTTTGCGAGATCAGATCGTTCCGAGGGAAATTGGGTGGCGGGGAGAAACACGAGAGAGGGAAAGATGGAATTAAGTACCCAAGCTACGTAGATGGACGAGGAGGACGGCGCGACAAAGCAGCAGCCCGGAAGTGAGACAGTCAAGTGGGAATGGAATGGAAAGCAATGAAGATGAAATGTTGGGGAAATCCATCGATCGATCAACCTCCGCGAGACCACGTGCATAAACTGCTGATGTCAGCATGCATAACATGAACCCTCATTTTGTGCTCAACGCGAGATGCCTCAACTACGAAAACGAAAAAAAATAAATAAAACAAAGCAAGATCAAACGGCTTTTTGGTATTCCTGCTTCAATCAAAAGAAAACAAACTATTATGGTGAAAAATAGAAAATGGTAAATCAAAGATCCCATCATAAATCGCCAAACCAAGAATGTCCAAGATACAACACATGGGAGAAAAGAGTATCTGTACAGACAAGTTCCGTCAAGCTCACATATCCCGATGACCAGTCGTTTAGTCTTCCGTCAGGTCACCATACTCCCACATGCCTCGTCGCTCATCCTTCGCCTCATTCTCGAGGGTGCGCAGGTGCGAGATCGTGTCCGACGCAGCGCGTTCCCAGGCCTTCAGCTTCTTAGGCACCATGGCATATCCCTCTCGGACGACGTCGGCGTTGATGCTGTGATCCAGGTTCTTGGACTCGGCCGGGTCCAACAGAGTGACGTGCAGGGTTCCCTCGGGCGTAACGTAGTCGACGTTAGCCACCAACTCACGGTTGGCGGTCTGCTCCTCGAGGAAGCCAACGGCGTCCGCAAGGTAGTCGGCCGACACGGGGAACTGTACGAGAGAAAGCACGGCATCCACGGCTTGCGCACGGAGCTTCTGGACGGAGAACTGGGGCTGCGACAAGGGTCGCAGGCGGGACCAAGGCACCACCTCGGAGTTACCAAAGTCGATGTAGACAACCTCAGCCTGCTTGTTGTCGCGGTCGTTGCGACGCACCTTGGCCCGGTACCACTCGTTGTCCTCGGTGAACTTGGCGGCCACGAACTCGCCAGCCTTAGGGGGGCCGGGCAGAGGAGTCTCGTTGGCCTTGTTCAGGTGGAAGGAGCGGAAGGCGCTCATCAATTCCGTCAGGGCAGAGGTGCCGGTGCCGATCTGCTGAAGCTTGACGCGAGCGTTGGTGGGATCAACGTAGGTGACCACCACGTCACGGTAGTCCTTGCGGCGGGAGGCAGCCTCGGTCTCAGTCCCGCTGTTACCGTCAACAGGCTCTTCCTCGGCCTCCTCCACATCCTTGCTAGGGTCCCAGTCGTGCCAGAGTCCCTTGCGGGCCTCCTTGGCCTTCTGTTCCGCAGCAAAGTACTCGGCGGCATGGCCAGATTGTTCTGCAGAGTATGCATGGACGGTGGCCAGACCCTCCTCTAGAAGAACCTTGGTGAAGTTCTCCTTGTTGATGTACAGGGTACCAATGAAGCCACCGACCTTGTCGATGGTCTCAACGTCAATTTCGGCATCACGCTGCATGCAGCGTTTGTTGGCCAGCTCGTGAGCCTCGTTGCCAAACGGCTCGGACGCCTCGCCGGGGTTGCGAGCAGACCGGGGAGCACGAATGCCCGACAAGACCAGAGTGAGTTTGGCGTTCTCGCGGGGCACGAGAACCGTGAAACGCGATCCCGACTTAACGAAATCCACGATGGCAGGAACACGCTTCTGACGCTGAAGGATAGAAACCTCCATCTTGGCCTTTTGCACGCTTTCCGAGTAGTCCTGGTACTGCTTCGTCTTAGGGGCCTTGGGGGACCACATTCCCTTGGCCTCCTTCTGGGCCTCGGCCTCGGCGATAAGCAGGTCGTCATAGTCGGGAGAGCGGTCCTGGTCATCCTGGCGGTGGCGGATCACAGAGGCATAGCCGGCTTCGACGAGCGCGAGCGAAACGTTAGTGTTACCGTGGATGACCGTGGCAACCTCTCGCTCCTCGTATCCCTCGTTAGCAGGCTTCTTTCCGTTGATGGTGACCTTGACGTGCTTGCCGATGACCTTCTTACGCAAGAACTCCTTCGCGTCGGCGGCAAATGGGGCCTGCTTGGGGTCGGACGGCTTGGGCTGGCGGGTGCTGCTGAGACTGATCTTTTTCTCCTGGCCGGCCTTGTTGCGGATGAAAAGGGTATCGGCGTTCAGCACGCGGCTCACGATGTAGTCCTGTTCGGCCCCGCCCGCAGGACCCTGGGAGGCGACCAGACCGGTGAACAGACCCTTCCGGGCATCCTTAGCAGCCTTCTCCGCGCGGCGGAAGAGGGCCATGTTGGCTCCGAGGAGAGGAGTGTGAAGGTCGTGGCAACGGGCCAGACCGGCCTCCAAAAGGAACTTGGCGATGTTACCATTCGGGTGCAGGACAGTTGCAATCAGCTGACCCTGGGGTGTAACGCCCAACAGAGAGACCTGAACCTTGCGCTGCAGCACTCTCGACTCGACGAACTGGTGGGCCTCGTCACCAAACGGCTCGGCAGGCTGCTCCTTGCCGTCGGCAGTCACCCGCTTAGCAGCCGGGGCCCGGACACCGGCGACCGCAACCACGACCTGCAGATGTTCTTCCGGAGAGAGCAGCAGACGGAGAACCAACCGGTCACCGTTCAGTACTCGCTCCACAATGGCCTCGAGGTGCTTGTCTTTCCATTCTTCGACCAAGGACTTGCCGTCCGGCAACTCGTAGCTCGTCTCAATGACACCATTTCCGGCACCGGCCCAGACACCCTTGTCCTCGGACTTGGCGTGGTCCTCTAGTGCGCGGAGACGTTCCAGCAAGGTGGCAGTTTCTTCGGATTCGTCGGCCCGCTTGCCAGCCTCTTCACGAACGCGCACCCATCCTTCTTGGACGCAAATGTCGGGCAGGGAGACTTCGAAGCTCGGGAGCTTAATCGTGCCGTAATCACGTTTGGCGCCGGTGGGGATGGTGTAAAGGACTTGGAATTGAATCACTTTTCCGACCAGGAGCTCTCGCAGGAATTCACGGGATTGGAAACCGTACGGCTGCAGGAAATCAGAAGGGTTAGCCCAACTAGGTCTTGCATCGTTTCAATTGGATGGAAAGCGACAACGGAGGTGAAAAGAAACATGTTCGATGTGAGGTGGGAATGAACGTAGAGCAGGCAGAGGGTGGTCATAAGCATTGAGATCCTCGACAAACACAACGGCGAGTCACTGAAAGAATTGTGAAGAGTAAACGGGGAGGTAAAACACAATAACCACAGTGAACTTACTTCATCGCCTTCTCGGCGCAGTCTCGGCGCTGAAACATATGCCAAACTGAGGGTGCGTTCCTGTCCGGGGTTGGTGATATGCGACAGGACGACGGTGTCGCCTGACAGGACAGATTTCACGCGAGCTTCCAAAACCATGCTGGAAAGCGGTGGGAATCACAGCGATAAGAAAGGATTGGCAAACCTGGGAGAACCAGGAGGAAAGATGAAAGAACACGAGATGAACTCAACTCAACGGCAGAAAAAAGAAAGACGGGGGAATGGGGAAGAAGGAAGTTGACCGAGTATGCCAGAAGCAACGTGGTTGGAAGGAAAGGGGAAGCTTGGGCCTAGCCGCACACCTGACTTGCGCCGGTTTGTGGGGGAGGCACCATTAAACATCGCATTATCTACGTTTCAACTTTCTAGACAAACAGTTATTCATGCATTACAACGTCCGTTGAATTCGTCAATCCTATACATTCTCTAGCTCTGCTTTTCCCAGGGTCAAATCATTATGCATCTTGTTGGTCCACTGGGAACGACAACATAAATATCCATATCAATCAAAGAATCAATCTGGTCGCTTCAGACGCTTCCAATCTTGTCCTAGTACTTTCACATCCTAGATTGCAACATTACGTGATATTAATTTACGCAGCAATGCCGATGACACCTAAAAGGGAGAAAGTCAGTATCCCTGTCGTCTGATTGCGTTCGCTCTTCTCTTCAAGGATCACACTTACCGCAAGCAGGGCGGGTACCAGCGTTACCAGTCTTCTTGGACTCCTCGTTGCCACCACGGCCAAGGTCATCAGTACCGGAGTGGACGACCAGGGTGCGCTACTCCACGTTAGCTTCTACATGCACCATCCGACGACCAGAAAGAGAAACTTACGCCAAGAACGCTCTCGGAGCCAATCAGCTTAACAAGCTTGTCCTGCTTGGAGCCGACGGCGTTACCCTCAGCGTCGGTCTTGAAGTTACCAAGGTCACCGACGTGACGGTCGGAGTCATCGGGGGCACCGTGGGGCTTGCCGAAGGGGTTGACTAACGTGGAAGGTTAGCATTTCCGCCTGCTTGCTAGCGGACTCGACGGGGCTTTTGGCACGTACAGTGAGGGCCGGCGGAGGTGCAGCCGTTGGTGTTGTCACCGAACTGGTGAACGTGGAAGGCACGCTCGGCGTTGGCGTCGTTGCCAGTGATGTTCCACGAGATGGTGGTGGGGACGTTAGCATCGGCCTGCTCGAAGGTGACGGTGCCGGAGACCTTGGAGTCACCACGGAGGACAGCAACTAATCAGCGATTCCCGTTAGCTTGCCGTGGTGGCCACTCATTCGCCCAAGCTTGCAAAAATGAAAGGAAAACATGATCTGGAACGGTAGGAAAGCTTGATCACGACCAGGAACGAAGCCACCAAGCTCAAACAGGCAAAACCACAATAGCCAGAAGCCAGCCAGAGCCGCTGAACAGAAGGTTCCCCTCTTTTCTGGCTCTGCTATATCAAGCAGCAGTCCGGGGTAGGCTCCCGTGATAGGCTGAGAAGGCTCCTGAGAGGAGGGGGGTTCGTTCACAAGGTGCTCAAATCTGCTCACTCAAGGTCCTCTAGCCACCGGTCGATCGTGGATCCCTCGAGCAAAGCACCAATAACCGAGGGGGATACAATCAGATAATCGAAAGCAACGGATACGTACCAGCCTTGACCATTTTGAGGGTTATATGGGGAGAGATATGATTTCTGGGGGATAGAAAAAGAGACGATTGAATCGAGTGGAGAGGGGAAGAGAAGAGGGAAGAGAAGAGCGAGAGGGAAAGAGGAGCAGCAAGAAGTAGTTGGGGAGCAACGAGGGGTAACTCTGCCCGGTGCGGTATTACCCATACCCGACTTTGAGGGACAAATTGGAAGGAAATCGAGAGAAATGACCGGTACTGACCGTACGAAGATCCCCACTTGGCGGGGTTGTCTCGGGATGACGTTCGGTTTGTGTAGTTTGGCTTCTTCCGGCGATTCCTAAGCATGTCGAGTCCAGATCTTCCGTCATCTGGAAAGACCCTTACAATCAAGCCCGAGTTCGTGACCCTCCTCGGTTATTCCGTCGAGCACGCCATGCTGCATGGTGTACGGAGGACCGTCCAACTCCACCTCTGCATGGAAACAAGCATAATACATGCTGTATCTCAATCCCCCGATCCCGGACCAGGTTGGCCTTAACTCCGTTGTCTCCGTCCTTCACACCTGCCTCCACCCTGATATCCTGTCCTCTGGTCCTACGATTTAATCAATTGTAGATGATATAAAAAGATAAAGATGGAACGATCATAATGAATTCGTCATTCGTATCTACTAAGCTAAAATTTTATGTTTCACGTTGCCAATTTTTACACGTGAGCATGATTAGACATAACACACACACACACTATTCATGAAAACATGTCAGTATATCCAATTTAAGCCTGGATCTTCGACTTGAGGATGTCCTTGAGAGTGACGGCGTCGGCCGCGAACTTGGAGATACCCTCCCGGAGCTTCTCCGTGCCCATGGCCTCCTCGTTGAACTCGAAACGGAACAGAGCCTCGTCGTTGATGTAGCTGCGCTTGGGGAGGTCCAGGCTGGCGGCGCTGGCGGCGTCCAGCTTCTTGGGGACAGCCTCGGTGGAGTTGTGGAGGTCCTCAAGGAGGTTGGGCTAAAAGGACAAAAAGGGTTAGCGTTAGAATCTGGCACATCAAGCACCAACATTAAAAGCCAAAACATACCGAGATGGTCAGGTAGTCGCAGCCAGCCAGCTCGGTGATCTCGCCGACGTTACGGAAGGAAGCACCCATGACGATGGTCTTGTAGCCGTGCTTCTTGTAGTAGTTGAAGATGCCCTGAACGGACTTGACACCGGGGTCCTCCTGGGCGGTGTAGTCGCGCTTGTGGGCGGCCTTGTACCAGTCAAGGATACGACCAACGAAGGGGGAGATGAGGAAAGCACCGGCCTCGGCGGCGGCGATGGCCTGGACGCTGGAGAACATGAGGGTCAGGTTGCAGTTGATTCCGTGGTCTCTCTGGAGGACCTCGGCGGCCTTGATACCCTCCCAGGTGGAGGCAATCTTGATCAGGATGCGCTCCTTGGGGATACCGATCTCCTTGTAAAGCTGCGGGAAAACCAGAGTTAGCGGCGTGTTCTACAACTTCGGTTTCCCGTTGAATTCCATACCTGGATGATGCGGAGGGCCTTGTCAATCGAGGCCTGGGTGTCGAAGGAGAAGCGGGCATCGACCTCGGTCGAGACCTTTCCGGGGACAATCTCAAGAATCTTCTTGCCGAACTCAACCAGGAGACGGTCAAGGGTAGCGTCGACCTGGGCGTCGAGGTTGCCTCCCTGTCGTAGTTGTTAGCTCTCGGCCTCTGGAGGTTACGATTTTCAAGCACATGAACATACCTGCTTCTTGCCGTAGGCAACGGCCTCGTCGATGAGAGCGGCGTACTCGGGCTTCTTGGAAGCCGCGAGGATCAGGGAAGGGTTGGTGGTGGCATCCTGGGGCTTGTACTTGCCAATGGCTGTGCAAAAATATTAGATCCCGGCATTCTTGAATTGTGTGAGAATATCATAGGAGTTACATACTGGCAAAGTCACCTATGGGAGGATTGACGGTCAATTTAGCTGTCCCCTTGGGAAGATTGGCTGCGTGGCGATAAAATTAGACTTACCAGAGTCGCAAACAACGACCTGGATCGGAGGTCAGCAAACATGACAACACAAGCAAGAAGAAGAGATCGAAAGAGGGAGACTTACGGTGCCAGCGGCCTTGAGCTGTTCAAGAGAAGAAGACATTGTGAAAGCAGATGGTGGTATCACAGCAAAAAGAGAAAGAACTGATGGAGAGAGATGAAGGAAGAAGGAGATTGGATGCGGAGAGGGGGAAAAGAAATAAGGATGAGGGACGTGGCGATGAGGGAAGCAAGTGGAAGAGGAGTGGAAGAGGGGGCTCCGGGAAGGTGGGATGGTGGGGCAAGTATGACGATATGCTGTCCGGCTCCTGCAGACTGCCAGAATCCGATTCTCCTCTGTTCGTCTCCCCCCAAAGAACCAAAAAGCCTCAAAACCGGCCTTCTCTGCTCCTGCCGCTGCTTCCCACCCATCGGTGTTAACCCGTTCTGCCTCTGTTTCACCCTCTTCCCCTCAGATGCCCCTGGTAGAGCGAGGTTCTTTCGGTGCAGTGTGCTCCGGCAACCGCATGGATAACGGTCCACTTGGCCGGCTAATCACGTTCCTGTTTTCTTTCACCGGAGCGCTGCGGTACTTCCTTAGGTTATTATTATTATGTATTGGGATTTAGGGAGGAACAATAATGATAATAATAACAATCATAACAATAATCATGAATAATCAAGCCCCCATGCTTACCCTCCTGTTTGGGGTAACTTTAACCGCCCCAGCTCTCTCTCTAGATCTAAACTGGCTATACAAAATCAATGCGCTTGTCCCGGCCTGTCGTCCGGCGTCAGGCTGGGAGTGGAGGTCGCTAAGGTAGAACGCAAAGAAAAAAAAAACTGGATCGCTTGAGGTAACTTCGTATGCTTTTGCTATCATGGAGCTCCTTTTGTGATTCTCTTGCTTGTGATTCTCTTGCAAAGATAATCACCTTCAGTTCCCCCCGTTTTTAGACATGGAATCACAAAAAGCCTTAACGGCATTTCAACGTCGCTGGACACAACTCCATTCATACTACGGACGGTGGTCAGCTTCCCATGTTCAACATCAAGCTATGCTTCGGAGTCACCTACCACTCTGCCGACTTCGTCTCCGGTATAAACGACCTGTGGCAAGGCCAGAATGCAACTGATTCCCACGGAAATATTGGCCCCGTTGTCCCGACTATTGTCAGTATGGTGAAGTTGCCGAATCAATTCTAGCTCGAAACGCCCGCCATGAATGATTTTACTCCAGATCTACAGATTTGTCAGTTTCGGAACCGTCAACAAGCATAAGATCCACGTACATTGACAACGCCCCTTCTGTGACCAGTGAAGAGAAGCTCTCGCTCCTGCCATTCGTTGTCGACGCCTTCGTAGAAGACGCAGGACAGGATCTGATCGTCGGCAGAGTCGCATACTTTCTGCTCTAGCAACAGAGTGCCATTCAGCGTGTAAAGGCTGATGCGGTTACCCCGGCAAATCATGATCTCGCCGGTCACGTCATTAATCCGCGCACACTGCTCAGTTGTTAGCCGGGAAAATGGATCCTAGCAGGTTGGAAAGACCTGGGACGCGGCTTACGTTGACAGAACCACCCCCTGGAAGCTCCCGGACAAAGCATTGCTGGTTCAGATCCCACAGCATGACCTGCCCGTCCGTCGACGCAGAGAGGAGAGTGCTAAACGATCGTGAAACCGCCAGTGTCGTTACGGGAGAACGATGCCCAAACAGAGACCCCGCTGGCTGTAAATCCACCGATCTGCTGGTCGATGAGAAAGTCCATGTCGAAATTGTGCAGTCCGTCCCCGAGGTGACCAACGTTCGAGAGTCCGCGAAGATTGCACAGGACAATTGGCCGATATGAAGGTGCTCAAGGTGACCCAAAAGCTGTAGACGTCAGCAGCAGTTCTCAAGAACATCAAGGAGACGGTAGCCTGTACCTTCCGGCTGTCCGCAGAGTAGAATCTAACACTACCGTCGAAAAAGCCCCATTCCATGTACTTGTCGTAACTCGGGGGTATGTTCAATCGCAAAGCGGCAGCACATAAAAGGCGATCCTGTTTCATTGATAGCGAGGATACCTGTTCCCCAATATCTGCCATAGTGTCAACAAACAAAGCTCGCATCTGCTTCCACAGAGAAAGGAAAGGGAGAGACTTGAAAACTGACCAAGAAGTGAAATAGGAAGCTGTGTAAGTGATTCGGCAAGACGATCTAGACGTGGAGCCTTGTGCCGCAAGTCCTCTCTCTGTGGGTGTGGTCGATTGAATATTTGATGGGGCGTCTGACCAAAGTTGTGTATGATGCCAATCGTAGCAATTCGGTCAACTGGATCCTCAATTGCGTCCAAATCCCTGGCACCCTGGTATGAAAGATGATGGAAGGTATTGACGGCTTCGACAGCAGCCTCTCCCTTCTGTTTGCAGCCGAACACTAGATCAATCCAATGATGTAGATTCTGTGTGACATAAGGGCTTTCCAGAGCTTCGCGATGCCTAGCAATGAAGATTTTGGGATCTCCTTTGGCCCATGGCGGCAATTCCACGGAGTCAATCTCAGTCGTCATGTTCTGCAAGAAACCGAACTCAAATTTGTTCGAGTTGACTAGAAACTCTGGAAGGTAAAAGAACTCGGGAATCAGTTCCCTCACGTCTGTCATATTTCCTCGAGAGGCGGACTCCCATGCTTTCCGGATAGAGTAAAAGAGACGGTCGGCATGGTCAAAGTGACCGCCTTGAAGCAGGATGTAAGATTTCACAAATGGCTGGAGACGTATCAGATATGAGCTGACAATCATCGCAGAAGAATAGTGGGTGCCATAATGAAACGCAGGAGCTCCATCATCATCCTCTCCCATGTCTTTAAACGCTTTGTACCGTTCCCGGAAGTCAGCTTCTCGTTCCGGGGTTTGGCAACCCATAGGCTTGGAAAGGTCCCGGAAGCTTAGGGGATTAGTCAAGTCCAGTTCCTCACTTGTATAATCAGCGAGCACCCAAGGGAAAACAGGGTACTGTGTCAAGTCATTGAATGTTCTTCCAGCTAACGTGTTGACCAGCATCAGATAGTGGAAATTCGAGATTTCGCCCTTAGCCCACTTGCGAGTTGCCGGATGCACCGGTGAGTGTCCAAAGACACTAGCGACCTTGGACCCAAGAGATTGCGGAGCATCTTCCTGGCTGCGGAGGGTTTCAAACCTCCAAACGTCCTCGGGCCTTGAATGACCAACGCTTCCAGTGACTTGAGGGGCTTTTGTGGCAAGCTGACTGCTTAGAGTGTCTCGATCCCGTGATGAGATGAGGGTCAATAAGTAGCTAGTGCCATCCGTGAAGAAGATTTCTAGAGACACGTCGCGGAAAAGGAACCGTCGCTTCGAAACACTGACGAGATCCGACCATTTCCAACTCCTAGTCTCATGCTCCCGTGGTTTGCGTTCAGTTGACGCCTTGCCAGCGATCACACCCACGTAAGGGTCGCGTTCCTCAGGAGGGGCTTGCCAAACATTCACGATTTCACCATCAGACCTCTGGAAGAAGTTGTCCAGGATGTAGATATTGTCTTTGCCAATAATCAGCAGCCCTTCGAACGCCTCCAATCCAACAATACGAGAAATGTTGCAAACATTCTCGACCTGATCCCCGCGGTGCAGACTCCTCATAACCTTCCTATTTCTATCTTCGTAGTCTTCAAGATCGGCTTTGGGGTCATCGATCAACTCGAAGCTTTCTTCAATCACGCTTCTACTATCAGGACTTATGCCTTGGGCATTGCTTTCGGGTTGGTCGGTAGGCGCAGTAGGGGTAAGGCCAAGACCGTCGCCGCTAGATGACGTCGGGACTTGCGTATCAACCTTGATTTCTGGAGGTTCTGATGCTTTTCGTTTCGGCTGATAGTCGTGTCGCTCGCCTGACTCATCTGGGACCATTCGAAGCCGCATGCGGCTACGGCCTTCGGTCTGATCAAGATGCCATTTCCTTTCCTTGTCATCGGCAAGGACCCCACCGAAGCGGCGAAGATCTAAGATCAGATGTGACAGCGCCGCCCACATGAAAACCGAATTGTCTTGCTGATCCTGAAGAGCTCGTTGGTATTTCAGAAATTCCGATGCCGATATGTTCGATACCCAATGAGGGAATGTAGCCTCGTGTTTGCGTATCACTTCCTCATTCTCCTGCTCTATCTCACTCCATTCCTTCAGCTTTTCTTGACGTTTATGATACCGAGAGCGTGCCGAGTTCTCGATCTTTAAATTCTCTTCGTGTACAAAGGAGCTCCACTGCTTGGACAGCCCTCCGAAGAATAATGTATTGAGATCGTCCTCGTGATCATCCACCCACTGTAGGAAGGCAGCGTCTTCCATCCCAACGAGTGCTTCAAAGCCACTTGAGAGTCGGTTCTGCAAAGACGGGTTTGTTTGGCTTAAAATGGTGGACATCTCAACAGGTTTCTGTACCAATAAAATGCGGAAAAGTCCGGCAGCATTCAAGCGTATGTCTTGACTCGTATCAATCAACTTTATGTAAAGAAGATAGCATAGCAGCTGCAAATATTCTGCCTGTGTTTCACCAGCAGAAAGGAGCACGACTTGCCAATAGGACAAACGGTTCAGGAAGCAAAGCGCATCCGTACCATCAACCTCTGATAGCTTGAGTAGGACGACGCGAAACACCGTAGACCGGATCGTCGCAATTGCCTGGCTACAAAGTCTAATGCTCTTCAATCGCGAGACATCGGGTCGTTGGAGGTACTCCAAAATGGTTCCAGCAAACTCGAGAGTGGCCGTGGCACCATCAACAAACCAACCCTCATAGACTGCTTCGCCTAGATGAGTCGAGAAACGTCCCAAATTAATCAAAACACGAGGTTCAGATAGCAACTCGAGTTTCGAGAATATGACGTCCTGCAGAGTGGAGAGTAGAGACCTCAGCATCCATGAATTGAAGTATGCCTGGTATTCCGGAAATCCGGACGGCGTTTTCAGATAAAGACCAAGGCCAGAGAACTCCTTTCGTTCAAGCAACTGTTCTGAGAATACAGACAGAACGAGACTCAGTATGGTGGATACTAGGGGATGATCGGTGACTCCCTTGAACTCTACTCGCGGAGAAGTGAAAGCATGTTGTATGCGTGCCGAGGATGGCGGATATCTTCTTTCAGAGGAGACCAGGACAAACGACGAGGCACGCCCTAACGAGCCGTTTTCATCATGAGAGCCAGCCTGCTCAACTGCGGTAGTTCGTACATCGGCTGCCCTTCGGGAGCGCGGGCGAACCATGAAGTTGGGGTCATCGAACTCAGGGCCACCGATACGAGGATGAGAGCTTATTTCGTCTTCAGCGCTCACATTATCTGAACCAACGACGACGGGAAATAGGACAGAGAGTAAGTTTTGTACATAGCCTGGTTTTGTCGCAAATTCTCGGAGGTTTGCGAATTTCAGCTGCAATTCCGCAAGAAATTCAACCACAGCGGCTAGAAGGGACACGCCCTCAACAGTCGCTCCCAAAGGTGTATGAGAAGACATGAGAGGCTTAGGGCTCTGTACACGATCTTGGAGGGAACCAGGGGCTTGGTTGTCATAGTCCGAAAAGGAGTCATCCACAAGCACAACCTTTTTGAGACCACTCTGCATCATCTCCGTAATGACTGGGAACATTTCGGGAATGATAACTTGAGCGTGGCTGCCAGCATAGAATATCTCAGACAGAGTAGTGTGGTCAATTGGCTTATCAGTAGCTACCTTACCCACGTCCAGGCCAAACAGAATGGAAAAGCAGATCGGCCATAGAATGGGGGTGTCCCACCATCTTTTCAGACAGTGTCGCATCAGGGTAAAGCCCCCTGTCTTTTCGGTGAACTTTTTGCTGTAGCTGCTGCCATGGACCACAAGGAGGCGGGCCATCATTTTGGCGGCCAAGGCAACAATCTCGGGTTCATCCTCGGACATGAGGTACAAAAGCCACTAGAATGATATCAGGATCAATTACACAATCATAAGCAGTTTTCGGGACGCACCTTGTTTGTTACAGCTCTGGCAAATTTCTTTATTGGCCCAAGGTCATTGGTATCACAGAGGAGGGAACAATACATGCGAAGCATTTCCGTCGCTATCACCCTGCTGGAAACATATTTAGGCTCAACAGGATTTGCTGGCGGCCGAATTCCGGAATTGAAGCGTATGCTTTTCTTCTTCTGAAGTCTGCTTGGCTCTTTGGGTTTATGCATGGCATACGTGATGAAAAGGGACAGGGACCGAAGTAAGTCTGCCGTCAGACAACTCTCCATCAAAGACCCAAAAGCGGATGTGAAAAGGTTCAATGCCTCTGCAGTAAAATCTTCCCCCTTCAAAGTTTCAAGAAGCTTCTTGCTTACACCTATTGATCATCAGTCAAGCCAGCCAGAATTGGGAGAAATTGGTGAAGACAAACTCACGCATGCGAGCGAGGCGCTTCGAATTTGATCGGCGAAATTGACTCTCGCTGGCAAATACACAGAATTGCGAATAATATAACTCGATGAGAGGAAGATTACCGAATCTCCACACCTCCAAGTCAACAAGCAAGACTCTATAAGCCAAAGGATTTGTGATGATGGAGTGACTTGGTTGCTCGAAGTCATAGCCTACAAATTTGAGGGTTAATCGAAGAAGGTCAAAGGCGAGGACGGATCGCTCTTCATAGGTGGAGCAAACGGTCGAAGTCCTAGAGTTTGTTCCTTGTCCTAGCTTTTCACGTAACAATGCAGCAAGGATGCCGTAGCCATTTTCCTTTTCCATTGCTTCACTGTTTCGCCAACTGTCTTGCACAGCCTCATAGAACGCCTCAACCGCTAAAAGTAATGTTTCTGCGGTTTTTGCCGAATGGACCAAGCTCAGTTGCACCGCTGCGCAGCCACCGATGCGCCAACTAGCGTCATCTAGAGAGTGAGGCACTGTCACTACAGGATCTCCAGTCAACACCCCGATTCCATGGGCTTGGGTCAAGGCATCATTGATAGCAGGAGTCGCTCCGTTGGCTGCCACCGCGTTCGCTCCCATCTTTGTTAGTTGGTGCAAGTTTTTGGCGGCTTGCTTCGAAAGAGACTTGATGAGTTGCGATTCGTCAATATTGTTGCCGTCATCATCATCGAGCACAGCCAAGGGAGAGACATTGAGGATTATAGATCCCTCCCGGATCAGATTGCTCGCTTTGCGCCTAATAGCAGTGACGATATCCGATGTCTCTTCTTTCCCGGGATGGAGATGCTCATTACGCAGATTCAAGGCTGCAGAGGCTTTGTAGGTCTGGAAAGAGCCCAGACAGTCCTGGTAATTTCCATAATATCGGGGACCAAGGTTGTAGAAAACAGAGACCATGTCGTCGCTATACGCTTCATCAAAGAGGATCGCATTCGCTAGAGACCACCGAGATAAGGAAACTCCCTTTCCAAGTTTCATTGCCAGGTCCTGAGGGGTGCCGTAGAAAGCCTGAACCCTTGACGCCCGGTTCGAAGGGCCCACGGCAGGCAAGGATGGGTATTCAATTCTCAACTGCTCGACGAATTCGCCATCGATAAAAAGGGAGGCCCGCGAGTACGATGGCGGTCTTGGCTTTTTGTGCACCACGCAGATGTGATACCACCGATTAGGTTCGAACGCAGTAGACTTGAACCGAACGCTGGGGCGAGAGCCTTTAATCGACGTCTGCAGGATGAAGTTGCGCGTGTCCTTCTCTAAGTACGCAAGAACAAAACATGTTTGGCTTGCATCAAAGGCGCCAAATATCGTTGTGTGTGTCGTCGTATCGAATTGATCAAAGCGTGCCCATACCGCAAGTGTGTAGCCCGACGAGGTTGTAGGCGGAAATGAGCGACCTAGGGTTGTGAACTCCAAAGAACAGAAACCGTGCTGAGAGAGGTCGAACTGAATTGACGGGGGTTCTTTCGAAGATTTCAAGGCGCCGACGAGGAACCGTAGCGCTTTGGGACAGGCGTGTGCTTGCTGATAGAGGAATACTGCGTCATCTAGGCTACTAATTCCCTGGGAGCAAAGCAGCTCTGCAAGTTCCTGATAGGCCAGCCTAACAGATTCCGGATGCTTTTCATCGAACACGATCGGAAGAATCAGAGAAAGAATCCCAGTAGCGTGCAGAATTGTGGTGTTCCGTTGAGACTGACGTGCAAGTTGACAGAGACACGATGGTAGAGCTAGTTTCTGTATTCTGTGGTCGAGATCGGGTGAGGGCTGGAGCAACCAGACTCGGATTAAAGGGCCTAGAAGCTCCGGCACTTCAACATTTTCCGAACTTCCTACACATCGATCCACTTCCGCTCTAAGGTCGGCATGAGCTACCTGATCGACTGTGTGGAACTTCTCACCCAGGGTCGTGAATATACGGGCAACTGTTTCCTGGCATAGGATGGCCGCAAATATGCCACCATAGAACTGTTCCGCATCGCCTTGGGCAGAGTCTACTTTTCTGGCCAGAACGGCAAAGGTCCCCTCCAATGCAGCTTGACCTCCCCCTACAATCCGATTTGCAAAATATCGCTTGTTTCCAAAATGCTCCTTCAGGGCCTCGGCCAGAACCGCCAATGCATCTTTGTGGAGGGACAAGAGGAATTTTCTTTCCTCTACTGACGATCCGTGGGGGTCATAATAGTCGGAAACCTTTCGTAGGAGGTCCAATAGCGTTTGGAACCCATGTAGCAGCCGAAAGCTCTCTTTAGCTTGTCGAGGGTAATCGCTGTCGATGAATGTGTGACGGAGACGAAGCAGGCATTCCGTTGCCGTGAGGGCAAGCTGAGAGTCTATCGCATTGCCCTCGCAAGTGGCCTTGAGCTCCTGGAGGACCGGGACTAAATCGGCGACCGAGCGTTGGACTGGTGAGGACGGGGACGAAAGGTCGAGGGAGGCGTTGGCTTGGTTCATCGCGCCGCCGGATCTCAACCCCGATTGCCTATCTGATGACCAGTAACCACCAGACACCATTCACCTGCACTTAGCGTAGGGATGAAGGCGGTCTGCATTGGTATGTACGCGGTTTCGGGAATGACTAGCGGGCCTTCAAACGAGGGCAAGTGCCTAGCATGGCACAGGTTAATGCGGGAGGGGAAAAAGGGCTTTGCCGGGTTTTAGGATAGATCAGCAATTGCGCGATTATAGGGATAGGGTAGAGCACCGCCAAGAATTCGGAATTCGGCGTGGAGAGGGCTTTTGCTTTTCTGGTAGTAGCAAAAAAACAAAAAAAAGAAAAGAAAAAAAAAAAAGAAACAATGATCAAATGGAAAACTTACCTCCACACCCTCGCAGAGATACAAGGTTTCCTGAATGTTGAGCTGAATGTGATGATAAGTCGTATGCCAACGTCACTTGAGGCTGTACCATGAGCGGGGGGGATATCGGATTATCGGTCGAGTTTCCAGCACAGAAGCCACGGCTAACTTATCAGGTGACATCGATAAGCTCTGGTCTTATCTCATTCTACGGCCGACTGCAGACACCTTCTTGGTAGAACCTTCCGGGGCGTGTATCCCCGGGTACCGTTACCGTAAGCATACGACGACTCCACTTTCAGAGAGTCAGCCGAACATCGGACCCAGCCTGGAAAGCACGCGACTTAGGGGGGTTGCCTAGGCACTCCGGTGGCTGGAGACATGCCAGCCAGGTACTGCAGGTACACCCACGAACGCTACCCGGTCAGTTGATTGCGGAAGCTTTCAGCTTCCCTCTCCAAGGATTTGGCATCCCGTATCTTACGGGTTTCTCCGCGCTGCTTTTGCATGGAAGATTAGGAATTAACTACCTAATTAATTAGTCGGTTTTGTTGAGTCACTGCTGCCGCGCAATACTTATGTACTGTTCACTGTACCAAGTAACCTAGGGTCCTCAATTCCATGCACACAGGATGCAGACTCCACTTCCCTTCGCCTCATTATGAAGATAGGATGGGATCATCTCGGAAGGTACTTTAGACCATACAAAGAAAGATACGACAGCTAGATAGGTATGGAGTAGATAGGTAAGGTAAGCAGGGGGATCCCCTTGGTTACGTGCTTCACCGTAGGTCATCCACCAACCTAGTAGCTTCCCACGGAGTAAGTTCCTTATCAGCCTGGTTACCGCCATACCCCAGGTCTACTGCCCGAGCGGATCGACAGAGCTGTGTCATCTGGTCACCTGCTGTAACTTACGGTAACCCGGTTGCATCATCCTCAGCTGCCCTTGCCTCTGCTCCCTGGCCCATCCATCCATCCTCTTATCCTTCTTCTACTCCATCCTCCCCCCTCGTCCTTCCCATCTTTCTCTTCCATCTCTCCTTCCTTCCATCATCATCGACCATATATTATTTCCATCCCCGCCGCCATCCTTTGTGAATCTTCGTTAACGTCGTCCCTATCTGCCCATCATGAAAGGCTTCCTGAGCCTTTCCCTGCTGCCGCTGCTGACGGCAGCCTCGCCCGTTGCCGTCGACTCCATCCATAACGGAGCTGCCCCTATCCTTTCCTCGAGCAATGCGAAGGAAGTCCCCGACTCCTACATTGTCGTCTTCAAGAAGCATGTCGATGCTGCTTCGGCTTCGGCTCATCACAGCTGGGTGCAGGACATCCACGAGTCTCAAGTCGAGCGGATTGACCTGAAGAAGCGGTCGCTCTTTGGCTTCGACGACCTCTACCTTGGTCTCAAGAACACATTTGACATTGCTGGATCCCTGGTCGGCTACTCTGGCCACTTCCACGAGGATGTTATCGAGCAGGTTCGGAGACATCCCGACGTAAGTATCTTGTCTTCTTATCTCTCTCTATGAAGCTCCTATCAGTACTACTTTCCGTCATGAGCTTTGGGGCTGATCTCTCGGTATAGGTCGAGTACATCGAGAAAGACTCCGAAGTCTTCACCATGGCTGAGGAAGAACCCGAGGTTGAGAAGAACGCCCCCTGGGGTCTGGCTCGTATCTCTCACCGTGATTCTCTCTCCTTCGGCACGTTCAACAAATACTTGTATGCGTCGGAGGGCGGTGAGGGTGTCGATGCCTACACAATTGACACTGGTATCAACGTTGACCACGTTGACTTTGAGGGCCGGGCTACTTGGGGCAAGACCATCCCTACCAACGACGAAGACGCCGATGGTAACGGTCACGGCACCCACTGCTCGGGAACCATCGCCGGCAAGAAGTATGGCGTTGCCAAGAAGGCCAACCTCTATGCTGTCAAGGTCTTGAGATCCAGCGGGTCTGGTACCATGTCCGATGTTGTTCAGGGTGTCGAGTGGGCTGTTCAGTCCCATCTCAAGCGGGCTAAGGATGCCAAGGACGGCAAGGCCAAGGGCTTCAAGGGCAGCGTTGCCAACATGAGTCTCGGTGGTGGCAAGTCGAAGACCCTCGAGGATGCCGTCAACGCTGGTGTTGAGGCTGGTCTGCACTTCGCCGTTGCCGCTGGCAATGACAACGCTGATGCCTGCAACTACTCCCCGGCTGCCGCCGAGAATGCCGTGACCGTTGCCGCCTCGACCCTTCAGGACGAGCGTGCCTACTTCTCCAACTACGGAAAGTGCACTGACATCTTTGCTCCTGGCCTCAACATTCTCTCCACCTGGATTGGCAGCAAGCACGCCGTCAACACCATCTCCGGCACTTCGATGGCCTCGCCCCACATTGCCGGTCTTCTGGCGTACTTCGTCTCTCTTCAGCCCTCCAAGGACTCTGCCTTCGCTGTTGACGAGCTCACTCCTGCCAAGCTCAAGAAGGACATCATCTCTATCGCCACCGAGGGCACTCTCACCGATGTTCCTTCGGATACCCCCAACGTAAGTTACCTGGTTCCATTGTTTTTATTGCTGTTAGCTGTGTGGATTCTAACTGGCGTCTTTAGCTCCTTGCCTGGAACGGTGGTGGCTCTGCCAACTACTCCCAGATTGTTGCCGACGGTGGCCACAAGGTGTCGAGCGTCAAGGACCGCTTCGATGGACTGGTCGACAAGGCCGAGAAGCTTCTCACCGAAGAGCTTGGTGCTATCTACAGTGAGATCCAGGATGCAGTTGTTGCTTAGATTTGGAGATAATCTCTACAACGGGCATAGTGTTTCCCATGATAAGGCATAGGAATTGGTCGATCGAATACAATGGCGCTGGTCCTTTTTTTTTTTTTTTTTTTGAAATTGTTTTTGTGCTTTATCTGTTCCGAGTACTGGAGGTGCCGATGCATTGATTGCATTGGTTGTAACATCCTAACATTGTTTACCTACCACTCCTTCATGTTTTCCCATTTTTACCGTAGTATACATTGTTTCAACGAAACCTTGGCATATCTAGACACTTTTACTGTTTTAGTTTTCGGTGTCACTCAGACTGGGAATATGATTGAAACTATCTATCACACTGTCATAACCTTCTGGTCTGTGGAGAATCTCGAAATGTGTCCGTACACCGTAGGTCAGCCGGAGTGGCTTGGGCCTGGTCTCACCGGTTGGCCACGGGAGAAGCGACGATCAACCGCCGACGGGTCATACGCATCTGACAAACCGGGTATGTAGCAGGTTACTGATCTACAGAGCACATGCGCCCATAATTAATATCGCGTCGCGGGCTCTGCAACTTGCAGCCATTCTGCACCGCCCATTGACTTTTGACGTCCGCGCATACCGTCATTTGATATGTCAATCCCTACCGTCTCTATTGAGCCTGCTTGCTATGTATGTATGTATGTATGCACAGCCGGTTAGGTGCTTCGTCCGTCCGCAAGAATGTTCAGCTCGCGTGGACGTCTCTCATCAGGTTTCTTTCTTTTCGGTTATGGTCATACGGTGTACGCCGTATGTAGGCACTTGTGCTACATACAAACATAGGCACTAAGTAAGTTGGTATGGAGCACGGAGATGGATACCTACCTACCTAGGCAGACATGCCTAGGCACTGCTTACTGCCTAGGATGCGTAACTGCATGAAATCGTATACGTCATATCCTTCAACCCCATGCGTACACTAATAAGTCTAGTCTAGTCTAGTCTAGTCCTCCGTGTTTACTACTGTATTATCAGTTTAGTCTTGGTACGGAGAAGTCTTGGAAGAACACCGGAGGACAAATAACCTGTTTCCTTTCCCGCCAACCTTGCCTATCTACCTACCTATAGTAGGTCCCCATTCCTGTTCCAGCGTCAGTCTTCGGAGCTTATTCACTTGATTGATAACTTTGTTCGCGCGGATGGGGTCATGGGGTTGGTTGTTTGTGTCACTTGGTCGGGGGGGACCCTGGACGGGTGGGAGGGATTACGGTAGGGAGGTACATACATATCTAAGAAGTCAAATACATTACTGTAGGTAGAAGGTGGGTGGGTTGAGTTGGCGTTCCTTGTATGCTGAGTAGCTATGAATATATATTTTTTTTAAAGGGTGTAGGTATGTATTGTAAGTTTATCATTGCGTGTGATCACGATTTCTAGCCTTGATTTGTTTAATCTCGCTGGTATGAGGGATCATGGTGTTCGTACTTGTGTAGGGGCGTTTTTGCGTTAATCAGTCAGATGTGTTGATGTTTACTGCCTAGGGCAAGGGCGGTATTGCCTAAAGTATAGGTACTGCCTATACGGTTGAAGTCAGGCGTTGGACCTGTGTAGGTATTCATCAGTATAAATATCTATAGAGGTAGGTGTTGGCATATCAATGTAGATGGCTTTGACTTGATGTCGGAGAGCAGTGTTTCAATTTCTGTGGCGCCAGGTCGAACACGACTTCCAGTTTCAAATTTGAAGAATGATAGAAACTCCATTTCTAGATGTAAAAGATGTATGCTATGTAACCGATTGCCAGACGCAGGTCAACTGTCTAATGCCTAGCCCCCAGTACGCCTGCGCTATGCCATGAATAAAAATAGATGAGAGCTCCGAAGCGCCAAAAATATTCCTGTAAATCCGAGGGCAAATCGAACCCCCCCCCACCCCCCCCCCCCCCCCTTCAACGTCCTCCCCTAGTAGAAACGGTATGGGTGCGGCATTGCTGCTAGCGGCGGTTCTTGTCGTCTTCCTCGTCGTCGCTGCCGGTGTCCTGGTCGTCCACATTCAAGTCCTCGTCCGAGTCGCTTCCGCCAAAGACGTCGTCGTCGACATCGCTCTCCGCCCAGAAGTCCGAGTCGTCCTTTTCCACCGGCTTTGCCGCCGCGGTTGTCTGGTGAGTCGGCATGACAAACCCTTCGGGGATGTCGTTCTTGGAGGCCTCCACGTTGCTCTGAACGATCGATTTGTATTTCACAGGGTCTTTCCGGAGCATGATTCCGGCGTCGACGTTGGCGGGAGAAGACACCTCTGCATCGTCGAGCAGGGACAGAATGGAAATGAGAACGGATTCGACGCGCTGGGCGGGCGACCATCTCTCGGAAGCCAGTTCGCCGGACATCTCGTCTTCGCCTGGCGCGTGGAGGATGGAGATGCAGAGCTTGCCATCACGGTAGATGTTGGGGTGGTAAAGAGGACGGAGGAACCGGAATTCTAGAGACCAAGGGGTTAGTGTCTCCTTTCTTGGAGCCCCTCAACCCTGACAAAGAGGGGCGAACGAAGGAGATGGCGAAGAAAACTCACCTGGGGGCGAATAAGGATAATTCTTAGGGAACTTCATAAGGGCTTTGAAGTAGCCCCCATAGTAGGAGGAGTCCGGGTTGAGAACGATCAGCCCGATAGTCCAGTTAAAAATATCTTCCTCGTTCAGCTAGACACCAACAAACCAATCAGTCACGATGTTCACTAGTGATACGCCATAATTCGCCATCCTGAGAGGCTAGGAATGCATGATCCATGCCGAATCGATAGGAAGCAAACATACCTCGATGTTGACCCATGGCTCCTTTGCCAGCGTCTTGTACTCGTTCATGAGGATCCGTTCCGCCATGATGAGAGGATTGAGCAAGGAGACAGGTTATGATGACGCGGGGTGACTTGGATATTACGACGGCGGAGGAGAGAGGGAGAGGGAGAGGGAGAGAGAGGAGGATAGATTTCTTTATTGAGAAGGCGCGTTGAAAGAAAAGCCGCAGAGGAGAAGATGGTGGCGGAGGGGAAGTTCAAGCGGTCGCGTTATCTGACTGGCGGGAAGATCGGCCTGAGGCCCTTTGGATCCATTCCGCCTTTTTAACGTGCGAAGTCCCGTGGCAATCCAGGCGGAAAGTTCCGGGGTGGCGCTAAAAGTCAAAGGAGTTTTTCCCCTGGACTCTTTTCTCTCTCTCTGCTGGAGACTCTCCGATGGATCTTTGCGGCTCTTTCCTGTCGTCAGTGAAGAACACCGGAAAAATAAGTGGATTCCTTCACTCTCGACAGTGAAGGAGTAATTCGACTTCTTCTACCGCCCCTTTAGGCCAACGCCCTGTACATCATCGTTCTAACTGACGTCCATGACCGATCGGCCGGTGGGGGAACAAGGCGATAAGCCGTTCGAGTGGGGGGGTACCTTGCGGTGGGCGCCTATGTGTTAAATATCAATACTGCCTGCTAGGTACCACCATTGTTATCTTTCTCATCGTGGTTCTTAACTACTTATTCCTTCCCGGATTCCAGACTAGGATGACCGTGGGATAGCGTAGTCCCGGACATTCGTCAATCGAACATGACGCCTGTTCGGTCTTATGCGACGCCTTATCTCGGAGAAACGGTCTTTCAAGAGCGCGCCAGAGTCAAGAGGAGGGGATGGGTTGAGTCAGAGCTGGAGACAGGGTTACATTCAGCGAGGGAACGTTGTCAACTGATCTGCTTTTGCAGAAGCCCATGCGAGGATTGAGTCAGACCGACAGGGACGGCTGGAGCTGACGCATTTTTCTCATGGCGCCAGAACGCGGAGGTCGGGGACTCAAACGAGACAAGCCGGTGTGACTGCAGGCGAGCACGGACGTCTCGGTAGCTTATGCTCTGTACACCGTAGGGACGGAGTAGTGGGAGTAATATGTCAATGTCTTTTCAGACGGAGCAATAATAATCAGAGTATCTGGTCAATACGTAAATCCTCGGTCGCATCACGACATCCAGAAACTAGTCTGGTTTACGATCATCTAGTTGTACCCTATACCTACTCAAGAACGTGAATAGTGACTTGGAGGCAGCAATCAGGGGTCATGAAAATTAAGAAAAAAACTCTCCCAGCTGCAGCCATCTGATAATCCCCTCCATTCTCGTGGCTTCCTCCCATTCCAGCCCTCTTGTGAGATCCCCAACATGTCCGACATGCCCTTGTTATTCCTTATTGATTATCCATTATTCTATGTAACACCACCGCCAATGGGATGGCCCCGTCTCCCACCTTTAGTTCCTGGTGATATGGAGCAATTAATGATCATTGAAAGGCGAACGCACCAATTACTCTGGCGGGTTCGAGCCGTTGGTCTGGATCTCTCCTGCTTTTGTACTGAGGCGGTGGGACTTGGAGTCGGCCGTGGGTCCTCCAGCTAACTAATCCAACCTGCTTCCGCCTTCCCTCCGTCATAATTTCCCTCCCTCCAGTTCTCTCGCTCTCGCTCTCTCTCTCTTTCTCTCTTCCCTTCTGCTTTTTAGGCCTCGGTTTCTGCCTCCCTAAAGGACGTCGTGCGTGATTCAATATATTCCTCGCTATCTTTGGGCTCATTTTTTAAACCTGTCTCACTATCCCTTCCCCTTCGTCTCTGTACACTTTTTCCCTCTATTCTTTTTTTTCCTTGATTATCGAGTCCATTTTCGTTACCTAGAGTCGCAAATGCTAGGCTTGTCCTGCATATCAATGTCAAAGGATTTCTAAAACCGCGAACAGATTGGCTGTTCATATTCCTCCTATCGGTTCATTAGATCTTGAAATTGAATTTAAAGGCAAACGAATGAGTGTCACAAGTTCTCGTTCCAATCCCGGCTGTTTCCTATCCTTCTGCCGGAAATGATACCGGAATGTCATGGCCCAATTTGGGCTATCGATGACCTTTCGCGTTGCTTTCAACGAAAGTGAGCTCCTCGATTCATCCTTCCCTTGTCTTCATTGTCATCAGGATCATCTACTTACCCGTGATTCTTGCATTGCAGTTACCTACAAGTAATCTTTCCACTTACAGCATGCGGCCTTTCTCTGTTGTTCATTGTCTTTCGTATTGCCTATCGCTATGTGGTGGCCCGGAAGGGTGTTTCCTACAAAATTCTAAGCGACAATGACGCCGCGGCTGATGCTCGAGATGTTGGTTTCGTGGAAGAGGAGCAGGGCGAGGAGACCGACCCCATGTTATCCAAGGCGGCGCAGGCCGAGCAGTTGGAGTTTGAAGTTGATCGTCCCCGAGGCGAAATTCTGTTCATTTCCCTGGAACTAGCGGCGTTAGTGGGAGAAGTGGCTGTTTTTATTGCCATCCTGTTAACCGACGGCTGGGGCCACCAGGGTAAGCTCCCTGCCGTGGCGAAATTGATCTCCTGGGGCTACATTCTATTCCTCGCATCCGTGCGATTGCTTCTTTCGACCCTTAGTCTGCATTCCTTCCCCAGACTCTGGAATCACACCGCTACGTTGTATGGCCTGCAATGGCTGTTTGCCGTGTTCGTCCTCCGCTCTGCGGTCATTCACCCGATCTCAAGACGTGCCGTGACCTTGAGCGCCGTCGAGTTCGCGCTATCTACCTTCCTTCTGCTTATCGCTATGACCACCCGTAGAGGAAACAAGGCGGTTTTGGTTCCGCACGAGGACGGCCTCGAGCCGGCAAGACACCCAACGGCAAGCTTGCTATCCCTTCTGACTTTCAGCTGGCTCGACCCTCTCATCTTCAAGGGATGTAGGCAGACCCTGGAGCTCGAGGATGTCTGGAACTTGACGGGACCCCAGAAGGCTGCCACAGTGCTTGAAGATTTCCGTCGGAGACAATACAAAGGCTCCTTGACGTGGAAGCTCCTGCGCTACTTTAAGGGCACTCTTCTGGTACAAGGCGCATGGGCCGTGTTTGCTAACTGCTTTACGTACTTGCCCACGATCCTTCTGCGGGCCATCTTGCAGTACGTCGAGGATCCGAGATCCACTACGCCGAACGCCGCCTGGTTGTACGCTATATTGTTGTTTTGCTCCGGAGCCATTCAAGGAGTTGCCGACGGACAAGGTCTCTTCATCGGACGCAAACTGAGCGTGAAACTTCGTGCTATCATTATCGGCGAGATTTATGCCAAGGCTCTTAGACGCAAAGCCAGCGCCTCGAGTGATTCTGCGAAAAAGAAGTCGGCAGATGAGCCTCCAGCTGACACCAAAAAGAAGGGTCTCTTCTCCTTCGGTCGCAAGAAAAAGAAGGCCACGAACGACCCCGAAACGGATCCCGAAGATACCAAGAAGTCAGACGCAGAAGACGATACCCATCTGGCCAATATCGGTACCATCATCAACCTGATGGCGATTGATTCTTTCAAAGTCAGCGAAGTCGGTGCCTACCTCCACTTCCTGTGGGCCAGCGTGCCAGTGCAGGTTATCATTGCCGTCACCCTCTTGTATCGACTGCTTGGATTCAGCTCGTTTGCTGGCATCGTCATCATGGTCCTTATGCTACCCGTCAATATCTTCATCGCCAAACAATTCACCAAGGTCCAGAACCAAATCTTGGCCGGTACTGATGCTCGCATCCACGCCACCAACGAGATTCTCCAGAATATCCGGATCATCAAATATTTCGCGTGGGAGCAGCGGTTTGAGGATATTGTGAATGAAAAGCGAAAGGCGGAACTGAAAGCCTTGCGCTTCCGTTACGTTATTTGGTCCACGGCGGCGACTGTCTGGTACGGGACGCCGATTCTCATCACTTTCGCTTCGTTCTTCCTCTACACGGTGGTTGAGAAGAAGGATCTAACTCCGTCCATTGCATTCCCTGCTTTGTCCATGTTCTCTTTGCTCCGCATTCCCTTGGATCAACTTGCCGACATGCTGGCTCACGTGCAAGAGTCTAAAGTATCCCTGGACCGTGTTGATAAATACCTCAATGAGGAGGAGACCGACAAGTATCATCAGCTGGAGCCTGAGGAGAACGATGGGCAACCTCCCAGAATTGCACTGGACAACGCCACGCTGACCTGGGGGTCTCCCAAGGGACAGAACCAGGACGAGACGTCGGATGATACCGCTGAGGCATTCCGTTTGATCAATCTCAATGTCTCGTTCCGCATTGGATGTCTCAACATTATTGCGGGACCGACGGGTTCTGGAAAGACGTCGGTCTTGATGGCCTTGCTTGGAGAAATGAAGCTTTTGGAAGGACGTGTTCATTTGCCAGGTGGCACAGTGAGCCGAGTGGAACTCCCGGTGGACCCTCAGACAGGACTCATAGAAAGTGTCGCGTACTGCGCACAGGAGGCTTGGCTCGTGAATGACACGGTCAAGGAAAATATCGTCTTTGCATCTCCATTCGACCAGCGACGCTACAACGCCGTGCTCAAGGCATGCGCCTTGGAGCGTGACTTGGCCATCCTTGACGCCGGTGATCAGACAATGGTCGGAGAGAAGGGCATCAGTCTTTCAGGAGGACAGAAGCAGAGAATCTCTCTTGCCCGTGCTATCTACAGCAGGGCCCGGCATATTCTGTTGGATGACTGCTTGAGCGCTGTTGATTCGCACACAGCCAAGCACATTTTCAGAGAAGCTCTTACAGGACCTCTGATGATGAACCGTACTTGCATTCTCGTCACACACAACGTTGCCTTGACCGTTCCACAGGCACACCACGTTATTGTTCTCGACAACGGTAAAATTGCCGCTCAAGGCAAACCGGACGAGGTTGCGGCTTCGGGCGCCTTGGGTGATGATCTTCTCAAGTCCCGACCGACTTCTAGATCTAGCTCACAGCGTCCTTCCGACCGACAGACCGCAATGGAAGAACAGCGCGATGAGGAATCCCACACCAATGGTGCTGCCACCAATGGCCCTTCCGCCAAGGGCACGAAGCAGGAGGATGCCCGTCCCAAGCTGGTGGAGTCAAAGGCGGTCGGTAGTGTCCAATGGTCAACCGTCAAGATGTATCTTAATTCTATGGGTTCCTGGCAATACTGGGTCGGTGCTGTGCTTGTCTTTTCATTGCAGCAGTTAGGATCGGTCTCCACCAACGTTTGGATCCGGCAATGGGCGAATTCCTATCGCACCGAAGAACTTGGGACGGAAGATGCGGGCAACTACGCCGCCATGGCGAACTTGAAATTCCCATCCTTCAATGTTGGAAGCGTCCCACGAAGCTCGCCTGTAGGCTCTCCTCATCTGAACACGCAGGCAGCTACTGCCTCTTCATCGGATGTGAACGTCTCATACTACCTTGGCGTCTACGCGCTCCTTGGAATTGTTTATCTCTTGATCTCTCTGACCAGAGAGGCAGTGCTTTTCTGGGGCTCGCTACACGCGTCGTTTAAGATCCACCAGCGTCTCCTCAGGGCAGTGATGCACGCCAAGTTCAAGTTCTTTGACTCGACACCTCTAGGTCAATTGATGAATCGGTTTTCGAAGGACGTTGAAGCAGTTGATCAAGAGGTCGCTCCCGTGGCAATCGGTGCGCTTCACTGCCTAGCGTCGGTCATCATGATTGTGGTCCTGATCTCGGTCATCACGCCTGGGTTCTTAATCGCGGGCGTCTTCATTACGATGGTATACTTCGCGCTGGGTGCGGTCTACTTGAACTCCTCTCGTGATCTGAAGCGGCTGGAGTCTGTCCAGCGCAGTCCGTTGTACCAGCAATTCGGCGAGACCCTCAATGGTATTGTCACTATTCGTGCCTATGGCGACGGGCCGAGGTTTATCGTGGACAACCATCGTCGGATCAACAACTACAACCGGCCTCACATCTATCTCTGGGCTAGCAATCGCTGGCTGGCACTCCGTGTCGATGTCACGGGTGCTTTGGTGTCGTTCTTCACTGCTGTTTTCATCATCACGAACATTGGCAAGGTTGACGCCGGTGCTGCCGGTCTGTCATTGACGTACGCGGTCACCTTTACCGAGAACATTTTGTGGCTGGTCCGACTCTACTCCGAAGTTCAACAGAACATGAACTCTGTTGAGCGGGTCAACGAATACCTCGATGTCGAGCAGGAGGCGGAGGCAGTCATTCCTGACTCAAGACCCCCGGCGGACTGGCCCAGTGCTGGTGCCGTCGAATTCTCCAGCTATACCACACGGTACCGCGCTGACCTCGATCCCGTTCTACGTGGAGTTTCTTTCGCGGTGCAGGCTGGTGAGAAGGTTGGCATTGTTGGTCGTACTGGTGCCGGTAAGAGTTCCCTGGCTCTTGCCCTGTTCCGCGGTCTTGAGGCCGAAAAAGGACACATCGAAATCGACGGCGTGAAGATCAGTGATATCGGGTTGCGCGACTTGCGAGAGGCCATCACCATCGTGCCTCAAGACCCCACCCTTTTCACCGGAACGATACGGAGCAACCTCGACCCGTTCAACTTGTTCACCGACGAGCAGATCTTCACGGCGCTCCGACGGGTGCATTTGATTGGACCTGGCACTTCGGGAACTGCCACTCCTGTGGCTGGCAGCGCGAGCACTGCTGTCGAGCCCAATGCGATCAACGTCAACGGATCCCTGGTTCTGGACAACAAGAACGTATTCCAAAACCTGGAGACTGCGGTATCCGAATCGGGCTCGAATCTCTCGCAAGGCCAAAGACAGCTTCTTTGTCTCGCACGTGCCCTTCTCAAGAACCCCAAGGTCCTCATGATGGATGAAGCCACAGCGTCCATCGACTATAACACCGACGGCAAGATCCAGGAGACGCTCCGTGAACTGCGCGAGAGCACCATCATCACCATCGCCCACCGTCTTCAGACCATCATCGATTACGACAAAGTTCTCGTATTAGACCACGGGCGTGTCATCGAGTACGACCACCCTTGGACCCTTATCACCAAGGAAGATGGCCTCTTCCGAAGCATGTGTGAAAACAGCGGGAACATGGAAGTTCTCGAAGACGGCGCGAAGAAAGCCTGGGATAACAAACGTCTTGTTGATGATTCTTAGACAGCCAACAAAAGCAACAAACCTCCTGTCCTTTCTTAAATATACATAATTGTCTTATTATTCTTGTTCATGTTTCCTTCATTCCTCATCAGTCTCCCTTCTTTCTTTCCTCTTTAACTATCCTATATTAGATGGGCATGAGAATGAGAAAGGCTGAGAGTGACGACTGCAAAAAGAAAACAAAAAGTTTTGAATCCGAGGATGAAAGTATTCCTTCCACTTGTTACGGGGTACATCGCTACTGCGAACCTTGGCCAGGTTTCTGTTTCTTCTTCTCTGTCTTTTGACTATTGGTATAGCGTTCATTTCATGTCTGCGTTGCATGCTTGCAAGCATGTTTCAATGATTGGGGAAGAATGTAATGATATGTCTTCCTTCGTACTGTAAGCCAATGGATATGGGCAGATCGCTCTGATAGACAATTGAAGATAAATTAGTTGAGATGAGGATCTTTTCGAATTTCATTGTATGTAGCCTCATTTCGGGTGACTACGTCATGTACGTAATGCCGTTCTTCATGATATCAGGAGTGAGTCTTCAAAAAGTTGTTTAGAAGGGGAAGAAAAGTCTTTCATGCCTTGCCCCAAATCTAACGTGCAGATTGCATGATAATTCCGATCAATTGCGTAGATTTGATATTGTTACAATCACCCTGCCCGGGAAGCTTTTGCTGATGCTTAATCGTGGTCAAGATAAGAGGCCCAGCTTCTACTATGATATACTACACAGTACATGCATATGACTCGATATCTCGAAACGACATTTATGAACAGTTTAAGAACAGAATCTCAAGCAGGATGAGGGAATCCATCCTCCACAACCGATTCATAAAACATATGTAATAACTAACTCGAAGAAAAAGAGACCCGCTGACTCAGCCCTACCATCTCCATCTGGACAGGCGATCGACATTCCCCACCCAAGTTTAATCGAAGATCCGAGCAGATCCGAAGTATGACAGCATCCACTTCCCAACGGACAGGTTCAACGACTTTTTTCTTTCTTCTAGATCCACGATGATCTAGTCAATCGTTGAACCACAGGCAGGGTACGAGTCATGTCATGTAGTCAGTGTTCCGAGAACCGGGAGAGAAGCAAAGAAAAAGAAAGTTCACGAACGGGTCGATCATATCCAATCTATCAAACTTTTTTTCTTCTCTTTTTTTTTCCCTCTGGATCCCGACCGATTCGGACCCCCCGGGGGAAACATGATGATATCACGAGATCTTCCGCATGAGATCAACGGCTGGAAAGGCCGGATCGCACCAATTCTTCACTTTTTCTCTTCTGCCTAATGCTAACGAAACATCCCCACACAATACACCGCTGAAGATCCTGCTTCCTGCTCAGCCCCGGAATGGACTGGGAAAAAGCCACGTAAGACCCGGGGATTAGATCACTTCAATGGATGAAACGTCGGTAATAAGGTTCATTGTTTCCAGGGTGCAGGGATCCTTTTGGGCTCACGGTACCGGGAATAGCATGGGAATGTGCTATGAGGATATAGAGGTATGATGCAACGACGATGGCGATGCCTTGGATTCGGCGTTCCCCGGGGGGGTTGGACGACGAAGCTGCGTGGTTGTGTAAGGCTAAGAATAGTTGTCATTGCATCATACCGTTGCATTTTTCCATGTCTTCGCGGCCACTGGATTGTGTTCGAGGGTGGTGGGAAGGAGTTATATTAAGAGGGTGGTGTGGACTGAGTATTATTCTCTTCTGAATCCCTGCGATTTTCTCCCTATTTGCTAGGATCGGAATACTTTTCTTCTCGTTTCATATTCACTCATCCAGTGAGCCTCTCTTGACCAAAAAAAGCGACCAAGCGAAAAGACACATCCGAGTACATAAGCATCATGCGTATCTTCTCTGCGTTGAGCGGCCTCCTCCTGGCCGGTGCCGCCTTTGCCCAGAACTCGAGCTGCTCGCCCAAGTCGGGCGATGTTCAAGTCGTCCAATTCGGCTGGGCTCTGCAGTATCTCGCCGAAAGATACTACTCGGCGCAGCCGCTGAACCAGACCTTCCTGAACAGCGTCACCAACAGCTCGCGCGCCAACTACCAGAGCAACTTCCAAGGCATCCAGCGACAGAACCGCCTGGGCGTCCGCGCCGTCCAGCAGCTGGGATCCCAGGTCTCCGGCTTTAGTGCGCCCCGGTGCAACTACACCTTCCCGTCCGCGTCGGACGGCGAGACCTGGGTGAAGAACGCGCTCAAGTTGGAGCAGAGCATCACCGGCGCCTTGATCGGCCTGTCCGGCTACACTCAGTCGCCCGAGGTTTCCTTCCTGCTGGCGCGTCTGTCGGCCGAGCACAGCGGCCACGCCTACTATATCGCCAGCCAGCAGCAGGGCACCGTCTTCCCGACCAACAGCTCCTCGTTGGTCCCTGCGTACACTCCGGACTGGGTCCTGCAGAATGGAACCCAGCCCGGAAAGTTGGGCTCGTACCTCAAGAACTGCGTCTCGCCTCCCTCGTCGCCGTGCGGTGAGAAGCTGAACATCGGACCTCTGATCGGCACTTTCGGATCGAACTCGACTACTAACAGCACCACCAACTCCACTGCCTCTGCCTCGCCTTCGGCTGGGCTTTTCGCAAAGGTGTTCTAGAGAAATTCTAGATTACTTTGGCTCATGAACTCGAGCGCCGCTGCCTGGCATGCAATAACGTTAAGATCTCACGGCACATAAAGGCGCATCCAACTGGAGATTGCAACGATATCTGGTCTTTTCCAGGGAATGATGGTTTTCTGTTGTCGACATACTCTGTAATCAATTAATTGTCTCCGCATGTTTATTATTGTACTTCAAGTTAGGAGATCGTGTCATGTAATGACTAATGTACAAGACTTCTGAACCTATACATTTCTATCATATAGTAGTTTTGGTGGAAGCGAGTGAGCGTAGTCACGAAGTGATCCAGATCGGTGGGTGTGTATCTTGAACACAATATCATCTCAGCCTAGGAAGCACGGCTGCCTAATGCGAGGGTGAGTTACCGCTGATAGTAGAGACACAGGCTATGTAACGGCGCTTCGACTGGCCAAGCCCCAGAAAGCCGGATACCCACTGGGCTCCAGAGGCCGATGTCCACAGGAAGCGCTACACTCATCCGATGACATGCGACCGAGGATCAGCACCAACAGTCGCCATGTCCAATTGGTTGGGGAGAATAGCCAGATCCAGAAAGGAAAAGGGTCCATCTCCCGACGTCTTCCGAGAGGTTTCGGTGGCGCGGACCGCGATGCAGCGCTTGAGATTCTGCAAACAGCACGTAACAAATTTCAATCCGTAAAAAGCGTGGCTACAGCCCCTATGAGCCAATTCAAGCAGAATCATGATTGCGCGTCTCGTTTCGTGCATGAAGTCTATTCATGTTGCTCATGCCGGCCGAATCAAGGCCAACCATTTCTCTAGGCTCTCTCCAAGGGTATTGATGAATGGCCACTGAGTGTTTTTGCGGAAAAGACGGGCCCACAATTTGATCACAGCCACTCCAAGACTAGCAGGATCTTGGCCGGGGAGAGCTTCGTCATCTTCCAAGTCCATCGAAGTATATGCCTCTTCAACGATGCATCGGGTCCAATGCAGGATGCGATTTTCGTTATCTGCAGAGCAAAGTCAGCTAAAATTCATGTAGGTAGGCAAAATTGTCTGATTCGCATTCATTCATACCGCTCAAATTTTGATCATTGCCTGTTTCTGCCAAGGACAACAGCCATTTGCTCAATAGAACGGCACATTCAAGACTAGCAATTGAATGGCGCACACTCCAAAAGAAGGCCTGACTGCGTGCGACATGGTCAATTCCAAGTCGCACAGGGATGCTCAAAGCATGCGCTGAATATATAAGCGCAGGTGTCAACCGGTAGCTTCGGCCGGGTCGAGGGGACCTGTGCAATGCATTGGCAATCCTATACGGGTCTCTCGTCTCAAGTTGACGATAAGGCCCCAAATTTAGAGAGAGTCGAACGTAGGCGAGGCCTAGGAGTGAACTCGAAGTGAACGGGATAGGTCCGTTTTCATTATGAGGGTCAAGGCTTGACTCCGGGGCTTGTTGCCAGACTGAAGTCCAAGATCGCAATGCTCGCCTGGTCATTACTGTTAGAAACCATTCGTAGAAAACCAGCGTTGAAGTCCAACTGATCACTTACTCAAGCTTGTTCAACTCCTCTGTGGGTAGTGAGAGCATCTGGTCGCCTGTCGGCAAAGAAAGCTCGCTCACTAGGTGGATGCGCTGAAGAAGGCCATGGAGGAGAATATAGTTACCCAAAGGTGCCGGGATCGGATCTAACATGACGGTGGTCCGCGACTGCTGTAGAAGGAGAGCCAATGCATCTTGGAAAAACAACTGCTGCGAGCCTACTTCTTTTTGAGCCGCCTCCCATTCCTGAGGCGTGCTTGCTTTCCACTCCTTTGTCGAGCATGGGAGGCGCAGATGTACTTCGCTGCTGCGAAGCACGGGGTAGATATTGTAAGCTATGCTGTGGACGTGAACAAAGCAGAAGGCGATAAACCGAGTCCGTCGGATAGACTCCTCTTCCGCCCATTCGTGCCACTGAAGAGGTGCGTGTCTTGGAGCCACAGTGATATTCTCTGTCAAGCCAAAGTCGCGGAGACATCGCACAAGCAGGTTCTGGATACCAAAAGCCTCCTGGACCAATTCGGCACCTTCCCAAGTGGAATACGCCATCAGAGAGAGCAAGGTACGGATATTCTCGATTTGCCTCCACGCACTCATCCCAATGGCATTTTCTGATGGCGCGAGTATCGGAGGTTGGCCGGGTTGTTGAGACGATTCACGCAAATCTTCCAACGGTATTTGAATAACCGTGTTGTAGGCTCCCGCTGGGGGTTGAGTGGACTCTTTGGAGATCCTGTGGAGAGCAATCGCCTTCGCAGCATGGAATATTCTCTCGGCATTGCGATGCTCAAAGCGATACTGCGCACCTACAGTCAAAAGTGCCAGAATAAGCTCCGGAGCGCGCTCGTTGATCCGAAGAGTTGGAACGTGAAGGAATGGTAGATGTGGATGGAATCCGTCAAAGAACGAGGTCAAATATCTCGTCAGCGTGTGTCGTGAGGGCAAAACAAAATCCGGAATAAGATGCCGGAACTCTTCCAGAGAGGTCGCAAGGCGCAGCCTTTGCTCTTCGCTCACCTTGAGCGGAGTGGACTTCTTGGAAATTTGGGGCGGTTCTAAGAAAATGGTTAGCAACCCACAAACTGCCTGCAGACAATCATCGAAACATCAATAGCCTACCGTAATCAGAGACTGTTCCCAAACTTTGATCACCGGGGGGCACAGAGGGCAACCAGGACCGGAATGGAGAATCACCACGAGAGCCCTCCCTCTGGCCACGGCGAGACGTTCCATGTACCTCCCGTGTGTTCCGACTCGGGTCAGGGACGTCGGCGGGGACTGCACTCTGTACTTGAGGGACATCACCCAACGCAGGCACCCATTCCGAGGGCAATCCGATCGAGTCCAGGAAATGCGTGAATTCTTGAAAGTGGTTCAGATCCTCCGGTAGATAAGGCAACGGTTGAGCTAGCAAGCCATTAGCTGGCAGGAATTAAACTAGTAGACGCTCAATTTACCAGGTTGTTGGGCATCCCGAAAGTTGCCAGGAAGTAGGAGCTGGGCCGCTTGGAGGATGTCGGCATCGTGAGTCACCGCAGGGTGTGGTTCGAGAACTGCACTGCTGCTACCTGCATTGAGCATACCCTGACTCTGTTCCATGTATGGGACCTGCTGTGGCGGGTGCGGGGGTCCATTCCATTGCTCCATTGTATTAGGTTGCACCGGGGGAGGCATCTCGGATCGCGGGGTAGGTTGGACATTGTACTGCGGCTGTGGATGTTGCTGCTGCTGGGGCGTCGATAGGTCCGGTGCCGACGTGTGACGTGCAGCAGCCTGGGACTGTTGTTCCGAGACATCTCGGTCAGGTTGGGAGTTGGGTGAGATCAATCCATTATTGTCATGGGTGATGCGAGAGTGTCGTTTCAGGAGATCCCGTCGAGTAAAAGCCGCTCCGCAGAAGCACACGTAGGGCTTCTCCTTAGTATCTGCCGACCATTGTCAGCCTGCATTCCTGCAGCGAGGACCTAGCGTCATGTCGCGTGGCGGACGGTGGTACGTACGAGTGCGGACATGCCTATCGAGATGCTCGGTTCTCCTGAAGCTCCGACCACAGTGGCTGCAGACCCGGGGTTTTGCTCCAACACTTGAGCGACGACGGGCTCGGGGATATTGCGAAGACTGGGACAACATCAAGTCATTTGGGGGATCCCAGGGTGATTCTAAACAAACAGGGTAGGTAGGGGGGGTAAAGGACTCTCCACTTTTGGAGAACAGCAGGGGCAGTGACAAGAGGGCAATCCGGAGACGATCGGGCCTTCGACGGAGGGGAAAGTCGCCCGTGACTCCAACACGTGCTCCAACGCCACCCGACTCTTGCCCCACTTCTTCCCATGATGATCTCCAACTGAACTCTTGCATATATCATTGCTCATTACGGAGTACGGAGTAGGTAGATACTTGAATCGCGAGACGACGGAAACAAAATACCCTCCATCTCAGTCATGCCGCTCGCATATTCGTTTCCCGGAGTCGCCGTCATCACCGGAGCTGGCGGCACAGGTATGCTCACGATCGCTCCTAGTCTCAATTTATATATTAATACTACCTCCAACTGCCAACACCATATCTAATGCCATCCAGGAATCGGCGCAGCTACAGCTCGAGCATTCGCCGAAGCAGGATGTCCAAAAATCGCAATCACAGATCACAACCCAGCAACTCTCGAAGAGACCCGAGAATTTATCTGCACCAGATACCCCAACACCGAAGTCGTGGCCGAAGCAGGGAATATTGCACATGAACCATTCGTCGAAGACTTCATGGCCCTTGTAATCCAAAAATTCGGACGCATTGACTACGCAGTCAACTGCGCAGGGGTTCTAGGGGACGCACAACGGTCGACAGACACACCAATACAAGCCTTCGATCACATCAATCTCGTCAACTATCGAGGAACGTTCCTCTGTTCGCGAGCAGAGCTGAGATGCATGCTCCGACAAGCTCCCCTTCCAAGTCACGACCCCGATCGTGCACCGCAACGAGGATCGGTGGTCAACGTTGCCAGTCAATTAGGAATTGTTGGACGGCCTAGCGCTTGTGAGTGTGAACCTGCCCCGATAAGGTAGATGAGTTCTGTACTGATTACGACAGCCGCATACTGTGCTTCCAAAGCTGCTATAATAGCCATGACTCGGTCGGATGCAATCGATTATTCGAAGGACAATATCCGCGTCAACTGCGTCTGTCCTGGCGTTATCGAGACGCCCATGACCACGCACAGCGAAGAGGTTCGAGAGCGACTGAAGCCGGCCATCGATATTGCTCCGATGAAGAGAATGGGGAAGCCGACGGAGGTTGCTGATACGATCTTGTTCCTGTGCTCGACGTACTCATCCTTTGTGCAGGGGCATGCGCTTGTTGTGGATGGAGGATATGTCATTAATTAGGGAATGGTATAATTTAGTGGAAATAATCATCCTGGGGGCATGCGCTTGTTGTCGATGGGGGGGTAAGTGATCCCTTAATAATGGCGTAATGTAATTGCAACAATCATCCCGATATTTTAGGTAGTTACGAAGAATGTGATGTCCAATTTATCTACCTTTTAATAATCTCTTTACCATGTGTATAAAACTCTTGCGGTTGTTTTCAACGAGATGATATACCATCAAAATAATAGCAGATAACTAATGTCATTAAATTCTCCTCTTCATACCCTATAGCATAACCAAATAGTCGTAAAGCAGTTTATGCATATTATCCAATTCTTCCCGACAAGCCTTATACACCTTCCTTCCAGTCAAAATGCGTCTCCCACGCGCGCCCAGCCCTCAAAATCTTTGACTCCTCCCACAACCCCCCAACGATCTGCATACCCACCGGCAATTTCACCTGCGGGTCATCCTTCGCGGGCGCAAAACCCACCGGTATCGACATGGCCGGATGCCCCGTGACATTAAAGATCGCCGTATTGATGGTCAACCCGGAACTCGGCGTGACGGACTCGATCGGCAGGCCGCGTTTCGCATTCCTCGGCGCAACAACCGGCGTCGTGGGCATGACCACCACGTCGAATTTCGTGAACATGTCCTCGTACAGATCCCGAAGTTTGCGGCCGATGTTGCTGGTCTTGCTGTATAGGTCGGGAAACCGAGAGGAGAGGTAGAGGCCGTTGATGATCACGTTCTTGGTGGCTGGGTATGCGCGCTGGAAGCCCTCGTTCGTCCAGGGGAGTCGTTCGCGCTCCATTTCGGTCATGTAGAGAGATCGCCGGCCTGTGGCGTGGCCGAGCAGGTTCTGGGACCCGGCGATGCGTTGCTGGATCGTCCAGATGGCGGGTCCGTGGAGATGTTCGGGGATGGACACTTCTTCGATCGTGGCGCCGAGCTGGGTGAATTTTTGGATCGCGTCCTGTACGGTCTTCTTCACGGCTGGGTCGACCATGTTGTGTTCGAATCCTTCCTTGAGGACGGCGATCTTGAATCCGTCGAGTCGGGTGGGCCCTGTTTGGAGGGTGTTGGCGTAGAGCGTCGAGCCGTGCTTGGGGCTTCCCAGGCATCTGTCGTCCATTCCGTCGTACCCACTGATCGAGTCCAGACATGTGGCCACGTCGAGGACATTTCTAGCTAGAGGTCCGGTGTGATCATTGACAGCATCGCCGCTGCTGATCCCACTATAGGGCACCAGGCCGAATGTGGGTTTCAGGCCGATACCTGGAGATAAAAAAAATTAGCCATACTGTCACAGACCGGAAAACGCATATTCTTCGTTCACATACAGCCACAAAACGAAGCCGGCACTCGAATACTTCCCCCCTGATCACCACCAATAGTGATATCCACCAAACCCGCCGCAACCAAAGCAGCGCCTCCAGAAGTACTACCCCCCGAAGAATACCCAGTCGCGAAGGGATTCTCAATCGTTCCCTGCGCACTCGTAAACGAAGAAGTCGAGTGACACAAATTCTCACAAGTCGAAGTCCCCAGGATATCGGCGCCAGCGTCCAGAACACGAGTCACGACGGTAGCATCTGAGACGGGCGTCCAGGACGGAATGATATCGCTTCCATGGAGTTGAGGCACACCAGCCACAGCGATGCAGTCTTTCAGACTGAAGGTCTTTCCCGCAAGAGGACCGCCGTTCGCATTGCCCTTGATGAGGAACTTGTGGGCCCATGCGTGGCCGAAGACCTGTTCCTCCGAGGATGGACGTCGGACATTTTGACGGGGATAGCGATCCAGATCAGGCACGGGCTGATAGTCCGGCATGTTCGAGACGGTCTCGGCACAGTCGTGCACCGCTGCTAGTAGCGTTTGGAAGTCATCTTCTTCGTCCGGTTCGACGGATAGGCCCACGGGTCGGAGAAGATCTTGGACATCGCCCTTTTTGACCGGATTATTCCTATCGCGACAGGTAAGTAGGGCACATCCCCAAGGAAAAGACTCGGACTTACGGAGAAATCGACGTGAACAGCACCGACATGATGATCTAGCAGCGAACGAAACAAATTGGTAGGCGTTTGTAGGCGTAAAATAGTGTAATTAGTAGTAGAGTCCGTCAGCGCCAACACCTTTTCGCACAGATCAAGAAGAAAAGATATCGAGGGCGATAAATCTCATTTTCTGTACCCAAGAACCCCATTCCGTCTCCAATATCATTAGAGAAGCATTTACATAAGAATGGACGAAATCTCCATCGTCGTCGCCATTTCTCCAACTCCAACTGCCAAGCCCACGGGCTCTTATCACCGCTGTTGGAGTAGACATGAGGCGACTCCAACGTGGCAGGACAGGATCGGCGAGTACGGCGTGGTATCAGGATTCTAGCCATTTAGCTTAGTTGTCTGTAGCTAAGACTAGCCGGAGACCGTCCGGTGGGTGTCAAGAATTAGCATGGGTGAATCCCGCGTCCGTCTTATGGCGATGGGTCCATTAAGTCAAGTGTTGATAACGAGCCCGTACGGAGTAGTTATCCGTTAAGGCAAGAAAAATTCGCAAGAATATACCTATCATCGGAAAAGAAATATAGTTTTCTTTTCGAAGTCTTCCCATTTTGATTCAGATACACGTTCTGATTTTAAATGCACGAGTCCTGCACCGAGCAATGCCAGAGGCCCGACCGTCATGCGATAATTGCAATGAAGATACTGTCGCTATAAAAACCCCAGGAAAGAAAAAAGAGAAAAGTGGTCTTCTTAAGAAACAATATAAGAAAGAAATTCTTCCTTTTAATTTAATTACTATCTTGCTCGCGAGACCCTACCATCAGTAAGGTTTAGGGTTCAGCTAGCCTCATGACCGAAAGAGGAGGACGCAAGGGGCCGATCCTTGTTATTATTGACCAAATCACTCTCATCACCATGCCGTCTCAGCTGAGCTAGTAACTACTCGATAACCCTATAAGACAGCTCAGAACATGCACAACCAGCTACCTAGGTACTGTTCTCTCATCGCATATGTTGGCTCGGATGTTTATTCGCCACCGAGTCGCTGACATCACGACCTCTTCAGAGTGCTACACTGAACGCTACGTGTCAATCTATCCTTCCACAACGAACGAAAAGGGAAAGTAAGTTTATTTAAACTAAGCTTCTTGTCACTTCCACTAGAGCACCTACCTGCTATCTACTACTCCCTACTCCATCCTCGGTGATCACTCCGGGTTTCTACTGTGCAGCGGTCAGCGGCAGGGCAAGCGCTGCCGAGCATCAAGTAACTCCAATTCGTGGTTACGATCGAGCCCGATCGCTCCTCCAATGGGATATCTCTGTGGCTTCTCGAGCTTCTAGAGGCGCGGGGTACGGACAGAACTTGCCAAGTGTGATTGCTGATTAGTCCGTGAGCGTTATCAGCTCGTTCCTGTGGATCCTGGACTCCAAGACTGTTATCAATCGACCTTGCTACATGAGGTAGAGAGACGGTTCCTTATCGATGACAGCCAGCGTTGCCTGTCGCTTATCAGGGTGCCAAGGAGGTCATAGGCTGATCTCAATAGCATATATAAGATAGACAGCATATCACGCAAATGATCCTGGTTTCTTGGAGAGCGTTGTTTGATTTATTCAGTTGCTCTTAAGCCGATCCCGTCTATCATGGCGGCTTCTCCCGATGACACAAAGGACTTCAAGATTGCTGCGGCTAGCCCGCCCGCCGATGACTTCGGAATTGCCAATTCGGAAGAGCTCAAGGGTGGAAGTGACCAATATGAGGTTTTCAAGAGAGGGGATGGTCAGGTCGACTTCCGGACGGTGAGCTGGATCCGCGCATCGGCTATCTTTCTTAAGAGTAAGATCCTCTTGAGCAGTATGGATTGCAACCCATCAATTCTGATGCATCGCAGTGCTCTTTGCTACCGGCATTCTCTCCATCCCATCGGTAATGTACGATCTCGGTGCCTTTCCGGGAGCCGTGAATCTAGTAGGCTGGTGCCTCCTCAACGCATACGGCGCTATCATCCTGGGAAACTTCCGCAATCGGCATCCCCAGTGTCATTCGGTAGCAGATATGGCCCAAGTCATCGGCGGGCCTATCCTCCGGGAGATCGTGGGATTCATGTTCATCATTTCATACGTGATCACGGCCGCCTCCGGCGTCATCGGCGTCTCGGCTGCCTTCAATGCTTTATCGCTCCATGCCATGTGTACGGTCTGGTGGTCAATCATCGCGACGGTCATCATCGCTGCTTTCGCCAGCGTCCGGAAATTCTCCCACATTGGATGGCTCACGTGGGTAGGCTTTTTCAGCGTTCTTGTGGCGGTTTTTATCATCGTGTATGCATTCGTTCCCCTCCCTCGCTCACCGTTTGATTAGTATCCCAGCTGGAGACTGACAAATTCAACCTCTAGTATCGGCGTAACAACCCGAGACAGACCGGCTGTGGCCCCTCAGACCGGAGACTTCGACTTCGGTTACCGGGTCATTGGCCATCCTACCTTTGCAGCCGGCATCACGGCCGCAGCGACGATCTTCGTCTCCAGCTCCGCCACATCCGCCTTCCTCCCAGTCATCTCAGAGATGCGCAACCCCAAAGACTACCCCAAAGCGGTCTATCTCAGCATGGGTTTCGTGACCGCCTCGTATCTCAGTTTTGCACTGGTCATCTATCGCTGGTGCGGCAAATGGATCGCCTCTCCCTCGCTCGGCAGCGCCGGCGAAACCGTCAAGCGAGTCGCATACGGCATTGCATTACCGGGTCTCATCGTCAGCGGATCTCTGTATGTGCACGTTGCCGCCAAGTATCTCTTCGTGCGAATCCTGCGCAACTCAAAACACCTGCAATCGAACAGTCTCACGCACTGGGGTACATGGCTGAGTTGTACAATCAGCCTTTCAGCGATCTCGTTCGTGTTGGCCTCCGCGATCCCGATTTTCACGTATGTATTGGCGCTGGTGGGGAGTCTTTTCTTTGCGCCGCTGGCGATCAGCCTGCCCGGGTGGTTGTGGCTGTATAGTCATGACCATTATCGACGCGGGGGTGTGATGCGGAAGGTCGTGTACAGTCTACATGTCGGTCTTGTTCTGTTAGGAGCGTTCATGGCTGTCGGCGGGACGTATGGGGTGATTGTTCAGATCATGGATGCTTATAAAAGCGGGAAGATCGATAAGGTGTTTTCTTGCGCTGATAATAGTGGTTCGGTCTAGATGCGAATGCAATGTTAGTGATTTTGGTTGCCATGTTCGATGATCCCAAGGACTTGTGATATTGTATAATTTTGTACGACTTACTGTCATGTGATATGCACACAGAAAAGGTCATTTAAACGAGACATCAAATAGAGCATCAGGGACAACATAGTAACTCTTGCTTACTTCTCCTGCAGGTTAGTTCGACAGGCGAAGTGCCTCATTTCAAAAGACCGGAATGTTCTCTTACGCAGAACGAACGAGATGGAAACGGACCAAGTGACTTGCATAATCATATCCTCATTGTATTCATGACTTGTGTAGCGCATGACCTCGTTGGCCTTAACCTAAGGACCATTGCACGACATATGCAAAGATGATAATCCTTCAGCACCGGACAATAAAACTTCGAATTTCAATTCCCTCGTTGCTTTGCGTGAGCGGAATCCGACACGAGTCCAAGTCGCTGGCACCAATCGCTCCGACGGTTTGGTTACGCGCACAATCATCGTCTTCGAAGAGCGTCACCGTACACAAGGGCTGTGTGAATGTCCCAGGAATATATGCCAAACCTCCGCCGTTGAGGATAGCGTCCCGACAAAGCGTGCTCCCATTTCCTGAATATGTGGTCACTCCACCCGTGCATTGTTTGTTCTGGAAAATGTTGAACTCCCATGAAGCATTTGGGTTGTGGTGTTGCTGTTGGTTGTTTGAAGAAGTTGCAGCGATGGTCTGTAGGAAAAAGAACAAGACAGGAGAGATTGCAGGGACGGGTTTCATGGCTGGAGGGGTCTAGTTGGTCGGATGCGGCGGATTTCGATTCTATTCGCTCGATTGCAATGGCAAACTATGTGTTCCTGCTGTGGGTTTGAGGTCCAGAAGCAAAATGATCCGATCTACTGAGTTCGCTTAGTACGTCTTCCGATATATTTGTTAGTTCAAGAAGCACTGAGAGCCGACCTGTGCAAAAGAAAAGAATCGATTTTCAATTGATCAACGTCTCGAGACTCGGTAATAATTCAGGTGTAACCCAGAAAGAACCGCACAAGAAGCTTTCGGAGTGAAATAAGGCATGCTGAATTAGGCTACTTAAATGAAGCTTGTGAAAGGCCGTAGGCAAGGGGCATTACCCCACCCATTAATGTCGTTTCCCACTCACCCAAGAGAATCTTCTTCGTTGTGGTTCCCTGCTTCTGTACGGACCCTCGCGTCAAGATGAAGTATGTCTTAGGTTCCACTGAAACCATACATCATTGGCTAGTTTGCTGGGTTGTGATAATGATCGTCTCATTGGGGGCCGATTTCTTGTAGAAAGAGGTCTATGTTGCTGGAAATGTCGTCCTGGTCTAGTTCTGGTTGCGCAGCCCCACCAACACTATGGTAGTCTAAAACTTCGGAGTATCTGCAAACGGGAGTCAGTTGAAAATCTGGCGGGGAACAATCGGCTGCACCAACATCATGAACTTCCACGTATCCTTGGGCAGATCGGCATCGTTGAAAGACCAGTCGAATTCCTTTTCTGCCACAGGTTCGTCGTTGGGATCATGATAAGGCGATAGATAGGGGTGCTTCAAAGATTCATCGGCCGAGATGCGTTTTTCGGGATCAAATACTAGTGTCTTCTCAAGAAGATCGATGGCTGTTGTGTGATATAAGCCAGAAATTCCAAAGACGCCTTGAATATAAACGAAGTCCTTACTATGATCATCAAACCCCGAAAACACGGATCTCAGCTGGTGCGAGCCTTTCTTTGGCAATGAATTGACAAGCCGTCGCGTCTAGCACTTTAAGTCAGTATTGCAGGTGTAAAGCCGATATCTGTCACGTCCAACCAACATTTGCGCTCGTAATTCTCTCTATAACCTCGTCTGGAGGATTGCCGATGATATCAGTGATCAAATAGAACTGGTTGATGTGGTCCTTCCCGGGAAACAGTGGTTCACCCCGTAGCATCTCGGCGAAGATGCAACCCGCACTCCATATGTCGACCGCATCATCATACCGTTGCCACGTTAGCATAATCTCGGGTGCCCGGTAATATCGCGTTGAAACGTAGCCGGTCATCTGAGGTTCCCTGACGCGAGCCAAGCCGAAGTCACAAATTTTCAGATCGCAATTCTCATTCACCAGCAGGTTACTCGGTTTGAGATCTCGATGAATGACACCGGCCGAGTGAATGTACTTCAATCCTCGCTGTAAACTATTAGACAAAACCGGCCAACATGTGCCTGCCATCAATGGGAGCAATACCATTATTTGATACATAAAGAACTGCGCAAATCTGGCATCCAACGGCTTTGCCCTCATCAGTTGATTGAGATCCGTCCCTAGAAGTTCCGTGACTAGGTATCTACAGTCCTGGGTTAGTGAGCCGCAGCTATTTCCCCTCGACGGATCAAGCTAGATGGGGTCAACCATACACGTCTTCTAGGGGCGAGATGAAGATATCAGATAAACAAATGAGCTGCGCGTCGTTAGCATGACAACAAGTCTAAGCCCTTTAGTTATGATTCGGGCGTACAGGACACACACATTCTCGTGCCGGAGTTGCTTCAACAACTTGACCTCTCGGTAAGTGCGCTTGGCGAGGGCCGTACTGGCAAATGGGGTCATCATCTTCTTGATGGCCACATTTTGCTGGCCGATTAAATCATATGCGGAGCTGACGCAGATGGGTTAGTATTACCCAAAAGGGGGCTGTTCAACGAGGCGAGTCCATCCTCAGGGGGGGAAGAGGAAGGGTGAGAATACCAGACAAGCCCAAAGGCACCCAGACCAACAGGTTGCACGTTTGCATATCTGAGAGAGTGTTACCCAAAATGATCCCTTGCGAAGCACGTCGTCTTCAGAGGGAAGAATACCTGGTGGTGGTCTCGAAAGTCGTCCCCAGGATCTCCGATCGACTGAATTCTGCCATGCTGATGCTAAGAAAACAAATCAAGGCTGATGAAGTAATGCAAGTGGGCTAGTACTGAGAGGCAAAAAATGCTCGGATTATTAAGATATTAAAGGTAGCCAAACAAAATGATCAAGATGAAACGGGGGCAGAGTTTTGCCTAGGAAGTACCTTCCGCAGTGTGTGTACCTGGTACCATCATAGGTCCGGAAAGATCCAACGTGGGCGGCAGTTCTCACGGATTGTTCAGTCAGCCGTTCGTTCCGGCCTGTTAGTTTAGGGGGTAAGAAAGGCCGGGACAAAGGCAGGGAAGGCAGGGGAGAGGGGAGGGGAGAAGGGGGGGGTAAGGGGAAGGGGAAGGGGAAGGAGAAGGGGAAGGGAAGCTTGGTGGCCTGGGAGCCTGGGAGCCTAGGAGCCTGGAGAAGCGGGTGAAAAAGCGGACTGAGGAAGATTGTGTGGTGGACGAGGTGGACAGAGTGCCAGAGTGGCTACTGAGGCTGGCCGATAAAAGAGTCTGGCCGGGGCGAGTATAGATGCCATTCTGTCCGCTGATTGGCGGGATGAGATGCCAGCCAGCAGCCGCTCGACCAGTTTAATCAAGGCAGCGTAACCACACCTTTTTTTTTTCCTCGCCGTATCCACCAACGTCGCTGCGGGTTATTGGCGGAATGCCTTCCATTTGATGCTTACTTACGGAGTAGGTAGGACCTGCCTTAGCATTCTGTCTGGCTCGCCTACGGTAATATCCCTTCTGCCTCAGGCATACATCCCATACGGAGTGGAGTCAACCAGTTTTATCTATTTTGACTGATTTTCCTAGAACTCTTAAGTAATACTGTCAATTGACTCAATTCCTCTTCTTCAGGCTTTCAATTGGCCCTCCCCCGGAAAAAATGTTCTTCTCTTCGTTGTCTTGTCTGTCGCCATAACCCCCCTGTCGACTCGAATGACTCCAACTATCGACTTTCTGTCTCCGAAATTTACACCCGTCAGTCACTATCGTCCAGCAGGTTGACTGGTGGCCTCGAAGGTGCTGGTGCTGGTGCTGGTGCTCTGGCCTTCAACATTGATTCGGCTATTTTCAGTAGTTGTTCGTCGAGCTCCTGCGCACCTCCGTTGGCAAATTCCTGGTACCGTCTCAAGGCTTCTCTACGAGAGCTATTTGCATCGACACCTCTGTTTGGATGGTTAACAATCGGAGGGACTGGGCGTGCCGACTCCGCTGCGGGCCTGACCGATCTTTGGGAACAATTGCAGGAACAGACATGGGTTGATGCGCAAGATTTAGCACACGGGTGGCCACACGGCAATCTCTTCTCGCAGTCCCGGTCGCACCCAACTTGATCGTGCGCAAAGCTAGCGAAGGAACTGGATTAACAACCGGGTTGACGCGCTGTCAGGGGACTTGGATATGTTCAAACTTACCTGTGACATCGCAGAGGACACTTATGCCCACAGTCTAGCAAGCCGCCACACTCATGATTGCATCCGCCGTTCGTCCTATCCCATTCTGACGGGTCTTTACCCCGATTCGTTAGCGAGTTCCATTGAAACACCAATTTTCGGATATGAACGAGTACAAACCCTGGATAAACACCTTCCTCCCGTGCTTGACACATGTTACGGGTAGGTAGAACCCTAGACGCCGCGGTTGATCGGTGCCCATGATGTTGATGACATTCCACCATAACGGATCCGCACAAGCAAGCGACATGGCGTTCCCAAAGATATAGAATCCCCTTTTTGCACGCGACAGAGCCACGCAGACCCTGTTTTCGACAGACAAGAACCCAACGTTGGGCTTGCCACTGCGCACGAGGGACAGGAGAACAACTTCGTTCTCTTCGCCTTGGTACGAGTCAACCGTCACTACATTCACGTATTGACCCTGAAGATATTCGTTGCCTTTCAACAATTTGAGCAGTCTCTTTCTCTGGCCGTTATAAAATGTCAGAACGGTAATGTCCTCGACCCGCGTCCGGTTGAGCACAAGGTGAACGAAGAGGCCCACGACCATATTCGCCTCCATCTCATTGAATTTCGATGCCAAGCTATCGTTGCTTTCTGGCCACTTGTGGGAGAAGAAATATGACCGCATATTGCCCATGCCAGGAATGCCAGGACGATTCTGTACGCACTCGTGGTCTTGCAACACACCATAGATTGGCTCCAACAACGCACGTATTTCCGGGGCCATACGTCTTTGTCTTCTAAGCGTAATATATCCCAGGCCGTTGTGGAGTAGACGCTCAAACATTGATATGTCCAAAAAGAACGGCTCACCTTCAAGCTCCTGGAGTGAACAATGGCCTTTGAGCTGTTGGTGGTCGCCGACCAGAACCAGCTGTTGGACGGATTCAAAGCAAGCAGCCGCTATGGGTGCCTCGATCGCCTCGGCTGCTTCTTCGATCAAGATGATTCTCGGTTTAACGGTCGAAATTAGCCCCCGATACTTGCTTAGGCCTGTAGCTGTTACCCCAATGACCCTGGCATCTCGGAGAATGTGATAATCTCTTTCGAAATTGCCAATCTGAAGATCTTTTGTGGTCTCTGTGTAAACGGCAATCAGTTTGCGAAACTTCTCGAGAACCTTGGCCTTGGCTGCCTTTCGTAGAGCATTGTAGACAGCACCCCGCGCTCTAACTGGTATTTTCCAGAAGTCATGAGATCTGAGGTACCCTTGACAAACTGAGTCAGATAGCGAGCTATCCTGGCCGCAGAAGCCCTCTTTGAAGGATATGAACTGGCCCTGGAGGATTTCGAAGTCGTCATCATCTATTCCTTGCTCGGCCTCAAGTTCTTTAAGTTGCTCGTATTCAAGGTCGACTTCGTCTTCGGCGAAGCCGAAGTTTTCCGTCTTATAATCCACGTCGAATTTCACCGCTTTCTCTCCAAGCCACACAACCAGCGGATCAACATCGTCCTTTCGATCCGAACGGATCCAGCCTTTGGCTCCTTGGACAAGTGCGTCGGACTGCTCTTGGCTTAACAATCCGATTTTAACGAAGAAGGAAGACGGAAGTGGCCTGTCTGCATTCTCAAGGTTAAATGGCTGCAACAATTCTATCATTGGTAAAATCATGTTCCTCAGCGTTTTTCTTGCCGGTCCCATCAAGCCCCCCTGAACATGCATATTCGGCTGGTTTAGTCGCATGGAAAACAAAGTCCTCTTTTTGATCTCAAGTTCGGTGCTTCGAGCCCCCACTCGGATGTATCGCTTCTCGAAGCTTGATATGTACTTCAGAAGCTGATCTAGCGCATGATTTGTTTGGGACGATACTATAATCGGAGGATCGTCCCGTTTCATATTTGCAAGCATTATCTTCAACGCCACAACTGATACGTATGTCTTTCCTGTACCAGGAGGACCCTGGATGATGGAGAGGCGTTGTGTGAGCATTTGATGCAGGGCTTTCCACTGGGTGGCGTCGAGATCACCGATTGGCTTTTTCGGCCAGCTCCTGAGAATATCAATCCGACCTTTCTCGCCAGAGTTGTCAACAGCCGGTTGTATGTCAACAATCGGACTCTCTTCCACATAATGGGGGGCGTTGACTTTCTTCTCTAGGAAGCAAATATGCTCGGCTAGGGGAAACCTGACAACATAATGTATGAGCCGCAAGTCAAGAGGAGAACGGAAAGCACAGGTAGTAAGATTCTTCACTTACTTTTCCTGACTCATTTTTTGAAGAGCTTTCATCGTATGCCTTGTGGATTCATAATACCCGTTTTTCGCTTGGATCATGATCCATTCTTTTTGAGAATCAAAATCCGCATCTTCCGGCCGGGCAAAGAACAAATCAATCTCCGGGGGCTGTTGCTTGACACCTTCTAAGGGTCTTGCTGCAACGATTGCCACGACACATTGACTTTTGAAGGAGTCGCTCGCTGGCGACAGTGCGACAACTGAACCACTCCTCAGCCGTGACGAATACTCCCAAGCAATGTTTTTACCCGCCCTGATAGTTGAAAACCGAATTCGAAAGGCCAGACCTCTCTGGGCAAAAGTGGCGCCGGTGATGTAGACCTGAAGTGCAAGCAGGAGGTTAGATGGTACTCGTGCTGCGTAAAGCCGTAGCGAGGAGTCTGACCTTTTCATAAATTGCTACCATCTTAGAATCTTCCATACTCGGGTCCTCTCTCACATAGGCAACCGCATCCCTCAGAGGAGCAATAGCGTCCTCCCTGAGTAGCTCATAATGAGCCTTCAGATACGCATCTTTGGACCTCCAGGGACCGACGATGCGGTTAGGTGTCAATTCGATGCAATCACTGCCTGAATCGTTCGTACCCAATATTTCTTCCGTGGATGGAACTTCGGGTTTAAGAAGCCATGGCTCGGGGTCTTCCAGTTCGGGCTGATCAAAGTATGCTCTAACTTCAAGGTTGACAGGCACAGCCGAATTTGTTGATAGCCGCGAAAAATGGTCATGAAGATTCTCTGAAGGCAACGGGGCAGGAAATCCATTGGCCGAGTCCATCATGCCTGTTAATCGGGCTACCGAACCAGGGTAGCTCACGAATCTGAATGATGATAGAAAGTGCTACTGATTCAAAGTAAAACGAAACCAAGAGAAAGCATTGGCTTTTGGAAGTAATAGCTGATTGATGTACAAAGAAGGACAGGGGGAATGGGATGGATTGAAAGAAGAAAAATAAGAAGCTCAAAAACAGCCTGAGCGAAGGAAGAAGAAAGGTGAGACGAAGAGGCAGGAGGGAAAAGAGGGGAGGGGAGTATTGCGTTTGCATTCACGGATTCACGCATGAGCGTTTGAGACAGTATTCACCGTGGATGCGCCACTCAGCAAAAGCAGTTAACCGTGTGGAACAGCATTATTCGACCATCTCACTTAGAGGAATAAACCTCTTTCAATCATCTGTTTTGTGAAAGAGGGTTGAAGGCTCTATAATCATAATACTTTTAGAGCTTCAATCTTGGTGTGAGGAGGCAGTTAGATATAGGTGCTACGAAGACACCATGTATTCTTGATTCCCTGTCTGTTGATACATGGTGGGCATAGCTAGATGGATTCGAAACTTTTGGGTCACAAGAATAGAGTGAAATCAGGGTTATGATCTGGTGAGGTTCCCAATGTTCTTTCACATCTGCCATTCGGCTCTTTGTTCCCTAGGTATGAGGGATCTGTGATTGAAGTTGGATGAATAAGAGCCAGCGTTGCATGATGGGATAGACTGTGCTAGACTTGTCAGGGAAGTCTCAGTTTATTGCAGATCAAGCCAGAAGAGGATTCCTGATAAGTATTGTGTACCTATGAGGAGTGACAAGTGATGCCTGATGACTGAGGTGTCAGAAGAGGGTGTGAGCGCTCTAACCGGAAGGGGATGGCTTTATGCCTCAGGCACCAATGAGTGGGAAACGTGACTGACGTCGGGGAAAAGACGCGGGCGGAGGTATGGAGAGGTTCATTCACGGTTTCTTTGATGTCTCATGCGCACTCATTCTCCTATATACATTATACCCCGAGTCCCATCATTCACCTCGATTCTATTGCCCTCGAGGACTATTGTTCTTCGATATGCACCCTTAATTCACAATAGCTTCTATACCGTGCGCCATATATTGAAACGCTGGCTCTCGCCCAAGATTGAGCCAATTCAGGGTTGGTTTTAGTCGCGACACGTTAGACTCCTCTTATATATACTGCACTACTGTGTGTTTCACTTTGCAGCCCGAGAGCAACTCAGCTTTCGGCGCACCCTTTCTAGAAAGATGGCCTCGATGGAGGAAGACGACGACCGCGATCTTGCAGGTGGGGCCTCCTTGAATGCCCGGGCTTTGGGGTGTTCAATGCTGACAACTATGGTTTGAATAGGATCGCAAGACGGAAGTTCGGACAATGAAATGGAAGACACACTCAGGGATGCCGACGATGGTGGGAACGATAACGATGCCGATGCCGACCAAGACGCGGATCAAGACCCAGACAGCCCGTCAAACGCCAGCCATGTATCCGAGAGCGCAGGGGTGGCCGCGCAACCCATTCCCGACGTGGAGATGAGCAATGCCGGTCCGACAAATATCTCCTCCGATCCGATATCTTTGCTCCATCCCAGCGTGCGCGCCGAATGCCTAACTGCCTCCACGTACGACATCGTGCCTACGACGGCCGCGCCCCATAGCACTTCAATCAATGCCGTCACTGCCACGGCGGACATGAGATGGGTGTTTAGCGGAGGATCGGATGGATATGTGCGGAAGTTCAACTGGGTTGACTCGATCAACAGCAAATTGATGCTGACTGTGGCGCAAAGACATCCGTTCGTGGACAGCGTGATAAAGGCGGGAGTGCTGATGACATATTGGGAGAACATGGACGGGAATAGTCTTTCGCCAGTATATTCATTGGCAAGTCAAAGTGAAGGCCTGTGGTTGCTGTCCGGTCTGGAGTCGGGCGCTATCCGGCTACAGTCTGTGCGCCACGACGAGGGCAAGGAAATTGCGCTGCTGCAACAGCACACCTCGGCGGTCTCGGTGTTAAATTTGACCTCCGATGAGCAATCGCTGCTGTCTGGAAGCTGGGACAAGCGGGTATTCGATTGGGATCTAAACACCGGGCAAACAAGGCGCGCGTTCGGATCCAGTGCCGGACAGATCTCTTCCCTGGATATACGGCCGGAATCCAGTCTCCCGGTCCCTAAAGAAACGTCGGACGATTCGCAACCCAACGGAACCTTTTCATCCAATAACCAAGCCAGCGATAGCAACGCCTTCAACTTCGGTGACAATTCCAACGACCAAGGCGAGCCGGGAGACTCGACCAACCAGCCGGCTGGCTCACCAGCAGACTCATTGTTTGGCGGAGCGGATTCATTGTTCGGTGATGGAGACGGCGCTGGCGGAGAAGGCGCAGATACATCGGGAAATGCCTTTGGGATTGATGAGGATGATGAGTTTGGCAAAGCTCTCGCGAACGGTGTTCTTCCTGACGCAGATGCGCCAGGTGAAACCGACACGACAGGTCAGCCGAACGGCGTCGCTGAACCGTCTGTGAATCCTACAAACACTGGCAACGCAAACGTAGGCAGCACGAATGCGACCAACCAACCCTCGGAGTCTCAGGGCACCGATCTTCCCAATGGCACATCACAGCGTGTTGTTAACGGGTTACCTCACGCCGATGACCTAGAACACCCCCCGCAAACCCAAGACTCCTCACAACCAACCCAAGCGGACTCCAATATCGGGCCCGATAATATCTTCCTAGCTGCCTCGATCGACGGTACTATTCGCATCTGGGACCGACGACAACCGGATCCCATTTCGCGCATCATCTCTCGCAACTCTCCGCCCTGGTGCATGAATGCATGCTGGTCTCCCGATGGCAACTACATCTACGCAGGTCGTCGAAACGGAACCGTCGAGGAATTCAGTCTTCACAAGGGCTTCCGGGATCCCGAGCGGATCTTCAAATTCCCTCAGGGGAGCGGGCCGGTCACCGCACTGCGAGCCATGCCGAATGGACGACACATTATGTGGTAAGTTTCCTGCGTCTTTCCTCCCTTCGATCCACCCATAGTTAATCCCTGCTCTCGCTCTTGCAGTGCATCCCACGACATCCTTCGATTATACGATCTCAAACACGAACAAGTCGCCCGCCACTCGACCGTCCCCTTCCTCATCATCCCCGGCCACCGCACAGGAACCGTCTCGCAGCTCTACGTCGACCAAGCCTGTCGTTTCATGGTCTCAACGAGCGGCAACCGAGGCTGGGAGGGCAACACCACCGAAGTCCTCCTGGGGTACGAGATCGGCGTCCCACGGTAGATCTTTAACGGCCCGTTCGCACCCACTGTACACTACCATTACTATATACCTTGGTGCAGGCTGTCCATTATCCGGTCCTACTTCCCTTTCTTGTGCCGGGCGTTTACCGTTCGTCCCCTTCTGGACTTAGCTATTTGGTTTCTCTCTCTCATGGCTACCTAGTCTTCATTCACTACTATCTTCGAGATAGGGCGATACCCGCGTGGCGTTGCTTTTCTACTTCCATGTATCACTGTTATGCTGACGATAGCGTTATAACTGGACCAGGCAATACAATTAGAGGATATGATTTGATGATTTTATACTCCAGGCTCTAGTCGATACTAAAGCTTTAGTCGAATCGAGTTCGATGACGACGTAATCGCGGCTTTCGTGATAATGGTTCGATCGATGCCACGGTCCATCGTGGAGATTCGATCTCATACATGCATTTATAAGGATACAGAAGAAGATAAACAGAGATAATATATCACACCATAAACAACCACCAGACATGAATCAGTCATATACATCATATCATAAAAGACCATTTACCAGTCATCCCAAGGCCCCCAAAAAAGGAAACTGAACGAAACACCACCAGCAAGCGAACTGAAACCAGAGAAACAGACAAAAACGAAAGCTACAAATCATCATCATGCACGTCATCAAAATCCAGTCCCTCGCAGACTTGATACTGCTGGGCCCTCCAAGCGCCAAACAGCGGGTTCTTAGCCCACTTGACATGGCCATCATTGTCATGTTCAAAGAACACATACCCGGGCTGTGTCTGGACATCTTCATCTTCATCCTGCGAAGAAGACCGCGCCCCCTCCGGGCCCGTGACTAACTTCCCAAAGCCCGGAAGCGCGACATTGGGCACATGGCCACGCGCCTCGATGTGTCCACTACCGACATTATTAACGGTGATCAGATACACCGGAGGTAAGGTCGCGTCGCGGTCCGCTCTGAGCGGCATGGGGATCCAAGCCTCGTTGTTGAAGGACTCCGTACGGGACGGGTCATGACGCAGAGGCAGCGGACGGGAGAGAAGCACATCGTCCAACTTCCCCGTGTCGAGCAGCATGCCCGGGGTCTGGACGTACAAGACGCTGTCGTACTGCATGAACTGGATCTGGCCGAGCCGGAGCAGCTTGGTGTCCGTGGGCGCGTACCCGGCGGAGGTGGCGGCGGTCATGTCGATGGGGAGCAGCCAGATGCCGTATTTGAGGCTTGCGTCGCGCAGCAGGGACAGTGCTGTCGAGACGGGGTGGGAGAGCTGGTTGGTGGCGGCTAACATGTCCCATTCCTGTGGGTACATGAAGAGACGGTCTTGCACGGCGGTGTTGTTGGAAGCGAGCTGTTTGAAGAATAGGATGGCCGAGCAGATGTTGGATGGGTCGGGGGTGGAGAGGAGTTGGAGGTAGGCGTAGTTTCCGCCCGTCCGGGATTGGGTGACAGTATTGCCTGCGCTGTCATCGAGAACGAGGTCGGATAAGAGGCTTCGCTTTGCGCCAGGGAATGACGATCCTGCTGATCCGTGGCCTATCTTGGGATCTGGGGGTGCTGGAGGGCGAAGCGCATGCTGGATGTTTCGGACGGATTGTTGCTGCAGCGTGTATCCGGAGAGAAAGAGGAGGATGGTGAAGATGGAGATCACCCCTGTCGACAGAATGACTGAGACAGTGGAGGAAGTGAGAAGCACCATGATCTAGATTGATTCTAGGGTTGTCTGCATTGGTTGGTATGTATGTTGTCTGTCAGTGTCGCAAGTATGTGTGTACTGAGTATGTAGATGGCTCTCTCTTGGCGTGAAAAGCAGCAGCGAAGTCGCAGATATGCAGATTCCCGTTCAATTGTAACTCTTTATTCAGTAAAAACAAATCAATCTCGTCAAGTCATAAATCATGCAAGAATCAAACAAACAAGGAAGATGATGTCGTTCTTGTTTCAGCACGGGTCCGTTTACTCGACGGTTGTCGGCGCGACTATCGATAAGCCGCGTCTTGGCACCGTCCCTGATCATCATCTGTCAGGTCTTTTCCCTTCTCCCACTGCCGCCTCACCCACCACCAAACTAACTACCACCACCACCTACCAACAATGGCATCCCACCGTGCCGATGCCAGCACCCTCCTCGACAACCGCGGCTACAAAGGCCCCCTAATCCGCGGCGTCAACCCGGCCACGCTCTTCGAAAAAGCCGTCCGCGACCGCATCACAGACTCCTACTACTGGAAAGAGCAATGTTTCGGTTTAAACGCAGCGACGTTATGCGATCGCGCCGTCGAATTAACCGCCATCGGAGGCACGCACGGGGTGGCTGAGAAACCGACTCCGTTTCTATGTCTCGCGTTCAAGCTCCTGCAACTGAACCCGGATCGCGAGATCGTGCTCGAGTATTTGAATTTCACGGACCCTCTTGGCGAAGACGATGAACGAGAAGGAGCAAGAGGAGGGGAGGGGGAAGGGGCGCATAACGAACTCAATCCGGAAGAACAGGCGCAGCGCAGCGTGATGAAACAGAAAGGCGACTTCAAGTATCTGCGCGCGCTGGCGGCTTTCTATATCCGGTTGACGTTTGACGCGGTCGATGTGTACAAGGCGCTGGAGCCGCTGCTTCTCGATTACCGGAAGTTGAAGCGGAGGATGGGTGATACTGTGGTCTTGACGTATATGGATCAGTTCGTGGATGACCTGTTGACGAAGGACCGTGTGTGCGGTACTAGTCTGTGGAAATTGCCGTCGCGGACACAGTTGGAGGACTTGGATCTGTTGGAGGAGCGCGAGAGTCCGTTGGCGGCGGAGCTGGAGGAAATGGATCGGGAGAGCGAGGATGGGGAGGCGAGTGAGACGAGGTCGGCGAGGAGCGCGGGCGATGATTGAACTCTCCGTCATCGTTTGGCGCGTTTTTCGTCAATTTCACAAACTTGTCGGCTCGTCAAGGTCAAGTGTCGGGGCTTGATTATGAGTTCTCGCTCGCTCGTTGGGACCTACAAAGTCGATAACTCTTTCCCTCCTTAGGGAAAGGCAAACCCGGTGGCCAATCTGCGCGCCTCCGGACAGGGCCACTCACACCAACGACCCATGCTCTACCGGCTTGTATTGGTCGGTTATACTCAAGGTGTTCCAACATGGGACGCACGATATCACTTCGCAAACCTTGACACTCAGGATGAGATAATGTTCATGGGAAAGGCCCGCCCGACTTTTGCGGCTGTTGGCACGATCAGTATACTACAATATCTGGACATCTACCCGGATTATTGCTGAATATCCATATAAATTTGGACTTGTGCTTTGTTCTGTGACGCTATTTTCTTGATATCTCGTGTACAATCAGATTCCCTCCTGCAAGCAAAAGCTCCACCCAATCCATCAAGAGCTCCATGTATAATACCCTCAATACTTCTTCAGAACCCTTGCTGTCGGTGCCATTTTTCCTGCCAGCCCTTAAACCACGGACTATCTTCCAAAGTAGCCACCTCGCAGCCCTTCGCCACCAGCCCATACTCCTCTTGCTCCCTCGCCCACTCTTCCAACTTCGGTAAAACGACATGCTCCACGTGCCATGTACTCTTATATTCCAACAAATGTCTCTTGCCATTCTTCAATATCTCCGCCAGCAGCGCTGGTACGCGCGGCTCGTCACGAAACTCCGTAACAGGCGTGAAGAGCGCCTTGAAGTTGAAGACCACAGCCCCCGAGAGGGGAAGACGTCGAAGAGTCTGCCAGTCGACGCGCAGATGACAGTCTTCGAGGCGGAGGTTCGGGTCTTGGGACAGCCGCAGCGCCTCGTGAGGGTCGTCTTTAGGCATGTATAACGGTTGTCCTACTTCCAGGCCCCAGGAGCCTCTTTGGATCGGCTTGTCGGAGGGCATTTTCGTGAAAAATCTGTGAATGTCTCAGTACCAATAAAAGTGATTTTACCTCGTCGAGAGACGGGTGTTCCGTCGAGCATAGAGACCCTACCGATCCATAGAAAATTGCATTTTCTCTTTATAATCAGGGATTGGCTCGTGGATTTCATGAAGCTGAAGACCAATCTTGGTGCCCACGTTCCAGCCCAACGCAGAGCAGATCAATCCCGCACGCAGAAAGTAATTGCCCGTCTGGTCGTCCCGCAACATGATGCCGAAGTCTTCGGGGATGTTGTCGAGTAAGATCTCCAAGGGGTGTTTGGATCGGACGTCTTGCGCTGTGCCCAGGATTTTGTTATGAAGGATGCGCTTGTCCGACAGGGAGAAGTATTGGGGATAGCGAGCGCAGACAAATTGCAAAACCATTTCCATGAGTTCTTTGCATGCTAGCTCGGAGCCAGGGAGAGCTGCTAAGACAGAACTTCCGTGTTTCGCGTACAATTCCTTTCGCTGGGTGATGCGCTTCTTGTAGGTATTCTCGAGCTCGATCCACCAGTCTGTTTCCAGTTTTGTGAGTGCTGCAAGATGTGCAAGATCAGTTATCTTTTACCTTGTCTATCGACAATCACGTCAGTCGACCTGGGGGGGAAGAGGAAGCATACACATGGTCTGATGATAAGCCCACCTGAACGGACGATACGGTCTTGGTAGGGCTTTATCGATGTCGAATTCCGAGTATGCCTGGGGCAGAGGCACGCCACTGAGCTCTGCGTAATCCGGAAAATCGCCCAAAGCCTTGATATCGGATAATGAGAATCCCATCGGGGTATACTTTTCATCTTCACAGGTCCGGTAATCCGTTGTCATCGGTAGAATCTGCTTGCGAACCTCTTTCTCATCCACCCCTCTGGACGACACACCTTCGATCTGCATATTGGCCAGAACATGTCGGCGCTGGGGCGGGAGAACATCGGCATGGTTCGTTTTTGATGCAGCGTTAGCGGGCGATTTGTTATCCGGGGATATTGTCCGCGGGGGAGTTGCCCTCGATGACGTTCGGTGCCGATGGAGATTAATTCGATGCCAGGTTGATTTGCCTTGTATTCCATCGACAACAATGCATAATCCTGTCAGTCCGATCACAATGCAGCCCAGAAACCAGACATTTTCCGGCAGGTTTAAGGAAAACATGGTCAATCAGTCCATAGGATGAGAAAACGGATAGTTGAAGGGTTATGAATTGTTTGACGCGAGACAGAGGATACCAGGACATGCAAGTATTCAAGAGCAGGGCCTGTCAATCAGAAATAAGATCAAAGAAAATAAAAGGTCGAAGTCTGTTCAAATACTGTCAAAAGCAGGGCACAGAAAATCGCCCTCGCATCAAATAACCCTAGACGGACTGCAAAGCAAGCTATCCCGGATCAATCGCATAAAACGTCCCTTCAGGGTAGCAGTGACACAAGCGCATTAACCCGGCCCGGATCGGTGGTGCAGATATGACGATAAGGGCTCTGGGGAAGCTCCCTGATACGGCCACTGTCCTTATCTTGGATGCCTTCTTATGGACGTACCGATCGACCTTCCGAGGCCAATGTTAGGGTGCAAGGACGGCATATAGGGGAGGAGTGGTCCGCTAATGGCCGTTGTGCATCGGCCCTATAGACCTATGAAAGAGCAGTATATCAAGGTCAGCTGGCACTGCATGTGAAGCATGGGTTGCATTGCATTGGCTCATCGTTAGAAGGAAGAAGACATCGTGGTGGCTTTATTCCTGTCTGGTACGCCATTGTTCTGCTGCAATGCAATATGAGCAATGAGCACAGTGGCTGGAAGCAGGTCCATATTTTAAGACAACTTCTTGTAGTTCATGGTGTTCCATCTTCTTTCTAAATAGGCGTATACGAGCTCGATCATCGATAGGTACCCTCCCCAGGCCATGTCGTGCTATGCCGAAAGTGAGGGGGGTTCTCACCAATGCATAACCTACACCTAGTCAACACCATTTGTGATTTGTCCGATCGTGTTGAAGTGATGTAATGACTTCAGATAAAGAGAGATCAGCGAGGGTCAAGTTAACTGAAGAGGCAAAAATAGAAGGGCCTAGCATTTCCCGAAAGGGTTAAATTGTCCTGCTCATTGACGAGGGTCACATGTCTTTCTTTAGTCAGGGATGTTCTACGGAGTACCTGAGCATCGATTAACTTGAAATTGGCATTTAGCCATCCTTTTAAACAGCCGACACCAGCTATTTTATCATAGTTCTAACTAACTATACCTTGTACTTTGGTTCTCTATCCATCCGACGAAAGGATAGAATGATGGCATGATGGCCTTTGTTATCTGCAGCCTCCAACGTTGTAACCCACCTCTGTTGTATCTATATGAGCTCAAAGCCACAGCTGATATCTTAAGCCAACCGTCATTCAAACCCAGAAGAGCCCCAAAATCAATCCTCAAAACACAAACTCACAACGCTGACGATAAAAAGACAGCTCCTACAAGATCATCGGATCCACCTCTCTCAAGACAAATCAACACATCCACAACTCTCCGCAAGTAAGGCGTATACCAAAGCCAAGCCACGAGCATTAGCGTTATCTGCACATCATCCTCAGACGCAGATACGATCTGATCTAAACTCTACATTGTCATATACAGATGACACGAGAGAACCGAGCTCTCTACTCAACTACGAACTGCAGACTCGGACTCTACCTGCATGCGTTGTTCATCGCAAAAGCCTAATCAACGGGAAATGGTAGCCACTCCTTATACCGGGTTCAACTGCAAGGCAATTAGAACGCACTGGGTGATAGTGCGGGAAGCGTACGTATCCGTGTCGTGTGCATTGCCCGTGCTTTTGTCATTCTCTATATGGAGATGAGTATTCCACAGTATGTTGAGCGTAATACCGCGCGCTATACCGGAGACGCAAGAACTTGAATTACTTGATAGTGGAGAGGCGTCGTCACGTCGGCGACAGCCGGGAGGGACCGTTGTGTGAACCACGCAATTACGGCAAGTGGATACGATAGATAGTGAGGGCCGTGCCATCGAGTCTGGACCTTCATTTCTTGGAACAGGAAATATGGCACTGTGTATTGGCATTCCTGGGGCCTGGGCCTTTTGTTGAAGCAGCGGCTTCATATACACACGATGAAGACACCCTGTATAATGTTTCAAGCTGCTAGCATGGCTTTGAAAGCAGCCTTGTAAATTCATGCGAGCTATCACGATATGCAAATAGTAAGATTACACACAAATTGGGATATCCCAGACAACTCTAGCGCTCGAAAATAACCCCAAACACCATTCAAACACACTCAAGAGCGCCACCCGTCCTAACAAAACAATCACAGAAACAAATATGGAACCAGACCAGAGAGAAGCAAAGGAGAAGAAACGATGGTAAGTTATTGGTAGGAGGATGAAGGGGAAGAAAAGGAAAGTATGCCAAACACGCTGATGAAATTAGTGATGTATGTACGGTGGCTGTTGCCAGTGTGTTGATGTACACGGATAAGTTCCACAAAAGAAGTTGGTCGAGATGATACCAAAGCTGATGGCACAGTAGTACTTCATGTAGCTACCTTTGTCGCGGCGTTTTCGAAAGATTCGTCTTTCCTCGAGGTGAATACAAAACAATAAATTATCTTTCGGAACTGGGGTTTGGGAGGCTCGAGGCAAGGCTGGGAGCATAGCGCGGCGAGGCAGCTCCAGGGGAGCCGAGAACGGCGACAAGACCAAGAGCGTATCCCATCTCCAGTTCAACAGGTAAAAGATAATACGAAAGATCATGTGACAAATGGGTATCATAAAACCGCTGATTTCGGCGAAACACGCAAATCGAGATGAATATGAGAATGCAGAATGCGAATAGGAGACAATGTGTCGGAGATATGGACCGATCAGTCGGGATTCGTCAACTGTGATGGACTGTTAGCCATACGTGTGCCTGTGCATAACTCAAATTAGAGCTTACCCGTAAGACTGGTCGCGAATAATCTTGATCATCGGCAAGTGACACGCTACTGTTGCGACGGCCAGTGGGCCAAATCGACGCATCTTTCATGCGGTTGTCGGTGTATGCTGCGGGTGGCATACGGGGCGCTATCGATGAACCAGCAGACAAGGTGTGGCTGTGATTGTCCGAGAACATGCCCTTCATGAAACTCATTTGCGAGCCCTTGCTTGCTCTTCCATCCAGCAATATGTTTTGAACGCTGGGATCAGGACTGGGCGATCGCGATCGACGCTTTGCTAGGAGGACCATGAAAATCAATGCCACGATGGCAGCGCAACCACCGACAGAGCCCACGACGACGCCGGCTATAGTCCCTCCCGCAAGGCCTGAGCCGTCGTCATCGTCATCGGAGGAGGTCGGCGTCGGCGTTGAAGTCGGGCCAGCGCCTCCTACTGTGATGGTTTTTATTTCGCCGCCAGCATTGGTTTCGACAGCAACGGTATGATGCCCGGTGGTGGTGGTAGACGTGCCCGAAGTAGTGGTGGTTGAGCTGTCGGATTTTGTCTGTGGAAAGGTCAGTACAACGTTAACTCACGTAGACGGCACAGTCAAGCAGGCGACAAAATCGAGAACAATATAAATGAAAATAAGAATATTTTATGCCCAAGCCCAATCCAGTGATGACTGCATGATTGGCCTCAAGTCCGTGCACCGAGCATCACATGCTGCGGGATACAAACGACAGACGACGGCTTGGCATGAAAAAGTACGGATCGGGACATTCATGGGAAGATAGGTAATACTGACCGAGGTTTCTTTCTCGGTAGTGCTTGTTGCTGTCTTGGGCGCAGTTGCTGTACCGGTTGGCATTTGGCCAGACATCTCTAGATAGGCAAAGAGTCCCTTGGACGCGTCTCCGCAACTGTCATCTGGATAACCTGGGCAGCCGGTGTCGCATTTCTTATCGTCCACAGTAGTCGCTTTATTCGGGGCGATATTGGAGCACCAGCACTGCTTGCCTTGAAGGATCCCGAAGGCCCATTTTCCGGTGCAATGATCTATACAAAGGCCGTTCGATTGAAAAGTACTGCTATCTGCACAACAGTCAGCATGGACCACATACACATCGCAGAATTGGACCGCTTACTTGCGGCATTTGAAGCCCCGGTATTGACCGAAGCACAGTAGTAGATATCTGAAGCCGAAAGCACGACAGTCGGCCACGAAAACAAAGCGAGCAGCGAGAGAGCTAGGCTGAAGTGCATGGCGGAGAATTTGCCCATCGGGGCGTCGTATTTCGTTGCGATTATAAGTGGCGCGACCAAATTCCTCGTTCAAGGACAACCCGTCCGATAATCGTCGATATCTGAGTACACATTCACAGAGGCGGACCGATGTCAAGCGTTTGCGATATTCACCGGTCGAGTCTGTAATCGTCGGTCGGCGGGGGTAGGCGGGTCAAATCGTCCACGATCAAACCACGACAGTCAACAGATGAATCGCCTGCTTCATCGATAAGAACAATAAAACCGGGTAGGATTCGAGGCCAGCTTCAGAGAGGTCGGGTAGGAATTCCGTGGTAGGCGATCTTCTTAACTCAAAACGAAGGTCAGTCAATCTTTGATGCCGATCAACCACGGACCTAATGACGCTTGCCAATCGGTCCGAGGATTCGAGGAGAGCACGACATACCAGGGAAAACTAAATCGAATCAGTGTTCCCCCAATCCCTTAACAACCAAACACCAGTTTGGATCGCTATTCACGATAAGAGTCGAGCCTTTTGGGGCAGAACGAAGGACGAGAGCAAGACTGCGAAGGGTTTAATGCATCGTCACCTTCTGACCGCAGAACGAGGGTTGGTCAGAGGAACAAGGGGGGTGAAATGCAGTCGTTATTGATGACCACCCGGATGACAAAGGAGCAAGTGAAGGTCAAGAAGAGAGAATGACAAAGAGAGGAAAGAAAAAGAAAGAGACGGAGTTAGATAGCAGCGGGTGGGCAAGTGCAAGATGGGGGGAGAGAGCCGAGTGGTAAGGTTGGTAAGACTAAGTAAGAGTGAAGGACTAAACTAAGAGCAAGAATAATAAAATCAAAAAGAATAAAATACGGAGGCCAAGCGGGTTTCCAGGCCCGGCGTTCCACCCGCACGGCCAGTCAGCGTTCTAGAAAGATGCCGGTAGGCATCAGGTATGCATGCTAGCAGCCTACCTTAGCACTCGGTGGACTGTGCTAATAATGTACAGTGTATGCTGCCTCCCAGGAAGTACCATGGATCGTACCGTATAAATCCAAAGATACCGGCATACCCGCAAGAGGTGGGGGCTTGGGAGCCCGGTTTAGGTCTAGTTTCAAGGACACTTTCGACGAGGCTCCCGTCTGTTACTCTGTTATTCTCGGTCGCACTGGGCTGGAGTACGGAGTATGTACTCAGTATATCCTCAGTATGTATACTTCTACTGCCCACCTAGGCTGGAACTCTAAAGCATTCTGCTGAAACCATGACAGATGGCTAATATGTACCGTCAACAAGGTCACTGTTAAGGGGTATGTAGCAGTAGAAGCGGATCCAACCAACTTATCCATTGTTTGGATCGTAACCGATCCGGTAAGTAATAATAACTCCAGGCAGATCCATACCTGACCCAAATTGTGAAATACCAATTCCGATCTGCTAGGAGCTTTTTCCTAGTCAGCATATGCTGACGATGTGGCGCCACCTCAGGAAAATATCTGCGAGCCTCTTCCATGAAACCAGGCGATCGAGGAAGTTCTCGCGACATAATCTGCGGTGGTATGTCTCTGGAATTGATTCATTTTCTTCAGAAGGAGCAGGTAACTCTGATCGAACTCCTGCCTACCGGAGTACTCAGTATGAACAACCTTGCCTAACTCTCTGCAACATCTCCCCGTTCCTCGAAAGGTCCAGACCGGGAAAAAGAAAATAGAAAAGAAAAAAATAAAATAAAATAAAATAAAAAACAGATGTCCGCGTCACTCTGTCTGACACACGGCAAGCCACGTATCACGGCGTACCACTTCTTGTTTGGTCTAACCAAGCCACTTCTCGCTCCCTATCAACCTTCCCAACTACACCGTTATGACACCAACAGATACCCTCCCCCAAAGAAAAGGGATCTACCTGACTGCTTCAGCCACTCGACTGTCGAGTAATAAATCAGTACACTCTGTAACTTAGTATGTGAAACAATGCCATGGACGCAGATCCTAGCCCTTTAATTGGCCTTGGCTGGGGCGCAACGGAACGATTCCAAATATTACTGGATTGTTTACTGTGTATGTAGTATGTACATACCATACGAGGGCTGGAGGATGCAAATGCCTTTTCCTGCTCTCTCCAGTATCCACCCAGCTCACCTCAGATGTCCCAGACTCCCAGTCAACCTGAGGATTTGGAGTTTTGGACCCGCGGTCGCACAGGACAACCTCTGATCGGGGGGAGATTCTGACAAGTGGAGAGCCTGTCCAGTCGGCAACTCGTCAACAAATGGTTTTGGCCCGGCCGGAGGTCTAGAAGGAAGATAGATGCACCACGGAGCGTGTGCTCTGTCTGATGTAGATTAGTTAGTTAACTATTCGGCTTCCTCCAAGGCCACGCCGGCCAAGCCGGTAACGCCCTGTATTGCAGCCAACCATGGAAGTGGAGCCGGCGGTTTCAGCCCGGCCTCCCGTCCCAGAAATCCAAGGATAGCAACGCGAAGAGGATCCAGTGAGATCCACGCGAGACGAGCCATGTCAAATCGAGTCTCGTCCTTTTTTACCTGTCCACTGCCGTACGGTGAGTATGAGCAATCATACATCATGTTTACGTGGACTTGCTTGATCATAGATCTAGACCTCGCTTTCTAGACCTGGATCTCCCAAAGCAGCCATCCCATTCGTTCCCCTGTCCGGAAAATGTGCGGTATATAATCTGGCATGCCTGCGATTCGCAGCGACGCGGACGAGAAAGAACGATCGACAATTCCTCCAGGCCGAACATGATTCAAGGGAGATGGCAGTCCGATTCGACCAGTATCGTTATGATGGACTGTTTGTTATCTGCTCGTCGGGTCCATCCACCAAATGCTCAAGGGCGGACGGTCAGATCCAGATCCAATGAGATGCGTTGATGGCATGCAGACCAGCCACCTCCTCAGCACATTCAAACGTGATGCGGACTCCGGCATATTTCCTACCTGGATTGGGAGCAATGGCCAATGTCCCAGACAATCCATACTCCGTAGTGATCCCTACGGCCCGAAGCGGAAGACGATCAAGAGTTAACCTGCCAGGCCGACATACCGATGCGCATACCTGCTCCTCGGTCGCATTGTTTCTCAGAAGGTCCCCTGCTTAGATAGTGAGCAAAGAACACATGGTTGGTCGCATGATAACGACAACAAGATGCTTACTTCTGGTGGTCAGTCCGATCTGCATGTGCTCTACGCACCCCATCCCTGGAGTTGCGCCATGCTACGGTACCAGGTAGCCTTCGAACGGGAAACTGGGAACTGGGAAGCAATCAGTCCATGCATACATCTATCTGCCATGGTGATTCATGCGACATCAATTCTAAACCAATCAAGCGAGCACGATCCACTAGTCTCAGAACAGACTCGGAGCTAAGACGAACGATGACGCCAGCACATGAAGCATCATGACCTCTGGTCCGGATAGCGAGCCATAACCCCGCCTTTTGGTCTTGTTTGTTGTTCTTGAGCGGAAGGAGCATGCGATGCAGTTGGTACGTTATTCTCGCAACTTATCGCTAGCTTCGGCGGAGTCCGTTTCCACCTCGCGAAAGAATGCGCCTAGACCAGTAGGCATTCAACGGATGCATCCCTTTGGCGAAACTTTGATGTACTTCAGAGTACGGTGTTTGCGACCGCGGAATAGACCAGAAGAGAAGATGCAACCCAAACCCCGCTTTCCAGTATAACGATTGGGATACAGAAAGTATCATGTCAAGTCTGAGTTGTTACTTCAAGTGGCTTCGTGGTGGCATGCCATGTAGCCTTCCATGGAGGGGTTCCTGACTTCCTGATTATCTTCAAACTCTACTGTCACTATCAGGCCGACGATCGCCAGACAATCCCAAATCTTGCGCGCACCCTAGACCAACCCGTCAAGGCAAGGTGCAAGATATTTGTTTATGACCCGAGTGTTTACATTCCTTTACTGACTCTGTAACGCGCTCCAATACCTTATTTTATTTTCGCCTATCACCCCACCTTATCTTGACCTGTACAGGCAACTGTCCTGTGTCTGCTACAGCCTGCGTGAAGAACACCAAGATAAGACAGGACAAAATCAACGCGTTAAAATCAAGAAGTATCACAATATCACAAGCCCTTCTGTATACCTAGTTCTAATGAACACTCCGCATTGACCTAAAAACCACACAATCTTAGCCGACATACCTGAGTCAAGATCTACCTCGAATGGGCCATGTCTCTCGGTAAAGGATATTGTTAATTAAAAGCCCAAGGCGACATGTCGTCTACATGCGACAAATTTCGCTTTTGAATAATACAATCGCACCTAATCTTAAGTGCATTTGATGAAAGCCAAGCACGGAGCTAATTAATGCAGGGCAGGACTTAACATTACCTTGACTTTTTTCACATCTTGACTGTTCACAACTTCACATCTAACATTATCATTGTATAAACTATCTCGGTCGCATATATTCCTTCTATAAAATATTGCATCGCTTAATACAATAATCATTCGAAATGAACCCATTCCAAGCAAGAACATTACACCCGGCTTGAAGTGTCTTAACTCCGAAGACCCCCTCGGAGCCAAAAGCAGAGTGTGGAAAAAGGAAACCAAAAAAAAAAAGAAAAGAAAGAAAGTTACATTGTGGCTTGAAAGGATAAAAAGTGGGATGGGATTGAAATCAAACGCCGATCCCTTACTGCATCCTGTACGGAGTTGCGGCGTACCAAACGAATATTCTGCACGTCGGAACACACCAGACAATTTCACCTTCAGACGCGGTGACTAGGTATCGTAGTATTGAGTCAACAAACAAAAAAGCCTATAAAGATATCAAGATAACCCATCCATCCGCACCGATCACTATACCGAGTACAAAAAAAGAATCAACTTCAAGAATAGAACACCACCAGACTATACAAAATAGTCTGTCCTCTACTCCGTACGCCCCTCCCATCTCCTCCCCCGTAAAAATAGAAATCAATAAAAAAAAAACAATCGTGGCTTATATATAGCCTATAGGTCTCATCCCGTGTTCTGCTCCAGTTTCAAGTGGGGGCTTTAATTTACTCCTGTGGCGGTTTTTTTCTTTTTTTTTTTTTATGTCATTGACCGTCATTATTGTAATTTCCACTGTTGCATTCGGATTTCGGGGCTGTAATTAATCCTTTCCTACTGTACCTATGACGGTTTCATATTATGAGTTACTACTATTCCGTACTATGTTATGCACTGGGGAAATCTAATGTTGTGTAAATGAAGAAGACAGCTATCACGAATCTCTCTCTTCCTCAATATTGGTGTTGATATTGGCTGCTTTCAGTTAAGGTCTATTCACATTTACATACATACGGTGTCCATACTTCCGAACAAGGAATGCAATGAAGCATCCCTGGCCATTTCGAATTCAAGTCTAATCCGAGACAACCGGCTATTTTAAACCACAAAGAGAAGAGAAGATCCGATGATCACTGCCTGCTGACAAACCCATAACTACTCTGTATGGTGTACAAATCATGTACTGGGCCTCTCAGCCTGGAAAAACCCAGAAATAACTACTTCATACACCTCAGATGACCAATCACTTCAGCGGTCGGATCGGACTGAGACATTTCCTTGATGGCGCGTTGGATGGATCAGGTGGGTTCATTTTATTCTTTGCTGAGGTGCCCTGGCTGGTGGACCTTTTACGGTACTCGATTGTATCGAGGGAGTCGATCGGGTTTCCAGGTTGATTTCTTCGCTTTGGTAACTTGTGGCATACGATCCAATACCTACCTATGAGATGTGGTGGTGCTTTAGTTAGGGGATTGGATGATATGCAGTACGGTACTCTATACTCGCGCGTCTGCATCCGGTGCATGAAATCTGTGGTTGCGGCTGTGTGCTTTACATAGTTCTCAGTAGTGCTCTGTAGTCCGGCCAAGTTGTTAGGGATCCGTAGAGTTGGCCATTGCAACTACATCCGGGAGGCTGCTGGTGGCGTACGGTCTACGTTCGGAGGGTCAGCATGAATCAAATGAGTATAAATGTCTCGATATATCCATGGATAAGATCATTCGCCCTGGCTGAATCACCCAAGTATATTCCGTAGTACCGTCTGCCTCGTAGGATGCCCAGAGCTATAGTCAGTCATGTTCACTGATGTTTTCCCTGTCGTTTCGTATTCCTCATAATCATAACCGAAAGATTTCATGAGATGGTTCGTATATCCAACAATTCAATGGGAGCGATTTTATCGCCTTCCCGAACGAGGTCGTCCGCGATCTTCCACTACCAATTCTCGTTCCTTCATTTTCCGTCTTTCTCCAGACCTACGCGGAGGGGACATCGGTCGATCCAGTAGTAGAGGAGGCGCTTTTTCAGGAATAGGCATGGGCGGCGGATGCTTCAAAGCTCGCTCGCGTTCCATTTCGTGTATCCGACGGCGTCGAGCACGTCGAATATCCTCAGAAAGCTCGACGAGGGAAGAGACGTCATCCTATATTCGGGGGCTGTTAGTGAGGAGACCGTAAATAGCGAAGCTTGTATAGCTAGACTCACATATTGAAGGTATGAAAACACATAGTAGGACGAAACAGTCTCTTCGTACTCGAAACCCATTCTTTCAATGGCTTCCTTCACAACGAGGTCCTTCGTGATTTCTGTCCAAAGACGGTCTCGGCGGTCTTTGACCCCGACATATCGTCGTCCTATCTTACCACGGTCAAAATCTGCATCTCCATCAGAGATCTTCTCGTCGCTCATAGTGAACTTGGACCTCCGATCTCCTAACGGTGGCAGCTTGTTACCTTGGTTTTCCTTGGCAATATCTCTTGGGATATCTCTCGCCTTGGCAGAGGCATTCACAAGTGCCCAATCTTCAGCCATGTCTTTGGTGACAATCTCCTTTGGGACTCGTTCAGGCATTCCCTCATCATAGGTTTCCTCAATGATCTCTCGTTCTTCAACTAGATCCCCCTTGGGAGGCCCCCGCTCACGGATGAGGATATCCTTTTCGCGCTCCAGAGACCGCGGTCTGGAGATGGGTATGGCGATTTCCTCCTTTCGCCGACTTGGAGGCTCCGGGGATAGAGTCCGGACTGGAATGGGCACAATCTCCTTTTCCCTTGTCTCGAGAAGTACCTCTTCACGGGGCGCTCTTCCCATGCCCTCTTTGCTACATAGGCATTAGCACCACAATTCCAATGGACATTCGTGGCTCCTAGAGTCTTACTGATGACGGCGTTTTGGCTTCTCAAAGCTGACCTCCGGGCTGGGCGGACGGGGTGCACGAGGCACTCCATATTCTAGTAAGAGGTGAGCACCACTAGCAGAAATAACATAAAGATCTAGGTTGCTTACCTTCACGTATATGCAAGTGTTCATCAAAGTCACGGTGACTTGGGGGCATGCGAACCGGTGAAGGCATCCTAGGATCGTCTACCTCAGAAGACGACATACCACGATCCTGTATGTAAACGTCTTCCTCCAGTCGTTCCCTAGCTGGGTCTCTTCTTCGCCTCCCTTTATTAATGATAACGTCTTCATCAGGAAGATCGTCGGTGGATTCATAAACTTCGGTCTGATTGCCAGATACCGGGCGCGAGTGAGAACCTTTATGGTGAAGATGCCGATGGTGATGATGATAATGACCTCGAGGGTCCCGAATCTCATCCCTGACTTCTATAGGCCTCGGAGGAATTTCGTCTCTTTCCACTCTCGACCGTCGTGCGCCCCTCCCGTCTTTCTGGCTTTTACTCCGCGGAACAAGTTCCTCCCTGATCTCCCGACGATGCCGTGGCAACGACCGCTCCTTCCTAGAGACAGGAGGCAACTCGACCTCCGAGTCTTCACTATCCATATACACCTTTTCCAGCTCCGGCCCAGACTCCGGCTCCACAGGAGACCCATACTCCTCGTCCAGGAAAACTTCGCGATGTGGCCGCCCCCGCCGTCGAGCCTCGCCTCTCGCTCTTTCAAAGTTCCGCACCAGTTCCCGCGGCGGAACACCGATGCCATTATGTTCGCGACGGGCCGGCAATGGCCGGCGATCTCTCGGGGGCTCGAAGTCCTCGGGAAAAAACTCGGGCCCTGACCGGTCGCGCAGATCGAGGCGCTCGAGTTCCTCCATCGGCGTCGGGGGACTGGGTGCTCGCATGTTATATCTCAGGTCGGGTTCATGGCGACGACCGCGCCGAGACCGCGGAGGAGGTATGGGCTCACGGTCGTCGTCGTCATCGAATAGGTCCTCGTCGTATTCGCGCACATGAGAACGTCGCGGCATGTTGGGTTGGTCGCTGTATATAGAGGATTTGAGATGTCTCGGCCAATTGACTCAATAGAGCGATGGATAGCGACGGGCGTGCAGTAAATATAGGATGTTTCTTTTCTACTGTGGAGGTTCCATTAGAGAGAGAGAGAGAGAGGCTGGAATTACCGCCACAATCGTCTTCTGCGGGGTACTTTTTTCGAGGAACAAAGAGCAGTAGGGTGGAAGATAGGGATTTCTTTCGATGAAACGTGACCAGCGCAATGGAGGAAGGTCCTTTGAAAGAGAGACCGAATCAAATAATACAGTTGTGCGACCTGCGGTCACTTTGCGCCAACAGGTCGGGCCTGGCAGGAGTCAAGTCAGAATGACCCCGCGGCTGTGCCTGCTGATGTCACGCCGCAGTCCTGCCGAAGCGCTTTCCACCTCTGCGATTTGTCGGGGTTGCTGTGCTGGCAATCCGGGTGATGGTCGAAAATTTTAGGTCTAGTTGTGGTGTTTACCTTTCATATTACTTTTCAAATTTCATACTAATGTAGTCCTTATAGTAGATCAAGATCTGGTTGAGATAAGCTTGGGGCTTCGAACCATGGTCACGTTTTCCGAGGTGGGTTAGCGGTCCGATTTATATGTTGCAGAAAACTATAACTTCTTGCGATAAAGGGTCGATTGTTAATCTGCATCTTCATGGAGAAGTTGCTGAGTTGTACTCTGCAGTTTGTGACTGATGATTACAGTAGCATCACTCCTGTGATGATGACAGGGTTACCTCTAAGAACAGCCAAAGCAGTGTTCAGCTCGCCCGCTGTGATGATTCTCATGTTTGATTTGGCTAGAACAAGCCTGCTCTCATTCCGTGTCAAGCCAATGTGCCGGGCATCGGGCCCTGGTGCCTACATTAAGAGGCCTTTGATATATGGATGGGCTGTCGAAGCATGCGGCCAAGAAGATTACCTTCTACCTTTGCATGTTTGCCCAGAAAAAACAGATTTTGGTCTTATCATGTCATGAGAGCGACCTTTCCTGACTATCCAAACCTAAGTCGCATTTGCCCCTTCTCCGGTTTATCGCGAGTGTTACGGCTATTCTTTCCCCGAGCATTGGCCGGTCCTGCATTGCTCGATGGGTGAGGTGCTTGACTGGAGTCCCTCGCTGCTTGTCTTTCTTGATTCTCCAGGTCTTTAGCAAAGTGCCAGTCATCATGTTCATCCTTCTCAACCTCGGGAATAGGCTTGTTGCATTTGTCACAAGTGTAGAGTCCAGGTACCACCTGTGGCGACCGTGGCATAGACGAAGATGTACCTGGGGATTCACCGGTCGGTCCTATTACTGTTTCTTCATGCTCGTCTGCATGAGGTTTCGTGGCGGCCCCTGAAGGCTGACCGAAGAAGCGCCGTATTCCGTTGTTGTCATCTAATTTGCGTCGCTTTTCAGTCGTTAGCTGAAACTCGCGCAGATCTGGTGCACCGGCTTCTCTTTTGCTATGACCGACACGCTTGGCCTGTTCTCCGCGGAGTAGAAATGACTCTATCGCTTGGTTCTTTGCAACACCGTCTTCGAAGCTACCAACGCCCAAAGACAGGTTTGCACAGGGCCAGGCCCGCCCATCAACAACAACCTGTCGCAGCAGTGTCTTCGCAAGCTCGAAAAGAAGGTCTTCGTCCATCGGAGACGAGCCGGGGATGGGACTTTGGCGGGAATAAACCTGTGGCCCTTGCCTGTGGTGCAAAGAAATGGTCTTCGGACGGCGTCTATTCTCAAGCACACCGTCTTCAACGAGACGTCCATATATATCGGCCGCGAAAATTCTCAACCACCTGTCGGCCTGATCGACGGAATTGATACTCGGCCTGAATGATTTCGCGGATAACATGGATTTGATCTGCGTTCGTGGATTGACTTCGCTTCGATCATCCCCGCGAATAATATTGTACAGCCACGCAGCAGTATCATCATCCAGCTTGGCTCGAAATTGCTCGAGGGGGACGGCTAGCAAGTCACTTACTTGCTCGGTGCCAAACTGAGCGGAAACTTGGTCCCCGAGCTTACCACCAAGCATTCGAATCTTGGTAAACTTGAACCCGCCAAGAAAGTTCTGGACGGCACGGTTGCGTACAATGGTTTGCTTGTTGGGTTTATGGGTGGAACTTCCTAGCTTCGCCATCATCTTGTTTCTGGCAACGCCTGCGGAGCAGGTGTAGTTGAGCTTTTCCCAAACAGCATTCCGTAGCGATCGGACCAACTCAGCACCTAGGAGCATTGCAATATCGTCCCATTCTGGATCGTCGAACTCTGTCTCATTCGGATCCAAATCTATTAAACCGTCCTTAGGATCCCATTCCAAGGCGGTTGTCGGGGGCCGAGGCAAGCGCGTGACACGGTCATCGCTCTGAATTTCAGTCCGCAGTTCGGGATACCTCTGAAGCAAGAGACCATAAACCAATGGTGACAAGTCAACGAAGACTTCATCGACACTGGCTTTTTCGAGTGCGGCTTGCTGGATCTGAGCCTGGGGTCCTAACCCAGTTTCAGCATCAACCAATCCCTCGTACCACCTGGTCAACTCGTCCTTCATCACCTTTAGAATCTTCCTAGATTCTGCCCGATACGGATCCAGACACACTTTATCCGTGCTTATTTTGCGGAAAGCATCATCCCTATAAGCCCATTTCCCGCCTTCACCCTCTCGGAAAGTTGCAACATGTTGCAAAACAATATCGGGACAGAGTTTTGTCGCCTCTTTGGCAGAGATCATTCTCGTGATCCCAAAGGACCGAGCCGGGTAATTGATTGCGATCAGGGAATCCCACTGCCGCACGGCGAGGGGTGTCTCCCGCGGCGTCTGGAGCCGCACCATCTCACATTGTGCATAGAAGGCATCGAGATCGATGTGCGCAATAACTCTAAGGGGAGAGGCGGTCGAGCCCTGGCGGAGAAGCTGTAGCTGACGGTAGGTGTAACGGGAATGTTGCTTCAAGGAATTATTGGGAGACGACGGCGATGCGACGAACGGTTCCGGGGAGGAGTGAGACATGTCGATACGGATGATGCGATCGTCATGGCGGATCTCAGCTGCTGGCCATGGGATTCGGAGATAGTGCCCTTTTGAGATGTAGGTGTTGATTCTTTGGCTCTTCTGTCGTCGCGTCGCTTCTGGTCGCAATCGAAGATCTCGAGTTCGGGACCCACCTAGGATACCCGACCGCAATGGGTTTAGCGCCATAGTCATCCACTGACGTCCCCGATCGGGCTTGAAGCTCTTCTTTTAGTTAGCTATACAGACTTACAGATCATGATGCTTTTGTCTGCTTTACCTCTTTGCCTACCGTGATCTAACCTCTTCTTCTTTATTTCTCTCACAGAAAAACTGGACGAGGTAAGATACCATCATTGGACTCTGTGCACCTCGAAATGGTGTCTAAATCCTATCGCATACTCGTCGAGATACCACATTGGAACGGAGAACAACCAAACCAGCTCAGCGAAGGAAGAGCGTCAAGCCAGAAATGCAGAATCGCAATGCAGTCCCCACAAGGCAGCTATACACACGTCTAGAAGAAACAGATCTTCTAGAAGAATGCAGTTCAAGATCGTCTTCTCAGATTCAAAGACGGAGAGGTCATAGCACTGTAGAAAAGACCAAAAAAAACAAGACGTAAACCGGCGAGATGAGGACAACACAGCGTTGAATTTGACCAATTGGACATCGAGAAAAAGACACCAGCCCTCCTCTCTGGAGTACACTCTACATGTATGGATTTCATGGACTCTTGAGCGGATCAGATGAATAGCCAGAAGGCCGCCACCTGAGCACTCGTCATCAACCCATATCCTGTTTTACAAGGCCACACAGCCAAAGACAAATGATACGCTACTGATGAATGCCAGATAGTTTCAGAGCGAGAATACTCGGGCGAGGGCACCCTCATCGCAGACTGGACAACCTGCTGCTTAGTCGCCGACGAAATTCCGTGCTATAATCACCGAGTGGATACTGGCATGAGACACCAAGCAATCCCGTGTTAGACAGCGGGCTTCTCGAGTCTTTGGAGACCGTTTCCTTTCCACCCATTCGTCGCTAGATGATCTCCCGGTGAGGCATGACGGAAGGGGGTCTGCGAATGGGGGATTTAAGCAAATGAGAACGGTCGATTGCTGGTGGAATGCAACCGTAATCTCTTTTGCTGGTCCGGCAAGGCGACTACGCAGCTTAGATACAGATACTAATGAAGACCGTGCAGCTCAAGAGCGACACCTGTACCGATGTCATTCGAGCGAAGGATGGGTCCACCGGTAGGGGACCCTCACCGCTGGACTCGAGCAGTCGAGAACAATGCAGATTGGAGGTGGGTGGGCGTTGAAGGAAGTGCACCCCGTACGGTGTGTATGGAGTACTGAGAGGTGGTCAATTTCCACGGTACAAGGGCCGTTGCCATTGGATCAAGGCATTATTATGAATTGAGACACAAAGACTTTTTGCAGGCCTCCATCTCCGAATGCGTTGGGCAAAACCGGTCAAATGGGAGGCTGGGGATTCGAGGTTCTATCGAGAAGCCACCTCGGCTGCGAGACTTGCATGGAAGGTCAGGAATCAACCAGAAAGCAAAAAAAGTGGAAAAAATCCACGAATGCATAATGGAGAGATCGGAGGAACAAGAACACCATTTGATCATGCAGGTTGCCGAGTGTTTGGTGGTGGTGATACCCGGGGTCAAGTACCAGATACAAACACAGGACCTCGACGAAGTCAATATTGAGTCTTTGGCTGTTTGGCGTTGGTATGTGTATAGCTTTGCTCTGTGCAATCTTTTACTAAAAATTTAGTTATGCTACTGCCAGAAAGAAATGTTTGTCTTGTAACTTGTTAGATAAACTCGGGAACAAAAGGCTCCAGAACTTTCCTGACTAAACCAAAAGAAGAAGAAACAATTACTGTAGGAGGATACTCCGCACAATCTATCCCTTGGGTCGCGCAAACCTGGTTCTGCTCGTCCAAGGTAACTACGACGGCTGAGTCAGCTCCCGAGCGGGTGTACCTGAAGCGGCAGGTAGAGAGGTACTCCTGTCCTGATGAATGCCCAAAGCCGCCACCCATTTCTGCCCAACCTGCCACTCCAGCGCCATTGGAAATCTAACTGGCCGAGCTCGCTTCGACCTCAAGGACAAATCATGGCCGACGACGCAGGAGTACCTTGGGTACCCATGGTACTTGCTCGCTTGCAGAGAGGTACCTGGAAACCGCAGCACCACTGCTAGCCAGCCCGTGTACCTCCATGCCGAGCACTTGTCCCTCGCTGGAAGAGGGCCTTGAGCCCTTGACGCTGGAGATGCAGCTCGAACCCGCTCTGCGTAACGCTGTCTCCAACTCAATCATAATATTAGAATATGCCCATCTCCATCGGAAGTATTTATCCAAAGAACGAGGGGGATTTTCTTTTCTGATTCTCTCCCAGCGCTACCCCCCCCGTCACCATCACCATCACCCATCAATCATCCATGCACCACACATACATCCACCGTATGGTAGCAGCTCCTGTACTACCTTGTCGCCGGAAGATCATCTTCGACATCATCCATTCCTGCGAGTGAGTGGCTGAGTCATCGGATCGAGGCAAGGCAAAGCAGGCGCGATGACAACATAAGGTCATGAAGAAGACTTGGGCGAGGACGCCCTTCTCCCTGTTCTCGCCACCGCAATTTGAGATTACGGCCTCATCTGGGTATGAATGGTGGAGAGAATGGGAGGCAATTCAGAGCGAGGCTTCGACGGTCAATAACGGGGCGTGATTGACAGATCAGGCTGAAGATTTTCAGATTTTCCCCCCTCATCAGGTAAGAATCAGATGGGTTCATACTGCTGCTAATAATAAGGGATGGAGATGTGAGGGCAGGCGAAAACTGGTCCTTGACTATCTTGAACGGCCTATTACTCTTTTTCCATTTTTTCTTTTCGAAATTTCGAATTCCTATTCTCTTATGATCAACGGTCATGGCGGTTATCCCATGACGCCACAGTCTGAACAATCATCAACATAACATTTCATTGGTTTATGCTATATTGATTTACTATCCGTCTTTTTTTTTTAACAAAGAAAAAAAAAATCATGGATTATTTTTTCCTGGAGACCCTCCCTACGGCGTACTACTCTCTACAAATGAAGATTATGATAATCAAGTTGAAAAGGGGGGAAAGGAATCACGTAAAGAGGCAAACGGCGAGGGAGCGGACAATCGTCAGTCGCACGCACACACACTTGTTGCACACCACCCCGGCGTCTAAGCCCTATTCGTGCATGCATGCTTGCAGTCATCTTCTGCTTCAGTCTACTCCGTAAGAAACCACCCTCAATTCATCCTCGGTGGGTGGAGTCAGTCGTGGCACCAGACAGAAGCCAGGCAGCCCAAAGCCGGCCCAACAGCCCCAAGGACTAGCCAACCGCGCGTCGTCCAGTAGCCTTTTCTTATTCTTTGTCCTTTCCCCATTTTCTTTTCTCCTTCAGTTAATCCATATTAATCGTTCAGTCAATCAGCGCAGGCAAACCCACAACCCTCGTTCCCATCTTTCTGCCACCCACACCCACTTCCTTCCCCCCCCGCTCCACTTCTTTTCCTCTTCTTATCTTCCCGTGCCCGTCTCGCCCGGTTCTTTTCTCTCTACCTCTGTCCTCTTCCTCTCTTCCTCGCTCTTCCTCCTCCCTCCCCTCCTCTCTTCTTCTTCCTCCCATATCTTATTCTGGCATCATAGCCAAAGTTAAAAAAGAAGCACAGGAAGTGTTGAAACAGTAGCAATACTGTTAAAAAGCGGATTGTTGCCCCCCTCGAAAGAGTCTCCATTGAAAACCCCCTCCCCTCTTAAAGGCCTTCTCGCCTCTCACTCTTCTTTCTCTCACTCTCCTCTTCTCCTCTCTCTCCGTCTAGGACTCTGGGCCTTTTCAATATTTTTTGATTTTCACTCCGTCCTGTCATTGCCGCCCTGGTTTCTACTGAAGGACATTTCCCGAGGATCTTGAACCTATTGCCGGTTAACAACCTCTGGACCATACCCTATTATTCCGGATTTCTTTATTTTCCTTCTCCCTGGTGAAACCCCAGAGAGAAAGAGAACGGTTTTCTTGGGTTCAACCTCAACGACTTTCTTCTATTCACGGTCAAACAAAAGTCGGATTAGCGTTGATTTTCAGCCTTGGAGTTCCCTGGACGCAGTCGCTTTAGAACTGTACTTCTGCTATTTCTTCTTGCAACCAAGCCCAAGAGAATTTTCAACCATCTTCCCACTTCTGGACCCTTTCGGCTTTTCTTCCTAGGACTACGTGGAGGCCACTTGGACCCATTTACTAGAATACCTTAAATACTGGACCTTTTCCCCTGGACACAATGACTGGACGCCATGGATATGATGTACGCCCGGAGCGTCAGAACGAGTATTTTATTCCCGGCGATGGTATCAGCCGGGAGGTGATCCAAGCAGATATTTGCCGTTACCTTGGAAATGATGCGCTCGTAAGACCCGGAAACCATAATGTCTGTCTACCGATGTTTCCTTACCAGTACCAACGATGAATTCCTCTGTTGAACGACGAATTCTTTTTCTGACCGCCTGCTGAGCTCTCTTACTGACTTTGATGCGAACAGGGTCGCCAGGGTTATTTCATCCGTGCCTATCGGAACCTCACCTCTGTAAGTCGTTGGATCCGGCTCATGCTGACTCGCTTCGTCCCATATCCTTGGAGTACAAAACTAACCGTCCTGTGCTTTAGGAAATGATTGCTGATCTCAAGGCTGACTCATCTCGGTGGGAGGCTGATGTGCTTCGTCGGGCTGACCAAGGCTATCCGAGAGGTAGTTATATTCAAGACTACAGCATGTCCCAGGCGCCTAACATGGTTCCAGCAAACTATGCAACCTCCTCGATCCATGAAGGTCGCCAACAACAGGGGGGCCCGTCTCCTCCGCCTGCCTACTCGGCACCACCTGCTCAGCCATACGTGGACCCGTACCAGGCAGGGTTCGCACAAACTCAGAGCCCTCCTTATCCTACCCCCTCATCATACCCTTCCAACCACTCACCTTTTGCTCCTGGACAAAACCCGTATCCCCAGCAGATTCCTTACTCTGCTCCCAGTCAACCTCCCGTGTCTTCTGAAATGCACCCAACGTATACGTACACGAGCACTGCTGGTTATGCTTACGAGAATGGGAGAAACAATGCCCCCAGATATCCTGGTCCTGGCTATGAAACCGAATCGGATTATTCCCCGGTTACTTCCGGAATGGTTTACCCTGCCACTACAGCCCCGGACCCGCGGATAGGAATGGACCCAAGATATACCCCGGAGTCGGCTTACTCGGGGGGCAGTAGGCCACAGCCCGCCAGGGAAAGAGATGCCACGCGCCGACCCCGGTAAAGCTGAAGGGGAAAAAAACGAACAAAAGAAAAGAAACAAACAAAAACAAAAACGGAGTTTTTTCTTTCTTGTGAGTTCCAAGGTTTTAGACGCATTTGCGCCCGTCTTCTGTGAAGACTTCGGAAATGATGAACTATTCCGCGCATTTTCCAATCCTGTTTCGCTCTGGAAATTCCTCACCAAACCGACGTTTTCTTTTTCTATCTAAGCCATTTGGACGTCAAATCGGATAAACCATGTCTAATTTATGGGAACCTAAATTGCAACCTTTTCGGAGTTAAATCCTTGGGATCCCGGACATCACTTGATCTGAATGCCGCTCAAGTTATCCTGGGCTAATTTTGAACCTGGAGAATATTTTCCACCGGCGTCGGCTGTCCGGTCTATCTTCGAGCTGACTGTTGTTCTCATTCCCACTCGAGCTTCTTATAGCGCTTTAATGGGGAATGACCAGCTTGGTGATACTTAGTGATGGGGTTATGAAGGGGTGGCTTTTTGGATTTTTACTGTACCGTTGGTCCTGGTTTTTCCATTTTCCATTTTCAAATTTCCTTTCTCATCTTATCCTCTATCTCTTTTTTTCTCTCTTCTCTTCCGAAAGCCGTTCTCATTTGAGCTATTCAATGGTTACCTTGGTCGTGGTATTTTGTTTTGCTTGTCACCTCCGTCAATCTGTTCCAAGGGGTACTTTCGACTATTTCTTCGCGTGGAGTCTGATGGAGGCATCCAACTGATCCTGGAATTTATCAGCTAGGGGCTTTGATGATATACAATTATGTTGGTTATGATCTATATGTAGATATGAGCATACACGGCGTTATCTTTCTGGGCTTTGACTGTTTTTGCTCCTTCTCATTTTATGTTGCTCAGGATTCCAGAATTGTTCTATAATTGATGTTTGCCGGTCTACCGAAACCACATTAACCGTCTTCTTCCATTCCATTGCAATTACATGCTCGTGCACGATACAACCTGGAGTGTTTCTGATCTCCGCTTTTTTTCTTTTCATGCAAACCATTCCCATGCAGAATTTTATGGCACGAAATATGTTTTCCATGTTTGCAAGCAAGTTATCTACGTGAAAATGTTCACCATGTGCGTAGGCGCTCTACACAACTACAAACTCTGTCGTTAGATCTCCTTTGGGACATATCAACCCAAAACGACACCGTTAAGGCCTTTAATACAACTATGAAAGAATGAAGGCCGCCGATACTTTTCTGTATTGAACCTCTCTCCTTCAACTCCTGTTGCCAGGATCCGCCCTTGGTGAATGTGACCTCAATCACCATTGCAAATTTCCGATTCTTGTTTCTCAATTTTTCTCTCTCTTCATTCTTATTTACTTTATAGCCCGACTACGGTTCGTGGTACAGGCTCTACAGCCTTGGTTTCCTCGACATGGACGGCTTGGGCTTCCCCATATCCAATGATGGCGACGTCAAGGTGTGGATCGATGAGGAATTGTATCAGCTGCACTCTGAGGTGCTTAAACGCCGTTCGCGCCTTTTCAGGCATGCCCTTCAGGATGCTCCACAATTTGAAAACTTCGTTCATTTCTATTTGGCTCCTTCGGAACTAAGCGATGTTGGAATCGTGACTGTCCAGGTGCGAGCATATCGCGCGGCAGAATGTGAACTGAAGCTCTTATTAACCTGTTGGCAAAGAAGGGATGGAACTCATCGCCCCCCCCATAATAGAGTGCTTATTCGATGAGCCCGCTAAAGTCCGTGATTATTGGGACAACATTCTCCGCGTCCTTTACAAGATCAAGCCCAACCTATGTCTTCTTAATCGTGATCCTGGAACCGTTGCCTTTGCACTGGTCAATATAGGTGAAACCATCGGATCAAAGACCATTGTCGCTCAGAGTGTCGATCTGGCACTCAGGGATCTGGGCCAGCGATTGTTCCTTATGGTTTCTCAAGACCCTGTTGGCTGGCTTTCCTTTGCAAGTCGTATCCGCTCCGGGGTCATCTATCACGAGGCTCTCGTTCACCTGGTCGGTAAATGGCATCAGCTCACCCAACAAGATCAAAGTCGGGTTGCGTTGCTCCCAGACTACACTACCAATATTGTGGGTGCGTCCTTAAAGGAGTTTGACGGCGCCAAAAAGAACGTCGAGGCCCAACTCCTGACATATTCTCCTCCTGGTTGGATGTCTTCCGGCTCCGAAATATCCTATCAAGCTGATGATTCCACGCTCAAGAGCGTCGGTATTTTCTGCCAATGGTTTGCTCACCAAATCGCTAATGGCAACAATCTTGATAATTGCAGTGCAGGGACCAGACTGTATCGCACCATAGCTGCCGGCGGAGATGCATACCTTGGAGACGATAGATTCAACTACCTCCACGGCCTGGCCTCGCATTGGGGACTTGCAGAAGAAAGCGAAATCGAAGACAAGCTGAAGCTAATCAAAGATGACATTAAACTGATTGCTGCGCCTCTTCTGGTGAACGAAAGCCGTTATGATCCCCAGCAGTTGGGCCAACTCCCCTACCTCACCTGTATCAGGATAGAAGTCGACACCATCCCCTGGAACGAGTGGGCGGTCGAAGACGGTAACAATGGTTGGTCGGATATCGAATCCTCAGATTCTGAATCAGGCAGTACCGACAGTTGGATCTCTTTGGTGAACTATTCAGACGATGCCATGATTGATGTGCCGGCTGAAACGACGGTTGAACAATCGAGTATCCACGGCATTTTTATGGCTTGGAATTCACCAGAATCGTTGCAGGAGTCTTCTCGCTTTTATTGAAGTTCGATCTACGTGTTTAATCATGTTGCAAGAATCGTTTGTACTGCAGATAGCATGAACGAAATGAGCCGGCATATTCCGCTCTATAACCATTCCATATACAATACACTGCACCAGCGGCGCCACTCGGTTTAATCTAAACCAGACGTAAGGTAATAGAGACGTCACCGAAGAGAGAGAGAGGACGGGTCCAGGGTCCCAGATATTCGGAGGACCGAATCATCCCTCCATATCATCTATTGCTTGTCGGAGGCCTTCGACCTGGATGATCCTTGAATTGTCTTTATATTTCCCAGCTAAATACACCATAACAAGTCAAATCTGAACTTTAAAATCGACTCAATGCATAAAAGATCCACGAAGCGCGTTTACTCGTCGTCGTAGCCTTGCGGGATAACCCGGCGACCCTGGGGAACTAGAAATGCGAAGTAGAGCCGTCAGTAACCACGAGATGAGAGCCGGAGCTCGACAAGCATGTCGAATCCGTGGAGGAGAAATATAATTCAAGAGCGCTTACTGGGATATGTCAGGGGGATAGGCTCCGGGTCGACGTCGCCGAAGAAGTGTCTGATCGGAGGGAGAGTCACCAGGGCGACGGGACCCATGGCGCCCGTGACGAGGGCATAGAAGATAGCGGGCTTTTCGTGAGAGGCCCAGCGAAGGTACCGGAGAGGCGTCGACCAGAATTGAGGAGTAGTCATGATTGCGACAGGCGAGGAAGGTCGGGATGTTGCGTGATGAGAAGAAACTTTTCTTGCGGAGATTGGTCAGTATCAGGGGAGAGGACGTTAATCAAACCACAAGGATTGTAGATGATTGAAGGGAATTGAATTGGACATACCAATGGAAGCTACGAAGCCACACAGTTCAACGTGCCGGGCTGCAGGGACGAGGGCAGACGGAGATGCGACGGAGAGGGGAAAGGAATGGAGGTTGAAAGTGACGAAAGCCGCCCGTTCGAGCGGCGAGCGGGTCTTGGCATTCAGTCCAAACACGTCGCCCGTTAACTATCGACTTCCTCCCTCCGACTTCCTCGACAACTCCGGAGTCCAGCGACATTGGCTTGTCTGTCTTTCCCTTTTTTCTACTTCTTCTATCTGCCGTTCTATTTGGCATTTCCGCCAGTCACCCTTCCGCCCCGCCGTGCGGTTTTCTCAAGATGCGGTGGTGCCTTGCCCTTCTGGTGTTCTGCTTCCTGGCCGTCGCAAATGCGTTGAGCAGTTCGGGGAATCGCCTCGCAGTGATTCTGGAGGATGCTGCAGACAAGGAGCTATATTCCACCTTCTGGGGTGATCTCCAAGGTCAGTTCTACCGCAACGATACGAATCAATTGGTACTGACGAAGTGTTCCTACAGCCCGCGGCTACAACATCTTCTTTGAGTCTCCCAAGAACGAGCGCTTCTCCCTGTTCGAGTATGGCGAGCGAGCATACGACCACCTCCTCATTCTCCCTCCCCGGTCCAAGGGTTTGTTGGCCCATCAATCCGCGAAATAGTCCAACTCAATTGACCGTCTGAGATAGGTTTCGGGCCTTCGTTGACCCCCCAGAAGATCGTCGAATTCATGAACAAGGACGGCAACGTCCTTCTCGCTCTCTCCGGAAAGTCCGCCACGCCTAGCGCCATCAGCTCGCTTCTTCTGGAGCTGGATTTCCATCTCTCTGCCGACCGTTCCTCCATCGCTGTCGATCACTTCAACTACGATGTTTTGTCCGCCCCCGAAAAGCACGACGTCCTGCTTCTCCAGCGTCCCGGTCAATTGCGGCCGGACACCAAGGCCTTCTTCGCCGGCGAAGGTGTTGTCGCATTCCCTAGGGCTTCTCCCCACACCCTGGGCGATTCCAGCCAGCTCGTCGCTCCCATCCTGCGCGCCCCGATCACTGCCTACAGCTACAACCCCAAGGAGGACGCGCCGACGGTTGAGGATGTCCAGGCCACTGGCTCTCAATTGGCGCTCGTCTCCGCCATGCAGGCCCGCAACTCCGCTCGCTTTACTCTGTTGGGCTCTGCGGACAGTCTCCAGGACAAGTGGTTCTCTGCGACTGTCAAGGCCCCTGGCAGTGGAAAGGAAACCAAGACTGCCAACCAGGACTTTGCCAAACAGCTGACCGCCTGGACTTTCAAGGAAACTGGAGTCCTCAAGGTTGGTAAGGTTGAACACCACCTGGCCAAGGATGGGGAGGTTACGGCCGATGAGCTGAACCCTAGTCTCTACCGTATCAAGAACGAGACCGTAAGTGCTGACCGTGGATTCCTCATCATCGTTCGCTAACACGTTTTTCCAGGTCTTCGATATCGAGGTCTCTGAATATAACTACGACTCGTTCGTGCCGTTCGAGGTCCCCACGAACGACGCTCTTCAGCTTGAATTCACCATGCTCTCGCCCTTCCACCGTCTCGATCTCCAGCCCTCCCGCCGAACGGAGAACAGCACCATCTACAGTGCCCGCTTCGTCGTTCCCGACCAGCATGGAATCTTCTCGTTCCGCGTCAACTACAAGCGCCCCTTCTTCACCAACATCGAAGAGAAGCACGAGGTGACCGTGCGCCACTACGCCCACGACGAGTACCCCCGCAGCTGGGAGATCAGCGGAGGATGGGTGTGGATTGCGGGCCTATGGTCCGTTATCGGCGGCTTCCTCGCCTTTGTGGTTGTGTGGCTCTACTCGGCCCCTACTCCGACTGCTGCGCAATCGTCTAAGAAGACGCAGTAAGTAATGTATTTATCAATGACTGCGTGAATGTAACTTTCCATTGAATGGGTTGCTTTTCTGTAAGTGCTTTGGAGACGTAAGTTATGTAGAAGAATAGATGGAGAGAAGTCTATTCAATATGTACAGCTGCCGAGTCGCCCGACAGGCGAATATCCGATCGTAGAAGTACATGGGGGCTTGCGAAATCAACCAATATAACTCCGGTGCATGCTGAGAAAACATCAAGTAAAGAAAGGAAAAGAGGAAAGGAGCAGAAAGGAGCTTCCGGACACCTTCGCGACGGGGCCTCAATCTGACCACCTTTTGCAACCCCGTTTCACCGGCGTCCTTCGGCCTCTCAGCCCTCCGCTTCATTCCGTTCACAGACCCCTCGTCTTCTCGGGATCCATCTTAACCTCATCTCCGCTGATTTCCTTGACGGACTCAAAGGCCGGCTTGCCCGCATACAACTGCTCGGTCTTGGTGGACTCTCCCTCGAGCTCCTTGTTTAGCGCAATGGGTTGATTACCGCGGAAACGTTTGCGCATATCGATCATGCCGCGCCTGAATTGATATTCGGAATTAGTACGATGATTCAAACACAGCCCACATCACGTCCAAGATGATCAAACGACATACTTGCACTCGCCGTATCCTTTCCGCAACTGCTGACATTTCGTAGGCAAGTTCTCCGCATAGGGAGAGCTCAGGCATTCTCTCGGGGTTCGACGCTGGACCATAATACAGTCCGATTCCTGCAGGCACTGTGCCAATGCATCTCCTATATTATATTAAAGCGCCGTTAGCCTCGTCATTTCATGGACATGTCAATCACATTGGGAAGCATGGCTAGAGGATCGGCGAGATGGCGAGTCCCGTCCGGCCTGCCTGCACCAGATATTGATCGCGAGTACTCACGGATGTCCCGGCAAGAGCTGGGCATGTTGGCCAAAGAATTGACGAAATGCTGGATGCTGCGATGCCAAGCAGTCCGGCGTGCTGGTTGTTTGCAGCAAAAAACCAGACGTTGAGAATCCCCGGATCACGTAAGCATCACATGAAAGATGGCGGCGCATGACGTCTAGGGCGAGTTTCCCCTTCCCCCCTGTTGTTCTGCTCTATTCTGTTCCTATAATTATATACGTTGACCTTCTTGTCTATCTTTTCCCCTATCCCTCCCGGTGCAACATCCCTGCGCTTGCACTATGGAACTCGTGTTTTACGACTAGCGATCGATTTTAGCTTAGGTGTCGCAGTGAAACATTGTCCGGTTTTCCATCATGGCGCGTGTACCGGTGATCGGAAGATTGTTCTGGTTCGAGTACTTGGCTCTCTTCGCCTCGATAATTCTGGTCCTGCTGGAATATTTTATACATGTCATAACCTTCTGTCTTCGTGAGTATACACATCCAACGCCGGACAGGCTGCAGTCCTTTCTCGGTGGATCTACGGAGTAGACTGACAGACTTGCGACAGCGGACACGATAATCACGTTCTGTTACGATCGGTCCAAAACGATATTCAATCTTTTCATCAGCCCGGAGAATGTGGGCAACCGCGGCAAGGAAGAGCGACAGGCCATGGCGGTTGCACAAGCGTCGGACTTTGTCGACATCTGTTCCTTGTTCGGGTACGAGCCTGAAGAGCACATCGTTCAGACAGGCGATGGCTATCTTCTCGGTCTCCACCGGCTGGCCTATCGGAAAGGGGAGGAGGGCGTGCGCGTCAACCAGGGGAAGGACGGTGTGAAAAAGAAAGTGGTCTACTTGCATCACGGACTGCTCATGTGCAGCGAGGTCTGGGTCTGCTTGACGGAGGAGCAGCGATGCCTGCCCTTCCAATTGGTAGAAAGGGGATATGACGTGTGGCTGGGGAACAATCGCGGCAATAAATATTCGAAGAAGTCCGTCAAACACTCTCCTCTGTCTAACGAATTCTGGGACTTCTCGATCGATCAGTTTGCCTTCCACGACATCCCCGACAGCATTAACTACATCCTGGAGGTGACGGGGCAGCCTTCTCTGTCATATGTGGGGTTCTCGCAAGGCACGGCTCAAGCGTTCGCGACTCTCTCGATCCACCCGACGCTGAATGACAAGATTGATGTGTTTGTGGCTCTGGCGCCGGCCATGGCGCCGACGGGCTTGCCGAACCCGCTCGTCGATTCGCTCATGAAGGCCTCGCCGAACTTTCTGTTTCTCCTGTTTGGGCGCCGCAGTATCCTTAGCTCGACGACTATGTGGCAGACGATTTTCTATCCCCCCATCTACGTCCGCATCATCGACACTTGCGTCTCCATGCTCTTCAATTGGAAGTGCAACAACATCAGCCGCTGGCAAAAGCTGGCGGGGTACCTGCATCTGTTCTCCTTCACTAGCACCAAATCCGTGGTTCATTGGTTCCAGATCATCCGGCACAAGAACTTCCAGTTCTACGACGACGAGATCCACGCGCCCTTCAGCGTCGTGGCCAGCGAGCGATTCTACAAGCCGGTCAAATACCCCACGAAGAACATCAAGACGCCGATTGTGCTGCTGTACGGCGGCAGCGACAGTCTCGTCGATATCAACGTGATGCTGAAGGAGCTGCCGCGCGGGACCGTGGCGAAAAAGATTGCCAAATACGAGCATCTGGATTTCCTGTGGGCGTCGGACGTGGATCAGCTAGTGTTCAGTCATGTCTTTGAGGCGCTGGAACTGTACGACCCGAATAAACCCGCCAGCGACGCAGCAAAGGTGGAGCAGATGAACGGCCACATCGAACACGCAATTGCGGCCTGAACGCGCTGGCGTGGGTAGCAAGGGGGTGGGAGGGAAGTTGGAGTCTTCGCGCGCGCACAAAGTACATACATAACGTCGTCCTGTAGAGAAGAACAAAGTTCGATGACGACGCCGTTGCGCCAAGTATTGATGCATCCTGTCTGTCTGTCTGTCTGTCTGTTTGATCTGAAGCCTCCCGACTGTCGCTTGTCACCAGTTGTACAGCTATCTATCCCTCGCAGGGCTCGTACATAATCTAGTCTAGTCTAGTAGGTAATGTAAACGAATAATTTCCTCATGATGGGTTGATATCATCAAGCCAGACAGATCCAGGAGGGGCTATGACGTGCCCAGGGGAAAACAATCCCGAAGATGTAGTTATCTATCAACTCTTGACTCTGGACGGCCCCTCCCAGTCTTCATCCGGGCCACAATCGTACTTCTGGTCTGACCTGACCTGACCTGACCTGCATCTCGACCAATATGTACGTGATAGTGACGATACGTCGCATGTGTCATACCGACGGTTGGTTGCCAAATCGACAAGAGAATGAAAATTAAGAAAAAGAATAATATCGCGCACATACCACCCAAGCGCCCAGTCGATCAGTCACCGGTACTTTGGCAACTTTGGCCTTGTCGCGCGCATCATTGGCGCAGCGCCGTGCCTGACAAGCGTTTGAGTTGTCCGGCTTCTCATCCGGTTCCTGGAAATTGACGGGCTTTTTTTAAATTTGTTGGGGACGTTGCAAACCTGGCCTATCGAATCGATTCGAATCGAGTCCCGTTAACCCAATTCCGGTCTTGTCGATTCAAGTCAGTCGGTCAATCAATCAATCCGTCAATCGAAGATCGAAAGGGACAAAGACAACCAAAGGGCAGGCGATCGTCGGTGGAGATTTCCATTCCATTCCTCCACTTCCCACCCCTTTCCTCTAACTAGCCCTTTTTGTTCCGCCTCTGGGTTCTCCTTCCGACAGGCGTTTGGTTGTGTATAGTTGGCGTTGGATTGGGGGAGGAGATGACAGGTAACAATTGAAGGGGGTGGGATGAGGGCAAGGCGTTTCAGGCAGGGAGTCTGGATAACAAACGGGACGATAGATAGAGTGGTAGACGCCTAGGCACGAATGGAGTACTATCTTGGTCTAGGAATGTATGTACCACAGGCCGGTTGTCGATACATGAAGGGAAGATGATAATATTGGCGATTATATATTCCCCGTCGTTCCATCTGACTCTCTCATGATATCATCTGGCCAACTCGTCGGGATGATCGACTTTCAGGCTGCATTAAATTGATATATTGTTCACCACCTTGCTCCTATCCTACCTGATCCTACCCTGGCCTATCCCACGAGCTAGCAACCAAGTGGGAGTTGAAGGTATTCGACTCCAATTCCCGGACTCCATCTGTGATCCACCAGGATTCCAAGTCCGAGCCTCACGATAAGAAGTCCAATCAGCGACTACTGAGCTGCTTCCTTGCACTTGAACACCAACCTGGTTCTTGGAGGGACCTCATTATTGATATCGCGAGATCCCAAACGCCTCAACATCACGGGGTTTTCTGTTAAGGTTTGGCTGCGGGATCGGCCATTTCAGTCACACAATCTTCTCCTTCTCTTCCTCTTCCTCTTCCTTCTTCTTCTCTTCCTTCCCCTCTCTCTCATCTTCCCCTTCTCCATCTCACCGCTGCGACTCTACTGAATGAAGTAGAACCCCCGAGAGATCCTGCCGTCGACTAGGTAAATCCTGCCCCTTGGGAACAACTTGGTTGCTGCTGCTGACTTAGCCCCGGCCTAGTTTGGGTAGTCTCCGGAAATCCACCCGATAATAATAATAATTAAATCGCTGGACATCAAACCGTCTCTCGCTCTCGTTCTCTTCTTCTCCTGCCCCCAATTCATCCCGTCCCCCTGCCTCATCCCCGACGGTCCTTCGATCTCTCTCTCTTTCTCTCCTCCTTCCTCCCCCGTCATACCCTGCCTACCTCCCTGCGAATCGGTCGGCAATCGGTGTCGAGAACCTATGTAACGGATCCGCCTGTCGCTGTCCTTGCTCCGTCCCAGCGCACCCCGCCTCCCCCGGAAGAGAAAAAGAAAGAAACAAGCGTCTATCAGACCATCCCTCGTCCCTCCCTCCCGCCGCGAACTCGATCAATTGGGAACCGAGGTACCGAACCATCTTGACGGACCCCATCGGAGGAATTGATCCGCTTGTCTATTTTTTGCCTGTCCCGCCCAACCTCCAATATTTCGGATCGGAGTTGTCGATTGAGGTCATACCGCCGATTCAACCAGCCTCTGCTCGGAACGCTAAGGAGCTACATATCGGCATTGAACTGTCAGCAGAGCTAGCTAGGGGCTCGACTGGACTTGCTCCCAAGCTTCGGAACACATATCCTTGAAGGACAACGGTTTCGTCTTGTTTATTTCAATGCGGCCGCAGTAAGTTTGGCAACCTTGTTGTCTCGGCTTGGGTTTTGTCGCATCATGGACGCTAATAACCGTGTTAGACGGGAATACCATATCGTCGTGTTGGGCGCTGGTAAGTCTTACTTTCCCTTCTTCTTCCGCTAGAAGATATCTTGCTGACCATGATTGTTTTGTGTCTGTTATAGGAGGCGTGGGAAAAAGTTGTTTGACCGGTACTTCATCCTCTACCGCCCATCCTTTCCGATAGCCCTCCGCCTGGTGCCTTTCCCCATCTAAGACTGTCGCTCACAACTCGCAGCTCAATTCGTCCAAAATGTCTGGATCGAGAGCTATGATCCCACAATTGAAGATTCGTATCGGAAGCAAATCGAGGTAGATGTGAGTTGGCTCCCGTCCCAGTCGGGGGAGTATGTCGCTAATGGAACCAGGGCCGACAATGTATTCTAGAGATGTATGCCCAATCAACCATACCTACTGAGCCATACAGAGTTGGATGCGGAAGAACTGCGCTTGTTTGATCATGCTCGCTAACCTCACCCTTTTCCAGTCTGGATACCGCAGGAACGGAACAATTCAGTAAGTATCCCATCTCTTGAACGTGCCGTTGTCGCATTCCTAACATCTTAATAGCGGCCATGAGGTAAATCGCTCCCACTGTTCCCGTTAGCTCTCCAGTCGACTAAATCCATGCGCAAATGGCACACCTCTGACCACGGCCCGTTCAACACACTGACATTCATTCCAGAGAGCTGTATATGAAACAAGGCCAAGGGTTCCTCCTCGTATTCTCCATCACCAGCGCGTCGTCACTGAACGAACTATCGGAACTACGAGAGCAAATCACCCGCATCAAGGACGACGAGAAGGTCCCCATCGTGATAGTAGGAAATAAGTCGGATCTGGAAGAGGACCGTGCGGTGCCTCGTGCTCGCGCTTTTGCCCTTTCGCAGAGCTGGGGCAACGCCCCCTACTATGAGACCTCGGCCCGCCGACGAGCCAATGTCAACGAAGTGTTCATCGACCTCTGCCGACAAATTATTCGAAAAGATCTGCAAGGCAGCTCGTCGAAGAGCAGCGATAACCAACCGCGCAAACGGGAAGGAACGAACCGAAACGAGAAAAAGAAGGACAGAAGACGTCAACCTCGACGGAGAGGACCGTGCGTGATCCTCTAGACTTGACGGACTTCGACGAAGAAAACCAAAAAATCATATCAACGACGAAGGGACAATGAATCGAGCGACTCGCATCGTCCATCTACCTTCGACTTCACCTTTCATGACCGGGAGGATCTGCCTTTGATTCCCTCTGGCTGCGGCTACGAGAGCAAGGGTTTCCCACTCCTACCTCTGCACATACCCAATCCTGTCAGATTATAATATCATATTGCTTGCCCTCTCATGCCCTGTTATCATACGCTGTCAACGTCCACGTGCTTCAACGATAGATATATGTACCCTTTTGTTGCCTTTCATTTCTATGCTATCAATCATTGATATAACGTCTTGCAACCTTCTTTATCTCCCATGACTTAGGGAATGGAAAAGTTGCATATCTTGATCTGGTGTTTCCAGCTTTGAATATTCGGCTTTTCTTTCCCTCTTAATGATTCTCTTGAGATGTGCCACAGGTTACTTTCCAATCTAACATCAAAAAGTCCAACAAAAACAGCGTTCCTTCTCTTCACCTCATCCATATCACACGACTCACTTAACTTGGTATTTTTGACTCTGTCCGATATTGGAATATTCCTTCCCGGTCAAATTGCTGCTGCTGCATCGTGCTTATACACTTTCTGTCCCGGGACACTTTCTTCCACGATCAATTGAATGTATGTATGGGTGGATATGACGACTCATTGATATTGCAGCTTAGCCCAAGATATAAATTAGATTTCTGTCTTTGTTTTCGCAGATTGTACTCGGCTCTAGGATTGAACTATCACTGCATGGTTATATAGATGAGAATGATTGATAGGCTTTGTTTGATAGAGGTGCTATTAGATAACATCATTGACATAGATCGGTGTACGTACGTACATAACTCACGTGTATATAAGGTAGGTAGCTAACCACCCACCCTGTCTTCTCCATTTCCATTTTCAACACTATAGCAGTGCACCATGAACCAATGGATCAATCAACCACCCCAACTCCCCTCTCTCTTTCTTGAGAAAAACAATCAGAAAAAACGAGATCACATCCTAAATACCCCAAACCTCGTCTTCACATCCCCATCTCCCTTTCCTCCCAACGCAGCCGCCAAACTCAACCCCAGAACCTGTCTCGTCTGAGCCGGCGGAATCACCCCGTCGTCCCATAGCCGGGCGGACGAGAACACGGCCTCGGATTCGCGGTCGATGCGGTCCTTCAGCGCTGGGTCCGCTGTGCGGCCGACGGCTTCCATTACAGCCGAGAGCTGCTCTGAGCCCATCACTCCGATTTTGGCGTTGGGCCACATGAACATGAGGCGGGGGGAGTAGGCACGGCCGCTAGCATTGTGTTAGTGTTTGGATTGGTTCATTTTAGTTTCGTGTGGAGGGGAGGGGAGGGAGGGGAAAGAAAGCTGGGTTTGGTTTGAGTGTAGGAGGAGAATAGAAACAGGAAGAGAGGGAGGAGGGGAAGGGATGTAGACTCACCACATGCCATAATTACCGGCGCCGGCGCTGGAACCAAAGACGACGGTGAACTTGGGGACATCAGCGCACGCAACGGCAGTGACCAACTTCGCACCGTTCTTCGCGATGCCGCCCTTCTCAGCGTCAGCGCCGACCATGAAGCCCGAGATGTTCTGGAGGAAGATGAGCGGGATGTTGCGCTGAGCGCAGAGCTCGATGAAATGGGCGCCCTTGAGCGAGGACTCGGAGAAGAGGATGCCGTTGTTAGCGACGATGCCGACCTGGTGGCCAAAGATGCGCGCGAAGCCCGTGACCAGCGTGGTGCCGTAGTCGCGCTTGAACTCGGCGAATTCGCTGCCATCGACGATGCGTGCGATGACTTCGTGCGCGGGGATCTGGCGCCGGAGATTGGTGCCGACGATGCCGTTGAGTTCGGCCGGGTCGTAGAGCGGTTCCTTGATGGCGGTGGCTTGGTCGGAGAGGTGTTTGGGGATGCTGGTGGCTGGGTAGTTGAGGTTGGCGACGGAGCGGCGGGCCAGGACGAGGGCGTGCGCATCGTCCACGGCGAGGTAGTCGGTGACGCCGGAGATGGTGCTGTGCAGCTGACCACCGCCGAGGTCTTCGGCGGAGACCTCCTCGCCGGTGGCGGCCTTAACGAGGGGAGGGCCGGCCAGGAAGATGGTGCCCTGGTTTTCAACGATGATGGTCTCGTCGCTCATAGCGGGCACGTACGCGCCACCGGCCGTACAGGGGCCCATGACCACCGAGATTTGCGGGATGCCTAGAGAACTCATGCGGGCCTGGTTGAAGAAGATGCGGCCGAAATGTTCCTTGTCCGGGAAGACATCGGCCTGGTGAGGCAGGTTGGCACCGCCGGAGTCGACAAGGTAGAGACAGGGAAGCTTGTTCTCCTGGGCGATTGCCTGGGCCCGCAGGTGCTTTTTCACCGTGATAGGATAGTAGGTGCCGCCTTTGACGGTGCTGTCATTCGCAACGATCATGCAGGTCACCCCTTCCACGGTGCCAATTCCCGTGATAATGCCTCCGGCCGGAACGTCTTCGCCCGGGTATACTTCATGACCCGCCAATGCAGACAATTCGAGGAATGAGGTGCCCGGGTCGATGAGCGCCGTGACACGATCTCGAGGGAGCATTTTCCCGCGGGCAATATGTTTGTCTTTCGCTTTTTGCGGCCCGCCCTGGGAGATTGTGCTGTGTAGATTGGTCATCCGGTCGACCAGTTCTGTCATTTGTTGGGCGTTCTCCTTGAAATCCGACGAGGATGTATCCACCGCCGTGGGCAGGACAGATATGGCGGATGCATGATGGGGATGGGTGTAGCTGGCAACGGATCGAGCGAGTGGACTGGCGCGAGTTGAAGGGAACCGCTGTGTGGGAAGATGTCGTAGGGAAGAGAGGGATGTTGATCTGGAGCTCAGACTCCGAAGGAGCGGAGCCGGAGCGCGCATTGCGGGGATGATTATTGTGGGGAGGAAACGGGCAACTGGAAGGATATTGATATGAAAAACCCCAAGTGACTATAACATGTCCTTAATCCCAAATGACGAGGGGATCATCAAGAGATAATTGGAACTGGGCGAGAAAAGAGGACGAGGATGAAGAAGATGAAGGCATGCAGAAGGGGAAGAGCAGAAGAGAAGAGAAACCCCAGATCGACTGCGGAGAAGGTCGATGCGGGCCGCGTTTAGCCGCGGCTGGCCTCGGCCTGCCATCCTTGCGGGTTAAAGCATCATCTTCTCTCCTCCGATCATTCTCCTTCTAGCATCCCCCTTTCTCGCTCGTGATTTCACCTCAATTCTACACAATGGCTGCCCTACATCGCTTCCCATGTCTCCTGCGCACCTCCTCCCGGTCTCTGGGGGCAGTGAGGAAACCGCTCGTCCAGATCCCCGCATTCCGAACATTGGCAACCAAACATCCGAAGGGCTTCGTTGCGCCCACCGACGATGACCTGCTGGAGCTGCGAGAACGGGTCCAAGAATTTACCAGTTAGTTATGCCATCCAATTTGGTGGTTTGAGCGTCTTAACTGTCGATTCTGACATCTATACCATAACCAAGGGCGTGAAATTCCTGAGGAGGTTGCCGCTCAAACAGACGTCCAAAATGAGTTTCCAGCGGAAATGTGGAAGAAACTAGGAGATGCTGGGTCCGTCCTCTCAATCCGTGCAGTAGATCCAGAATCTGACAGCTTGCCAGGTTCCTCGGAGTCACGGCCAATGAAGAGTATGGCGGTCTCGGAATGGGCTACCAAGCTCACTGTGTTGTTATGGAAGAGATCAGTCGCGCATCAGGTATTACATCTTTCCGGCTGGTTTTTAGTGGCATGCTAACTAGGCTACAGGAAGCATTGCGTTGTCCTATGCAGCTCATTCCCAGCTCTGTGTGAACCAGCTCTCGCTGAACGGATCCGACGAACAAAAGGAACGTATCCTTCCGGGCCTTCTATCTGGTGACAAAGTGGGCGCCCTCGCCATGTCAGAGCACTCGGCCGGGTCCGATGTTGTCAGCATGAAGACAACAGCCAAGGCAGTTGATGGCGGATACCTATTGAACGGGACGAAGATGTGGATCACCAATGTAAACTCTCTATCCCTCGACCTATCCTCCATCTAACTAACCTGTGTTGCAGGGTCCCGATGCCGATTACATTGTCGTCTACGCTAAGACCGAACCAGAGCAAGGCTCCAAGGGAATCACGGCGTTCATCGTCGAGAAGACATTCGACGGTTTCTCGTGCGCACGCAAACTGGACAAGCTGGGAATGCGCGGCTCGAACACCGGAGAGCTCATCTTCGACAACGTGTTTGTTCCCCAGGCGAACGTCCTTGGGCCGCTCAACCGAGGCGTCAAGGTCTTGATGGAGGGTCTCGATCTCGAACGTCTCGTGCTCAGCGCTGGTCCGCTGGGGTAAGTGAACCAACTTTGCACACACCAATCGACGATCATTGATGCTGACCGACCACAGAATAATGCAGGCCGCCCTCGATCTTGTCCTTCCGTATACCCATATCCGCAAGCAGTTCGGAACGCCTATCGCGCATAACCAGCTCATCCAGGGCAAGCTTGCAGACATGTACACCAAACTGGCGGCGTCTCGTGCCTACACGTATAACACGGCGCGACAAATCGATAACGCGGCCTCGTCGCCCGAAATGACCATTCGAACGCAAGACTGTGCCGGCGCTATCCTGTATGCTGCGGAGCGGGCCACCGAATGCGCCTTGGACGCTATCCAGCTCATGGGCGGCAATGGATATATCAACGAGATCCCGGCCGGACGACTACTCCGGGATGCGAAGTTGTATGAAATCGGCGCTGGAACTAGTGAGATCAGACGAATGGTTATCGGGCGGGCGTTCAACAGGGAATTTGCGTAATATTGCATATCGTTAACTATATTTTAACAAAACCGGCTGCATTTGTATGTACAGCATTTTCGGGCTGAGAGAATTTATATGTAAAAAGAGTAAATCTGTGCTGCCCTCTATTTCTTGTCCCTGTTTCTCGCTGACCGGCGCACCGGTCCCGTTGACTCTTCCGCCTCTCCAACCTTCTTCGACGCAACTCGTTTAGATCGTGGACCGGAGGGCGTATCTGGACCGTTCTTGTTTGCCGACTCTTCATGAGACACCGACGCCTTGCGTTTCCTCCCCCTCGTCGCCGCAGGTTGTCCAGTTGATTGATTGCTCGACTTGCCAGCAGTAACACCGTTCGCCTGAGGCTGAGACTTCTTGCCCCGCGTGCGATCTCCTTCCTTCGACTCCCGCGCCTTCATTCCCAGCGTCTCCCCATAATTCTCATGTCCCTCGATCGGATACTCGTGCTCAATCATCTTGGAATTCACCGGGATATCAGCCGCCGACTCAATCACGCGACTCGCATGCACCGGCGGCGGAGAAAACGCCTTGACCGGAGCAGTAGCTGAAGTCTCCATTTCCGCATCGGCATCCCACTCCTCGTCTACCATGCGATCGTCCTGAGTATCTTTCTTCGCCGTGCCGTTGCCGTTACCGTTACCGGCTCGCGCGCGGCCATTAAGCCCAGTACCGTTCTCGCCGCTGCCCGACTTGCCCAGCGCTGTGCCGGTGCCTTTGCGTATCCGCGCCCTCTCATTCGCAGGATGCGAGGTGCGAAAAACCTCGCGCCAGTTCTTCAGCAAAGCCACTTTCTCGCCGTCGCCGGGCTCGTACAACTTGCATTTGGTCTCATCGGTCGAGGTGCGCCACACGGTGCCGCGGAACGAAGCGACGTCTGTCTTGGGGGCATCGATGGATTTCGATTTCGGTTTCGATGGATGCTTTCGTTTCTTCTGCGGAGGAGGAGCGGCGACGGCGGCGACGGCTGGATTGATGTTCAGGTCCCGGTTCGGCCAGTTGGCCATGACCCGTTGGATGCGGACGGCGGTGGGATCTTCGTCGTAGTAGTCATCGGAGACATCGTCCCAGTCGCTGTAAAAGTCTTCAACTTCGAGGGAGGGGTCATCGTAGAAGATGGCGTCGTAGGTTGCGGTTGCGGCTAGGTCGTCCTGCAGAATTGGGTTAATTGGCACGACCTAAGTTTTATGGCTCATTGGGGGTAAAGGATAATGAATTGAAGGGACTGAGGCTTACGGCAATTTCAGGCTCCGGTTCCTCAATCCAGAAGATCTCGTCAAACTCGTCGTAGTAATCTTCGTCGTCCGACATGATGAATGGATGGATGAGTAATTGACAGGATTTGACGATGAAAAAAAGAAGAGGCAAAAGTCGAACGATTGTGAGAACTGATTTTGAAGATAAACAAGGATCAACAAGATAGAGAACCAAAAAGCCCCCAAACTGGAAGGCACGACGTCGGGTCGAGGCTGAAGGATGACGTCGAGGCGATCGCGTTTCTCCGACGATGAAAATTGATTAGACCAAAAGTTGCAGGCCTGAGGCCGTCTGCCGCGGATCGCAGATCACGTGCCTGTTTCCCCGCAGGCTCGCTTTGCGTCGGCTGAAGGGGGAGTTGGGGGGAACCGGGGTCAAGCCGGGGAGCGTCTTGGAGCTGCGTTCTTCTCGTCTTTTCCCTCTCTCTTTAAAACTTATCTTGTCCTGAGCTCTTCCTACTTCCTGGTGAAGTGTCTGAGAATGCACTGACTTGACCATTTATACTTGATCTTTGCCCCACGCTTCGATCGGCCCGCCTCTATACATACACATCCGTACAATGCCTCTCCCAACGCTTCTCCGCACCACGTCCCGCCTGGGGCCGACGGTTGCTCGGAGGTCGAGAAGAGTGGCATCCACGATTGCCACGGGTGGAACAAAGCCTCAGAGCTCACTAGATTCGATTCTCATTGCAAACAGAGGAGAAATTGCGTTGTATGTTTGCGGGCGCTGCCAAGAGCCCTTTCGTTAGTCGTGCTAATACGATTTCTCAAGACGAGTTGGCCGGACAGCTGCAGAACACGGTATCCGAGTTACTACGTTATATACAGATCCGGACAGTCGAGCGCAGCATGCGCTTAGTTCGCCGTTTGCCTTCAACTTGGGGTCGGTGTCGGCTTACCTCGACGGCGACCGTATAATTGAGATCGCGAAGAAAGAAGGCTGCCAAGGGATACATCCGGGCTATGGTTTCGTATGTCTTTTACCTGGCTTACAAAAATCGACCCGGCTAATGATTGAACACCTTTAGTTGAGCGAGAATTCCGCCTTCGCCCGGAAATGCACCGAAGCCGGATTAGTGTTCATTGGTCCTCCCTGGAAGGCAATTGAAGACATGGGAGATAAGAGGTATGCTAGCATGCGCTTGTGACAATACAGTTTGCTGAGATCTTGAAGCCAGTCCAAGAAGATCATGACAGCCGCAGGAGTGCCTTGCGTTCCTGGCTATCACGGTGAGAATCAAGATGTCAACCATCTCGAGGCCGAAGCCGACAAAATCAAATACCCGGTGCTCATCAAAGCCATCAAAGGCGGCGGTGGTAAGGGCATGCGTATTGCTTACTCGAAAGACGAGTTCCAGGCTCAGTTACAATCCGCTAAATCTGAAGCTATGAACTCTTTTGGGGACGACCATGTTTTGGTCGAGAAATATATCATCACACCGCGGCACATCGAAGTGCAGGTCTTTGCTGATAAGCATGGGAACTGCGTTGCTCTGGGCGAGCGGGACTGCAGTATCCAAAGGCGTCATCAGAAGATTCTCGAAGAGTCGCCTGCTCCTCATCTGCCTGATGCTACCAGGAAAGATATCTGGGCAAAAGCTCGTTCGGCTGCTTTGGCCGTGGGCTACGAAGGAGCCGGTACGGTCGAATTCATCTTCGACAATGACACCGGCGAGTTCTTCTTCATGGAGATGAACACCAGACTGCAGGTTGAACACCCGGTGACGGAAATGGTCACCGGCCAGGATCTGGTCTATTGGCAGCTGAAAGTGGCCGAGGGCGGGATGCTTCCCTTGACCCAAGAAGAGGTGGAGAACTTCATTGCGAGCCGTGGACATGCGATTGAAGCGAGAATCTACGCAGAGAATCCTGATCAAGGTTTCATCCCGGATTCGGGTACTTTGCTCCATGTTCGCACGCCCGCCATCACCGAGGATGTCAGAATCGACGCGGGTTTCGTTGCCGGCGATGAAGTCTCTGCCCATTATGACCCTATGATTTCAAAGCTCATCGTGAGAGGCAGCACTCGTGAAGAAGCTATTCGCAAGCTTGCCGCTGCCCTGGAGGAGTACGAAGTTGCGGGACCGATCACGAATATCGAGTTTCTGAAAACGATCTGCAAGAGCCCCGACTTTATCGCCGGAGATGTTGAAACCGGGTATATTGAAAAGCACCGTGAGGAGCTGTTCACCAGAAGCTCAGTGGAGCCCGAGCTGCTCGCACAAGTAGCTCTAGCCTGTCTACATCACGATGCCAACCCAGTCACTCGGAAGCAGGCCAATTTCGAAGGCTCCGCTGTCGGCTTCAGCCCGGGCTACCAGGCTCGACAGATCACATTGGCAGACTCTACACCGGGGACGAAGGACAACACGCCATTTAACGTTCGTGTCCAACAAACGGGCGACAACACGTTTAACGTGGAAGTTGGCGAGCGTGTTTTTGAGCAGGTAGAGAGCCATCGGGAGTCAACGTCGCAGGTCATCACGTCATTTTTCCCTCACACCCGTCTAGACACCACGGTGATCCGAGACGAGGACTCGATCGTTGCTTTCCAGAAAGGCACGCAGTACCGTCTCACGATACCGCGAGCCAAATGGATGGAAAAAGCGCTGGGCATGAAAGATGTCACGAACAGCGTTCTAGCGCCGATGCCATGCAAAGTGCTGCGGGTGGAAGTCCAGGCTGGCGACGTGGTGGAGAAAGACCAGCCGCTGGTGGTAATTGAGAGCATGAAGATGGAAACGGTCATCCGCAGCCCGCAAAGGGGGACAATTTCCAAAGTGGTCCATAAACAAGGAGTAGGTCACGCGCTGTCGGAGTTCTTTTCTCTTTCCCTTACCCTTACCCTCTTTCCTTATCCCTTCCACATTATTACCCCTGGGAATTCCGTTTCAATCAGGCATCGGAAGCATAGGCGGGTTCATCTTGGTTTCATCTACCCAGTGACCCTTTGTGCTGAATTTCGGCCCGGCTGGAAATCCAACGCCGAGTCGGATGACCAGGATGACAAGACCGGACCTCCTTTTCCTCTTCTTCCCTTCTTCCCTTCTTCCTCATAAAACATTGGCTCAGAAGCTCATTGGCAACATGCACGGGCCCCTGGGTCAAGCTTCCACGGCCATTCCCCTGGGATTCGAAATTCTCCACCTCCGATCCAATGAAAAGTGTCTTGGTGGCTAACGTGTACCTTGCAGGACCAATGCAAAAGCGGAACGCCGCTTGTTGAATTCGCAGACGAGAGCGGTGAAAGCTAGATGGATGCAACGACAACTTGCACTGAAGTCATACAATAGTTATAGAAAATGGATCACAGATACGAGAGCCTACGACAGCGAGTGGAGATCGGTGGGGAGGAGAGTCAGTCCGGGGTAGGATTGACCTTCGTACCCGCCCATGGAGAGCTGAGGGCCGGATGGGAATGTTAACCTGTGTACTTGTGTTACCGCCATCCATAGTTCTTAATATTTGGTAAACAGAAAAATACAATCAAATAATAAGAAGACCAAAAATAAACCATCAGCACACTCCGATCCGATCAAGCGTAACTACCGAAGCAAATCGGCTGCCAAGTCACTCAATTGACTTTCCACTCTGTATAGTCCGGTCCGAGGCGCTGTCATGTGGTCATCTCGGCTTGCCAGACACATACATCCCGGGCAGAGAAGATTTCAGGCCAGAAGCCACATAGGATCAATGGACCAGGGAGCTGATCCCGAATCTGACGGTGGAGACGCTGACAGAAGGATTAATAATTCTACAAACGGGCAATGGAATTCATTTCGAATCCCAAAGGAACGGAAGAAGAAGAAACTTGAGAAGGGGCGCCCAACCCCTTCCCGCAAGCTGAAAGACAAAGCAAATCAAGCCCTGAATTCAAGGCCCACGCCCCTTAGTCCGCCCGCTTCATTAGCGCACGGGATGTCCGGCTAAGGGGAGTACTGAGTAGTCAGTAAAGACACGATCGTAGTCATCCTAATCAATAGATTGATTTGTACCTGTACCACAAGCTGTCTTAGAACAAAGGAAGATAGAGAGTGAGCTGTTGAGTTGTGGCAAAAGAAAACCTCTACTAATTAGTCACTCGTACACAGTCACTAATCATGCTCCCAAGATGCACATCGGGTCAGCTCAAAGCATGCAGATCTTTCCCAGAGAGCAGGGACGGGACGTAGCATTGACATGCGGAACCTGGTTAGTCTGGGAGTAGGGGAGTCATCGTGATGAAATTTTATAATGCCGATCTGAAAGTACGTGCAGGAAGGGAGGGCGAGTGACCCTTCAGGACGGTGTCTTTTGCCATCGAAGATCTATGCTGATTTCTTGGACGAACTTGGTGTGTGCGTATGTACAGTACACCGGTGTAGCTCCTCTGCTACGTACTGTACATGTAGCTACCCAGCTACTTAATTTCTGGCCTCACCGTTTCTAATCAGCGTAGATTTATCGCCTAGAGATCAAGAAATGAGTTAGTACTTAGGTATCATCATCGCAGATCGCATAGCATTATTTGATGTAGTGTCCTGTGCTTTGCCGATTACCGCGGAAAGTATCATGGAAATTGGTAGTAAACGGCAGAGGATTTGTATGATGGGATAAACGATAGAAATAAGATTAGACGTGGAATACATGAGACATATCATCAGGAAGATAAGATGAGACAACAACTTCGAAAGAAATCCAGTCACGCGGGAGGTGAAAAGGCGGCGCGGCATTAACGCGGGCGCCCATTAGGCCTTCTTAGCAGCTCCACTGGGGCAGATCCTGGTCCGATCGCTGCATGGCGGTTGGGGCCTGGCCGGGGGTTCCATCACCGCCTGACATCACCCTTTTCCGGGGTTCTCTACAGTGTACACACTACTCTGTACACACAGCACACTCGCGGTGAACAGTCCCTGGACCACAGCCATGGTCCTGCTACCTTCGATCTCCTTGGCAGCCTCCAGGTTTCACCGCAATTGCTCACCTCCCTGGCTACTGCTCACATTCCACGCCAGCTCCTTGTCCACTTCGGGATTTTTGCTTTGGCTTTTTGTATTTTTATTTTGTATTCTTTTCTTTTTCCATAATGTTTTTAATAAAACTTTTTTTTGTTGTCCCACCGCTCACCCTGTGCACTCTTCTCCACTGTTTGCTTCTGGAAAGGTAGAGAGCTCTTCGTTGCCCCTTTACCAAAGAAATCCTCCTGAATCCTTCTTTGCCCACATTTTTGCTCTAATGCGTAGGTAGAGCTTGTACTACATATACCGGTCCAGCCCTCCAAGATCCTTTTGGTTTCTCTTCTATCTTTTTCATCCCCCCTAGTCAATTCCTTTTTGATTATGTGATTGACAGCACATTGGAGCATCATTAACGAATCTCATTCCCCCGTATTAATATCATTCTCATTGCTACTTCTCTTACATCCACACCATCCAAGATGTTCAGACCCGCGGCCGCCCGTCAAGCCATCAAGGCTCTCAACCATGCCTCTCGCCCAGCTGCATTGACCGCTACCTCGCGGCCAGCCGTGACGAGCTCCATCCGCTGCATATCCTCCACAACTCGACGTGCAAAGAACGACGATGAAGAGAAAATTAAGAATGACCCCCTCCTAACGGCAACGACAAAGGCCCCCGAGGGGACATTAGGTGAAACAGAGGGTCGTTTTGCCCGGACGGACGAGAGCCTGCAGATCGAATACCCGGACGACGAACATATGCCGCGTTCGCCCGTTGTCCAAGGACGCGGTGGAATGCACTTCAAGCGGACGCTGGCTCAGTTTTCCCTGGAGAACAAGGTCACCCTGGTCACTGGCGGAGCTCGCGGTTTGGGATTGGTCATGTCTCAGGCTCTTGTTGCGTCGGGGTCGGACCTTGCAATTGTGGATTTGAACAGTGTGTATACCCATGCAGCTTGAAGGCGATTTATCCTAATTGTTTACTATAGAGAAAGAAGCTGAAGAACAGGCACTGAAACTGGTGGAGCAGTTCCGCAAGGAAAACCCCGGGTTGGAGCAGTATGTCCAATCTCAATTGATCCCGTCAATTCACTCACACGATACTGATTGTACACTTTCTTTCCCTAGAATGCCAAACGTGACCGCTCACTACGCCGACGTGGCCAACCCCGACTCCGTAAATGCCGCCCTCGCCGAGGTCATCTCCAAGCACGGCCAAATCGACAGCCTCGTCACCTCCGCCGGCTTCACCGAGAACTTCGACGCCATTTCTTACCCCCACGACCGGATCCAGAAGCTCTGGGGAGTCAACGTGGATGGCACATACCTGTTCGCGACGGGCGTTGCGAAGCACCTCATGGAACGCAAGGTCCCCGGCAGCATCGTGATGATCGGTAGCATGTCCGGAGCCATTGTCAACGTTCCCCAGCCCCAAGCGCCGTACAATGCCGCGAAAGCCGCCGTTCGGCATCTGGCTGCTTCGCTGGCCGTCGAGTGGGCCGGTCACGATATCCGAGTCAACTGTATCAGTCCGGGCTACATGCTGACTGCTTTGTAAGTACCCAATTCACTGTATTGCAGCCATGCGGTTCTTCCTTTCCTAACACGGTTATTTTTTTCTTCAGGACCCGCAAGATTCTAGACGAGAACCCCGAGCTGCGAGATAAGTGGATCTCGCTCATTCCTGCCGGGAAGATGGGTACCCCTGAGGATCTGATGGGTGCTGTTACGTTCCTCCTCAGCGATGCCGCGAAATACATCACCGGTGCGGACCTCCGTGTTGATGGTGGCTACACTCTTACTTAAAAGTGTTGTGTTGTGTTATACCCATTATGGTTGGTCGCCGTTGGTGACGGTATCTTGCTTTACTTGCCTAATTATACAGTATGATGTACGAGATTACCCTAATAGAAATGTCTGCAGTGTTCTTGAAGTGTCCTTGTTTTATGGCTCAGTACTTAAGAAGTGTAGATTGGTCTTCTGCAGGTAGGCCGGAAATATACAACAAGTAGCTAGCTCACTCGACAATCAACGAACTCACATAGTACTACCCCATTTCGATAGCAGAGCCTTTCATATTCGAAACACACAATAGAATAGGACGTGAAAGGTCTTCGAAGAACAGCAAGGCCCAGGAATAAGTGCAAGGACAAAAAAGCCTTTCACATTGAAGACAAATTAAAACAAGACATGAAAGGCCTTCAATATGCAAGGTCGTCCTCGAAGTGCAAACGAAATGTACTAACCCGTCTCGTTGGACCTGAAATTGCGGTTAGATCCCTGCTATATTCCTGTAGATGCGACTGCGAAGAAAAAGTCTACCATGTAAGTATGGGCCTGAGGCCAAATCAGCCCTCTTTCTACCTAGGGCATTATCGAGCAAGTTATGTTAAACTCGATACGTATTTAGCCTCTAAGCAGTGTTCATTGAGTGATGTAGGCTGGACTTCTGTGATATCGACGGCCTGGACAAATGAGTGTCTCAGTTGGTCCCGCTGTTGGATTTGTTCTTTCGAAGGGAAGTTTGGAGCACAAGGACTGGTGTCTGCGAGCTTTGTCGCTCAGTGGATGCCCAGCAAAGAATGTTTGACAGCTTGCACTGTCACGATGGCTTCCTCCTAATAGAAGAATCAAGGCCGGCAGTTAGCAGAAGTTACAGAAGATAAAGAAGTCAAGGGATCTTAGAATAACAATCCCTCATTTACTGGCTTACCGTGAATCACGATCGGGTTTCAAGCCGAAACCGAGGAGTCACTCTTTCCCGCTCCCACCCGCCACAGATGAAGTGTAAAACTGACTTCCAAGGATCGTATAGAACATGGAAAGACCAAGGCGATGACAGTCAGACAGAGGAGAGGGGCCAAGACGAAGAGTGTCGAGGAAAGGGGAGTTGAGGGGCAAAGCAAGAAAGGAAAAGAGGCGTCAAGAGGGTGATTCCCACCGAGTGAAGGAAGGTAAATGAGATCCTCAATTCTCTTCACTTAGCAGGTGAAAGAAATGGCACTAGGCTGCGCGTGTGGTCAAGGCAAGTCTTCGTCAAGTGAAGCCCATTGCCGTCCTTTCGTTGTCACTTTAGGGCACCAGGGAGATTTGCTACCAGGCAGAAACCGGATGATGAAACAGCATCATTCACCGTATGAACCTTCAGTAACTGCGGAGGAGCCAGTGGCATTTTGTAATGTGCGATATGTATTCGAGCTGGACTACCTCTGATAAATAAGTACTAGTTGTCTACTGGCTTTTTGATTCTTTGACTCGTTGGTTCCCCTACACAAAATACCTGTGATATTTCCCAATCACCATCTGTGGGCTATAGAGTCAAATAGAAGTAAAAAATAAATATTAAGAACCTGAAGTCAATAAACCTGATGGCATCACTCACAACATCGGCAACACCTACTAAGTAGACAAGGCGGCTTCTTCCCTTACCTATACTACATAAGCTCGCCAACGCCTTGGTTAACAGTGCAGATGGTATGTATGTACCTATCTTCCAATTTCCCAGTCCTATTTTTGTCTACCACCAGACCATAGCCGTGCAGGCCCGCATTGATATCCCTCTGTCGGCCCTCCTCGGCAATACACTAACGATATACCCATTGAGCGACATTTCAATCGCTCCTTTATTTTGTGTAGAGCGACAATCTGAAAATATTTAAAATGATGAGAAATGAGAGCACAGCTGTAACTCTGGTTGCAAAGTACTCGAATATGAATATTGGGGGGGTTTTGCTATAGTTCTCGTGTGGCATCATCTTCAGCATGATGTCATTGTTTTCTGTTATCAGGTCAGATCAGTGGAGCTGTGGGTCAGTGCAATTGCAAAGTACTCCGTATGAGTTGGAGTCCCCATTCCCACAGTAGTCTAATCCGTACCAAGTGCCAACATGCGAGGCAACTGCTGACTGATTAGTGTTCTGTCGACTGACTCCAGTAGGTAATAATAATAGAGCCGACCGCCATCTAAGATGGAGAGTTCATGATAATCCCGGCGTCCGAAAGCAATGACCGAAGTACAGTAACTAAATTTAGCGCACAGTATGTTTGTCCCCCCTGAAGTTAGGTATGGTCATTAATTTCCCGACAGCCGACCCTGCCGCCAGAAGCTTTTTCTTTTTTTCTTTTGTTCGTTTGCACCGAAGACAGAAAAAGCAATGGTTGCTGTGAGGTCGAGTTCTGTTTGCCCTTGGGTCTTTACCAAGTCCAATCATAGCTGGGTTATTCGATATGATATTCCAACGCCTACGGTACATGAAGTGTAAATCCGTGACTGGGTCTGGGTTGCCTGAAGCTATATGCAAGTCAATTATATAGAGGAAATTTATGCCTCGGTTCGCGCGTCTGCATTGCTTATAGTATGAATATTAATGAGCTGCTCTCCTCAAGTCAACGGCAGAACCCCTAGGGTGTGAAATATATTTATGGACCGCGCTGCATTCAATCATTTACGGAGGCATTGAGTCGATCCATAATCTGGAAGACTATCAGTCCATTGGCAATATAAACGAAGCCGCTAGGGCGGTGCTCACTTGGCCTTACCAAACTACCGTAGAGTTTTGTCTCTCCGTGAAGGTTTCCTTCCCCGTGGGGTTGTTCTGTGTCATACGCTTCCGGCTTAGTTGGGGTAGAAGCCGATCTATCAGTCGGACTTGACCTGTTAGGGCATCGTCAACGGTGATAGATTCGTTGTGATGTGTGTACAATGTACTCCGTATCTCATCATAAATCAATCATATATATATTAAAAAATAATAAGTAATATTGACTTCTCCTAAGATTGACTAAGCGGCTAGACCCGAAGGGGACAGGTACGGCCGACTGATGGCATCAGGTGATACGGACGCGTGATTAAGGGTCCCGCGGATGGATTCGACCTGGCAAATTCTTCTGAACAATCATCATCCTGGTTCAATCAAGTATTCACTCAGACGGAAGTACCGTCTTCACTCTACGGAGCAATTGCCTACTCGGTCCCACCGTCCCAAGACCGGTGCCTGGCCAAGTTTGAAGTGACCGATGACTTGAGGGGATCTCGTCATCAACCAAGAAAAATTGTGGGCCAATGGACCCGAACTCCCGACTGGATCGACGCAGTTAGTCTTGATTTAGGTCTGACAAAGACTGTGGAAACGCGCGATGGATCTCTGGAACTGGCACCGAGTCTGGGCCGACTATCGCCAATGAGACTAAGGAACCAGGCATGTTCAGGTCAGTTGACGGCAGATCATCCCCCCCTTGGGGCCGCTTAATTCGCCGAGTTGCTGGATTTCATGACCTCGCATGATAGTTTTCCGATGGCAATCGCTTTTATATATTCCAGACGTCTCTCGGATCTTCATCAGATTGGTCTTCCCTTCCCAGAACCTCGCATCGTGGGGTGAAGATACTACCCGGTCCGTTCCCTGGCCCTGCATTGCTCCGATTATCCGCGGCTGTCGACGGCGGGTTCTTTGTCCCCCGTTTGTTCGTATACGAAAGGAGGAAGTAACAGAAGACTAGCCTGGTATGACTGGCGTGGACTTTTCTTTTGGTCATCAAAGCCTCCACGTAAATAAGACGATCTGTCCTTCCCCGGTCTTTTAGTCATTCGGAAAGCTCCGGCAGGTTAGACTAAGGCAGCTGGTGCCTAAGAAAGATCGATCGACTGATCCGGAGGTCGAACGGGGAGACGACATTATTTTCTGGCTGCGTCTTTCGCTTCGGTCTGCGGCTGAAACAAATCATAAAGCAAGTATATAGTGCCGACATGTCTGCATCGATTTATTGGTGCTAATCTTGCTGGGTGCTTGTTTTCCCTTCCTTCTTCCGTTGGCCACTGACAGCCAGTGGCCCTTGCAGCTGTTTACCCCAGACTGGCCATCGAATCCCTCACCCAGTCGCTGCAGCCTGCTTCATCCCCAGTCTTCACGCGTCATTCATTGGCCGTATATTGCCTTGCCTCCCTGCTTTGCCTGATAAGTATTCGTTGCCTCGCGAATTCACCGCCAGATATTTGCTGGCCGTTACTCTCCCCGCCCTTCTTTCTCTTCCTCTCGACTTCTTTCTTCACTCTTTCTGTTTCCCATCCTCCTATGCTCTGATCCTCCTGACCGTCAGCCCTCCCACCCGTCTGATCATGTAGTTGCTGGAACTGTACCCCTCCCCATATATTATTCCATGCAATGTCACCTTGCTCTTCTACAATGGACGAGCTTCCCAAAGGGTTGGTGTCGACAACAGAACAGATTCCAGCGACGCTTGAGGATGTGACTGCGGTGGATATCGGCGACATTGTGCAATTGTGGAAGGGTGAGCGCCGGTCGTTATGATTGTGGAGTGCCCAAGCCTGACTCACATCACTAGCCTATAGTGCAAATGCCTCGGTCCACGAGGGTGACATTGGTCACAGACTGGAGAATTTCTTCTGGCGAATCTGGAGCAGCGATGACCTCTGTCGGTCGATGGATGGGTCTAGGCTCGCCAAGCTGTTTCTTCGCATATCAGAGGCTAGTCCATTATCTCTCGCCACTCCGAAGCCGACAACTGCCCAGGTGGGGAGATCAAATCACAATACCCAAAAGAGCTCCTATTGACAGACTCAGGCACGAAAGGAACGACTTCACATCAACGTGACCCCAAATGAGGATAAATCGCCATCTAGTAATGGGTCTAATCGCACGCCTATGCCCCCACCCATCTTGAAGAAGTCTAATACATCACACGGAGAGACGCAGAAAACCACGCGACTGCTCCTCACTGGAGTCGGGGGGCAAAGTATCACCCGCAAACCGTCCACCCCTCCCACTCCGGTCCCTCCTCCTAACAGGAAGACTTATTTTGTAGCGAGCAAAGGCAAGAGTACCAAGCGACGACCGGTGCCTATGCGACGCAAGTCCTCCCAAACATCCTCCGGTGCAAGTACTCGTGCGCATAGTCCGCAACGGATTCCAACTCCGCTGACCTCAACGTCCCCGGTTCACACTTCTGAACCGAGCAGTGACAGTACGGAGGAGGAGACAGCCGCGGAGGGTGAGCTCATTTCTTGGACTTCGCAATAGACGATTCCTAATAACTTATATCAGAACCTCCCGATCCTTTTGAGGACACGAAAACAATGACCAAACTGACTGAAATGCCCGCAGCATTTGTCACCAATATACAGAGCATCCCGACCCCATCACAAGGTACCAAATCGACGCCCCCAAAACAGGGCTATGTCACCAGCGACGACTTCACCCACCACAATGTTAACATCCTCTCGGCAGAGAACAACACACCCCAACCCTCGTCCTCGTCGCTCGTCGACAAGGACTTTCGCACGCGCTTCGCGGAGAGACGACGTCAGGAATACGAGGAACTGGCCTCGTCGCTCGGAGACGCTGCAGATGCAGACGCCACTAATGCCGCACCTCCAGCCACCACTAACGATACCTCGAGAGCCGTACCCCCCAGCATCCCCATCTGCACGCCATTTTCGAAGCCCGGACCCTCCTCGCCTGACGAGTGGGCGTCTTCCGCTGAGTCGGGGATTCCTATCATGCCACCCATTGGGTCTACGTTTAGTGCAGGGCGCGTGACGAGCGAGGCGGTCTCGTCGCCGCAGACGCCGATGTCTGCGTCGAAAGGACGGAGTCAACTCAGCGTGTTGATTGAGGAGAGTCGCAGTAAGCAAGCTGACACCCAGGTGGTGAGCATTCCTGAAACCGAGTTAGATTCGTCAGAGGTATAGGATGGGGGATATTCAGGTCACGACCATATGATACGACTAGGTTTGGATCGGATTTAGGGCTGGACTAGAATATTACTGAAGAAAGTGAACTTGGATGAGGGATTGTAGTATGCCGTTGACATCAAGACGAATCACATTATCGGTAAAGATATATTAATCCTCTCCAGTAACAATTTTAAGCATGTAAACGAAGCCAACTCCAAGAAGAACAACAAAAAACAAACCCATAGATCAACGTGCATACAATGCAATACTTTCCAACCTCTATCCCATCTCCATCCTGCACAACATAAACCCAACCTCACCCCTTCCTCCACACCCCCTTCCCCAATCCCAACACCAACCCCCCCCCCCCCAAAGACCCAAACTAAACAACCTCCTTCTCCTCCGCCTCCCTATCCTTCCCATCACCAACCCCCTCCTCTCCACCCTTCCCCCTCCCACTCCTCCACCACCTCAACCCAGCCCAAGCGGCAGCACCAACAGCAAGCGCCAAACAAACCAAATCAACCCAAACCGCCCTCCTCATCTTCTTCTTCTCCGTCCCAAGGAACCGTTCCGCAAAGATCCCAAACACCACCAACCACAAAACCACCCCGAGCGCCTGCCACGCAAACAACCCCAACAACACCCCCGCCTTGCCCCCAACGCTCCTCTGCTTCAGAAACGCCACATACACCAACATCACGATCGCGGTGACACAGCCCAGGAACGCCGTCACGACGGCAAACACCCATTCCGCGCCCGCCGAGTCCCCGCGTTCGTGCGCGTTGTGGATGTCAGAGCTGTAGAGGGCCAGCACGGCGATGGCGAAGATGAGCTGGATAGAGTGCAGGGTGAGCCCGAGGTAGTGTTTTAGGGGCTTGCGAGGGGGCGGAGGGGTTGGTTGGAGGAAGGAGCGCGCGGCCATGGGGATCGAGGAGGGGTTGGTGGTGTCGTCGGGGTTCTGGGGGTGTTTTTTGGCGTGTTGTTTTTTGGCTTGCGAGAAGCCGAATTTGAAGATTTTGAGGAGGATGAACCACATTTTTTTTTTCTGTTCCTTTGGTTTGGTTTGGTTTGGTTTGGTTGTGGGTGGGAGGTTGGTATAGTAGGTTGTGTTGTATAGAGTTGGGTCAATTGGTAGATATGGCGAAAGGTTTCGAAGGAGGTAGTATATCGCAAGTATGTGTGTAGTGTAGGTATGGAAGTATAGTCCGTCCAAAAAAAAAAAGATATGAGAATCAAGGGACAGTTCGATGCGCCAGCGCAGTCAATTAAAGTAAGACGATATAAAAAGATCCAAGTAAGGAAGAACCAGAAGTATCAGACAATCGAACAAGGAGAACAATGGCCCCGACGAAGGACTGACAGACCCTGGCAAGAAGATAAATAAGGAAAGAAATAGATGAATAGAACCAACTCAATGAAACAAATAGATGAATGAATGAATGCTGAATGCTGAATCAAACGCAAACTCCATTGTCTGCAGCACACCTCCCCCCCTTTATATACACGATTTTGTCTCGATTCCAGAACCATCACCCCAGTCTCCCTTCCCTGCCCTCTCAACCAGGTACATACTAGTTACCTAGCACCCCCGTCCAAAAACTAAATATAACTCACCGTGACCCTAAACAGTCCATCCCGGCGACAAACCAGTAAACGCCTCTCGTCCATTAATCCCAGCATCGACTGCTGCGTCTGAAACCCGTCGTCGACGATACGCGCGCGCCAAGGGGTCGCAAGCAAACCGCACGTCGGGGTTGAAACTTCAGACTGAATCGGCAAGCGCCTAGCTGGTCGTGCAGAAAATAGATACCAGATGCTAGATGCTAGACGATGTCCTAGCTTCTATGGACTGTCGATCCGACGGAAGCGCCCGCGGAGTGGGAATGTCTGACCCAGTCGGGCTGTCTGACTGGTTGTTGGATAGGCGCCGGGAAGGACGTTGGAAACACCGACCCCTGGGGAGGGTAGGGAGGTAGGGCAGCTATATTTAACCTCATGCACGAAGTGGACATGCGATTGGATACCTGGCTGTCATGGCCGTAGGGACTAATGAGATTCACATCTACAATGGGCACGATACCTTCAGAATTCAGGCAGATGCCAAGTGACAGTCTTCCAATTAAACTAAGTATGTAACTGTCCTATTCAAACCCGAACTGGATCGTTTCATCTTCGAAACTCCTTCCTCTCCTCTCCTCTCCTCTCCCTCCCTCCCTCATCGCGCGCTCCTCTGATTCACCTCCTGCTAAAATTACCTATGCTCATTGGTAGACCCTCCTACAGAAAGGCCCCAAGAAAGACAAAACAAAAACAAATAATGCTCCACAAATACCATGTTCCTGACCTAAAACAAAAAGCCAAGGAAGAAACGTTTCAATGCACATTCATTATGCTGCTGGCGTGATCCTCGTCAAACCGGAGTGGGGATTCATTGATGCAAAAATAACCGTCTGAAGACAATCATAAAGGGTAGGATGTAATAAAGAAAAGAAAGGCTAATGAGTAATTCATGCAAAGAAGAACAAAGACAGAATAAAAGAACAATACCGCAAAATGGAAGAACAAAGCGAGACAAACATGCAAGAGGAAAGGCAGAGTGCCGAAACAAAGGTCGCTCACGACAAAGCACCGCTGTCAGGGCGGTCGATTGGTCCCTCCGTCGGCTGCGCCTTTGACGCTGGAGGCCATCTTTGGCGGCGGCCCTGGCGGCAACGGCGACTTGAGCGCGGCGGGAGGCGGCCCCGGAGGCGGTTCGGCGATGGTTTCGTCCTCGTAGTCGTGGGGATAATCATCGTCTTCGTGCGCTTCCGGTGTCTCCATGGCGCTCCGGTCGTACTCCGGCTCATATGCCGCTGGCTGACTGGGTGCGTTCTTCGTGGCGTTCTTCGTCGCTTTCTTGTTCTTGCGTCCTTTCATCTTCGCCTTCTCCAACAGTCGCTTCTTCTCCGCCAAGCGCTTGCGTTCCTTGCGATCCTTGATCTCGTACTGTCGGATCAGTGCCTCGGGAGGGCGTCCAAAAATACTCTCATATTCGCAAAACTCGCAGATCCAGATGTCCTCCAGGCCGGGCGGATGCTGAAGATTGGTGTACTGCTGCTGAACTTTCCGCTGCCGCGCGGCCAAGGCATAAAGGCTACCCGGTGACCGCTTCTTCTTTCGACCGACCGGTGGCGGTTCGGCGCCCGCGACTGGCGGGTTCATTTGCGAGACGGCTGGCGGGCTGGTCTGCGTTCCTTGCGTGGAAAACGCGCGCGGGTTCGGTGCCGTGGGGGTGACAGAGCTAGGAGACCGGGGAGAACGATGCTGAGCTGGGTAGGTGTTCTGCGCCTGCATGGCCATCCCTTTGGACGAGTCCGACTCGCACGTGAAGGTGAATTGGGTTTTGGTCGGCGTGGTGGGCTGTCTTCGTTCGAGCATACTGACGTTGTCCGCGCGAGGAGGTGACGAAAATGCGGCAGCGGCAGCATTGGCGATGGCGGCGGAGATGATTCCCGGCTCGGATTTCGGGGCCGGATCGCCCTCCCCCAAAGCACCATTGTCCAACATACCTGCTGGTCCCTGAGAGGACATCACACCGTCCCGACGGCCGGGTACTCGACTTTGATTCATGCCAGCCTGCGCGTGAACGATCGCTTGAGGGGCCCTTGGACCGTTGCGAGCCGGGTGACGCGCCAGACGGCCTCGTCCCGGCCCTGAGTTTCCACTGGCAACTGCACTGGCGACTGGCGATGCCGGGCTCCCTGTTCCATAAAAGGTACTCACGTGGCTTCCATCCATCTGCGGGGGAGGTGTTTGGACAGAGGTGGCCAGGCCCATGTTGGAGAATTCAGGCGAGAGGGTGGAGTGGTGGCTACTCCCTAGACTGCCAGGCGTGGGGATCTTGCGCTTCTTCTTGTTGTTAGTGTTCTCGAAGGCATCGTACCCGTCGGGGCCTGCCGCAGGTGTCTTGGTCGGCGGTCCTTCCTCGTTGCTGGGAAGCGGATGGGGTGGTGCAGTCGGCGACAAGGACGACCCACGGAAGCCGGCACTGCGGCGAACCACCACCGGACCGTCCTCGTCCCCGCTCTCAAAGTCGACCCCGTTCTCATACAGCAGCTGAGGATCCCGCTCGAGCGTCGGATCTGGGCCGTCGCTCTGTTGCACGTATATCTTGGATTCATTCACGGCCTCCCCGCTGTCTGCACCGCTTCCATAGAATAGCTGCGTTGCCGGAGGGCTCGGAGGATAGAGAATCGTATCGGCCGCATCGGAGGACAAGCGCGAGCGCAGGGTACGTTTGGGAAGGGGACGAATCAGCCTGTCCGGATAGACTGGGGACGGGGTATCTGGGGCCGTATTATACATCCCATCTGCGGAGAGGGGGACAATATCAGCACCTGAACCAGCAGATCCTCTTCAATCTCACTCTCTCTTGCGGGAGCTGGCCATCCGCTTCCTAGCAAATTGTACACGCTCAGGCCAGATGATAACTTCCCGAGAGGAGCAAACATCCCGGGTGAAGAAGCACATACTCAACGTAGCTGTCATTATGCCAGAATCTCGGCCCTCTCGACTTCCACGACCACAGCCGAACGGCTTCTGCTGTCTCCTTATAATCCAGTCCAATGCCGGGTGGGAAGGAAAGGGAAGGTGTGAGCTTCTCGCTTTCCGGATCTCTTCTTTTGCGTCCTTATGATTTGTTTGATTTCCTTTTATTTTTTTTCTGTTCCAGATGCACCACCCTCCAGGTCCGAATAATATCTATGACCGACAATACTTTTTTGAAACTTGTTTTGATATTTTTTTTTCTCGAATTCCTTCTCGTTCACGAATATGGTCGGGGACGAATTATGGAGAGTGGGAAGGATGGACGAAATATGGAGACGTTCCTAGACCGCACTACCCACCGTCAGTTGTCAGGTTCGAACAGCAACGCTGGCAATTCGGAGCCCACACACTCGGTGCCTAATGTGACCGAGAGATTCTGCCAGTCTTGCACACACCGGCAGCAAGACCCAAATCCAGCGACAGTAGAGTAGAGAGGTCTTACCCGGTGCCCAAAAGCAAGTAGCGGTGGTTGTCCTGCACCAAATGGCTGCAGACTTTTGTTGTTCGGTAAAAAGAATCCCCAGGAACCAAGAAAACGAGAACCGGCCGACCGATCACTCCGAACCAGTTACTCCATAAAAGGGGGGGGGGGGAGAACGAATCCACGCGAGAAGCCGTTAGAAGCACGAAGAGCCAAAAAGCAAAAGCAAGGACCGAAGTCCGACGACAGAGGGGCCAGACCAAGCTCAGAGACAAGGGCTCGACGGAGGAGAGGGGAAGTATAAGGGCAGACTGGTCCAGTACAGTCAAGTATAGGAGAGGGAAAAAGGCGGAGGGGAAAGAGTGAGCGAACGTCCGTTATTACGTTAATAATGCCTTATTGCCTGGGTGCCTTAGGGATTTCCTCCGCGATTCCCCGCCGCTGATTGGCTGCCTGCTCGGGTCTGGAGTGCCTGAGGCCTGCATATGCCGCTAGTCCTGATTCGGACTGTCTGTTCGATTCCGTTCTCTCTTCATGCTCAGTGGTTACTTTACCTGGTGGTGGTTGATATCGAATGTGATTCTACTAACTATCGGAATTACTAGGCATTATGTTCTCTTCCTGTCCTCCCCGAAAAAGACGTGTTTCCTCTACATCCCTCTCTACCTCATCATCGATCCCATCCCTCCCTTCCGTCCCCTCCGAACTAGATCCAGGTACCCTGCAAGCACCAGGACTCAGCAGCGCACCTTGCGTGGATCACCTTCATTGCCGTTCGGTAGCCAGCTATTCCTGCGTTACACCTTGTTCTACAACAAGCTAGGTTCGGAGCAGTCCCTTTTCCCCTCGAGGACGTGAGCTACCTTTCTCTCCATAGTTTGTGCCGCTTAGTCCCGCTTAGTCGAGAGGTTGCAGATGGGCGCGATTTCTAATCCATTGGACTCTCCATTCCTTAGATATCATTCTTGCGAGCGACATGGTTCCGAGATTAGGTGAGCCTTCTCATCATGCCGTGCGATGGGTTGCCAGTCCCGGTGTTTCTAAGCACCTAGCTCATCCTCTCGGCCCCAGTCTGTATGACGTTGTCCATCGAACCTGGGATCAGAATGTGTATGCCATAATTATTGGGATCTGTGTGTTTCTCCGACGCTCCCTGAAGGAAGATTGGAACTCTCGTAGAGGGATAGTGGACTAGAGGGTACGGATCGGGCTTCGTTGCGACGCTGTTCGGACACCTTCCTGGCCCAAGATTACGATCATTCTGAAGATGGGAAAATAGTAATCTTGTAAGCAGAATTGGACCAAATCTTTCCAGATAGAAACGAAAGGGGAGGAATGCAGGTTGAAAGGGGGTTCGGCGAAGGTGGGAAGCGGGGTTTTTTCTCTGGTTGGAATGGGCGAGGGATTCTCTATCGTCATCAGTTCAAGTGACACTGGCACCTCGTCGGTGGTACAGACCACGAGGGAAATGCACTCTCTCTACCATCAACTGGAAGCGACAAGAAAAAAATAAAGAAGAATGTCAGAAATCCAGAATGAGGGTAGGAAGCGAGAGATGATCGCGTTGAAAGAGAAGCGGGGAAAAGGCGCCGTCGGTTGACCGCAAACCGCGTCCCGTTCCCGGCGTTCCTTTCGCTGCTCTCGCCGTCTCTTCTCTCGCTCTCCTCTCCTCTCCTCTCTTTTCTGCTCCCCACCCTCTCGTCTCTCTTCCCTCTCTCTCGCTCAATCTCCAGACTATGTAGCCCTCGCTTTCGCTGTGGGCTTCCCGACGCAGTTTTTGGATCGTACATGTCTTTGGTCTCAATTGCCTCGGAAACCTACACTACCTTTTCCCTCTCTTTTCTCGTTCCCCTCTTGCGTCCCTTGTGCCAGTCGCTGTCGAATCCCAGCTCTCCACCCGCGTGCGACAGCTTGCCCACGGCTAGCTCTTGTTCGCTTGCGTCGTGAGCTGGATCGATTCACTATCTTCATTTTTATAAACCTTCCCCTCCTCTCTCTCTATCTTTTCTCTTTTGTTTTTGTCAGAGTTCTCTTATCCTTAGCTACCCGCATCGACCATGACTCCCCGTCGCTCTTCTCGTGCTCGCACCTCCCAACCCTCGCCCGCCGTTTTTCAACACACAAATTCGTCTAGCTCCTCGAACTCCCTCACTCGAGAAAGAAGTACTAGATCGAATCACAAAATTCCTTCTCCCAACCGGTCCCAGTCCATCGACGACGCGGACGAGGGCTCCAAGAATGACTTCCCACAAACGCGCCAGCGACAGCGCACCAGGGGCGAGGAGGACAATGGGATAAACGGCGATGGAGAGGAGGAGGAACCGGAAGAAGATGATGAGGAAGAGGTGACCCGATGTCTTTGCGGCCAGCAGGAATATCCGGGTCTCCCCCCTTCTCGTCGTGAAGCTCTCGGTCGCAACGGGGTTCATGGCAAACTCAAGGAGGAGTCTGCTTTAAACTTGTCCGCAGACTCGTCAGATTTGATGTCCGATGAGATCGGCAGCATGTTCATCCAGTGTGATTCCTGCAAAGTTTGGCAGCATGGTGGTTGCGTGGGAATCATGGATGAAGCGATGAGCCCCGACGAATATTTCTGTGAAGAGTGTCGGAAAGACCTCCACAGAATAAAAAACGAATCCAATGGGTCAGTGACAACTTTTCCTTTACCCTGAAGTTTCAAAATCCCCGCAGGGAGACATTGTCCGTTGCACACGAAGGAGAAAAATTTTCAACCATTTGAGTTTTCTCATGGGTCTCTCGATCCTGTGTTCTCCAGACTGAAAGACGAGCGCGATGCTCTGCTGCCACTTCTTTCCTTGCTACCCCTTCTCCCCCAATCTCTGCCCCAGTTTCCTCGCTCCTCCGGTCGATGCCATTCATTTGCCCGTTGTGACAGTCTTGCTTACAGCCATGCAGGCAACATTCGTCCACGTACCTCCCCGTCGCTCCCCCCTCGACCGCACCATCCTCTCGCGAATCCTCTCGAGACAACTCGAAGCGCTCCAAGGACCCGAAATCCCGTGGGGGTGACTCGGCTGCCAACCCCAAACGTCGCTCGACCATGAACAGCCGTGACGCAGCATACGACGAAGAGGAGCAAATCCGTCGTGCAATCGAGGAGAGCAAGGAAGACACTACCAGTCCAGCTGCGGAAGATGCGGCCGTTCGAAGGCCCAAAAGGAGTCGCAGCGACAGCGAAGCGTAAGAGACCCAACCCCTCAAACAAAATGGAGAGGGAGTATTTGAAATGGCCGAGAATTGCGGCTAACTCCGCCGATATAGTCAGAAGCAGGCCCCCAAACGACAGCGTACAAGCTCTCCTTCCCCCGGCGCCGCCTCGAAACAGAGCGTTCCCCCTTCCCAGCCCGCCTCGGACGACGAGAAAACAAAGGCAGCCACAAATGGGGTCCGAAGACAGAGAGCCGCATCTCGCAGTCAGCGTGACAAGGAGACAAAAGAGACCGAGGAGCCTGAGGCGGAAAATCCGGAGACGGCAACTCGACGGAAAGGGAAGACCGACAAGAGGAAAAGCGATGGTATGTATATTCAGACCTTCGAAATCTGTGAAGTCAACACTAACGATGACACAAGGGACCGAATCCGACCATGAACCCGGATCACCAACCAAACCCGTGGCCAACGATCCTGTGCCTCCGCAGCCCAGTCCAGATCCTCCTGCCCCCGTTCAAGAACCTGCGCCCCCTCGCCCTTCCACCCGCAAGTCTGGTCGACCCCCGGCTCGCCGAACTCGAGTGGGACGCAATCAATATACCAGAGACCGCGACGCCCACACTAATGGGGGCGATTCGAGCATTATGACAAACTCACCGCGGCGAGGCCAGTCGCATGATACTGGGGGAGATTCGCCGAGAGTGGGCGGCGCCAATGGGGCGCATATAAACGGTGGAGAAACAGGGAAACCCAGTCGGCCTCGCTACGTCAACCAGCGGACGACTTTGAATGAGATGAAGAGACGGGTCGCAGCAATACTGGAATTTATATCACGGATGCAGGTGGAGATGGCTGTCGCCGGAGAGAGTTCGACCACACCCCCGGGTAACAGTGAACGACCCAATGGCATTATACTCAAGGCCGTGGGCGACCAACTCGAGAACGTATTGCTATCGACGGCAAGCGAGGGCGAGTCCGGCACCGGCACCGCTGACAGTGACGCCGGGGCCGGGCAATCTTTGGAGAAAGATTTCAAAGATCTCACTAGTGTTGAGATGATGGATGTTCTTACACGGCATTTGTTAAAGTGGCAGCAGGAGTATGGTAAATTTGGAGAACGGTGACCTCGTTGTCCCTTGACCCCTCTCTCCTTCTCATCTCCGAGATCGATCTATACCTTCTTCCTGGGCAGCCTCATCCCGTCATGGGAGGGCTTTTGATACGCACGATACCCTATTTGTCTCTTCTCTTCACAATGTGGATATGTATAATATGGCTACTGGAGCAGCATCTTGAACCGGACCCGGTCGTGGCGTTTTTATATGAATTCTTATGGCAAATAGCCTTCTGATTCTTCTTCGATGACTTTTTCTTTTTATCACTCGGCATGCCGGCGTTTTGGCCCGTCTCTCTTACAATCTTTTGCTTGGACGTTGCTCCTCATTTTGTCACTCGGTCTGATATAGGGTATATTGACCAAGGATTTGCATGGCTCTAGCCCCGTTCGATTACTGTTTCCTTCCGTTCTTTGTTTCTATATTTACAGGTATTATGACTTTTGTGCAGGTTATATGTCCTGATTGATTTTGTTCCTTCCTTCAATGTATCTGGTGTTTGGTGGTTGATACAATCTTTGCTTTTCAATGAACAATTCTTTCTCAAGCTACCCTAACGGATGGATGATATCATCGGCCGTGTTTGATAGTTTTGTGAAGGTGCAGGGGTCACATAAGGCAGGCAGCACCTGGAGAAGGATGCAATCCCTGGCTGTCAGTCTGCTTGGTGTCTTCTCTTCCAATCACACTCGGTCAATTGCTCTTCGTATGCGTGCTCGACTGTGCTTGACGTCTTGGCCTGCGGGGTATTCCTCCGATTCACTTTCATTCAAGGCCCTTGGCACCGGGGCAAACCATGGTCCTTCCAACCGTTCTTCTCTACTTGAATAATGCATTGCACTCTGCTCCATCGATCACGGAATTTTATGTGTTCATCAGCTGTCAGCAATGAATATACTAATGGAAGATGCAGACTTAGTCGCGAATCTACCGTTAGGATGCCTCCACACCAGCATTGTCGTCTACAGAAATGTGCTTGGGACATTCTCAGAGTGATGGATAAGCCCAGCTTATCTATTCCGTACAGTGACCGAGTAGGGCGAGTAGAAGAACCAGATCGATTATCGCGGATAAAACAGCTACTGGCATTGCCCTCCGTCCTTCGAAGAACAAAGAACAGTGCTCAAATGTCTTGGTCTGGTTTACTATGTCTCCTTCGAAGCGGGGACCCTATGTTTATGTCATTTGGCGAAATCAGAGTCCTTGGTCTGAACGCGGGCTAGGTCCTGTCAAGTATGCTCCATTTTACTACAGCGACAACGAGGGTTCATCGGAGCAACAACTCGTGGGATTGTATCTTCTTTACTTCGGTTGGTTCAAAATAGAATCCCTTTACTAACAAATAGACGGATTTGTACAATTTGCAGACCAACTTTTGCCATTGATATCTGGCGATTGACTTGATTATCGAGGATACCCTTTGAAATAACAGCTGTGACAGTGCCTCGCTCGATATAACTATTTCATGCCTTCTCATTCGGCTATAGACTTGGAATTCAATGACATTGGAAGTTCCGATGCAGGGCTTTCTCAGTTTAAACCTTATATGATATACTACTCCCGATGGCCATATGCGTTCGTTGAGACTACTTCAGTCGTGCCTCTATTCACTCTCGCCGCGATTCACAGCTACGCCTGGACAAAGCTTGAGGGATCGGGCTCAACGGCAGTTGATTATTCCTGGAATGAGGATACAAAAGAGGAGAGTCTGGGCTATGCCATTCGTCTCCATCTCGACAGGCAGTGTATGCCCTGGTCAAATGCCTGGGAATGCTTTACCTTATGTATGAATATTTCTACACGACATAACAACTACCAGGCCGGCTGGCCCAATGGCAAGGCGCTTGACTACGAATCAAGAGATTGCAGGTTCGACCCCTGCGTCGGTCAATATTTTTGATTTTTGTTGTTCGATTGAGGAATCTTGACGTTTGATTGGGATATCGGATCCAGAAAAGTGGTGCGGTTCCAAATTTCGACAGTGGGACGGACGGAAAATATTTTTGGGTCTCGGCTGTCGCCAAATGGTAAGGTCAACACCACCAGCTGGAGATTCATTGGTTGTGCTTGGAACTGTTTTCCGGTTACAGTTAGCCTTTTCCAGGCGAGTTGGATGCTTTTTGGATGCAACACTGCACGTGGTAAGGATGCAGCGCAGGATCTCCAAATCTGACATCTTAGATTTTGTGTGCCTATCTGAATTTAAACTCGGTTGACATGTCCTAGATCAAACGGGGACATAACATACTTGGGCACATGGTGCGGCTAATGCAACTTATCTAACAGGATAACACTGACAAGAGCATGAATAGTTGGATTATTGTCCGGACATGGTGCTTCTTTGGACGGGTGGACTTAGCGAGAGCAACGGGCCAACGCCCAAGGCACGATACACACAACAGGATCAGCAATTCATAACTCTACTCGACAGCTTCGATTATTAGATACAATGGCCTAAGCCAATGGGTCAGAAGATAAAAGACACGTCAGTCTACATAATCAGATTCCAACATTACGGTTGCTAGTTACAAGGAGAAGGCCCATGATACAGATTGAAGCAAATTGAACATTTTCCAAGGCCATTTCCCATCATCCATAATCCGAGGTTCAGATACACAAAAACTCGCAGGTCGTCAAGGATCGTTTGCTGCACAATAGAAGATTCGTCGGGCGGGTGGAAATAAGACTGCGGACGTGACGTCAGTTGGAATGCTCCGTTCCCTTTTAACTCGCGTGGAAGGACCATTGGACGAGAAAGACTGGGTCGGGGAGGGAAAAGAAAGAATGGGAAGAAACACTAACCGATTCCCGAGGCTAAACCGTTCCCGGTAGGAGATCTACAGGCGGGAAGCGTGGATCACCTTGTAGTCCACCACCAGCTCGCGACCACCGTCGTTGATGACCAGGGCGCGGACGCTGCCACGGCCATCCTCAAACGCCTCACGGATGCGACGGAAGAGGTGACCCTGGGGCACGACGGGCAGACCCTGCTTGACGTCACCGGACTCGGTCATGGCGACGAGCTTGCCGTCGTCACGCAAGTCCAGGATGCGGTAGGTCTTGTAGACGGGACCAAGCATGGTCTGGACCACAACGGAGGGCGAAGGGTTGGAGATGAAGCTGGACTCCTCGTGCAGTTGACGGGTGAAGAGGTCGACACCCAGGTAGCGGTGCTGGCCGGTCTGAGGGGAGACGGAGATACGGATCACCTGGCAGGGACGGCCCTGGAGGATCAGGATGTCGCCGATGCGCACGAAATGGCAGGGGATGGGCACGGATTCGGTGGTGGCGCCACCGCCAGCACGAGGCTCAACGATGCGCACATCCTCACGAACACCGTCCCGGAATCGAACTGGTCCGCGATCGTCAGCGACGACAACATCCTGGCGTTCGTGATGATGGTCATGATCATGGTGGCCATGATGATGATGGTGGTCATGGTGATGGAAGGGGTGCATGATGCGGTCGGCAGCGCGTTCCACACCACGACGGAAGGAGTGGTAGTTACCGTCGTCGTCGTAGTAGCCCATTTTGCGAGCAGGGGGGTGATCAATCACAGTCTTGGTCTTGTAAACCTTGAGGTTGGTGGTGTCAGGGGCCGGAGCGGGAGCAACGGACTCCACGTTGAGGTCGCGACGGCTGAAGGAGTCTCCGCGGTAAGCTTCGACGGGCTGGGGCTGGAAGCCTTGGTCGTAGGAGACGTTAGTCTGCTGGGGGCGGCGGGAAGATCGGTCGTAGACCTGGGACTCGGCGGTACGGTCGTAGGCGGTACGGTCGAAGGTGTGATCAACCTGGGACCGACGGTCGTAGACGTCGGCGTTGGGGTAACGGTGACTTTCGTAAGACTCTACGGCGGGACCCTGAGAGCGGCGGTCGGAGGCGTAGACGTCGTAGGTGGGGTCGGTACGGCGACGATATTCACGCTCAGTGATGTCGAGCTGGGACTCAAGAGCCTTATCGTAGGTTTGAGGGCGGTCTTGGAAACGGACCGAAGGTTCACGGTACCTAAAGGGGGGGGGAAGGTGGGTGAGCGGGTGAGCGGCCGGGTAAGGGAAGTAAGAAGATAGATAAAACAAAACAAACAAGGAGCAGAAGTGGGTTGGGGGGCCGATGATTGGTGTGATATATGGGGAGTGGTTGGGGACGGATTGTTTTGATTTGATTTGTTTTGGTGCCACGTAATTAGTTCGGGGGACTAGATCATGCTAGCCCCGGAGGCAAGCTGAAAAAAGCCACTGGCGGCAGGCGGTTTGGGGTGACACCGCTTGTTGTGCTCTCTCCACTGTGGGTATTTTTGGGTGCGAGAGCAGCGCCCGGTTGCTCTTCTCCTCTTTCCATCGCCGCAAGGGAAAAAAAAAATAGAAATAAACAAGAAAATGAACACTCAACAAAAGTACTTACTGTTCACGAGCTAGATCAACCTCGGGATACCGGTTTGTCTGCTGACGCTCCTCGTAGACGAAGTTGTTGACGTTGTTGCCGGCGTGAGCGTAGGCGTGCTGCTGGTGCTGCTGAGGTTGCTGGTATTGCTGGTGCTGCTGGTCGTTACCACCGTAAGTGGTACGAGTCTCGCGCTGGAAACGAAAGTCGACTTCTTCCTGACCGTGGGCACGGGGATCCGGAAGAGGAGCAGAGGTTCGAGTATCTTCCCGTTCGACGTGCGAAGTGCGATCGAGATTGACTTCTCCCTCTACTCTTTCAGTCTCAAGAGTAGTCTCAGGAACAGCGTCACTCCGGTACGACGACGGGAAGACACTGAAGGGGATGGGGACGCGGGCGTCAAAGTCCAGATTGGCTGTCCTTTGAGCGTCTTTTCTCGAATGTCTTTCGAACTGTTTGAAAACAACTCGAAAGACTAGACAAGAAAAGACTTTTTACTCGGGGGAAGTCTTTCTCGTGAAGAGGTGGGGGTTTGGTGGGTTGAGAATGATAGATCCGATCGATCTATGATTCGGGGAATGTAAGATATATGAAATGGAATGGGGGGGGAAAGGTGAAAGGGGGTGGGTGGGGATAGTTGATAAGCTTATTGAAAACAAGCTGTATCAGGGGGGAATGTGGGAATGGAGGGGGATGGAAACTGGAAAGAAGAGGATGAAGAGGAAGGGGAGAGGAGAAGAAAGAGGAAGTAGAAGAGAGAGAGAGAGAGAGAGAGAGGATGAGATGATACGGCGGAGTATTAAAACCGAATGACCGCGCGGTGATTTGTTTTGTTTACGGCGCGTTGCCTCTTTGGGTTCTCCAGCCTCTTCTCTGCCTGATTTCTGAGGATCTCTATTTCTCTTCTTTCTCTTGTCTGTCCCGAGGTTCTTCCTTCGCTTCTACCGAGTACAGTCTACATTCTACGAAAAGACGCCATCCCCCCATCCCCAGTCTAGAATCCCAATCTGCAAACCACCGGAATCCCCATCGATAGATATACAGACCGATGGAGCACCCCTCCATTCGACGCCATTTGTTCACCGCAATCAATGCGTCGTGCTAGGTAGCTAGACTCAGGGCTGGGCTCCATTTTCCTGACCGAAGCGCCTGCAGATGAGGCTTCTTCACATGCAGATGGATGATTTGCTAGCTTCAATCCCTTTTCGCTCGGCCGGTGCTCTGGATGGGTCCCTTCTCGCTCTTTTCCCCTCCTTTCAGTTTCTCCTCCCGAAACCCCCGATCGAAAGACGAGGTTGGCCAGCAACCTGTCCCGGTGTCTCCAAATCGCCATGGCAACCCGGTTAGTCTCTCCCCGGGTCGAATCGGAAATCTGGATCCCTTGGCGTGATGAGCCCAGGAGCTGAGAGCTCCAGATGATCAGCGCTTTTGGGGGGATTGAGTTTTTTTTTTTTTTACGAAGATGCCTGATTATGGATCTATCCTTTCTTCCTTGCCTTGCCTTGCCTTGCCGAACACAGAGTACTTCGGTCCAGGGAAAGAAAGGATCAATTCTCCTGATCCCAATCTCAATCGCAATCTCAATCTCAATCTCAATCTCAATCGGACATATTAACGCCTTGCACAATGCACACAGGAATCTAAAAAAAGACAAAAGAACAAACGAGAAAGACTACTCCGTACGGAGCACCACGAAGCGAGACGATCACACCAGCTCCCTGATTCCTTGCATCTCTCGCCCGCCGACCAAACGCAAAAAACCAAGCCCGCCCAGCCATCGTGGTCCCTCGTAATTGGGGAGAAACACGCCCCACCGGCGGTACTTTCCTTCCCTTCTCACTCCGTGGTTTTTTAGTTGCTTTGGCTTGCGAAATTGCTGCTCGATTTCCGGATTCTGCTGATTGCTGATCCGTTCGGCTTTGACGGGGTACCAGGCTACCAGGCTACCAGCCACTCACCTGCTCCAACGTGCCCGTGCGAGACAGCTCCGAGTAAATCTGCTCGTGCTAAGGCCAGGTCAATTTGACAATTTGCCACATGAGTTCGGCTCGTTTGCGCATTGCGACGTTCGTAAGCGCCCCCCCGGGGAAGATGCAGATTTACTCGTCACTTTGTCACTTGTCAGAGTCAGAGCCAGAGTCCAGACCTTCCCGTTTTTTACCGTTCCCCGTTTTAACTGGGAAGGATTCAGGGCTGGGTGGTTGGTTGGGTGGCTGGCTGGTTTATTGATTCATTTTACTTTGGTTAGTCGGTAGCTTCTGTTTGGCATTGCCCGCGTGGAGAGTCAGTCCCAGGGATCGGGAGTGGAGAGCTGTTTGCTCCATCCGAGGCTGTTGCGCCGTAAACATGGAAATTATCTGGCCCGTCCGTGGTTTCTTCCCGTGTCATCCAGTTTATTCATTGAGGGTTATTCATATTTATCATTATTGCGGACAATTGGGTACAAACGTCATATGGTTCTTCGATTGCCTCGTCCTTCTTCCCCGAGACTTGTATCACATCAAATGACACAAAAGTTAAGTTCTGAATCAAATACACGAAGATGAAGTAAACTCAAACAAGCTTCATATCCACGAGCTCGATCACACGGCCCCTATATCCCCTCAATCACTCCGTATCCGCGGTATTAAATTAATGATGAGCCTGCCTGCGGGTGTCAAAATCAAACATATTTGAATCAAATGCATCCATATCTCGTGAATATCCCATCCCGGGTTCCGGCACAATGGGTCTGCTATCCCGGACAGCAGCCAGCTAGCGATTGCTATATTAAGAATAGAAATTAAACAAAAGGTCGTGAATCGGTTAAAAATTACAAGAGATACATCGAATAGATCGGAGGGGAAAAAAAGGAAACAATATCCGAAGGGTGGTAAAGAACGAAAGAATGGAAGAAGAAGAAAACTGCGTCTAGCTTCGAAGACCAAATGCTTTCCTGATCTTAGGAAATCGTTTCTTGCGAGGGGTGGAATGGCTGTCGGCCACAGGTGGTAGGCCGTCATTTTTAAAGCCTGACGAAAGGCCCAGGGGATTCTGGTTCTCTTTGGACAGAACGGCTGCCCTGTCGCTCACGGCCGTGCTGCCGTTTTGGCCGGCTCCGTCGGCAGTCTGGGGTCGTTCAGACCCGTAGTTGCTGCCATTGCTCAGCTCCTTCGGAGGGCCTCGAAGCGGCCAGCTTTCCCCGCCGGTGGATCGGTAGGCTCCTCTCTTGAGGAGCTTGGGCGAGGAAGGTGGATCAGGGTTCGCCGTAATGGTGGTGACGGTATGGCCTTGATTTGGATCCAGGGGTGGCTCCTCTTGCACATGGCTAGAATCCAGCTTGCCTAGCTTGCTCATGCTTCCGCGCTCGGCCGAGGGTTTGGGTTTTCTGATGCTCAGGCGGTGGAACAGACTCGGTCGCCGTTCAATATTGGGCCGACGGAGGAAATCGTCCGCCTCTTTCTCGGTCATTCCGCGAGACTTGGCAACTGCGGCAAGCGCCGGGTTCTTGGGTGAGGCGGGCGCACTTGGTTTGCGGACAGATGCAGAGGCTGTCGGACGGTGTCGTTCACCGTCCGAGCTGTCTTCCAGCTCGGTCGAGTCCCCGTCGTCTCTGCCCGCCCGACGGGGGATGCCACGGACAGGGCGGAGATTATTCACCTCCGGCTCGTCGTCGCTCGAATTCTCGTAGCGGCTTTGCCACGGACGTACATTCTTGCTGGTACCCTGTTCCTCGTCGGAATCGGGATACCGAGATGTGAATAATGACCCAGGCGCCTTGGTCACCTTGGCCTTTTGCATTTTGCCCGTAGAGAAGAATGACGGTTTTTCGCGTCGTGTCTCGTTTCCTCGTAGAGTCATGCGGAGAGCACCGGGGGTGCCAGAACCCGACGACTGGGGCCTCATATCCGGAGGGGGCGACTTTTGCCGCATAGGGGAAGCTGATTGCATGTGAGGAGGGGACCCCCGCATAGTCCGTCGCATGCTATACTGCGGACTCGCGCGAGCTGGGCGGCTGGATCGTACGAAGCTGCTGGACGAGTCGCTCCCGTTTGATAGTCGTCGCTGAGAAAGATGAGCACCGTGGCCATTGGTTTGCTGTCCTTCTTCGGCGATGACCTCTTTGCCCTCAAGAAGGCCTTTACCCCACGAAGTAGGCCTGGCTTTCGCCGGTTTCTGCGCAGCCACAGACGGCGAACGAGTGCTGCCATTCTGACTGGCAGCTACATCTTGAGTTGCAGGACCCTCGTAGGCGTCGGCTGACATGGATCGTTGGGCGGAGCTTGCTACCAACGATGATCGCGGGACTTGTTCTTGCGTGTTGCTCTTTTTGGCACTGGGCCGCGTGGGGAAGGGAGGGTAGGGGGAAGAAAATGGCAAAGAGTCTTGGGGAGAGGCAGGAGATCTTGTACGTGGTGGAGGTGACGTATCACGGACGGGCGTCTCAACACGAGCGATCTGACAGGCTTCAGGGATGTCGGGCGTGGAGTCAGAAACCCGGTCACCAGCCCAATCATTTTTCGTTGGCTCCTGGTTTGTGTCGGCAAGGTCATCCTTGACCGGTTCTGTACTGCTGTCCACAATAGCATTGATAGAGCCAAAACCATCGCCGTCAAACCCTTCCTCGGCATCACTGTAGATACTCTCGCCCGACTCGTCATCGGTGTCCTGATCTTGGACAGCATTATCAACTGCCTTCTTGCCCTTACGCCGACTTGAACTCTTGGATTCCAGCGATGCTCTGGGAAAGCCCCCTGGTACTGTGCACCAATCGAGGCTGGTTCTTTCCTTCTCGAGTTCCGGTGTCGCCGGCTGGACCGCGATCCCAGGTACATCAAGCGCAGGACTAGAGATTGGGTGGCTCAACTCGTTTTCATGGACCACCGCTTCGCCCACAGATGCAATTTGGCTCGACTGCGGATATGTGTTCTTCGGAGTAGCTTCGGTTTCTGTGGGCATAGCTGGTTCATGATGATTAGTGGTATCGTTACGTTCGTGATGGGAAAGAATTGCTCCGATAACATGATCATTAGAGAAAGACCAGTCCGGCGCTCCCAGGTTAGGCTCCGAAGAAGTCGTCGATTCGTTATCACTGAACTCGTGCCGCGCTGGCTCCGGTTGTTCACCATCTCTAGCGCCCCGTATACTCCCAAAGGAAGGCAGGGCGGGCCGCGGTTTGAGCACTTCATCGAATTCGTCCGGCACAGATGCATCGCGTGCATGAGACTTCTTTTTACCCAGTGCAAACCAATGCGATTTGGATTTGGCTTTCGAGCTTCCCGGAGGTGAGTCAGGGACGACCGATTCAGGTGACGTGGGCGGGCTGGCCGCCACTCCGACAACCTCTGCCTCGTCGTCAAAGCTGACCTTGGCCGTCTTTTTACGGAAGCCTTGCTTGGAGCCGTCATCGGACGCGACGGACGTACCATCCGATATTTCGCTGAGTGGAGGACCAGGTCGTAGTACTGCAGTCCGCCCGTCCGGCGATATTGAACTCATCCTCGAGCTCTTCATCGCCGACTTAACGGGCGATACTGATCTAGGTGGCGGCTTGTGCAAAGGTTCTCCGGCGAGCCCAGTCACGGACAGCTGCGTGGAGAACCGGGTCGATCTGCCAGGACTGCTGCCGGACTGTCGCATCGGCGACGGCTGGAGACCACGGCCAACATCGACCGAGCTCGTCGATTCCGGAGAGCTGACGACCGAGCTTGGCAGGGGCTCTCTTCTTGTTTCGGGTGTCTGGGGTACCCTGGCTGTCGGCGGGCCCTCTGGCGTCACCCTCCCGGTTTGCGCGGCCGAATTGATCGTCCACGGAGCACCGGCCTCGGCTTGCTCTTCGCCCTGGTAATCCTCGCGCACGGTAGACGGTCGCTTCATTAGAGCCGGACGAGACGGAGATCCCGGGATCGATTCCCGAGTGTCCCAAGCCTCTGGTTCACGGCGCTCCGTCGTGGCTGGCGGCGAAGGGGGAACGATGGCGGCTTGTGCTGCAGCAACGGCAGTAGTCACGGGCGGCGTACCTTTCCCGGGGCTTCCAGGGCTGGAATTCCTGGTCCGTCTCCTAGCAGAGGTGTTTGCCGTCTGCGACGGGGTACTCGGCCCCTTGGAGGCATCTAGTCCGGCCAACCGGTCGGCCAGCAATGCGCCTGTCGACACATCGCGCCCATCGGATGCTTCGGGGGTTTGAGACGGAGAGGTTGGACGCGAATTGATGGGGTAAGAGAAATTGACAGAGCTCCTGCTCCCCGTTCTCTGGGCTTCAGGAACCGTATATAAGCTAGGGCTCCCCGTCCGCATATTCTCACGGTCGACGCTTCCTCCGCGTCCCGACGGATGCTTCACAGGAGGCGACGACCGCATGGGCGCACCGACGCTGACCGACCGCCGAACGGGAGTGCCTCGACCTGTATACTCCTTCGGAATTGACGGAATGGGTGGCGCGTGGCTCACCGGACCGGACCCTGAGCTGGAGAGCGGACGACGAGGGGATTGTTCCCGAAAGGTCCGCGTGCTCATGGAATTCGAGCTATTGCTTCGACGAAGGCTCGTACGGCTGGGGGAGCGCAAGGTTCCGGCGGCACCCGGTTGTGAAGAGACGGACGACTGCCGCTGGAGCATGCGCTTCGTCTGGACATTCTCGACGTCGGTGGGAGGGGGCGTCAGGTTCCGGAGGGCTGTCGCGGCGGCCGCGGAGGAGAGACTCGACGAGGAGGGTCGGGATTTAAGGAAGGCATGGCTGGCGGCGGATTGAGCGGATTGAGCGGACGAGGAAGACAGCGGCTGTACAATGGGATGTTAGTATGGTCTGCTTCGATAGGAGTCCACGGGAGAGCGCCAAGCTCACGACGCACCTGATGATGATGCGACGAGCTCCTTCGTCGGCGGAACATGATTGATTCGAGGGGGAAACCGCCGGTGTGTCGCCGTCAGGCAGACACGGAGAATTTGTGATCTCACAACAATTGATGGGATTTTAAATTGGCGGCGACGAAGAGAAACAGATGCAAAGTCGATCAACCGGAAAAAAGGGATCTGTTGGATTGATGGAATAGCGAGAGAAAAAAAGTTTAAAAACGAGAGCGAGAGAGAAGGTGAGAGATCGACGGGGCGGAAAACAAGGAGGTTCGAGGGGCTGCCAAGGGGAGGGAGAGAGAGAGAAAAAGAGAGAGGAATCCAAGAAAAGGAAAGGGGAAAAGGAGAGGAAATCGAAGGACAAGGAAAAGAAAAGGAAAAGGGAACGAAGCCAAAGTTCAACGATGAAAGTGAAACACAACCAAGAAAAAAGGAAGAGAAGGAAAAGAAGAAGTCCAGACCTTTTGCGTCATGCCGGAGTTCCTCAGGAATCGCAGCCCACTGGATCAGGCATCCATTCTTTGTATACACCTGACCAATTGTATATAACAACACCAATGTTAAAGATAATGTTAGTGTCGACAGAAGAAGTTACAGGAAATATTCTCCCCTGCAAGGAGTTATTCTCCGATCGTTGCCTCGGATGATCGATCTGCCTGATCATTATCGTGCTATACATCATTGTGATCATCCTATAAACCTCCTCCCCTGCCCAGTCCATTTCCTTTCTCTAATCTCTACCTACAGACTAGTTGACCATCCCTTGAATCTCACCATCCAACACTACATATCACAAAATTAAACCAAATTAAACACCCCCCTCCCCTCCGATCTACAACCCAACATGCCCCTCCCCCCATCCATCTCCACCCGCTCCATCGCCACCTCCACTCTCAACTTCCACATCCTCGAAGCCGGCTTCACCCCATCGCGCGATCGCCCTCTCCTGCTGCTCCTGCACGGATTCCCTGAACTCGCCTACTCCTGGCGCAAAGTGATCCCCCAACTCGCGGATGCAGGCTACTACGTCGTAGCCCCGGACCAGCGCGGGTTCGGACGCACCACGGGCTGGGACACACGGGACTTCGACGCCGTGGACCTGAGCACGTTTTCGCTGACGACGTTCGTGCGGGACATGGTGGTGCTGGTGCACGCGCTGGGCTATCGATCCGTGCGATGCGTCGTGGGTCATGATTGTGGCGCCGTGACGGCCGCCATGTGTGCCCTGGCGCGACCCGATTTCTTTCATAGTCTCGTCTTGCTCAGTCATCCGTTTAACGGATCGCCTGGGTTGCCGTTTAACACGGCGAATGATGAGACAGCAGCGAAGAATGCCAGCGGAGGAGGAGGAGGCGCCGAGTCCGCGGCGGGCGACCACGTTCATGCCGAGCTGGCCGCCTTGGGCAGGAAACACTACAAGTGGTATTATTCGACGGCGCCGGCTAACGGGGACATGACGGCGCCTGCGGAGGGTTTGCAGGCCTTCCTGCGAGGCTACTTCCATCTGAAGAGCGGGTCGTGGGCCGGGAACCAGACGTATCCGTTGGACGGGTGGAAGGCCGCCGAGCTGGCCCGGCTACCGTATTACTATGTCATGCCGCTGGAGGACACGATGCCGCAAGCCGTGGCGCGGCATATGGCGGAGGAGACCGAGGCCGGGGAGCGCGCCTCGCATGCCTGGCTGCCCGACAATGACCTCGCCGTGTATGTGGCCGAGTATGGCCGGACGGGGTTCCAGGGCGGGTTGAACTGGTATCGGGTGCGCACAGCAGCTGGGGGCAAGTACACGAAGGATTTCGAGGTGTTTGCCGGGAAGAAGATCGAGGTGCCGTGTGCGTTTGTGTCCGGTAAGTCGGACTGGGGCATCTATCAGGAACCTGGGGCGCTGGAGAAGATGGCCAATGGCACCGTGTGCAGTGATTTCCGGACAATGAAGTTGATTGATGGCGTTGGGCATTGGGCACCGCAGGAGAGCCCGGATGAAGTTGCCCGAGTTATCCTAGATTTGGTACGAACTCTGTAGATGTTGTCGTGCTGAGTCTGTCAGTCGCCGGGTTCTATGTGAGATATGAGATGTACGTAATTAGTCATGATTGGAAGCAGACAGATCCCGTTTACCTAGGGAATCTCTCTTCGTGCAAGACAAGTAACTGGATGACTTAAAAGCAGTGATGTGAATTATGTACGTTAAGCACATATGCTCCATCGACGCCAGAAGCCCACACAGTGCTAACCCGCCGGGGCAGATTGGCTTGTTTCATCGTCGCATGCAGTCCGTGAAAAGGAGGGTAACTATATTGGGTATGTGATGCCAAGTGGAAACCAAAGCACAAGCATGACTAGAGAGAAGAGAAAGAGTTGTGTATCTACACCAACATCCACCCGACCACCGCGGCCATCAAGAACGGAATCACGTTTCGAATAGCCTGTCTCGTTGGGTCCAAAGAGATAGCAGCTGATTTCAACGATTCCGTAGTGAACACCGACTGGAAGGTGATGGCACTAGAGTTGAAGCAGTTTTCGCGAGTGACCTCGGCGACGTCTTCCGGTTCGGCGAACTCGATATCCACGCACTAAACAAAACAAAGTCAGCGACGACCGGGGGACTTTAGACACTATCGACACATACGTTGTAAAGAGCCGCGCCGTGCTTGGCCAGCTCGATGACCTGAATCGTCGCCTTGTCACCAGGACTCACGCTGATGTTGGCTGGCAATGGAACCTGCGGGAGACAGATCGTGCCCGGGTAGGGATCGTTGGTTGGGCCTGTGATCTGGAATGGCGAGATCATCGGATGGCTCATGTTGGGCGGCGTCTCTCCGATACCCAGATTCATATAGATGAACGCTGTGGAGTGACCCTGGAACCAGCCAGGTTGGAGAGCAACGGCGCCGCCACCGACGGGCCATTTGGTTCGATTTGTAGACGTAGGCATTCCACCGCCTATGCGATAAATCAATTGTCAGCACCAAGTCTGCGTTTGTTGGAGTTGGGGTTTTGGGGTTCGCCATCATACAAGGATAGATCCATTGCATTCCATATGGGTAAGAGTAGGACCCATTGCTAAATGCTGCTCCGAGACCGTCGGCATTCTCGACAGTGCCGTTGGTATGCAGATTATTCCCTCGGTATCCAGGATAGGTGATGACCGTATGAGCATGCGATAAGCCCACGCACAGGAATGCGATGAGGGCCATGCATTTCGATAACGACTCGTGGAAGGATCTCATCTTGGCCAGAAGGATGTGTCGAATACAATCTGAGACAGAGACCAGCGAAGAAGGCTACTTCGAATAGGAAACCAGACAGAGAAAATGAGAATAGGAACACGAGAGATGCAAGCGCCTCGGTTGTCCTTCTGTGTCTTAGAAGCTCATCCAGAGAGTCGTTTCAGGTCTCACAACTTGCGAATCTCACGAACGCTGCACCGTCCGCATAAATGATCACCATCAAAACAAGCTTCCCAGGACGGGAGGGTTGACAAGACTTTTTGAGGGGAGCAAGCCATGTCCCAGGTGCTGCAGCAGCGCTCACATACAGACTGTAGCGGGGAACGACCGACAGCCACGGACGAGTGAGCATGCAGGAAAGCGATGTGACCACACCCGCAGGTGCGAGAGCGGTTGACAAGGGGGAGGGGACACTGTCGATAGCGACGAACGACCAAGACGAGCCATTCAGCAGGGCACAGAGGGCAGCAGAATTCCAGACCGAGAGAGAGGATTGGCTCGAGGCGAACGTCTGCTGCAAGAGGTATCACCTTGTCCAGAGTGACAGGCGATTTCATTCGTGGAGACGGCGGTCTTGGAAGCGCCCCGATCGGACGCTAAGAGAGGGGATTCACGTCCGCTATCCAGGGCCCGGCGCTTAGAGATCGACTCTGAAGGGTTACCGAGTGCTGATCCGAGTGTGATGATGGGTCATGTCACCGGTTAATGGAGGCGAGGACTGGTATACCGCGGACTTTCAGAGACCTGGGAAGGTCGGAGATTCTCATTGTAACCCTAGATTTGGACGTTAGGAGTGGACAGTCTTCCATGGAGAGCGCCGAGTCATGCAGGGCCACCATCACGTTAAAATATGCCTCATCAATACCTGGACCCAAAAACAGATACGAAAAATGCAATTGCATTTCTGGATAGCAATGACAGATGTCAGTAGAAGGGTGCCTTGCAAAGGAAACACAGGAAAAGTAACGGTAGACGGAGCTGCAAACCAACCAAACAACCCCCCTCCCCTTATCTTATCGCCGCAATCAATCATCGCATCGCATTTCTCCTCCTCTCGATTCCCCGAATCCCCAAAAAACCAACCCCCCTCACCCCCAACCAGTTCCAATTCGTCCTCCCTCCCCCTGTCCCTTCCCCCCCAGAATGCCCCACACTCATCGCAAAAAGCCCGCTCATCACAACCACAAGCGCCTCCAAGTGACCGACGACAGCGGCTGGACACACGTTAGCACGAGCGGAAAAACCGCGCGACAAGTTCTGCGCACCACCGCAGCCCACCAACAAGACGACCCGACGCAACCGGGATCATTCGTGCCCGCGGAGGCGCCCGCCAGATTGACCGCGGAGGACCTGCGACGGCAATTCGAGGGCTATCGATCGCGGTGGGAGAGCTCGGATGTGTGTAGGGTGGTGAGCGAGACGTTACAGGCGCGCAGGACGCCCGACGCTCGTGCTTATGATGGGATCGTGTGTGTTGGGTTGGGTAGTCCGAGTGGGTTTTTGAGAGGAGGGTGGGTCGATCGCAGGAGTGTGTCGATGTATCAGCTTGCTGGGTTGGTGGGCGTGGTGGATTGGTTGAGTGTGTTCTCCCTTCTCCGCCGGTCAGGGTGGTTTTACCTAACGTTCACGTTCATGAGAGCTAACACGGGCACCTCTACCCGTCAAATCTAGAACAAACAAATCCCAACGTCCCCATCTACGCCCAAGACCCCGTATTCAACGAACTTGACAAATCTCTCCTCTCGTCCCTGGATATAACTGTTCTCGAGCACCCCCATGCCTTCGAAAAGGTGACCCCCGCTACCTTCCTCTACTGCCCTGGCGCGGAACAAGCGCATCTGTCACAACTGCTCGCTTTGAACCCCAAGTCCCTGTTCGGTGGTCCGTTGGAGGATGTTGATTCCGAGGTGGTCAGGCAGTTTGTGGAGAAGAGGGGGTCGGTGCGATTACCGCGGTTTCAGGAACAGGAGCATGCGTTCTGGAATATGCGGATTTACTGCCCCGAGGATAGCGGGGAGGAGGACGAGTAGGAAGTGTCATTACAGGAACGAGTGAGGTTATGCTACAGCCTGTCGGGGTGATTCATGCAGTGAAATCCGATGGCCGGACCATGGTACGCGGGATACTGGTTGAACAGAGGATACATCTACACGCTACAATACCGAATGGCAACATGAGAAGAATGAGACATCATGGATGTGAAATGCTAACACGATATATACAACCTCAAAGAACCTGGGCTCAGCAATGAGTGCGCAATATAGAACCATCTTCGACAATCATGTGAAAAAGAAGAAGAGATCTGAAACAGTCTGCAACCGAACACATTGCCCTAATATTAGATTACAATCCAAGGAGAAGAAAAAAGAATCAAACACCCGGAGCACCTTTCTGAAAGACAAGACAAACATTAAGATGCGCAAAGCTTCGAAAATCCTGTGGCGACGGGAATCAATCATGAAAAAGCCGCACAGAGAGCAAAAATGGGCCGATCATGCATCATCATTAGAGGATGGAGAAACAAGAGAAAGGAGAGTCGTCGAATCATAGAGAAGAAAAGACAGGCGTGGGATAAGATGAGATCAATCAACCTCCTTGCCGTCGCAGTCGGGAATCTTGATGCCGGGCTTGAGCTTCCGAGCAGCATCCATGAGACCCCATTTGTCTTCCCATTGCTCGTCCTTGGTATTGTACTGCTCTTTCCATGGTTCATCAAACGCCTCGAACCTAGATTTACTGTTAGAATCACCGTAACAATCCAACAAAGATAATGAAAGCATACCAAAAGTATTCCGTGCCATTGGACATTGCCTGGCAGACCCAGTCAGACATGAACTTGTTCATCTCGTCGATACCCGCAACAGATCCGTCCGTTTTGCTCTTGCAATTGTCGTGTCCTTGGCCACAGTCGTTTCCTCCACCGCTGGGCCATCCCACCTCGGAAATGACTTGTTTCTTGTCGGTGTCCTTGGTCAGCACCACGTCGTTGTTCTGCCAGAAACTCCAGGTCCAGCTCGCCGCGTCGTCGACCTCCACGCCTGCGAAGAACGGATGGACGTTGGACATGACAACGTCCGTCTTCTTCACGAGGTCCGAGTCCCAGTTGTCGCCCAAGTCTGATGTCGCGATCGGCAGGTCGATGTTATGTTCCTTGAAGTGGTCTCTCACATCGTCCATGTAGCCGGTCAACTTCTTTTTCGCGCTGGTCTTGTCATTGCCTGCTCGGAACAGAGCTTCGTTGCCAACAATGGCGCCCTTGAAGATCGACGTGTCCTTCGCGTTGTCAAGAATCTTGTACAGGTGGTTGATTTGTCGGTCGGCGGTGGTGTCGTTGGTGTCAATCCATACGCCTAGCCAGAGTTTCATGTTCTTGAGCGCCAGTCGGTCGATGGCATGCAGGACCATCTCTGTTTGGTTGCAATCGGTACCATACAGCCGAACGGTATTGGTCAGTTGCGAGATCACGGCCATGTCGCGGGTGACGTTGTTTTGCGACGGAGGATACTTGAGACAAAGCGGGTACTGGACACCCCACGGGGTATAGTCGACGCCGGGGAACACTTTGTGGAGATTTTCATTGCCCATCAAGGCCTTGATCTCGTCCGAGTCCTTGTCGAGATCGCCGTTCTTCTTCGAGTCGCCCGACGCCGACTTCGTGGATTCGGTCGGATCTTCCTTGTGATTCTCCCGGTGACCTATCGTTCCACCAACGGCGCCTCCGACAATGGCTCCGACCACGATGAACGCCAGTACGAGCCCGACGATCCACCCACGTTTCCGACTGCCCCCGTCAGGCTTCGGCCTCGCCTTGTCACCGGCCTCCAGCCCCGTTCCCGGAACCGGGCCATAAGACGGACCGTCCGCGGCTTTCTTGCTTTTGAATAGCCCGCCGAGACCTCCCAGGAATCCTCCCGCGGCTACTCCACCTGCTGCCGCAGGGACCGCCCGAGACGTCTGGCCGGCAGATTTACTGTTAGGAGGCACAAACCCATCGTCACCGTCATCAAGAATTTCATCCGGGTTGATAACGAGAGGGTAGTTGTTGGTGCTGTAAGTAGACTGTCGCTGATAAGGACCTTCATTGAGCGGACCGACGCCTTGATACGGGCTGTCGAACAGGCTGCGTTGGGACGGGTTCGAGGCACCGGGGGTCAACTGGCCGGCGGACGCGGCAGCGGCACCCAGGGCGACATTAGAGCCGTAGGATTGAGGCCGTAGATTGTCCGAGCTTCCGTGAGCGCCCTCCGGCGGGGCGGGGATGTAAGGGTTATCCGAACCGGTGGTGTGGTAGCCTCGTTCGGCAGGTATATTGAGCGCCGGCCCGTCTGTGTCCCTGAAAGCGTCAACTCCACTCTGACGGTCATGGGTATTGGCGACGCCAAGGGCGATACCGCTTATACCGCCGCCGACGGCGGCGGGGCCTAGATTGTCCATCCCCGGGGTCGCCGTCGAATGCGTCCGCATCGAGTTCGTGTGTCCGAGGCCCCGGCCATGTTCCGGCACTGACGCAAGACCTCGATCATGGTCGTGGCCGAAGGGTTGACCCGGAGCTGACACGGGCGAAATGTCACCGTATTGCGCGGAGTTGCGCACATGCTGCTGACCGTCTTCTGGCGAAAGAACGGGCGAAATGTCTCCTCGATGCTCTGCTCCTACCGCATTGTCGTCGCCTCGATTAAAACTGAATGCCCGGTGGTCACCGGACATGCTTGTTGATTAGACAGAGTACTTTCTGGCGGTTTTTTGGCGATTCGTTCTATGGTCAATGTTGTGTCGATGCGATGATGGAAGCCGACGGAAGCACCGAGAGGGCGAAGAAGGTTGGGAAAGGGAAGAAAGAAAAGAGCCCGGAGAGGGCGGCAGGTGGATTAATTAATTCGAGAAGAAGGTCGACGGTTCTGAAACGCCAGGGACGCAGACGGTCATCGACCCACGGTTCCCAAAAATCCGACCCGGGAAGAGTTTGTATCACTCAGGTACACCGTTGGACAGGCGGAACGGTTTCTTTTCAGCGGACAAGATAGTACTAAGATAGTGGTCAGCGAGACAGTGTGATAGGGAATTCGAGAGGAGGATGAACTGTTTAGCGGAGAAGAGACGCAGGATGCGAGGGAGAAAGGATCGTAAGACCAGAGGGATGGATGGGCGTACTGTACAGATGTAATTGGCCGCAGAGATGATGCAAGTAGATCTTTTCTAGAGCGGGAAGAGATGGCAGGAAGGTGGAGAGGCAGAAGAGAACAGATGCAAAGAAAGGGAGGAAGGGGAGGAGGATAGATTAGAACAAGCGCAGAGAAAGAAGAGAGGAAGAGGAAGAGGAAGAGAAGAGGAAGAGGGGAAGTCCGACAAAGAATATAGGCCGACAAGAACAAGGAAGGCCGTGACTGCATCCGGAGACAGCCAGACCTGGATTGATGGTGGCGGCTGTGCCCCCGACAACCGACGCACGTACGGTAAAGCGTCGCAGCGTCCAGCGTCAGCAGTGGCCAGCCCGGGGCTAGTCCCCACTCGTCCCGGAGGAACTGGTTGTTCCGGCAGACCCTGAAAGCGTCTTGCGCTTGTCTGCGTGCGGAACATTCGGTCGGGCAGACCAATTTTGATTAAAGTTATAGAATGCTATAGCAAATATGTTATCTAAATTCAAAAAAAAATTCTTATCCAACAACACCTGCCGTAAATCCACCCCGATGACTCCTTTCTCCTTCAACAACCACACGAGCGCATCAGCCAAAGACCTCCCAAGTTTATCAAAGAACAAGATATGCAAACTTATATCTTCTATCTTCATACTAAGACAGGTGGCAAAAGTCTTTTATATAACTTTTATATGAGACTTTGTATTTGTCTTTTCGGTATAAGATTCTAATCTCTGATTTTTCATTGATTTATTTGAGGTTTTTTTAAGGATGTAGGTGCGTGTACGGGGTGTAGGTGTCATGGTGTTGACCCCCGGGCGCATTCGGGAGTGCTAACCACTGCACTACTGGCAAAAGACTAGTATAGTATGCAAAGCCAAAGGCTTTGCACTGCGCTCGCATATATAAACCTCAGGCAGGAATAACGGAACAGGAACAGGAACAGGACACAATGGAACAACTCCACGGTGCTGGTTTGCACCGTGACAGTAGGCCTGCCAATGCTAACTTGCTCGTGCGCTGCGAGACAATTAATAACATAAATTATACAAGTTTCAAAAGTTAAAAAATAGTTACGATTTACAATTACTCTCAATCTTATGCAGAAGAATGGTGTTTTTTTATTAACTAAGAGAATTAAGTGACCCGGATTGCCCGATGCCAGAAACCATCACTTAACTGATCTTTTTGCCGAATGTGAGGCTCGGAGAATATGGAAGCATGATTCTGCAGATATTATTATCTTGGGATCCTAGATTCAGGACTGCTTGGTCTAAAGTACCCACAGAGAGCCGTCCATGCAACGAGGTCGGAGATCATCAAGAAGTCGAAGCATTACACCACATAGATATTTCCAAGCTCGATGGCCTTAAATATTAGATTAATACTGAACATCTTAATACGCTAGTACGGATTTATTCAGAGTGACCGCAGTCTTTATATGCAATCAGTATAATATAGATGGGGGCCTGCGGCGTTGTGGGAATGCATAAGTTTTAAGAAACCGTCTACTACAACTGTGCTAGACAAAATTGACTTTGGGTATATTTGGGGAAACGTATAGTACACGACAAATAAAAAGGTAGTCTTACAGGTCACCGAGGATGAGAGGTCAGCATATGAATTCGATGAGTCAATCACTCTCTATATACTGGATAATATCACCCTTCGGCGCCACCAGCGTTTACATGAGTTGTAGACCGCCCTGATTAAAACCAATGCTTTCTGTACTAATAACCTTGATAATAGATTTCACTCTCCGAGATGTCAGACTAAGTCTGTCCTAGCATATCCGTGCATCATGTAGCAACATTGACCCTCCAATTTCATTTCAGTCACTTGCGCCTAGATACTAGCAAGCCACCTCAGTTTGTTATCCAAGCCCCTCAAGATGTATAGTGAGCCCTGAGCCGTCTTAACATCTGTTTTGAAAGCTCTTATCTAGCAGCCCTTGATACCATCGAGGGCTATTCTTCCAATTTCTTGCGAGTCTATGGTAATCGGCTTAGAATACCTTGATCAGGTTAGTAGCTTTGGTGGTGCTTAACATCTGTAGCTCACTTCATGATACAGGTAGATAGCTGGAGTCCTCCAAGCAGCAACAACGGAGCAGCCAGGCTCAAATCACGACAGGGCGGTTCTGAAGAATGTCAGATCTTTAAACACCGAGATACTCATTCAGCTGGCAATCCGAAACTGGGCTGCCTGTGTGTCTATAGGTTGAGGTGGTTTGATTCAATATATCTAGAATATAGCGATTCCTTCCTACTACGATTACTGAGGATTTAGGTAACAAACGGGATAGATGTTCTCATATACTACCACGCTCCATCGTTCCCCTACGACCAAACATAGCACATGGAACAAACAAGTATCACAAACCGACATCCCAAACCAACATCCCAAACCAACGCTGTTCCAATCATCACACCAGCACGAGCCAAAGCCACAGAATCGATCCGTGCAGAGCTTAGATATCATTGTTACCTCCAGAAACGCAGCTATCAAAATTCAGTCCGGGGCCACAATAAGCCTTATCATTGTAGGAACTGGCATGGCCCATTCTCAGCCATCCGTTCCAGGTACCATGATGGTCTAAGCGCACACATTGAGTGCCACAGATCTTTCCGTGTTCAATCTTGTCGATGTACTTATAGATGGCTCCAGCGATGGTATTGATTTGGGCAGTAGTGTCACAATTGCGGCCTGAGGCGTAATAGTCGTATCGAATGTTGTCAATGGTGCCGCTACTGTGAGCACAGTTATGCTGATCAGAGAGAGCTTTGATTGAGCCCCCAAGCGTCTTGGTAAAATGATATAAGTCTTTGGATATGGACAAACAGGCCGCGGCTGCCGAAATATATGCGCATGTCTCGATGGGGGTGCGCTCCACAAGCTCAACGTTGGTGTCTGTTGTTGTAGGATTCTGCTCGGTGCCAGGCTCGTCGAGAATCAATCGGAACCATTTATCTGGCAGGGGCTGGCCTTCGATAGAGAGGGTCTGGCCATCGATAGAGGAGGGCAAGGATAATGCCTGAGCCGATATTGCCAGACAGCACGTAGTCGCGATCAGCGCATTCTTCACGAATAACATAGTAGTGGAGGCTGTTGATAACAATCAAGAAAAATATGGTGATTGGGGGCGTCACTCGGAGAATAGAGTAACAAAATCCTAGAAGGGTAACCATTGGGGAGGATGAATCTCGAGATTGTGCGACAAAGCTTCTTTTTATAGTGGACTAAGAGCAGAAATGATAAAGACTTCTCGCTTCTTTGCTAGCTTGTCAGTATGTACTCTGTCCAAGATGGTAGCATTCAAATCGCTACGGGGTAGGTCGTGGTGGGCCTACAAGCGTATTTAACAGACGGTGGCTACCTAGATAGTCCCCACTTGCGCGATTTTGTCATGACAAAGGGGTGACTTCGTCGAAACGTCAACTAGGCGTATTATGCCTTCATTGGATCGGCTCTGGGGGAGAAACATCGGTAAGATACCGGGGCAACTTGGGATTCGTTGGATACTATGGCTTTTAGTCATATGGAGCTACTATTATCATTCATACAACATAGCAAGCAAGAGAACGGAGCGAGAGGCAGAATAGTCCAGGAGATATCATTGTCCCTGTCTATCCCCTTGGCCTCTGAGAGCCTCTTAGCTTCCCTTAACTTCAGCTGTATCCACTTGCAAGTACATTTGGAGTATGCTAACCCAGCGCTTGCTTCAAAGGCACACCGTGAAATTTGCTTTACAAGGTCAGGTAATCTGTCGTCCGAGGCTAGTTTTAGGCATCAACCTAACTAGTTGCATTAGGGTTATAGAGTTGTAATATTGTGTATAGTTCAGTGGTTTAGTGTATAGGCTCCTCTTTACATGAACTACGATATTAGCTTCCTGTCAGGACCCTCATCTTGATACCATTATCAGGACATGGAATTCAAGGTAGCACATTAAAGTCATCTGACATGATATACGGACTCAGAGCAAGGTAGCAGATATAAAGTGCATTATATAATTCAGAACTGAATTAGGAGTGTATGTGTATGCTTAGGTTAGATTATATTATGTCAGGTGAATTTAATGGGCTACCTTGAATTCCATGTCCTGATAGACACGATATCTTCGAGGTTGAAAATCCCCACATGTCTTACCATCGGTTCCACTTTTTGAGTAAATGTAACCCTACTAAGATAAAGCTAAACTATGGTGCTATGAGGCAACAAATAGCAGACCGTCTTATCCTAAGGGCTCATAAACAGGGCTCTTTCTTCTGGGCTGGTTAATCATGGACAGCGCTATTATGTCAATCGGTGGAGTGCAGATAGATGTTGATGATCCTTTGTGGTCTTGGTTGACCATAGTAGGACTTGCTGCATGGGCGACTGATAGGATGCACGAAATGCGAAGGACATATTTGAGTGGCTCCGACCGGCCTTGAGCTAAATTGCTATACATGATACCTTTCCTAAGTTATCGGCTTTCCGCGCTGACGCGCTTCCCAGAATGGTGTTCCTAGATCACGGGGAAAACACTTCAAGCCAATATGAAGGAATTTTACTATCGGGCACCACCTGTTAGGTTCGGTCTATAACTCGATAGCGTTACTAGCTTATACACTCCCTCCCACCTTCCCTCTGTACATAGGATTTCACTCGGTGGTTGTGACCGGTCACCTTCGGGGAGCATCATCCAATTGCTGTGCCAATCCCATGGCGTCAGAATCTCCTCTCAAGGACTCATCCCCGTTCTGGCATTTTCTTCTTAGCTCGTGGCACTGCTCGTGCTGCAGCTGCAGCTGCAACAGCTACTGCTACTAGTGTCCTGGTCCTGTAACGGAGAGTAAAGATGCTTATTTCTTATTATTGCTTCTTGTCGCAACCGCTCAGCCTTCTTGAGGATCTTCCGATTACAAGATTCTTTGAACTTCCCCGGTTTCACTTTTAGCTCCAAGACATCCAATCAGTTCTTACGGAATCTCAAGAATCCTCATCTCCCGAAGGGACGCTTGACGATGTCATCTGGAATGCCGATTCCCCTGCAAAGGCACCGCCTAGCAGCACCAGCAACAACTTCTGGCCTGATACCCGGGAAGATTGCTATTTGCTGCTGAATGCGTACCTAGCCAATGTTGACCCAATTGTTCGCATTATCCACCGGCCGAGTTTAGCCCGTCGCTTCGACGCGTTCGTGCGCTCGCAATACTCCGACAGTCGAGAATATACCCCGACCCAAGGGGGAGGGAGCAACAGCGGCACGACCCTTAGTCCTACTAAGACGGACGCCTTCAGGCCACTAGCGATGTCTATCTTCTATGCGGCTGTCAACAGTATAAAAGATATAGACGTAGCCACCATGTTCAGCATGGACAAAGCCTCTCTCCTCAATCGATATCGAATGGGAACGGAGATGCTTCTCAAGCGCCAGAAATTTATGACATCAAGGGTTTTCGAGGTTCTGCAGGCATTGGTGATATTGCTGGTAAGGAATCAGAAAAAAATTAAAAAAAAAATGAAAACTGATTTCCATTCTAATCTTATCTTGTGGCTATAGACTGCGCAATATAGAGAAGATGACATGGGCAAAGTGTGGCCATTAACAGGCTTGGCCATTCGGTTGGCAATGCTTCAGGGACTCCACAGGGACCCTCTAGCCTTACCACTGGGGACAATCGACGTCGTGCAGGTGGAGCTGCGCCGTCGCCTGTGGGCGCAGATCTGCAATTTGGATTTCCGGACGGCAGAAGATCACGGCTTCGCGCCGTCGATCCACGCATCAGACTTCGACACGCGTCGACCCATCAGTCTGGACGATATAGATCTGATCGAAGGCATGGCCCCTTCACAGCGCTCTCTGATGCACCTAAATTCACTGATATGACAATATACGTCCTGCGCATCACAGCCGCCGGTTACTACGGGCAAATCCGCCAGATAACGCATGCGTCGCGCAAGCGGTTGCGTAGCTGCCTGCATGACTCGGTCGTTGACGAGTCTCAAGCCTTGATAGAGCTACAGGGACTATTGCAGACCGCCACTGGGCTTGCAGGTGAGTTAGAGAAGGGCCTTGACGAGCTCGTGCGGTACTGCGATAAGAGGGTAGTTATGCAATCGATGGCCTTGGATCTCAGCCAGCACCTCAAGACCAAATTCTGGGTCATGTTCTGGACGCAGACATCCCGACAGGATCGTGAGAAGATAATCAGTCCTGCTATGAGACGAAAGTGAGCTTTCCCTCCTTCGCGTCTATCCCCCCTTCCCCACAGCCCGAAGCACATGCCTAGCCATTCACTTCAAAAAGCACGGGGTAGTAAAGACATCTTCCAACAGAAGTTATTAACCATATCATCGTTGACAGCATATTCGTCGACGCTGCCACCGCCGTAGAAACTTGGTGCACCATTGCCTCGAGCCCGGCCTGCGAACCCTACCAATGGCACATAACCTCGCACGCCGGCTTCTACCTCATCCTCTACGTGCTCTCCGAGCTCCGCAGTCCCGCATTCCAGGCGCCTGAGTGGGCGGATCTTCGACAGCGTGGGCTTCAACTCGCCAACACCATCTACGAGCTCCGCGGTCAGCATACTACGGGCGCCTGGCCCGCAATCATCTGGTTAGCGAACCGTATTCGGTTCCAGCAGGGTCTGACTGGGAATTCTGGGCCTGGGGTGGCTGCTGGCACTGTTGCCGACGGTAATGGTGTTGCTGGGCCCGGTGATCCGTCGGATAACCAGTCCATGATTATGAAACCGGCTGGCCCTGTTGGTGCTGGGGGTATTGATGGTGCCCCCACGATGGGCACGGCGGGGATGGACTTTAATACAGGAGATCTTATGGGGCTGATCGATTTAGAAGAACCTAACTTTTCGGACTTTATTGTGATGGATGAGATAGGGTTTCCGGGCTTTTTGCGGTGAGAGAGGGATTATAAAACCTTCTGTTAGGAGTCTCGATTGCGCTGTATTGTTGGTGAGTACCGAGAGAGGTCCGTCGTTTTACCCACCCTGAGGCATACTGGAGTTCAAGGGGCCCTAATTTATTTTCTGGGCTCCCTGATAGAGGGGGTTAGTAAGTGTTCTGTTAACAATAGTTGGGGACCTTCCTACGTAGACCGGTTACGGCATGTGTCAAGTACTGGACTACGTATGGTATAACTGTTTCGTCGCCACCATTTGATGGCCCACAGAGATAATGCACAATATCAGCACTAATTAAACTAGAATAATACTAACAAGCGATGACCTACTTGCCCCTCGGAACAATAAAGAAAAGCGATCTATTCTCGGAGAATAAGTTCGGCGCCGAAAAACAGCAGCAACCACCACCACCACCACCAAGCACCCCTGTAGCATCTGTGTTACGAAGTGAATTAACACTACATGCTACCTGGGTCTAGGTTCCTGTTGGAATTGTACTTAACGAGGGCATTCCACATTTAAAACATTACCGTCAGTTTGGGTACTTCAGTTTCTGTGTTTGCTTTCTATATCATTCGCTTAATTTATCCCAACATGGCTATCCTCGCACATCTTTCAGTGAGCCTTTCCCCGGTAGGATGGCTCGTCTTTTGGATCACTTTGCCTATGGCAATTGCATATTTCTTTGGTGGCCGTATGGTCACATGGTACCTCAATGTGAGATATTGCTCTACTCCTGGAAATAGTAGACTGCAGGCCATAAAGTAACCATGGGGGCAGTCAATCTATATTAAAATGACCTCTGTTCGATCGGTGAACGGCGATAAGAAGCAGATGCCCGGTCCCGAATATCTCCTACCGCAAGGTCAGGCCAGAGACAAGATCATTGCCCCCTCGCAAATGAGCGCCAAGTGGCGTGCGGAATACGGATCCATTTATCAAGTTTGGAACGGCGTGTGGCCTGAAATGTGGGTTGTCTTCCTTGTTAAGCTCCAACATCTGTAACAGTTGCTGACACCACAATGGCACCACCCAGCGTCATCACCGATCCCAAAGACGTTAAGGCTTGGTTCTCTGGAAAAGGCGAGCACAGCAAGTTTTCCTTTACCCCCTCCGGCGCGCTGTTCAATTACGCAATGGGCCACGCGGTCGGACTGATCAACGGCCACGACTGGAAGGCCTTGCGAAAGCTGCTGGACCCCTACGTTAACTTCTCGAATTCGGCGAAGCTCACGCCTTTGATTTTCCAGCGCGCCATGGACCACGTGAAGTATGTCCCTGCGCAAACTCTCGCGCCCAATAAGGAGAAGATCATCGTAAACGCCTATCGCGCGGTGCAGCCGTACCCATTCTTCACGCAGATGGAGGCTTTCTATGGACCGCTCACCCAAGCCCAGAAGGAGGAGGTCTGGGCAATTGGCCAGATGTTCTTGGTCTTGTCGACCTGGGTGGTGGAGCAGGGACTCACTCGCAGCCGACTGCTCAAATACTTTTACTCGATCAAAGCTTGGACCTTGATCCGCCAGTTCGACCAGCGCTGGCGCACCTTCAACCGCGAGATCGTGGACCAGAAGCGCGCCCAGACCGATTTGCCCATTATCTGCCTGTGGGCTAATGTCGAGAATGGCGAGATAACCGAGGACCAACTCATCCATACCTTCACCGAGTCCATCTTCGCGAACCTGGACGTCACTACTTCCGTGATTACGGGCTGTATCCTGCACATCGCGGAGAACAAGCGCATCCAGAAGAAGCTCCAGATGGAGATCGATGACCACCGGGATGATCTGGCGGGGTATATCAAGCGTCAGGATACCTTCCTGCACTGGTGTTTCCTTGAGTCTATTCGTCTGGAGCCTATCCCTGGTATGTTTCTTTTCTTTTCTCTTCTATCCCCACTACCCCAGATGTCTCCCTCTCATAACTTAGACTAACCAGGTAAAAGCCTTCTCCCTCGCAGGCCGTTGCACAGAAGACAAAATCTTGGGGGGCTACCACATCCCCGTCAATGTAAAGCAACCAACCACTACCCCTCCATGACCACAAGACTAATCCCTGCAATAGACGAGTGTCGTGATTGATGCCTACTCTATCAATATCAACAACCCTTACTGGGGCCCAGACGCTAGATATTACTGCCCCGAGCGCTTTGATGGCCTCAGCCCCCGCGACCTGAAGTATAACCTGTCGACCTTCGGGTATGGCTCCCGCAAGTGTCTGGGAGTCCACCTCGGCGGCAAGATGGTGCGCAGCATCGTGACGGCATTGTTCAACCAGTACGACATCAACCTTGAGGGTCAAGCCAAGGAGGGCGACCGGTATAAGACGGATAAGTCGAGTTTCTTTGCCAAGTATCTGGCAGACGTTGAGATGACACCGAGGACATTATGATTGGAGGGCGGGTGTCAGATGGGCTGTGGTTAATGAGGGAAATTGTTTGACACTTTATTTTAAGTACTGTGTTTGTACATCCAAAGCTGCTGTTTGATAATGGAGTGAAGATACCTAATTCCACCAGCTCAATTCTCAATTTTCCTGGCTGGAAATCTTTGTACTCACCTAGTTTCCCTCTTCTTCTTTACTGGTTACTTATCAGATTACCCGCCCAGCTTACCTATGTAGCTTATCTGACTGTGAAGATTCCATTCAAAGTATAGTCCTGGGATGATTCAAGTCCCCATGAAAAGGCCTCAAGAAGGCAACCTTGAGTCGATGGAACCAAGACATGGACCCACCGCTCGTGCGAGGACAACATGCGGCGGCCCCACACGTCGGCCGAGGTGGATGATGGCAGGAGTATGAAGCACTTCTCAACCATAATATAAAGCAACTGGAGATATCGCTTATCATGTCCAACATGGACAGAAACAACTCCCCCAAACCTCCAGCAACCATGGGCATGGAAACTCAGACAGACTATGAGCGAACGGACTCGGGCAACAACCTTGGAACTAAGCAGGAGGAAATTGATCCTAATGCCTCAAGACGAGTACGCAGAGGCTTTCTTCCGTGGTTGTGTGTGGTCCCATCTGTACAGGATCCCCGATCGTACAGCTCGGGAGTGAAATGGTTCTTAACCTTCATCGTTGCTGCTGGTGGTCTGGTCGTCCCGTTGAGCAGCGGCGTCTTGTTCCGTACCTTCTCTCCGTTCCTCTTCCCAGACAAAGCGAAAGCTAACATGATGGCCGTTGAATAGCCTGCTTAATTGAGCTAGCCGCAGACCTCGATATTACTGTATCTGTTGTCAATCTGTCTATCGCCTTCAGTTCCCTTGCCGTCGCCATTACACCCCTCTGGTGGTCCTACCTCGCCGAACTCTACGGTCGCCGTCTCGTCTATCTGCTATCTTTCTTCTTCCTCGGCCTCTTCTGTGTCCTAGCAGCCATCAGCCCCAATATCGGCATGTTCATCGCCATGCGCCTTCTCGGCAGCGCCTCAAGTGCCTCCCTCCAATCCGTCAGCGCAGGTACCATCTCCGACATGTTCAGCACGCACGAGCGCGGGAAAGCCATGGGGGCCTTCATGCTAGGACCCATGCTAGGCCCCATGTTTGCCCCCATCATCGGCGGAGGGCTCACAATGCGGTGGGGCTGGCGCAGCACGCAGTGGTTCATGGTGATCTACGGGTGGGCGGTGTTCATGGTGATGGTCTTCTGTTTACCGGAGACAGCGACAAACCTAGAACAAAACCAATGTGAGCACCGCGCTAACGCAAACAGTTCTGTTCAGAAGGCCGCCTACTTTCTTCTCAAGCCCATTGAGGCTGCCAAGCTCCTCCAGTATCCGCCTATCCTAATCACCGTCTACTATACAGCGATTGTATTTGCAACTTATTACCTCATCTGCGTCTCCATTGAGGATACCTTCGCCGTGGCCCCGTACTCCTGGAGTCCTGTGATCGTCGGCGTCGCCTACATCCCCGGGGGTTTGGGGTTGTTGTTCGGGGCGATCGTTGGCGGTCGCTGGCAGGATTCAATCATGGCGCGCACCGCCCGGAAGGAGGGTCGGTATGACGATGCGGGCGAGTTGATCCTGCATCCGGTGGATCGGTTGGGAGAGAACTGCCTGATGGCGGGCATTCTCTTCCTTGGGGCGCTGTTGTGGTGGGGATGGACGGCCGAGAAGCAGGTCTTCTGGCTGGTGCCGGTGAGTTCGGCATCAAATGCTTTTGTGGACGGACTAAATCTGACTGACACTATATAGCTAATCGGAAATTTCTTCTACGGTGTCAGCGGAATGATTCTCACCAACGTGACCATGACCATGCTGACGGAGTTTACCCCTAAGAGATCTACCGTCGGCGTCGCGGTGAACAATCTCCTGCGGAACAGCCTGTCATGTGTGAGTGCCGTTATCGCTCAACCGTTATTTGATGCCATTGGGACCGGGTGGTCGTTCACAGCCGCTTGTCTCTTCTGTCTGCTAAGTGGCATTCCGTTGATCCTTCTGCGAATGAAGCGGGAGGAATGGAGTCGGAAGATGGAGGCTACGTTGGGGAGTGAATGAAGGGGCCACTTTCTGGCAAAGTGTGCCTGGAGGAAGGGTATGAGAATATATTATCATGTCTGATCAGTTGTATCAGGATGGAAGAGGCTATAAGTTCGCTCTGGCACGTTCTTTTGATGTATATATATGCCCAGATTGCAACTGCGGCGAGGTACAGCCATCGCAATTTTAAACACGCGGAATCGATCGGGACAGCGAATCATCTAGGCCATCCTCCTCGCGGTAAGCGAGATTTGGGCGCGGGGTATACCTATCCGCCTTCAATATTGTCAAACCCTAGGATCCGCCTAAGCTGTGGTGACTGCTAAGTTGTAGTTCAAAGCTTCTGGTGAACAGTTCCAATGTCTATTAAACGTTATAAAAGCATTATTTACTGTTTTACTAGATAATATAACCATCAAAGGGCGCTCCTGCAAGGAATTCAAGGCTATTAGGGATTGGTTCCAGCGTTTAGAAGAGATTCAAGACGAGTACGGCATCTAGGATAAGGATATCTATAATCTCGATGAGATAGGCTTTTCACGATAGATCTTATTACGACTACTGAGGTAGTTACATGTTCTAATATGCCAGGGAAGCCTTATCTTATTCAACCGGGTCAGCGTGAATGGAAGGGCTGTGGGATTGCTATATACAAATCCGTCGTCTCTGCTTACGACGGTCGTACTCGCTACCACCCGCTCTAGCTTCGAAGGGTCAACTCGCTCCAAAACGGTCTGAAACAGCCGACCACAACGAATCAATCCCGTGAGCCGTGGGGATTAACTGACCTCCAGAGACGGGATCTATAAATATCTCGCCCTCCTCGCAAAGCACTTCATCGCCAAACTCTATTGAATCAAAGTCAAGTCCGACCTGCTGATCATCTCTCCGGCCGTACAAAGTACTCCGTACGAACTGAAAAGATCATAATTATTAATTCATAAGAAACCAGGTCCGTCGTGATTTCATTCCCTCGTTTCCCTCAACTAGCGTTATCATCGTGATCATCGTAAACAATCGAAAACAAAAGAGAAATAAAGGAGCAGAAGACCAGCCCTCCAACACCAAATCCGTCAAAGCCCCAAACCGCCATGCTGCCTGTCCGTGATCCGTCTCTTGTAATTTCTATATACTTTACATAGCGGCCGTATTCGTAAGTGAGGTTTAACATCGGTTCCGATCATGGTGCCTTGCCAATTAGGATGGAAAGAAAAGACGTAAAGAAAAGGAGAAAAAAGGGGGGAAGAAAAGGAAAGGAAAAGAGGGGAGGTTGTAAGAGAAAAAAAAAAAAAATGAGACACAAAAGGAAGAAGGATTGACGGGATCAGACATCGAATCGTGGCCCAGGGTCTCTCGCGATTCATCGACCATCAAGCTTCAACTTCTTCGGCGCTACGCTGCGATGCAGAGAGCCGATGCGCCCCGCTGCCCCGCCCCGAAACAGCTGCCGCCCGTCTTGGCCGCTCTAGGAATCGTCGTTTCCCGGCTCGTGTCTCGAAGTGTCGCGGGATGGACGATTGTTCCTGGCCCGTCGCCAGCATCGTGCTGCGCATTTTATTGCGATACGCGTCAACTAAAACCCAAGGGATAGAGGTTAGCATGTGTTATTGCATTCTTCCGACCCCTGGCGGGAACGATGACCGTGGTGGCTGCCACGGGGATGGTCCTGCCATGTCCACGTTCAAAGCAAGGGGCTGTCGATGAGAGGGGAGAAGGGGTCTATCACGTACGAGATCGCTGGAGGAACAGCATCCTCCCTGCAAACACCCGACTTTGGCTCCAGCTCATCCGATACCCCAAGTCATTCAACAACACTTCCTTCTGGTGGCGACTCCGCGATAGTTTGGGCACGGCAATGTCACTCTCTCCGTCGATCTGAGGCGTTGGCACAAGGACCCGTCCCACCGTCGCACTCTCCTCGTCGTCCTCGGCCTCGGGGTCGTCCTTGATGTACCTTCTCCCGGGCACCACGCGGCCGGGAGGGTTCTTCATCTGCACGGGGAAGTAGGTTCGGGGGTAGACTGCGTTGGAGTTCCGATATGAATCAGGGATCTCATCCATATCGACTTGATCAAGCATGACTTTAACCCGAACGCGACATCCTCGCTGAGTATCGTCCACCAGTATGAATTTGCGGCGCTTGCCCTCAGGGAACGTCCCAAAGAGGGCGTCGTTGCTGGGATCATGTTCCTCGTCATCGTCATTCTCGTCTAGCTGGCCAAGCTTGCTCGATGTTGCGATTGTTGGATGCCGGCCAAGGGTTGTGATTCCGCTGTCCCGGATGAGGGGTGGGATCGAAGGGCCTCTCGAGACATCCACAGGGGGAGGGAATGCAGGGTAGCCGTGGAACACCTGTGCGCTGCGAATGTCGGTTGGTGAATGTCCCGCTGACGGATGGACTTCCGGTCCACCTGGGCGAGTGCCGCCGTTCGTGAAGTCAGTGGTGCCTATTGTATGGAAAAGGTGGGAATAACTTGAATTAGCCTACACTGAACAAGAAAAAGCGTCACAATTCAGATGTGGAAAGGGTACGAAAGCGATGGTAACATAACAAAAGGAACATGATAGGGTATGGTAAACTAAGAGGGAATAATAGAAATAAAGCACAAGAACCTCCCCAAACATGATAAAAATACATGGGGAACAGTGTCCACCAAGCTAAGAAAAGTTAAGAAAAAAAAATGCACTTCCGGCCATGTGCTATCCTCCGAGCAAAATAGCAACAAGCCGAACAGTACAGGCAATATGATACTGAGAAAAGCGGCCATAACGAAGAGAAAGTGCGGCAGGAATGGGCACATCATATATGGTGGAACATACCGCTAACTTCCTCATTGCCTGGAGTTCCTTCGGGCTGCGCGTGATGATGGTGTAGTTGCGGGGGACCCATGGCCAGAGGTCCCAGCGGAGGAGGGCGAGGAGCGGGCGCCGCCATGCTAGGCGGCCCGGGAATTGCGGGCCCAACGGGCGGTCCAGTGGCCATATGACTCGGCGGAGGTGGTGGAATGCCTTGCCGTCTGTTAATCTTGGCCATCCTCCTCACGCGTCTGCTTCGAAGTCTAGGGTCTTGGTTGCTGTTGCGCCAGCTATCAACGGCTCGTTGAATCAGCCCGCGTTTGCCTCTCAGTGCAGGGTTGAGCTCAGCCAGGGCCCAGCCGACAGCATTGCACTCGGTCTCGTAGACCAAGCGGTTACCCCTATACTGATCTTTGCTGCAACAGGCTCGAGGGTAGACGCAGTTTTCTGTCTTGAACTCTTGGCTGAGGTTATCCACGTTAACAGACTCAACGTCACAACGGATGGTATACTCCATTTTTACGCGATCACGAGAGTACTCAAAGGCAATCCACTGGACTCCGTTGCTATCCTGCCGTACCACAAGAGGGGTGGTCGCTGGTATCGGGCCCGGTGCGGCACTGGAACTTGCCCCAACGTTCGAATTCTGATGATGGATATTACCCGCAGAAAGAGGGCCACCGGTTGACGCAGGGAGCGGTGGGTTTAGAACGGCCCTCTGTGGAGGAGTGTGCTGCTGTGTCGTGGCGGTACTCGGGCTGGTCATGGCGCTTGTTGGTGCCTGAGCAGTCTGGTGCGGGATTTGCGCACTGCTGGTCTGGTGGGCCAGCATCAACGGCTGCGAGGTAATCGGATGTTGCTGAGGAGAGGTGTGCGTGGTGTAGGGTGAAGGCTGGACCGGGTTGATCGGCTGATATGACTGATATGGATACATCTGGTGCGGTACTTGGGGGGACTGGGTGTAAAGGCCTCGGCTGTGCTCGTGAGATTGAGAAGCTACCGATGCAGGAGAACTAGACTGTGGTGTGTGGTAGATTGGAGGATAAGGCCTCTGCATCTGTGTGGTTGTCGCCATCATTTCCGGTGGACCTAGACTTGTGGTCAGTGACTGCACAGTGACTAGCAAAAGCCGGCCAGGTTTAGCGGCTCTACTTCGTGGAGCTTTGCGTACCACTTGATGGGTATTGGCCCGATGCGCTCGTCGTGCTATATGATGAATGAGACGAGTAGTAAGATGGCTCCTGCGAAGGTGGTCCGTATTGATGCGGCTGATGAAGAATACCGTTTCCCAGAGCGTGGGGCGTGTATGACCCTGGCGGAATACTGGTACTCGGCTGATGTGGAGAACCAGGCTGTTTGTGATGCTGAACAAGGTTGGCTGTTCTCGGGAGTTGAAGTTGAGGGTGTTGTGGACCGTGATGTGCAGCTGGGTGTCGGAGCTAAAGGAAAGACTCAATTAGTGTCGCCGGCCTTTTTTATTCACTATTTTTGACCAAGAAAGAAAACACGAGAAGAAGATGCTAAGTCAACAAAGGGGGTGCGTATTCTGTGCTGGGGAAGTCTTTGTAAAAAGCATGAATGGGCATTTCTCGAGGGTAGTCGCCTGTCTCGAAACTCTGGCCTCGAGCTAACAGTTCAATGCCCGTGACAAGCACTGTCTGGCTCCAATGCAGCTCTTGCGCAAAGGGTCTCCGTGTATGAAACACGTGGTGCAATTGCAGCAAACAGAGTGATTGAAGGACGTCCGGCATGTTCAATGAAAAGTCCTCTTGTCAAGAATTGGCCTTCGGGGCGGCTGGTGTATGTAGTGCAACTCAAGCCAATTGATCCCGAAGAAATTACAGAGCATTGAGTCTGCCTCCTGCTGGCTTTCACCACGGAACATCCGTCAACTCTCATACACCCATTCCCATATTGGTGCGCATGCAAGCGGCCAAGAATGGCAATGGATTAGGTGGACACGCGGGGTCTCAGGTGAACAGTCATAATCAGGGTTTCTTTGAAGATTCGCAGGGGCTGCTGCGCAACGATGCCAGGTGTTTCTCGGTGGAGTTTAAAATTACTGAGAACGGGGACGAAAGTAAAGGCTGAAACCTGGTGCTTGGGCAGCGAAAAGAAAAGGACATTCCTGTTCCAATAGCGGACGACACCCAGGGGAGTGAACAAGGATGGCTGTTCTCTGTGTCTTGGAATAGAAGGCAAGTTCTTTTCATCTGGGTATAACCATGCCAAAGCAACTGGATATCCCTGGGACAATCCCAGCATAAGACGATGGGGAGCGAAACAGAGAAGGGGGAGCCAAAAAAAAAAAAGAAAAAGAAAAAGAAAAAGAGCGGAAAGAGATTGACAAGGACAACTATCGTATGAATGAACTCACGGGATCGTCAACAGGATCGTCTTTGTATTTTGACGCAGTTGGATGAGCTAGGTCAGTCTGAACCATGCCGGTCATGACTGACCTCGAGTGGTTCGGATTCGAGCTTCGGTCCCTTCTTCCAGTGATCTAATCCATTCACTGTGAGGATATCAATCAAAACCGGTTCAGATAGAGCTATATCGGTAGAAGAGAGGATCTGAAGTGAAGGTATGACACGAAAAAGGGCAGCAGCTTTTTGAAAGGAATATCGAAGTTGACAAGGTGAGAGGGTCAAAGCGGAAGAGAGGCTGAACAACAATGGTCGTGGTTCGTTGGTCTGTGGTTCAATACTGGGGAGGGGAGGATAGTTTCATGAAGATGGACCTTGTTAACGGTGCGATGTGAGTGCCAGTGTAATGTGGAGGGTCCAGGGTCGTTATTTAGCTGCAATGGAGACCCATCCTTCAGGCAGACAGACATCCATAGACGATGGGAACTATGCCGGATGGGGAATGGAGGGGTTGAGGAAGTGCGCGAGGGAGAAAATCAAATGGGGAATAATAAAAATTGAAATGGTGAAAGTGAAAAAAATAAATAAGAAAAAAAGGAAAGCAAGAAAACAATGGGGAGGGGGAAGGACAAGACAGCGTCAGAGGGATTCACTGAGTGGTGGGGGATATCAGAATGAGCTTGTAACTAGCGGGAAGGTGGTGTAATATTGGCCAGGATGAATGCAGGACGCAGGAGAAACGACGCGAATGTGACAGCAGCAGAGTAGCATGTAGGCTAGACTACTCGAAGAAGATCAAGCCCAGAGCTTTGACTGCGCCGTTCCCGATTAGATGCTAGGGAAGGATGATTTGCAGCGTGCATCGACGGTGGAAAGGAGAGACGGGGGCAAGATAAAAAAAAAAGTAAAATAAAAAAAAGGGACCCAGAACTGATTCAAACCGAACGAACTGACCTAGTACAGGGGACTTGCTTCCATTCAAATCTGGTAATCCAATGCCTCGATCTTGAAAATGGCGGTTTCACACAATTGGACTGCGGGTAAATCAATCGGTTCTCGCCGCTTCTTTCTTGCTTTCCCTTCGCCGATACCAAAAGAAAAACAGGTAACGCGATGATTGGCAAAAGAGAAGAGTGTGCTTCCTTGGAATTTGGGAAGACTGGCCCAACCTGTCCTTTTATTGGAATGGGAAGAGGCCTTGAAAAATAAAATATACCTGAATAAATAGATTGGATTTAAAATCGGACGAGAAAAAAAGATAAAAGAAAACAGAAATAATAAATAATAAATAATAAAATAGGTAGCCAGCGGGAAAAGAATAAAATAAAATGGAATAAATTAAGATGACGAGAAATTAATTCGCAGACAAAGACGAAAGACAAGAATCGGAGTAAGCCGCCAGTGAGCTGACAACAATTTATGACCATAAGGGAACCAAGCCAGCGTTAGTCTGGTCATGCTGGTTTGCTTTTAATTTTTGATTTTTGATTTTCGGCCATTCGATTTATTTTAATTCCTTTTTCTTGCCCCAGGACATCGAGGTCACTATGGAGCAGACATACCACGGACGGGTAAAGAACAAGACTCGTCTACAGAGTAGGAGCACCTTACTACTACAGGGCTAGATCATTATATGTACCTCAATACCTTGAACGATCTTTTAATCAAGAGACTCAATAGATGCGCGGAGGACTGTTGATAGACGCTAGTCTAGTCCACTCCAGAATGCTGCTACTGGTGATACTTTCGCAATTAAGTATGTATAATGATAATCATGATAAAACGCGACCAATTGTAGTATGCACGATGCAGCTAGAGAACTGCAAACATCTGCCATGTATTAATATTCTCGTTTATAAATAACCCATGGAGTGGCTACAAAAGTGTGCGGGTGTCTGTGTGTATATGGCTAGGGGGAGTGGCCATAGTTCAAAGCTAGGGCCAATTCATGTTAAATCGAGGCCTAAAATGCCTCTTCCTGACACTAAGGTACTCCGTTTTCTCCGTAATACCGAAGTAGTTGACGATCAGCTATGATTTTATTTGAGCACGAGAGACATTTTTTGATCGAAATCCATGGATCAAATTAAATCACCATCTGCATTTGGTAGACCAACGCCCAAGTCCCTTTTAGGTTTGAGAGGAGGGTGGATGAGGCCGTCTGGAAGAATGAAGATTGGCGCCAGGAGGAATAGGCACATTACGGGAGTAATCAGCTAGTGTTTTAGCGTAGAAGTGCCTTCACGTCTTCTAGCAGTGCCGTCTATCTTCATAACAGGAAATGGTCGAAGTTTAGAGGGTCAACGTTGGGTTCTAGGTTAGATCTGGCAGAGCCCGAACTCAGGTACAACACAGTCAGCATGTTTCACTCACACGAGCAGTTTTCGAGGCTTCCCAGCCCCTCTTCTGCCAGCGACCCCGAATGGAAGAAACTGTTGGCATCGCCACGATCCGTTATTTTCAGGGACTTGAGAGCCACAAGCATGTACGGATACTGGGTACATTCAATTGTGCATCAACGTTGAGGATAAAAATAAAATATATCCAGGCAACCCCTCTTTGATCTTCCAAAACATCGCTGTGCCCTGACAGCCTGCTTACTGTGTACATGTATGCCTCCACTTAGTGTGCATGGACCTGTGATTCTGTATCCGTGGATCGGCCAGGTTACTACCTTAACCATCCATATGACGATGGTGGTGGGTGGCCTCGATTAGCGGAATGGAGAGTTGAATACTCGGTTGAATTTGCCACGACTTTGGCATGAAAGTGAAATCACTGCTATCGAATTTCTGGATTTGGTGCGATCCCATTTTTCAACCCTCAGTATACCGGACTCAGTCATTTCCTCTGCCACACCCTTTCTTAAATTTTTAGTTTTCGTGTTCAAAAAAAATACCACGACTCGATCTTGTTACATTCCGGTATGAAAACAACCGATCTGACTTGCTGCCGGTCAGCCTTGTTCCCACTGGATCCCACAGGCGCCACACGCCAAATCCACCCCTCCCGAGGCCGCCTTCCACTAATCATCATCCGTCATCTGCAAGCTCCAATTCCGGTGTCTCTAGCACACACACACTTTGTTGACAAAGGAGTAATGATGCCACCAATTCAATGCTGCAGTCCAAATACACCCCCCTCCTCCAACATGTCCAAATAAACTCGAAACAGCCTAACGGCGTCCGGCCGGATGATTCACCCACCCCCTTCTGACCCCCCTCCCTCCCTCCATGCGGATGCTATTACTGAAAAGAAAATACCTGTGTAACCCCAGGCCGTGGACGCAGGACTGCTGATCAATCACAGCCATTCTGGTGGGCTTGTACGACTGCTGCTTTCCCGGCGACTAGTCTCCTGCACCACTTTGAGCATGATGAACCTACTCAGTGTACTATTACCTACCTACCCATCCCCCCTCCTCGAACAATGGTAGCCGACGTTGCCCTTGAATAAGCCGACACAATCGGGACCTCAGAGTTCAACCAGTAACCACCACCCTGTCCGCAACGTCGCCTCGTCTCCGGACTCGACCGGGGCAGTCATTCAGCCCGTCAGGACTCATGGGGCGGCTCCACCCATCCTTCCGAGCAATCAGCCCTTCGCTTCAGCACTTAGTGAGTCTTGGCCCTTTAGGACTCGATAAAAGTGGTGCCTCGACTCTTCGAGCCCTTCTCCGGCCTGACGAAGGGCAATGTGCAATGTGCAATGTGATAAGATGAATCCAGCCACACTGCAACGGAGGCATTTTTTTTTGAAAAAAAAAAAAAAAAATTACATTCGATTGTTGTTTGGGATTATTCCAAATTCTCCAGCTACCCTGGCCTCTTTTTCCCTGCCTCCCTCGTTTTCTTACCCGTTCAAGATAAGCATGGGGGAATTGGCCCTCGTGCATCCCTCCCATGTGAAAACTATATCTGGCGGCGTAAGATCTCCATTCATGCCAACACTGCTGATAGGTCGACACCCCGTCCATTGCATGCATGAGGTGGTGAGAAAAAAGGGCGATGGGAGAACAAGGGCAACAAGGCACACAGGGCCCCCAGGCAGAAAACAGGCAGGCAATTTCTCCGTACTCAGGCACACCCGGAGTTTACGATGTCACCATGCATCTGCATCTTGAGTATGTACTGTAATGTACGCTTTGCAGTCTGCAGCTCTGGGGCTTTGCCCATTAACCCGCTGTCTATCAACGATCAATAGTAGCGGCCGGGAAGGGGCCATTTTTAAATTTGAGGTGGGCTGTGGGGAGCTCCAGACCGTCGTCGAGCTCAGACACATCCCGGATAGTTCAGCCGTTCAACGTCTCGAGCCAGAGTTTAATCTAATAATCGCACGAGTTCAGGGATCCGAGTAATGGCCATCCGCCATTATTGCCATCTCCGGAGTCTGTACCTTGCTCCATCAACGCAGGGAACAAGGAATGCCAAAGAGGAACCATCAAGAGTGTATCCCAAAAGGGTATAGCAGGGGTCGTCGTAATCAGAGCATCTTAAACTTCTCAAGCTAGTTAGCGGAAAAGAGTCTCGCCAATATCAACCACTCCCTCTCTCTCTCTCTGTGTGTGTGTGTGTGTGTGTGTGTGTGTGAGAGAGAGAGTGTGTGTGTGTGTGGCATACCTGAGTGCCTACCACCTTAGCTGTCTTTAGCGTCGGCTCGGTGGAGTCTTTGCCTTCTTGGGCTGGACGGCAAGCAACGGTGTTAACTACGCCGTACTTAGACGTCCCCTCTCGGGCCTACCATTGGCAAGGGCCAAGGACTAAAAAAAAACCCTTTGTGATCGGTGCAGGGTGTTCAAGACGCTTCCATAATAGTTTCCGTTACGGCCCCCCCCTCTCTTCTCTCCCCGTCCCCGGTCGCTTGCCGGCGGCCGCTCACCGGCCGGGTCTCCTTGAGATCCATCCATATCTACCTTTGTCTTAAATTCTGGATACCTCTCCTACTGTACTCAGTTAGGTTGGGTTGGACCCAGTCTGCGAAATAACTAATCAACTATCCTTCTTTGTGATCCGAAACCGGTCTTCCTTAGATAGTTAGATAGTTAGATAGTTAGCTAGATCTAGAATAATCGGGACCCATCTACGGC